ACTGGATGGGCGGCTGACCAGACTGGATAGGCACAATGGATACTGGGTGCAATGTCTCACGCCCGGTCTCTGTCTTCACATGCGACACCGAATCAGATCCCGATGTTGCTTGAGCCGCTAAATTTTCCTGGCGTGTTGCACGAAGGTTGTGTAACTGGTGGGCCTGAAACCGCTGAATGTTCCGGGAAGATTCTCGCTCCCTCTCCCGCTCAGCTTCAATCTGGTGGACCTTCTCTTGGAATAAATCCAGTTTAGCGTTGAGTCCCCGTTGCACATCTTCGGTCCATCGGGTTCGTTCGGCTTCGGCTTGCGCTTCCTGTTGTCTCCAGCGTTCGGCGAACTCGGCGGCAGCGCGCTCGTGCTCCAGGCGTGCTGCCTCGGCGCGGGCGCTCTCGATGGCAGCCGCCACTTCATGCGCCTGCATCGTCGACATTGGAGACGTGCTGGGCACGCTGGGAGGCTCCGGGACTGGGGCGTCCGGCCTCGATCCGGTCTGCACACTGCCTTGAGGGGTAGCGGTGCGTCCGGCGAGCTCTTGGATCGGCTGGAACGCGCTGGGAAGACCTTCATTCAGTCGGGCCGCGTTGGCAGCGGATGCCTCCTGGTTCAGCTCCATCCTGGCCAAGGCTTCCTGCGTCTGGCGCATCGTGTTGAGCGCAACTTGGGACGCCCTGGACATCACGGACATCGCTGAGCGGCTTGATCGACCGGATCGAGTCGACCTGCTCGACCGACTCGGTGCGCGCTTCGATCTCGAAGATCTTCGGCGGCGCATCTGGTCCTCGTCACTGGAGTCAGATTCACTTGGTGACGGGCATCGCCTCTCGCGCCTGGACGTCGTTTGCCGACCGGATGAAGCTCTCGACCTTCGGTCACTCCGGACGGTGGTACGATCGGACTCCGACATAACGACATCGTCCTGATCCACCGCCGTCGATGACCGAGGGAGTGCTGTCCGGGTGATCTCGACGACTCCTCCGCCTGCACCAGACTGGATCGCTCCTGCCTGCGCGGTCATCACCATGGGTCCGTACCCAATCGCGGACATGTGCCTCGCGGCATTGTGTCCGGACCACAGCGACGACGAAGGCGAGCTGCCTCTGGACGATCGAGCTGCTGACGCCGCACTGAACGTTGACTCGTTGGATCCAGCCGTCGTCCCGAACAGGCTCGAATCAAGATCCGAGGGTGAACGAGATGGCGGACCCAGTTGCGCCAACACTCCAGTACCGGATGCGCGCTCAGACTCGCTGGACGCGTGGAACGACGGGAGCGAAGACAGCGACGGCGTGGACAGCGGCGGCGCGGACGGGATCGACGACACGGACTGGGTGGACGGCGCGCGAGGCGGTCCGTGCTGCGGGCGCTTGGAATCCGGTTCGCCGGTGGACGACCCTTGCGGGCTTCGTGTCCTCCGGAGGCCGGCCACTCGTAGGCGCAGGACGAACTCGCGACCCAATAGTCCAGCTTCGTAATCCGACATCAATAGATCTCCGTCGTTGTCTTCTGCATGGTAGTCCAGGATCGGTGCTCGCACAGCTTGTGACAGTGTCGATCCAGTGTTTCCAGCGTTCGACTCGGTCTGGTCTTGGGCGTCTGAAGCATCCAGCACGATCTTGAAGGGCACACCGGATGCCAACTCGCGCCACTCGATCAGCTCGAACGCGAGGAAGTGCTGGACGTCCTCGGCCACAGAGCGCACCAGACTCGGTGCGATTCTGGACGACTGCGACTGGAACCACATCGGGATCAGGTTGTGAAACCTGAAACCGGCAGCGAAGAGGAGAGACTGGATGAGCCCAACGCACTCGCGTGGCGACAGGATGCTCGGCGGAATCACGATGCCGGAGACATCCTGTACCAGGCACAGCTCCAGTCGTACCGGACGAAGCTCCGCGATCCACGCAGCGTCTTGACTCGCCATGGCCATCCGGTCCGATAGGTACTTCGACGTTGCCAGCGCGGCAGTCCACCATTCAGTGAAATCGGGTGCCGGCTCGGGCCAGGCGTACTCCACCTTGAGCGGGACGGCAGCGCGTTCACGATACTGCTCCCAGCGACGCACTTGTTCGGCCACGTACGCCTTCGCCTGAGCCTCGCTCACTTGAGCTTTGGTCTCGTCGGGTCCTCGCGAATCCGAGGGCGCCAGACTGGATTGGGATTCCATCTTGATCGCGGGAGCTTGGGCGGTCGCGGCCGGACTGGATTGCGCGGGCGCAGACCGGGTATCGGCTTCGTCATTCAGTACGCCGTCTTCTTGGACAGTCGACAGCGGGCCTTCATGCTTGATCGTCGGGGCTTCGTCCAGAATCTCGACTTCGTCATCCGGCTGGGGAGAGTCCGAAACTCGATCCTCAGCCGGGGGCTCAACCTCATCGGCGCCTCCCACAGACGCCTGGGCGGGTTCATCATCCTGTGCGAAACACCCTGATCCAGTCCCGTCACCGGGTCTGGGACACATTCGGTGCCGGCCGGCACAGACTCGGTCGAGTCCGCCTCCGGAGCCTCATCCTGATTTGCTTGGTGCGCATCCAGAACGGAGGACTCCGGGGTCGCTTGATCTTGATCGGCCGCCGACGCCTTCTTCTTCTCTTCCAGGGCCGCCTTGCGCTTCTCCGCGCCAGCCTTCCGAGCCTCCCGGACAACGTCGTCCAGGGCCTTGTGCTCCTCCGGCGGCAGCCCTTGTCCTCGACGCGACTGACGCGACGCCTCACCGCGTCCGCCTCCACGTCCACCTTCACGTGCTTCCTTCCTTCCAGCCATAACCAAACTGTTAGTCCAGGCAGTCAGTAGAAACACCCCTTAAGACCAAATAATATACAAACAAACAACTCGCGGTGAAATCCTAGGCAACCAAATCCGGGCACGCGCACCAGCTGAGGCGAGGCGGGTGAACGCCTTGATCGTCCAGGTGTATAGCGCACTATGCCGGACCGAATCGGTTCGGAGTACCAGAGATATCCGCTGCAATCCGGTAGTCCTCGGAGCACAGGATGTGAACCGGGGGCCGGGAGGATCGCTTGGACTTGGCGTGTGTCCTTGTGTCAACCCCTATAGGTATCGTTTACCTTTGGCGGACCGGACTTCACCGAGTGAGTCGTTGTAAATACAGAATCGAGTCTGCTGGGTGTGTTCCTGAAACAAACTACACCGAATGAACAGAAAGTCAGACCGAATCGAAGGGACCACAGTCAGATCCACAATTCAATATAACCAACACACAGAAATACAATGCCGAGCTAAACGTCACAAAATATACAGCCACCACTTATTCTTTAAGACCCTTGGGTGGGGGGTCTATACGCCAGTCAACTTACGAGCCGTCACCCAAGGCACTGGTCAACCCTGGATGCACACTCACTCACGCGCACCACCCTCACAGAGTGAGGGAACAATACAAAATATAAGTCAATCCTATCATACAGTAGTCGATCAATTCAGTCTCGGGGGTGACTACCTCTACCGCCTAAGACACACAGGATGGAATATGAAATGGATGCCCGGATAGAGCACGCAAATTGGAAAGAAAGCTCTCACAGATCACTCCAGGGCGCGACACCCCAGTCCCTGCCGACTTTGCCTTGGTACCTTTGAGTCCCCACTACACCAGTGCTCGCAACACCAGTGAGGCCTTGAAACGTCCTCCGTTTTAAGATCGCACGAAGGCGGATCCCACGTATAAGCTCTTGAAGACGTCAATGTCGGGGGGAATTCCCAGCCCGAAGAAAGACGTTCGCGTGTTCTCGGCAAATTGGTTTCTGTTTGATCTTACGTTTGGCTAGCTATCTGTTTCACTTCACTGACTTCTAATAAAGGTTTCACTATGCTTGACTTGTCTTGGATATGCTTCGACCTTGTGCACGGGACTTCGATCTTCTTGCACTGAGCTTGGGTATGCTTGACTTGGCTTGGTTATCGGGCACCTTGTCGACGTCAACGTTCCTTCGGCAACACTCATCATCTGGCGTCAGAGGTACGTGGGTACGGCGTCTCATCAAATCCGCACTGGACCTCTGCGTCTAATCACGTGAGCCATCCTGTGTCGCTTGACGTTCTTGGTCGATCCGGTCCTTGATTGCTGCTACACACACAGCAGTACTGGACTTGTTGTTGGTGCGGTCACGATCCAGTATGGGCACCAGGGGTCAGACCGAATTGATCATCCGGTCCGGCCTCATTCAGTACGGCACCTTGGCCTCCGGTGCGTCGCTACCGGGTGCACCACGATCCAGTCCGGCAAACAGTGTACTTTGTCCAGCGAGGTCTTGGGAGCATGGGAGCATGGTGGGCATGGTGAACTTGGGGGTTGGTCCGATGTCTTGACGGAGCCAATGCAGGCAGCAGCCAGGATACGTTCACTGGCTGCACTTGCGCGCCTTAGGCTTATCCTGCGGTCAGGGAAGTCGGCGGACGGACAGGATGTGTTACTCCACACCGAATATGAGCGCTCATCCGGTGGGCACATCTCCGATCCTGTGAGCCCATGCTTACTGCAAGCACCGGGCCCCGCCAAATTCACCATGCGCATCCACTATCCACATGTCACACTCCACGTCACTGGATTCCTGTTCACTGCGACCAGTCACAGTCAGGCGAAGGGTCGTCCCATCCCAGCGGTCAGACATGGGTGCGGATAAAAATCCTTTCCCACATCGTGTCAATATCATGCTGTGACGAGGCTATTGCACCCATCTATCTGCACCTGCAACCGTCTGGTGCCCGTGTGAACCCGTTCATTAACTCGTATACATCCGTATAGCCGGCTAGTTGAGGAAAGAACATTCGAGAGCCTTCGCCTACGATACTACAAGGGCGAACTGTACCGTGGTATGTTATGCACATGTACACCACAAACGGCGCTGAGTTCGCCATGGCCACGGACTCAGTCAAGTCCGAGAAGCTCCAGTTCATAACCCCCGTGGGCAAGCCCGATCCTCGAGCCTGGGAGAGCTCGATCTTCGAGGGCTGCGCCATCGCACAGTACGTGTTTTGCCTCCGCACCGACACTGGTAGTCTCCGGAAGCATGCAAGCATGCATCACCGCTGTTGCCTCCGCCAAGAACATGGTGTCGTGGACCGCCGCCGCCAAGTACATTGAATCTGCCGCCGCTGCTGGCAAGGACATCACCGCCGCCGCCAAGGACGAGTCACTGAGAGGTGCTTCAATGTCCAAGTTGCTGAGTGGTGCATGCATGTGTCATCGCTGCTACTACTGACAAGGACATGTGGGCGCAAGCCGCTGCTGCCAAGGCCATGCTGCCGCCGCCACCAACGACGACACCAACGACGAAGAGCTGAGCGGTACCACCAAGTACAACGTCGCTGCCGTCGCTGCCAAGGACACGGTGCCGCGAGTCGCCGTCGCCAAGGACGAGATGTTCGGTGGTTCCAAGGACAAGCTGCTCGGAGGTTCAGATACTCATAGGTTCCGCCACCAAGGTCATGGTGCAGCGAGTGGCCACCATGGACGAGATGCTTAGAGGTACCACGGCCAAGGCAAATACAGTAGAACTATCGCTGAAGAGAATAGTGGACGGGTAATAATACTTCATCAAGATTGAATGCACAACTAGTTCTTTTAGAAGTCGCTGTAGCGCGTAACACGTTAGAAATGCTTTGATTACATGCACATGCAGAGATACCTGTATCGGAGGCACTTCAAGAGATCCTTATCCAGTGCTCCCGTACGCTCCTCCCTGACAAATAGCTCGAACGACACGAGCACGTAAATGCCGCAGTTATAGCTGTCGAACTGGATACCGAGATCGCCGTCTACCCTGCGGATTCTGTAGCGCTTGACCCGTGCGTCAGGAATTATCGCTACTAGCATCTCAGCTACTACTCGCACCTTTGTCAAATACGATGAGCACATGGAGTCGTACAATAGCACGTCGTTTTTGGTTAGGTCGATCATGATGCAGCACCAGTGGATTCCGCTTACGTTGATTGGTATCAGCACTTTCTCGTCCGACATGCCAAAGAAAATCTCCCGAATCGTATCCATATTCACGTTCACCTCACCGCGCCGGCCAATTTGAATGTAGGTGGGATCCACAATAACGACAGCATGGTTCTGGCGGAACATTTTCTTCATCAGCGACCGCATCGTTGAGTCGCCTAGACAACCCCGTGCTACGAGATCTAACGCTTCCGTCTACCATGCAAAACATATATAATTAGTCGGGTGAACTAGACTATGAAATAAGGTAACTTACGCTTGACGAGAGAATCGGAAGGGACTTGAGTTTGTCGATGAGATCGGGGTCTTGAGAAGTGGCAAAAGAACCGGTTCCCAGAGTAACGTCGACGCTGTCGATCCACTTCAACGCTCTTTCAACTTCGGCGATAATTTTTCGAGCGCGATGCCATTTCCGCAAGATTGCAAGAGTAGAGGTGGCGTACACGCCGACGCCAACAATTTCAACAGCGACGTCCCGCTCTGCTAAACCGGATTTTTTTCGCTTGAACGACAGTCACTTTGGTGGCGCACTTGCGAAGAAGGTCGGCCTTAAAAATACGAACGAGGTCGGCGGGTGCTTTCATTGGCTTAGTGAGCATGGTGATCTCGTGGGCAACTGGAGCTTTCACGTTTTGGAGAGCGAAAAGTTGGAATTGTCCGATGATATCAGCGGCCGAAGCGTACGTTGGCTCCTCTCGTAAGCATTCGTCCACATCAGCTTCTTCTCGAGCATGTCCGAGTCGTCCTTTGCCATCGCAATAGCATTGTTCTGCTGAGCTTACTTAACTTTTGATTTCTGCTTTGGCCTTCCTCGTGGTCTCTCAGGGCCTTCGACATTAAATTCATCAGAGGCTTTGACTTCAATTAGGCCTTCTTGTGAATTAAGACGCTTCGTTCTAGGCTTCCCAGCGGCTTTTATCAGCAGGTTTGTTGTGCGTCTTGGCTTCACAGCAGCTTTAGTCAGTAACGTTTGAGTGCGTTTCGTCGTAACAACGGTGCTGACCCGGAGATTCCTCGCTTCTGTTGGCGTTTTGTTCGATCGTTTACCTTGAATTTCCATTGCAGTGCCTAACTCCACCTCGTAGTAGGTCCGGGTACCCGTCTCGATGCCCGACTCGACTCCAGCGCCCGTCTCGATGCCCGACTCGACTCCAGCACCCGTCCCGATGCCCGACTCGACTTCGGTGACCGGTGGAGACCTTGACTTGCCTCCAGCACCCGTCTCGATGCCCGACTTCGCTTCAATGCATGCGACGTTGCCCGAGTCAACTTCAGCTACCGATGGAGTGCCCGATTCGTCTTCGGGACCCGTCTCGATGCCCGACTCGCGTTGATTGCCCATCGCGATGCATGATGCGACTTCGGTGCTCTTCTCCCGGTCTGACGCCGTTGGGGTGCTCGGATCTCTCTGCATATTTGTTGCGGCCTTCGCGATGTTGCTGGTTATTAATTCTGAAGTACCTGTTCTGCCTACAGTTGCTAGCTGCTCGAAGTTGTGCGTCTTGAACAAATCCGCTACTTGACGAAACGCTAACATTGCTGTACGGTACTGAGGCGTGCCCAGGCCAGCCAGCGTATCGCAGATATAAGTCTACAAGAAAAAAGTTTCCTCTCTCGCGTTTTTAAAGTGTCGACCGTTCAGAATCCGGAGTATGATCGCGAGATGTCTGTCGTGGCCAACATTGTGAGCGAGCACGCCTGCAAGCAGATCTTCACTCAGTACCAGTACGCACGTCGCCGTGATACTACCTACCGGTATTACGAAGCATTTCCTAACATCTACTTCATCAAAAACGAGTCCAAGGAAGAAGATGCTCTCGACGAGCCGCGGGCTGAGTACTCTGTGAACAAGCGCAAGTGGGAGTGTTCCTGTATGTTTATGATGACACGCCTACTGCCTTGCCGCCATGTATTTTTCATCCGCCAGGGTATTAAGAAAGAGACGATCATCCCTACCCAGCTTTTGTACCGGCGATGGTTGGTGTCTTCGATACGCGCCACTCCCCCCCCCCCCCCCCGCCTGAGCTCGTACGCCCATCGTTTGCAGTTGACAACGTGCTTTGTGAGCCCGAAGTGCCATGAGACTCCAACAGAAAGTATCGAGAGGCAAAAGCGGTTGCCAACGTGGTAGTACATGATGGATGAAATGCACTCGTCCAGCTCCATGAAAGAATCCACCCACTCTTTTCGTTGTTTCCACGACGACTCAAGGCGATTGTTTGTGTTGTTGCCCAACGTCACACAGTTCTGGTGTTTGTAGGCGCACCACAGCTCTCGGCAGTTATCCCAATTCCGTTTGAAATACCATTCAAACGGATGAGTACAAGAATCATCGACCGCATTTGCACTTCGCTGCATGTGTTCGTCGGAAACCACGTCTTGATCATCAAGTACGTCCTCCAATGCAGCATCACGGCTTCGGTTCTGAGCCAAACCGGTACTCTCGGACTGGCCATCAGTACTCGTGCTAGTAGTTGCCGGAAGCGCTGCCGCAACTGCGCACCGGCCAATTTTCAAGAGGTACCGCATGTATCTCCGATATTTCTCGTACTCTAGTTCCGTCCTAGCGTACACCAGAAGACTCATTGTACAGCGCAGTTGCTCTCTTTGCCACGAGTTGAGCCCGTAGTCAGCAGAACCAATTTCCTCACAAGATACTTGAGCACGTGAAACTGGCACAACAGGAGAGTAGCGTCGGGAAATGCAGTCTTCAGAACGGACATTTCCGTAAAATCTTTGTCGATCAGAATACACTGGATTTTAACCCAACCTCGGTTATTCTTCTTGAACTCTTCAATGGCAGTCAGAAGCGCCGGGCGCCGCTCATTCTGGATAAGAGCGTGCTGGACAAATTGTCCATGGCCGAAAGCATCGTGGGCCATGAACGAAAAAACCTTATACTTTTCGGCATTGGTACCGTGGGTGGCATCGATCAAAATCACTTCCGGAAACTGGTCAAATACTGCTCGCATTTGTTTGGTTTGAAGTGTGATACAAGTTGCAACATCCTGAAAAAATATAAACGCAGACGTTGTTAAAATTAAGCATATTCTCCGTTTCATTAGGGCATGCGCGTACCTTTTCACCAGACCTATCGATAAAGATGCGGCCAACATTTCCGTCCTCTTCTCCAAACTCAGCCATCCAAGCCTTCAGCCGTTGAGCACTTGTCGTCCAACGTAAAGCGTTCTCTCGCTTCTTCAGCCTGTGCATGAGGTTGTGCACGTCGCGGTTGGTGGGCTTGCAGTTTGCGAATGCCAGATTTCTTTGCGCCAGCCTTTCGTAGCACATCTACCGTTTGGAGAACGGCGGGTGCGATGGCTGTCCGGACTGACGCATACTGATCATACAGCTCCTTCGTCAGTTTGTGGTTGTGCACTAAAGACTTTGTAGTAACTTGAATAGCGAGCGTTTCCCCATCCACAACTCTAACACACGCGTTGATCTAACCAAACCAATACAACACGAAATCCCGTTAAAACAGAACTAGGACATCCAAAGCTATAATAGCATCAATAACTCTAATATATAACACACTGATGCCATCAGCGCCCGACCAGTTCCACCAGTGCCCAACCAGGTGCCACAGTGCCCGACCAGCCGCTGCGGTGCCCGATTGGCCGCTGTAGTACCCGTTTGACGCCGAAGGCGCCCAACAAGCAGTCGCAGTGCCCAACCAGCCGCTGCGGTGCCCGACGGATGCGTGTAGAGCCCGACCGGCGCTAGTGGTGCCCGCTAGACCGAATGGCAGCATAGTGGATAGCATACACTTAAAAAAAATACAACCATTACCTGTGCTGTGCATCCCGTCTGCCTTGATTCCTGCCGTAGTCGCTTTCCTTGTCCGCGAGACTTGAACTCACCACTGTGTGTACAGACAAGAGTCTTCGCGTAGAAGCCAAAACTGTCAGGTATGGGTGTACCAGACCCGGTTTTGAACTTTTTTATCTTTGCGTTGCGCTCGGCGGCCGATGTGTTGGTTCTGATGCGGAAAATCTACTGGCACATATCGGAGTTAGATCATCGCTTTCGTGTATTGTAGATACAATGCAAGAACTTGCTTGATAGGACCGAGACTGATACTCATTGATGTACAACTCGAACGCTTTCCAGGAACTGAACTGGGTCTCCTCCAGTGGCCTGTGTCGCCGTGTGAGCTCATGACTCGGGTCTAACGTAACGACGCGGTCCGAGAGAGAGCATCCTGTCGCGTCGTCAGCATCAAGGTCAGCTTCGGCGTCATTTGGCGCCCCGGGTGGCCGTCGCTTTTTCCCCAGAACACAAGCAGCCATGCTTGTACGGCGAGGGGGGGTCAAATGCTTGAGCCCGCTGCAGATTTATGAATGGGTGGTTGGAGATAGAAAGTATACCGTATACGAAGCTCGGATGGATCTCAAACCGTGGTTAGGGTACTTGAGCGGACGATTGAAAAGATGACGCCAGTAGACGGGTGCACCAACCACTCTCTATTTTATTTTCTAATATCGCTAATTTTTTTACGGCACCTCGCTAAAAAACTTAATGTTGCCTAAAACGGGCTTCAGATAAAAGGCTGTTTTCTCTTTTCTTTCTGCTGCTAATTTTTTTAAATCATAGCGTGAAACGGAGCAAATGCGCAGCTTTCGGCTGAGTTATTGAAACGTTTTTTTTTGTAAAAAGTTATGTCCAGAAAACCGAAGTGTTGTTTCTTATGTGGGCCAGAGAAGTACGAAATAGGTTTCAAGGTTCATTCATACACTGCTACTAGCGGAACAAATCGTCTTTTTGGCAACGGCTTCATTTACTTTCGCAAGGACAAGATAAACAAGGCAGTTTGGCACGCCATGTCGAGCGTCAGGTTAGTCGCGGGCCGCTTAAATCATTCTCCTTGCGCGCTGAGAGCTGGGTGTTGCGCCACAGCTGCTTCATCGGCATCACGGTCGCGAGCGGAAGATGCGTGTGGGAAGGCGTGGTGTGGTCGGTCGGAGGATTCGCAAGTGCCTAGCATGCGTAATACTGCGGCAACACTGCAGAACTTACTCTTCTTGGAATGGAAGGGCGAAGAGAAAACAGGTGTGGAGGCGTTCAAGCTCCTCGAATTGGATGAGGCAGGAGGAGACGTTTTCCGAAGTGCCGCATTCACGAACTGGGTCGTAGTATCTTGGTGAGATGGCACACAAAGAAGACGACCTGACCCTGAAAACATAGCTGTACTGAAGCAGCGTTTTCACGAAGGGGGTCTGGCAGAGATGCTGATTTCGGTGAAGCAGGATGCATCTTTCGCTGGCAAACTTGTGATCTTTGACTAACAGAAGGTGCAGTTTACGAAGACCCCGCCAGGATTTTGCCCGATGCTGACCGGACGACCAAAGGTTGTTGAGAATTACCGAGGGAGTTCGATACTCTTAGCCGCGTGCAGAAGGGTTTTGTGAGACGAAATCAGTCCTAGCAATCAATTGGGTAAGCTTACAATACAGCGAATTGTTTTCGGCGATAAGCTTTTCTCGAGTACGCAGTTTGACGCTTGACATTTGTATCTGTCGGTGTCTATGATAACCGCCACAACCGTAGGATGATGTACGCCGTGGGGTTCTCGCACTTGCCAAGCGCATGGAACATTGCGCAGATCAAATCAAATCTGGAGTTACATCCTACGGCTCCCATAAGCTGTAAACGCAATTGTATATGCCATTCTCGCTACATCCACATCCCCGTAAACGCTTAGGTAACCTGCCGTACTAACAGTTTGCTGTCCGTCCCGTAAACAACGGTGAGAGCAGGTTATGCAAAACAACCTACTCAAACTATTTGCTGTTCGAAAAACTTCACAATGGAGATGAAGATTATCCACTCCTCGGTTCATCCGGACCGCCAATAATCAACGATGACTACCGAGCACATCGTTTCTTTGACTTCGAGGCGCCTTAGACTTGAGCCTGCCCAACAAATGCACAACAACGTGAACGCACCACTCACCTCGTTCACCATTTTCCAACTTACACTCAACCGACCACTTCACCCCGACAACCACCAACCGGCCATGAAGTTCTTCACCGTCACCGCTACTGTCGCTGCCTGCGCAATGATCAACATCAACTTCGTCGCCGCTGAAACTTCGAAAGGAGCCTCATGGGCGTACAAGCACAACGACGCCGATATGGCCAGCCCCGAGCAATGGGCCGAGCACTACCCCACTTGCGGCGGCTCGCGCCAATCTCCCGTCGACATCAAAGTGACCACCGGCGGAGGCTTGACGGCTCGCTCGCTATCGTTCAGTGGGTCGTGCGGCGACTTCAACCTCACGGAGTCGGACGAGTCGTTCAAGGGGGCTGTGGTCGGCGGTTCTTGCTCCGTCTCAGCCAACGATGCAACCTACGATTTGACCCAGTTCCACTTGCACTCGCCGTCCGAGCACACAATCGACGGCAAGGCCCTGGACGGAGAGGCCCACTTCGTACACAGCAACAGTGGCGGCTCGGCGTTGTTGGTCGTGGGGCTCTTCTTGCAAGCGGGGGACTTTGAGACTGATCCGTGGCTGGAGGGCCGTGCTAGACGCTGTCACGCCCGACAAGTCGCAGTTGTTGAACCTGTAAGTTGAAGTGTGATGTGCCCGATTGGTCACCAGTTGACAAACTCACCTTGCATTTTGCTGTTCGTGTACGTACCTGCAGCGCCTCGTACGCTGACCTTATCAACACCAAGGCGGACGCTGACCGCGTATACAACTACCCCGGTAGCCTCACGACACCGGCCTGTGACGAGATCGCCGACTGGTGGGTGGTGCCGACGCCCGTCAAGCTCTCCAAGACCGACTTCGAGCGCCTGCAGAAGAACCTCAAGGAGCTGCACGTAGCCGACGACGGCAAAAACGCTCGCCCCGTGCAGCCGCTCAACGGACGCTCCATCGCCAGTCTCAAGTAACTTACCTCCTTGCCTGAGCACTCCAGTGGGCACACACTGACAAGATGAAAAAACGCACTTTCCTTGCGTACTGCGTACTTGGAGCGTGTTTATCAGCGTTCGTCCAATCTGCATCGTAGCATCTATCCATTCATTCCGTTTGCCAACATTCACAACACGATCGTAGTAATTGTCTGACGTTTATTTTCTTGGTTTCGTTACGAGCCCACGCAAGGCCTTGCATGCGCTCTCTGCATCCGTGTGGTAAATACGTCCTTCCCGTAGCTGCCACGCAGACCAAAGGCTTAGTAGACACGCGCGAAGGGCGGGACGTGCTTGCACTCGTTCTCGTCCAGAGTCTGGTCCTGCACCGCGCGGTAGGCGATGTGCGTCTTGCCCTCGTCGCTGTGGTAAGCGAGCGTGTGCTTCATCCAGTTGACGTCGTCACGCTCCGTGAAGTCCTCGCGGGCGTGAGCGCCACGGGACTCCTTACGGGCCTCAGCACCGTGCATGGTGCAGGATGCGCAGGCCAGCAGGTTGCGCAGCTCCAGCGTCTCCGTCAGGTCCGTGTTCCAGATGAGCGAGCGGTCCGTCACCTTGATGTCGTTGAACTTGGGCACAACCTCATCGATCTTCTCCTTACCAGCCTCGAGCGACTCCTGCGTGCGGTACACGGCGGCGTCCACCTGCATCGTCTTCTGCATCTCCAGACGCAGCTCGGCCGTGGAGATGCTGCCGTCGGCGTAACGCAGCTTGTCCACGTCCTCGATGGCCTTGAGACCACCGTCCTTGGGCATCGGACGCTTCTTATCACCAGGCTTGGTCAGCTCAGCAATACGCAGAGCGCAAGCACGGCCGAACACCACCAGGTCCAGCAGCGAGTTGGCACCCAGGCGGTTGGCGCCGTGCACCGAAGCGCAGGCAGCCTCACCAGCGGCGAACAGACCGGGCACGATCTTGTCCGAGTACAGCTTGCCGGGCTCCGGTAGGCCGTCAAGATCCGGCACAACCACCTCACCCATGTGGTTGGTGGCGATACCACCCATGTTGTAGTGCACCGTCGGCAGCACCGGGATGGGCTCCTTGGTCACGTCCACGCCGGCGAAAATCGCAGCGGTCTCCGAGATACCGGGCAGACGCTCGTGCAGCAGCTCAGGCGGCAGGTGGTCCAGGTGCAGGAAGATGTGGTCCTTGTTCTTGCCGACACCGCGGCCCTCGCGGATCTCCATGGTCATAGCACGTGACACGACATCGCGCGAGGCCAGGTCCTTGGCAGTGGGGGCGTAACGCTCCATGAAGCGCTCGCCCTCCGAGTTACGCAGGATACCGCCCTCACCACGCGAGCCCTCCGTGATCAGGCAACCAGCGCCGTAGATACCCGTGGGGTGGAACTGCACGAACTCAGGGTCCTGAAGGGGGATACCGGCACGCAGAGCCATACCGGTACCGTCGCCCGTGCACGTGTGGGCCGACGTGCACGAGAAGTAGGCGCGGCCGTAGCCGCCCGTGGCCAGCACCGTGTTGTTGGTGTGGAAGCGGTGGAACGTGCCGTCCTCCATGTTGAAGGCCATGACACCCACGCACTCACCGGCGTCGTTCATGATGAGGTCGAGCGCGAAGTACTCGATGAAGTACGACGTGTCGAAGGCCAGCGAGCGGCCGTACAGCGTGTGCAGCATGGCGTGGCCCGTGCGGTCCGCAGCGCAGGCGGTACGACGAGCCTGGCCACCCTTGCCGAACTCCAGGCTCTGGCCGCCGAAGGGGCGCTGGTAGATCTTGCCCTCCTCCGTGCGGGAGAACGGCAGGCCGAAGTCCTCGAGCTCGCGCACAGCCTCCGGCGCCTGCGTTCAAAAGATCACAAGATATCAGCACATAGAAAAACTCAATTGCACGGAGCCGAGCTGACAGAAACACGCCCACTATGGGACGAACACGGGGAGACACGTACCTCTCTGCACATGTAGTGGATGGCGTCCTGGTCGCCGAGCCAGTCGCTGCCCTTGACCGTGTCGTACATGTGCCACCGCCAGTCGTCCTCCGACATGTTGCCCAGCGCGGCGTTGATGCCGCCCTGCGCGGCCACCGTGTGCGAGCGCGTGGGGAACAGCTTAGAGATGCAGGCCGTCTTGAGGCCGGCCTCGGCGCAGCCCATGGCCGCGCGCAGGCCGGCGCCGCCAGCGCCCACCACCACGGCGTCGTACTCGTGGTCCACGACCGTGTACTTGGACGTGAGCGCCGACGTCTCGACGCCGGCCAGCGGCTGCGAGCTGCGCACGGCGAAGCCGCGCGAGGCGGCCGGGCGGGCCAGCGACTTGGCCAGCGCCTGCTTCATCTGCGAGCAGCGCAACATTCTAGCTTGGACTTCGTGGGGAAGAGACCACCGGAACCGCGGAGACCCCGACCGCAAAATCTGAACTGGAGAGAGCGGCTCAGCCGCTGATTGAGCGCCGACTCGAAGTTTGTATGGCCCCTACTGAAAACAAGACAACTGGTTTAACCCCAAACGAGGTTTTACTGTCTCGCCTCGCACAGTCGATATCAAAGTCATATCCGTTGCCGCGGGTTATGTGATTTGGAGGGTGATATATATGGGCTTTAGTAAAGATATACTGAGCAGCTGTTTACCAAGTCTCGGAGGCCGAAAGCTTCAAGTTGTTAAGCGGGGACGAATGGATAAAGCAGGTGCCCCACGTTGTCCACGTCACAGAGCAACGGGCTGCAGCGCAACATGGGCCGAAGGAGGTATCGCCGATATCGTATCGGCACGAGCACCTCCGCCGCTGGATACGAGGGCTTCCGACAATGCACAAACACTTTATTCTATTGGTACTTGCGGCGCCAGTAGTCCTGCTGGTACCACAGAGTGGAGTGGGGCTCGTCATGGTCTCCGCTGTCGTCGCCGTCCACGCTGACGACTGCGCCGGGCCCAGCAGAGGAGGCATACACAGGCAGCCACCGCGGATCTGCAGCTTCTCCGATAGACTCGAGCGTCGTCAAGAGCTCCTCTTGCTGTCGCTGGAGCGCAGATGGGGTATTGGCCCCATTGGCCGCCAGCTTCTGGTCCATCAGCGCGTCCATCGCTAGTCGCTGGATCTCGGCGTCTTCGTCCTCGCTGCGCCTGGCCTCGGCCTCTCGTCGCTGGTCGTCCTTGCCGAACTTGTGGCCTGCTGCTCGTGAGGCGGAGGCTGTGGGCGAACTCGGGATCTCGAAGCGGTCGCTGGGCGAGAAGGAGGTGGCGGACGACCGTCTCCGCTCGTTCGAGTCGAAGAGCTGCTGGAACTGCGCGTGCAAGATGCCGAGCTGCGTGTTGAGCTGGTTCACGGTGGAGAAGTCGCTGAAGTTCAAGGGCACGGGGGCTCCTGCTGGGGCGGGCGGGGGCACCGGATTTGGAGCGGGCTGCGAGCTGCCCCCTGGCCAAGACCACGGCGGAGACCCAACGCCCGAAACTTGGCTCGGCATCGGCCGTTGCGTCAGATACACGCGGATGGTGTGCAGCTGCTCGAGCAAGACCTTGTTGTTGTCCTCGAGGCGACTTACCTCGCGCCGCAGGAACTCGCTCTCGGCCACCGCCGTTTTGAGCTTCTGCTCCGCGCGCTCGCAGGCCTCGTGTGCCTGGTGCTCTCGCGCCACCAGCTCGTTACGCTCTTGCAACGCGCGCATGCTGAGCTCGTCACGCAGCTTCTTGGCCACTGCCCGGCATTTCCGCGCCCACTCATCGCTAGATCGAGTCACACAGGCCTGTGCTAGCTGCGGGAGCTGCCACTCGACGGCTTGCTGCATGCGCTGAAGCTCCTCCGTCCGTCGGATTTCGTCGCGCTTGCGAGCGTCGCGTTCGTCGCTCAGCTCGCGCTCGAGCTTCTGCATCTTCAACTCCACCTTCTGCTTGGACGCGCGAAGCTCCTGGATCTCGGCGCTGGTTTCGATCTCGACGTGACGCGCCTGCAGCGCGGTGAGCTGCTCGCGTAGCTCCATCAGTTGAGCGTCACGCTTCTCCACGCGCGCGGCTTCCTTCGCTCGCCAGGCCTCCGCTTTGGCGAATCTCTCTTCCAAACGAGTGGCCTCGTATTCCTTTTGAGCCACCTGGCTTTCGAGCTCGCGCACGCGGAAGTTGAGCTTGTCGGTGTCTATTCGCTTGTCATGCTGCGCAGATAACAGCTCATCTTGCAGTGTTGCGAGCTGCTTCTCGGCTGCGTTTTTCGCAGTGTTTAAAGCGTCGGTCTGTGACTTCCGCTGCTGCTCTCGGCGTACCAGCACGTCCACCTCGATCTCCAACTGGTTAGCGCGGTCAGTTTGGCTCGATAGCTCTTGCTTGGCAGAGCGCAACTCCTTCTCCAGTGTCGTCGTGCGCTCGATGAGACGGTCGACTTCGCGTTGAAGCTGCTCGCGCTGTTTCTCGAGTGGTTTTACCTGCTGCGCCTGCACGCTTGCCAATTCGCCTCGAAGCTCAACAACTTCCGACTGGAGTCTGGCTTTAGCGGTGGTCTGCTCATCCAGTTGGGCGTTGAGTTGCGACTGTAGCTTTTGAATGCGGCTTTGGGCCTGAGCTTCGGCATCCGCCGTTATACGTTCTCGCTCGAGGACGAGCTGCTGCTGGTGTCGTTGCTGCTCGAAGCTGCTGTTCACTGTCCGGAGTTCGTCCTGGGCCTTGCGAAGATCATCCTGGCACCTGCGAAGTTCGTCCTGCGTTCTGAGCACCGTGGCGTGCAACGTGGAGTTCTCTGACTTCTTCGCTTCGAGATCATGAGTCAACGCGTTGTGTTTCCTAGTCGTTTCCGCCTTTTCCTGCTCGGCACGATCGAGCTGGGCTTGTAAGCTGCGTATCTTCTCCTCCGCCTCCCGGTTCAGCTTCTCCTGTTTGACAAGCGACTCCTGAACGTCTCGGAGCTGATCGCATTTTGTGGCTTGCTCATCCGCTGTGTTTTTCAAGGTGCGAAGCTCTTGCTGCAGCTTCTCGAGCTGCTCACTCTTTGAGGCTTGCTCGCCTGCTGTGCTTTTCAATGTACGGAGCTCCTGCTGGAGTTTCTCGAGCTGCTCGCACTTTGTGGCCTGCTCATCGGCCGTGGTCTTCAAGGTGCGATTTTGTTGTTCAAGCTTCTCAAGTTGATCACGCAGACCTGCGACTTCAGTGGCATGCTGGCGGCGGTCAGTCTCAGCCGATGCCTCCTGCTGCGCAAGCTTTTGCTTGAGCTCTTCTTGTGCTTTTTCGTGAGCTTCCGACGTTGTCTTTGCTTGCTGTTCGAGCTCCGCAAGACGTTTCTGAAGACGCTCGAGTTCCGCCTGCTTGCTCTCGAGGGCTTCTCGGTTCTGCTGGGCTTCTTTTCGCTGAGTCTCCATCTGCTCGCTTTGGGTTTGGCCCTGTTGCTTGACAAGACGCGCGTTTTCAGCCTCAAGCTTGGCCATTTTATCCGCCTGATGCTTCTCGCGCGCGGACGCAGCGCTTTCCTGCTCCGCCAATTTGTCCAGGTGCTGTTTGTCACGTGCGGAGGCAGCACTCTCTTGCTCTGAGAGTTTCGTCTTGAGCTCGTTGACTTTCATCTTCAGGTAATTGCTCTCTTTCGCTTCCTGCTGAGCCGTTTGGAGCTGCCGGGTGGTGTCGGAGTGAGCATTGCGCTCGCGTTCAAGGTCGCTGGTTGCGTCGGCCAGCTTCTTTTCTAGCTGTTGCATCTTTGCGGTTGTTGTGGGCGATGGAGCAGATGCCACTGACGCTGGTTGAGCCGCCGTATCCTGGAAGAAGGGGCCCTTGATGGTTGATGCTATCGAGCTGGGCCTTCTGGAGTTCACCTCGGTGTTCTGCACCACAGTTTGGCTGGAAGGTATCGGGCTGAGAGGGGTCACGACGTCTGTGGTGCTGGTTGAGGACAGCGAGAGCGTTGGTGTGACTGTGGTGGAGGCGCCAGAGCGTCTCGAGCCGAACGATCCCAATCGTGATGTTGCTGGCGTGACACTCGTATCCGCAGTATCTTGCTTCTGCAGTGAAAACTGGGTCGACAATGGCGTTGGCTTTGCGACCGGAGAGTCGTCGTCATCAAGAAGCCAGGATCGGTCTCGGCCAAAGCCTAAACCTGAGGCTGCTGGGGTAGTTTGTGGCCTCTCTGTGGTTGTTGGGGCCGACTCGGAACAGGTGTTATTGCCCAGCTTCCTGGCCGGCATGGATAGGGATGGCGTGGCGAAGAGATCACTGATTCTAGACTTGTTTGGCACTGGAGCTGGCGATGCAACCGGTGTCGGCGTTTCCTCGTCACTAACGTCGTCGAAGCTGTACACGTCAACGCTGTTGCTTGGTGCTGTTGCTGCACTTGTCGCTGATGTCGCCTCGCTGGCCGGAGCAGCAGAGACTTCGGTTGCTGCCTCCGTTGGTGGCGCAGCATGCTCGTCCTTTTTGGCCTGGATAAGATCTCGGTAATGCGCGTCAAGCGGGTGCTCCCAAATGCTTTCCTCTGTGCTCGAGTTGAAGTAGTACAGCGTGCCGTCCTCCGTCTCGCCCTGTTCCCAGTCAGGTGGAAGCTCTGCGAGCAGAGCCTCCTGGACAAGCGGCATCAAGTAGCTCTCGGTGTCAGGGTCTACACCAAGACTGCGCGCATGGTCTCGCAGCGCCTCCTGGAATTCAGGACTGCCGGTGTCCATGACAAAAAATTGTACTACACACTTGTTCTCAGCAACAAGGCAAGCAAACTCCACGTGAGGTGGTTTGGAGAAGAACCACGAATACGTGCATGACATGGGACGAACATCACTTGAAGCTAAAAATGGCCGCAATTGAAACCTCGATCCAACTGTGCCACCGTTCGCTATCTAACATGCTGGCCCAACGAAACAATATTAGTCACCAGTTCGCAGGCCAGTTGCAGTAACTCAACAACTGTGCAATGGAAAATAAAATCATTATAAATCATTCGTACTCCTCTTTCAGCTCGATACAGGGCCAACGCGAATTCACGCACTGATTATCTCATGCCTTACTCCTTGGCCACCTCGATGATGATCTTGCCCTTGGCGCGGTGCGACATACAGATCTTCATGGCCTCCACCAGGTTCTCCAGCGGGTGCACCGAGTCGATCACCGTCTTGACGTGGCCGGCCTCGATGAGCTTCTTGAGCTCCAGCAGGTACTCGGTGCACGGCGCGTTGAAGATCTGGTGCTGCGTGGCGCCGATGGGCGACTCGATGGGCTTGTCGATCACGCCGATGGTCACGAAGATGCCGGTCTGCTCCTTGAGCACCTTCTGCGCGGCGTCGTTCCACGACTGGGACTCGACGCCGCAGTCGTAGACCAAGTCGACCGAGTGCTCGGCCAGCACGTCGCTCCACTTGTCGCTCGTGTAGTCGATGACCTGGTCGGCGCCCAGCGACTTGACCAGCTCCACGTTGCGGTGGCTGCACGTGGCGATCACCTCGGCGCCCAGCGCCTTGGCGATCTGGATGGCGAACAGACCCGTGCCGCTGCTGCCGCCCAGGACGAGCACGCGCTGACCCTTCTGCAGCTTGCCGTACGTGACGAGCGCCTGCCAGCTCGTCTGGCCGGCCAGCGGCACGCCGGCCGCCTCGTTGAACGTCATGTTACTGGGCTTGTGCGCCACGCGCTTCGTGTCCACGTTCAGATACTCGGCGAAGGTGCCCGTGGCGTCGAACCACGGCATGGCGTACACCTCGTCTCCGACCGCGTAGTCCTTGACGTCGCTGCCGACCTCGACCACCTTGCCGGCCAGGTCGTGGCCCACGCGGTACGGGTTCTCGGGCGACGCCATGGTGGACAGGATCATGGACGCGTAGAGACCGATCTTGTAGTCGATGGGGTTGAGCGACGCGCTGAAGACCTTGATCTTGACCTCGTTGGGCTGCACGGGCTTCTGCTCGGCGCTTGGGTTGAACTTGATCTGCTCGAGGAAGTCGCCGAAGTGCTGGTACTCGTAGGCCTTGAAGGTAGCTGGGACGGTGGCGGCCATGGTGCTTGGTTGGTTGGGTTGGGTTGGTGGTGTTGCTGTGCTGTGCTGGACTTGTCGTCGACGGAGCTTTTTGGAGAAGGGTCTCGAGTTGGGAGCAACGAGCGGATGCGTTCCTATTAGCCGCTGACGTACTTGGGGCCAGGGATCCCGAAAAATAAATACGCCCGGAAATATATTTGTATTTTCGGAATCAATATTTTATTGTAGGTATACCTCCTTGGTTTATCCGGTATTTATTCCAGCTTAGATCAAAACTTCTAGATTTTATTTCTGCGGGTGAATATATCCTTCATGATTGAGAAGTTTTTCCCCCTAATTTTCATTGTGTTAACGCCATCAAATTTTCCCTTTATGCTAAAATGATGTTGTTCAGCAACCTTAACACGGATGTGGCGACCGTGGGCAGTGAATCACTGCTCACTGCCAGTGATTGTAAGAACCCATGAAGGTAACACGATTGCAGCAATTTACTGAATAATTTACTGCGTCAGCACGGGGTCTTCAGATTATTTATTTCTTCTCTCCTTGGTATACAAACAAATATGTATTTCGTTAACTTGAGAAAATAGATATATATCGTATTTTCGGCATGCCTGCTTGGGGCTCGGCATGCTAATGATTCGGGTTTTGTAATCGGCCGTCAACTTCCCGGGCGATTGCTCGCACATCCAACCTGGATTTCTAGATGGGCTTTGACTTGGAAAATGTATTGGGTTTATAGGTTCAACCGATGCGTTGGGCCAGATTGCGTGAATCAAATGCTTACACAACCGATCCGTAGCGTTATCCGCAGTGTGCTTGACGACACTCGCCTCATTCCGCAAAAAGATCCCAAGCGCGCAAGTCCCCCTTCAACCCAAGCACCAAGCACCATGGCCGCCTACCCCGCCACGTTCAAGGCCTACGAGTACTACAAGTACGGCGACGCCATGGAGGAGATCAAGTTCAACGCCAACGTGACCCAGAAGCCGATCAAGGCCGACGAGCTGCGCGTCAAGATCTTCAGCGCCGCCGTGAACCCCGTGGACTACAAGCTGGTCACGTACGGCCCGCACATCCTGCCGCACGCGCCCACGGCTGAGAACCCCTTCCGTGTGGGCTTCGACATGGCCGGCAAGGTCGTGGAGGTGGGCAGCCACGTCAAGGACTACAAGGTGGGCGACGAGATCTTCGCCATGCCCGGCTTCGTCAGCTTCGGTACCTTCGGCGAGTACATCAACATTGAGACCAAGTACGTGGCCCCCAAGCCCAGCAGCATGTCGTGGAACGAGGCGGCCGGCGTGCCGCTGGCCGGCCAGACGAGCTGGCAGGCGCTCGTCACCTACGGCAAGCTCCAGAAGGGCCAGCGCGTGCTCATCCTGGGCGGAAGCAGCGGCACCGGCGTGTTCGGCATTCAGATCGCCAAGGCGCTGGGTGCTGAGGTCATCACGACGTGCAGCCACCGCAACGTGGAGCTGGTCAAGTCGCTGGGCGCCGACCAGATTATTGACTACACCAAGGAGAAGTGGAGCGACGTGCTGGCCGAGCACTCGATCGACTTGATCTACGACTGCGGCATGGAGCCGGCCTCGTGGAATGACGCCGCGCAGAAGGTGCTCAAGGAGAAGACCGGCATCTTCGTGACAATTCTGACGGTCGACAAGCCCATCGAGTCGCCCATTGGAGCTACCTTTCACCAGATCTTCAACGCGCCGTGCACCGAGTACCTGCTGGAGGTCAAGAAGCTGATTGACGCTGGCAAGGTCAAGACGATCATCGACTCGGTGCACCCGCTCGAGAACGTGATGGAGGCTTTCAAGATTCAGATGTCCAGCCGCGCCCGGGGCAAGATCATCATCGAGATCGCCAAGGAGTAAGCAGTCACCAAGTGCCAATTGGATGTAATACTGTAGAAACATAAAAATCAACGGAGTGTTGGCCTATACACAACTGTTCTGATTGAAAACCGTGTCACCTCGGTAGAACATGCAAAACTGTTTGGTTTCGGGGACCCCGGCAGGTTATCCTATCTATTGATGCATCTGCACATCTCGTGCCTGCAGCACGAGGCGAAGCGGAATGGCGAATCCCCATCCTGCTTCGCCTTCCCCATTAGAACTCAAACCGAGTAGGTGATCTATTGCGAAATTCGTTGTTGTATTTGTGCCCACTCAGTGATTTGGTTCGTTGCAAAGTGAAAATGGTGGGGAAAGCAACAAAGCAACGGAGATTTGATATTTCCGAAGTCACTCAGTATTTTACGACCATACTCGGTTCTAATCGAGTGCATGGCACACACAAAGTCGCTTAATCTCTTCGGGTAGACTACTTAGACTCACTTATTTAAGATGCTAAACACTGTCGCGTCATTATCATCCCTCCTGCACCTACTCCTTCGATGTCGCCCCAGCCGGCTACTTTTCACGTTGCTGTTATCCCACCCCAAAATGGAAATGACCCCCCCCCCCGCCGCCGCACACACACCCCCACCACCACAACGAAGGCAGATCCCATTGCTGCCACCGCGCTGCTTGCGTCAGCTCAATCTGGTGACGAATCAATATGCCTTTCAGTGTACAAACTCAAGAACGTCGGCAAAGTCAAACAGGAATACGTCACGGTTTTCTGCTTACGGAATTATCACTAACTTAGCCGAGCGGCGCGGGATATGATTCATTGCCTGTGCACCGCCCATTAGTGAAAACTCCTCGTTTCGCAGAAGCCTCCTACCCCATATTCACCATGTCGGCGATCCCCGCGACGTTCAAGGCCTACCAGTACGAAAGCTTCGGACAAGATCCGCTCAAGGAGATCAAGCTCAACCCCAAGGCCGAACAGAAGCCGCTTCGTCCTGGCGAGGTGCGCGTCAAGGTCTTCAGCGCCGCCTTGAACCCGATCGACTACAAGATGATCGCATACGGCCCCGCTCTCGTGTCCACGCGCCCGACGCCCGAGAACCCGTTCCGTCTGGGCTTCGATCTGGCCGGCAAGGTCGTGGAGCTCGGCGACGACGTCAAGGACTACGTCGTCGGCGACGAGGTGTACGCCATGCCGTGGCTTGACGCGATCAGCAGCTTCGGAGAGTATATCAACGTGGACACCAAGTTCCTGGCGCACAAGCCAACCAACATGTCGTGGAACGAGGCTGCGGGCGTGGCCAAACGAGCTGGCAGGCCATTCATACGTACGGCAAGCTGCAAAAGGGCCAGCGCGTGCTCATCGTCGGCGGCAGCAGTGGCACGGGCTCGTTTGCCATCCAAATCGCAAAGGTTGTTGGCGCGGAGGTGATCGCTACGTGCAGTGAGCGCAACGTGGAGCTGGTGAAGTCGCTCGATGCCGACCGTGTCATCGACTACACCAAGGAGAAGTGGAGCGAGGTGCTGGAGGCGCATTCTGTTGACCTCATCTACGACTGCGACTTCGAGGCCGGCTCGTGGAACGTCGAGGCTCAGAAAGTATTGAAAGAGCAGACCGGCATCTTCGTGACCATCGGCGTGATCGACAAGCCCGTGGACTCGCCCATTGGGGCTACGCAGCACCAGATCTTCAACGCGCCCTGCGCTGCGTTCTTGCTGGAGCTGAAGGAATTGGCCGAGGCGGGCCAGCTCAAGACCATCATCGACTCGGTGCATCCGCTGGAAAACGTCATAATCTGTTTATCCCACCGGGCGAAGGGCAAGATCATCATTGAGGTGGCCAAGGAGTAAACGCTAGGGTGTACACTCGATGGTATACACTCACGGCTTTGGAAGACGAACGATGATTCGAATGCCTGTAGCGCACGGTAAGCCCTACGAATCCTTCCTGTGTCAAGCCCAATGCATTGCATCATGCATGGCTCTGCATTTATACGAGTACAGTGTAGTAAATCTCAACGCAAGGTAATGTAACGAAAAGCCTTGCATTAATCATGCCTTTCATCAGTTTAATCCTTAGTGGTCCTCGTGTAGCCGGCATGAGCACTTCACGCTTTGGCACACACACCTCGCTAATATCTGCTACTGCTGCCTCTCAACAGCAATACACTCAGTGCTTCCCACCCGTCTACTCCTTGGCCACCTCGATGATGATCTTGCCCTTGGCGCGGTGCGACATACAGATCTTCATGGCCTCCACCAGGTTCTCCAGCGGGTGCACCGAGTCGATCACCGTCTTGACGTGGCCGGCCTCGATGAGCTTCTTGAGCTCCAGCAGGTACTCGGTGCACGGCGCGTTGAAGATCTGGTGCTGCGTGGCGCCGATGGGCGACTCGATGGGCTTGTCGATCACGCCGATGGTCACGAAGATGCCGGTCTGCTCCTTGAGCACCTTCTGCGCGGCGTCGTTCCACGACTGGGACTCGACGCCGCAGTCGTAGACCAAGTCGACCGAGTGCTCGGCCAGCACGTCGCTCCACTTGTCGCTCGTGTAGTCGATGACCTGGTCGGCGCCCAGCGACTTGACCAGCTCCACGTTGCGGTGGCTGCACGTGGCGATCACCTCGGCGCCCAGCGCCTTGGCGATCTGGATGGCGAACAGACCCGTGCCGCTGCTGCCGCCCAGGACGAGCACGCGCTGACCCTTCTGCAGCTTGCCGTACGTGACGAGCGCCTGCCAGCTCGTCTGGCCGGCCAGCGGCACGCCGGCCGCCTCGTTGAACGTCATGTTACTGGGCTTGTGCGCCACGCGCTTCGTGTCCACGTTCAGATACTCGGCGAAGGTGCCCGTGGCGTCGAACCACGGCATGGCGTACACCTCGTCTCCGACCGCGTAGTCCTTGACGTCGCTGCCGACCTCGACCACCTTGCCGGCCAGGTCGTGGCCCACGCGGTACGGGTTCTCGGGCGACGCCATGGTGGACAGGATCATGGACGCGTAGAGACCGATCTTGTAGTCGATGGGGTTGAGCGACGCGCTGAAGACCTTGATCTTGACCTCGTTGGGCTGCACGGGCTTCTGCTCGGCGCTTGGGTTGAACTTGATCTGCTCGAGGAAGTCGCCGAAGTGCTGGTACTCGTAGGCCTTGAAGGTAGCTGGGACGGTGGCGGCCATGGTGCTTGGTTGGTTGGGTTGGGTTGGTGGTGTTGCTGTGCTGTGCTGGACTTGTCGTCGACAGAGCTTTTTGAAAAGTGAGAGCGTTGGGGCCGCAGGCTGGTGTCGTTGCTGCGACTGACGTACGTCCGGCGGCGTTTTTGATGCTTGTCAATCACGAGGGCATTGTAATCAATTGACTTGCGAAAACGTAAGATGGATTCTGCGACGGTATCAAGGCACAATTTGATTGGCTAAAAGTTTATTGAAGTGCCATACATAGGTACAGAGGTCACGTGCAGTCGTATCGAGGCCGGCAGGCAACATCGACTAAGCGGTGACTGCACAGTCGACAGCCGAGTTCTAGGCGGCGACTTCACGAGCTACCAGATTTGTGTTTGTTGTTGCTAAATGGCTATAAAACTTACGCTAACAACTTTGGCTTTAGGATACCCTCTACGCCAGCAAGGTTTGCTAGCTTGACACTCCGTCGCACTACTGGGATCAGCTCGACTGCACTAACACGAATGTAAATGTGTGTACTGTTTGAATATAGCTACTACTAGCTTGCCAATCTCGGACAACCGGACTGGCTTGTGTGTCTCTGACGCTTGGGCGGCTGACTGTCTTCTTCGATTCGCTCTTGATCGGCTTGTCGGATGAGTCTCAAAACAGTTGTAAGCTTAAGCTGTTCAGCTTTTCGCTTACGTTTGCTTGGTTTTAACCGCAGTGTACCGTATCCAATATTATAAAGCTTAATAGTGTGTTTCTTGTCACGGATTTCGGGCATAGGTGCGTCCAGCTTGGCCTCGATCCCATTCATAATGTGTCGCATCATAATTGACCCTTCTGACAGCGTCGCTTTTTTCTGCGATGTATCCAGGTCGTCCGATGGTATTCCTTTGTACGGGGGGTAGTTGAGCTTTGGATTTCCGAACCACCATAGCATCCATGCCCCAAGGGGATCGAGACTCGGACAACTAAATTCTCTAGGTAGCACATGAAATTTCCCGCCCCAGACATGATACTGGTGCACTGGAACTGGCGCTGGCACTACGGTGTTGATCGACTGACGTTGGTGAAGCCCAACTTCGTCTAACAACGATAGAATTTCCTCACGCAATAACTCTCTCGTAATATTGCCCGCTGCCACACCCTTTTTCTCAAGTACATGCTCCATTCTCTGCTCCAGTTTGCCAGGCAGCTCATCAATTGACCTTTGCTGCTGGTCAAGCTTCTTGTATAGCTCAATATAAGGCGGTATCCCCGTTGGTCGCATCCAGAGAGACTCTCCAGCAACTACTTGGCCTTCAAGCGTCCTAAGGACAGTGGGGCTTGTAAACAAATGTGTCGAAAGTAATGCATGGGTGGCTGCTGCAAGTATTCCGCGTGATGCACGAGTGATGCTAGGCACAACCGCAAAATTTCTGCCATATTGGCTTCGCGAGAGAGAACCGGAAACATAGTCTCCACGCACGATTTCACATTTTTATCGGAGCCATCCTGAAAATGGGGCGGTAAAGTAGCGAACTTAGAGTCATTTACGGGAAGTCCTGCCACTACTCGCCCCAGGAATTGATCTCCTGCGGCTTTATAACGGAAATAGCGATCTTGAACTCCACCGAGGCTCCATCCGCAGCGAAGACACACACTCACGATCGAGGGACCACCTGTACTTCCTCCACAAGCGATTGTAGCCACTCCTTTGCGCACCGAGTGCGTACCGTAATTTTTACCAGCGTCTCCTTGCTTCAAAAGGTTAGCCAGCACCTTGCTAAATCGTAGCTTCTGGTTAGAGCCTGGAAATAGTGCCCCCGGTTCCAATCGAGGGTGGCATGCAAGCTAAATTGCCAAGGCAGTCACCCAGCACGTTGATGGGCTCAGCGGGTTCGCGTACAGGTGGCGTGGATCACGGGGCCCTGAACCCTCTTGGTTAGTCTTCGTCTTCACAAATATTACTCCAACGCTATCGTCTTTCGCCACGAGATGCTGACGTTGGAGAGTCTGGACCGACATTGAGCGACACATCAAATTCCACTGCGAAGTCAAAAAAAGATGCGAAAAACCGCCATCACCCGCCACGAGAGTCGAATTGCACACATCCTTATAAAGGGAGTACGTGAGTGGCTGCTTTCCTGATGTCTTTGGGGTGCTAGTCTGGTCTTGATCAGCCTCCATCCGCTTCATCCCGGAGAACAGTTGTTTCATATCATCACCGTACTCAGGAGGTAGCGCCACGCGCTTCACGCGATAAAGATCCTTGCGAGCACTTCGGTACCCGCTCAGCGTAGCCGTCTTCACAGAAGCACTCTTGAACACCAGAAAACGCTCAAAAACACTCGGTGTAAACTCACTTAGATTAATGTCATCATCAGCGTCGAAAAACCTGGGGATATTCCCATCCTCCTTAGCGAGCTCGCTCCTGATCCACTTCTTAATCCCGTTGAGGCTGCTCTTGTACTTTCCTCTTGTTTGCTTGGTGACGCATGCATCGCGTATCGCCTCGACGTCAGCATGACTGGTACTCCGCGCTGGAGCAGAAGCGCGTTGCGAGCCTCCATCACTCATGTTGCTGCTGGGTCGATGTTCTTTGTGTGTTGCTGTCACATTTTAGCCAATGAAGGACTTGATGTAAGCGTCGGCGGCTCCCGCTTACGTTTGCTCAGAAGAACTGTATGGCAACATTCGCATAATGAAAGCCAGTCAAATCCCGTGAGGAAACAAACATTTCCTGCAAAATGTCAGCTGTCCACGCCGACGACTTCGCAGGAACCCCTATATCCTACTTACGAAAGCGAAGGAATCCGAGTTTACGTGCCAACCTAGATTTTTTCTCAGATTGTACAGTAGATTGGAGGCGGTATTATACCAATGATGCAGACGAGTATGTTTTCATCATCGCACGGCGAATGGCTTGGCCGAGTGGGTTGGTTCGTCACGATGGTGCTATGGTGTATCTAGAGGGCTGAGCTGCGCTCTCTTACCTGCGCAAGGGTCTTAAATTAAACGTTAGTGATTTATGTACGAATATATGAGTGCAACAACAAAAATGTGCTGCTATAATCGGCGACAGCTCTCCGGTGGCAAGTAGCAAAATATCCTGCAGCTGGCTGATTTGCGGCCATGCTGAGTATGAGCTGCAGCGGTTGCTCTCTTGAGCTTAAGCTAAGCCGGTTCTGGGTATATTCTGACCTTGCCGGTCCGCGTCATAATTACGCCACATCCTGTAGATCGCCACGCACAGTATTCAAGCGGTAGGCGGGTACGTGTTCGGCTTACGCCTGGTACCGAAGCATTCCGAAGCCGTTTCCGTACCGGCTCAGCCCAGTTGAAGTCGCAAGGAAGCAACCGCTGTAGGCTACAGCAGGCAACCGCTGCACCTCAGGCCGCTTGGCACAGATCAAACTAGAGCGCACAATGGTACTGTACTTGCTATCAGCTCCATCGCCGTTTATAGCAGCACATTTTTGTTGTTGCACTCATAAATTCGTACATAAATCACTAACGTTTAATTTAAGACCCTTGCGCAGGTAAGAGAGCGCAGCTCAGCCCTCTAGATACACCATAGCACCATCGTGAGAAGCCATTCGCCGTGCGATGATGAAAACATACTCGTCTGCATCATTGGTATAATACCGCCTCCAATCTACAATCTGAGAAAAAATCTAGGTTGGCACGTAAACTCGGATTACAATGCCCTCGTGATTGACAAGCATCAAAAACGCCGCCGGACGTACGTCAGTCGCAGCAACGACACCAGCCTGCGGCCCCAACGCTCTCACTTTTCAAAAAGCTCTGTCGACGACAAGTCCAGCACAGCACAGCAACACCACCAACCCAACCCAACCAACCAAGCACCATGGCCGCCACCGTCCCAGCTACCTTCAAGGCCTACGAGTACCAGCACTTCGGCGACTTCCTCGAGCAGATCAAGTTCAACCCAAGCGCCGAGCAGAAGCCCGTGCAGCCCAACGAGGTCAAGATCAAGGTCTTCAGCGCGTCGCTCAACCCCATCGACTACAAGATCGGTCTCTACGCGTCCATGATCCTGTCCACCATGGCGTCGCCCGAGAACCCGTACCGCGTGGGCCACGACCTGGCCGGCAAGGTGGTCGAGGTCGGCAGCGACGTCAAGGACTACGCGGTCGGAGACTAGGTGTACGCCATGCCGTGGTTCGACGCCACGGGCACCTTCGCCGAGTATCTGAACGTGGACACGAAGCGCGTGGCGCACAAGCCCAGTAACATGACGTTCAACGAGGCGGCCGGCGTGCCGCTGGCCGGCCAGACGAGCTGGCAGGCGCTCGTCACGTACGGCAAGCTGCAGAAGGGTCAGCGCGTGCTCGTCCTGGGCGGCAGCAGCCGCACGGGTCTGTTCGCCATCCAGATCGCCAAGGCGCTGGGCGCCGAGGTGATCGCCACGTGCAGCCACCGCAACGTGGAGCTGGTCAAGTCGCTGGGCGCCGACCAGGTCATCGACTACACGAGCGACAAGTGGAGCGACGTGCTGGCCGAGCACTCGGTCGACTTGGTCTACGACTGCGGCGTCGAGTCCCAGTCGTGGAACGACGCCGCGCAGAAGGTGCTCAAGGAGCAGACCGGCATCTTCGTGACCATCGGCGTGATCGACAAGCCCATCGAGTCGCCCATCGGCGCCACGCAGCACCAGATCTTCAACGCGCCGTGCACCGAGTACCTGCTGGAGCTCAAGAAGCTCATCGAGGCCGGCCACGTCAAGACGGTGATCGACTCGGTGCACCCGCTGGAGAACCTGGTGGAGGCCATGAAGATCTGTATGTCGCACCGCGCCAAGGGCAAGATCATCATCGAGGTGGCCAAGGAGTAGACGGGTGGGAAGCACTGAGTGTATTGCTGTTGAGAGGCAGCAGTAGCAGATATTAGCGAGGTGTGTGTGCCAAAGCGTGAAGTGCTCATGCCGGCTACACGAGGACCACTAAGGATTAAACTGATGAAAGGCATGATTAATGCAAGGCTTTTCGTTACATTACCTTGCGTTGAGATTTACTACACTGTACTCGTATAAATGCAGAGCCATGCATGATGCAATGCATTGGGCTTGACACAGGAAGGATTCGTAGGGCTTACCGTGCGCTACAGGCATTCGAATCATCGTTCGTCTTCCAAAGCCGTGAGTGTATACCATCGAGTGTACACCCTAGCGTTTACTCCTTGGCCGATCTTGCCCTTCGCCCGGTGGGATAAACAGATTATGACGTTTTCCAGCGGATGCACCGAGTCGATGATGGTCTTGAGCTGGCCCGCCTCGGCCAATTCCTTCAGCTCCAGCAAGAACGCAGCGCAGGGCGCGTTGAAGATCTGGTGCTGCGTAGCCCCAATGGGCGAGTCCACGGGCTTGTCGATCACGCCGATGGTCACGAAGATGCCGGTCTGCTCTTTCAATACTTTCTGAGCCTCGACGTTCCACGAGCCGGCCTCGAAGTCGCAGTCGTAGATGAGGTCAACAGAATGCGCCTCCAGCACCTCGCTCCACTTCTCCTTGGTGTAGTCGATGACACGGTCGGCATCGAGCGACTTCACCAGCTCCACGTTGCGCTCACTGCACGTAGCGATCACCTCCGCGCCAACAACCTTTGCGATTTGGATGGCAAACGAGCCCGTGCCACTGCTGCCGCCGACGATGAGCACGCGCTGGCCCTTTTGCAGCTTGCCGTACGTATGAATGGCCTGCCAGCTCGTTTGGCCACGCCCGCAGCCTCGTTCCACGACATGTTGGTTGGCTTGTGCGCCAGGAACTTGGTGTCCACGTTGATATACTCTCCGAAGCTGCCGATCGCGTCAAGCCACGGCATGGCGTACACCTCGTCGCCGACGACGTAGTCCTTGACGTCGCCGCCGAGCTCCACGACCTTGCCGGCCAGATCGAAGCCCAGACGGAACGGGTTCTCGGGCGTCGGGCGCGTGGACACGAGAGCGGGGCCGTATGCGATCATCTTGTAGTCGATCGGGTTCAAGGCGGCGCTGAAGACCTTGACGCGCACCTCGCCAGGACGAAGCGGCTTCTGTTCGGCCTTGGGGTTGAGCTTGATCTCCTTGAGCGGATCTTGTCCGAAGCTTTCGTACTGGTAGGCCTTGAACGTCGCGGGGATCGCCGACATGGTGAATATGGGGTAGGAGGCTTCTGCGAAACGAGGAGTTTTCACTAATGGGCGGTGCACAGGCAATGAATCATATCCCGCGCCGCTCGGCTAAGTTAGTGATAATTCCGTAAGCAGAAAACCGTGACGTATTCCTGTTTGACTTTGCCGACGTTCTTGAGTTTGTACACTGAAAGGCATATTGATTCGTCACCAGATTGAGCTGACGCAAGCAGCGCGGTGGCAGCAATGGGATCTGCCTTCGTTGTGGTGGTGGGGGGGTGTGTGCGGCGGCGGGGGGAGGGGGTCATTTCCATTTTGGGGTGGGATAACAGCAACGTGAAAAGTAGCCGGCTGGAACAAAGTCTCTTACGGACATCTATTAATCACACGTACGAAACATGAGTCTGTAGCGGTAAGCACCTTCCTGCGGTGCAGAGCGACTTGGCAGCAATCTACATAACTTGAGCTAACTTAGACAAGTGTAACATACACCCCACATCGATTACAGCGAGCGCAGGCGCTTCTTGGCCTTGCAGGCGGTGCGCCTCTGCGTAGCATTGGACTGCTGGGTGGTAGTAGATGCAGTCTCTGCGGTCGGTGCCGTGGTCGTCGTGACAGGCGAAACGGTCGTCGATGGCGATGCAGTTCCCGACACGGGTGCCGTTGTGGATGGGCTGGTAGTGACCGTAGTCGTGGTGGCGGTGTAAGGGGTGGCTGTCGTGGCGGCGGGGGCCTCGGTCTGCGTCGTGTCGGCCGGGGCAACGGTTCCGACAGTGGTTTCCTGACTCCAGCTCGAGCTGCCGCCGCTCGGAGCGGTTGTCGCTGTCGAAGTTGTCTGGCCAGCGTTGCTCGAGCCACTGGCAGGAGCTGTCGTCGCAGGCGACTGCGTGTAAGTACTGGAGCTGTCGCCGATCTTGGGCATGCCCTGCTCCGCCACAAAGTAGCCTTGGTCCCACAATGACGTGAAGCCCTCGAGGTAGAACGAGCCCGCCGCAGTGCCACCCGTCGCGCACTCGCCGTCGCTCTCTCCAGGCGGCTTGATCCACATGAAGTAGTCCAGGTTCGACACGCCCGTCTCGGATGTCGGCGGCTTGCCAACACCAGCGGTGGGGACGTTGCACCAGTCGCTGTTGGGGGAGCCGTTGTAGTTGCGAGACGTGTCGACAATGCACCTCATGTCGCTCGAGCCCATGGCCGACTGGAAGTTGGTGCAGTACCCGGCGCACTCGTCGGTGGAGCGGTAGTTGGACGTGTTGATGGTCACGCCCTTGACGCGGCCGGAGCTGCCGAGCTCCTTCATCACGGTAGCGACCTTGCTGGCGCTGTCTCCGTACGCGAGCATCCAGTAGCCGACGTCCACGTACAGCTCGGCGTTGGCGTTCGCGGACAGCGCTGCCACCGCAATCTTGAGGTTGTCGAGGTACCCCGCCGACGCGCCGCAGCCTCCGTCTTGCGTGAGGAGACCCAGTGCGTCCGGCTCCACGACGTACAGCACCTTGCGGTCGCCGACGCCGTCCGTGAGCTCCTTGAGGAAGGCTTGGTAGTCGCTCGTGCTGGTCACGCTTCCTCCCGACGACAGCCCAGCTGCGCAGTCCTTGTTGGGGATGCCGTAGACCACGATGCTGAGGCGCGTGTCCTCGGAGCACTGGCTCAGCAGCCCCGACACCATGTCCGAGCGCTCTTGGCTGCTCATGCGATCCGTGTACCACGACGCGATGGCGTACTTTTCCAGCGTCTCGATAGCCGTCGTGAGCTCCGGGTGGTCCGACTTGGCCCCCGTGTACGACGCTGGCACGATGGAGCAGAGGTCTTCAGCAGCGGCAATGGAGGACGACAAGGCGAGCGCCACGCAGGACACGGCGGCGACCACTAGACGCGAGTGCAGGATCTTGCGGAGCATCGTGCTGCAGCCTCACTCACGCGTTGCTGGATACGGTTTGGTGTGGTGCTTGGCAAATTGCAGAATGAAACATTGGTGCGCGGGCCACAGACCAGGGCGGCGCGCAACTAATTAGCAAGACGATGGTACGCTGAGTGATCGGCCGCTGAGTGTAGCGTTGGTTCGAGCCTCCACCGCTGGTGGCTCTCGGTGATAGTGGTCGTTTCTGGGGGCAAAGTGTCAAGTGCAGCTCTTGGTTGTCCGAACTTCGACCGCAGCCCTAATAAGCGCGCTACGAGGACGCGTTGCCCTGCTACCTAAGACCATGCGTGTGAGCTTGAGTTGAGTTGAGGCTTTCATTGTTCGTGCGCCAGCTGCTCAAGCGGAACCTGCCGAAACGCGAAAGTTGTTCTGCCACGCACGCGATGGTGCGCTCGAGCGCCGGTGAAACTTGACGGATCCTCGAATGTTTCGCGCTCGCCGCCCGTCGAGTTCGACGCGCCACAAGGGCTTCCTCTTTCATTTGAGTGACTGGACGCACCCCGGATTTCGAGACCGTTTCTCGCGGGGTGACTAGACAGTCGTCGGAACCAGATGGTCGTAACTTCACTCCTGAACTTCAGAGTTGAGGCAGGCACGCCCGAGCTCGTCATGGTCACGGGCTGCACGCCGCGGCTTTGCCAGATGCCTAGGCGCTAGGAAAAGGATTCGGTCTCTCCTTGAATCGGTTCACGCAGTGGTCTGCTGCCGCTTCCGGCTCCTCCTTATCTGCACGAAGCTCACCAAGATGAGACCACAAAGACCTTGGAGACAACTTCAACATGTATAATAGATCCACACATGCTTCGTCTCGCTCGGTGTCTGATTGTGTCAGTGCAACGTCGCCTATGTAAATGAGAGGTATTGCAGATATCCAGGTTTTTATGGCTCGCTGGGTCTGCCCACCGTATCGCAGCTAGAGCGAACTGGAAGCGCACACGTACAAGTTCACAACAATGCACGAACGCTACTTTTATTTATGAATTTAGTGAAGTTCCAATGAATCTACGTTTGCAATGAGACCTAACAAAGGGGACCTGGGCGGCCGGACTTGACAACATGGCCTCGGGGAGCTTGAGAACACCTTACACAAACACGCCGAGCCCTTCATCTACAGCTTGCGCAGACGCTTCTTCGCCTTGCACGCGGCGCTGGACTGCGCAGTGCTCGTAGAGGTTGAGCTGGTCGCAGTCGGCGTCGTGGTTGGGGTCGCAGTGGTTGCAGTCGGAGTTGCGGTCGTGCTCACGGGGGCCGTCGTAGTGCTCTGAGACGAGCTGGTATCGGCCGGGGCGACAGTGCCAGCTGCAGCTGATTGTCCGGTACTGTCATAGTCCTGAGCGACAGAGGAGGCCTGCTGGACTGCGGAGCTGCCCGTCGAGGTCTGGGTTCCTGATTGACTGCTCATTTGAGTGGCCGTCTGAGTGCCGGACTGGCTGCTGGTTTGAGTGCTCGTCTGGCTGCTCGTCTGACTCGTGCTGTTGCTGCCGGAGATCGTGGCCATGCCCTGCTCGCTGACGAAGTATCCTTGGTCCCAGAGGAGCTGGAAGCCCTCCTCGTAGAACTCGCCCGCCGTCACGCCCGTGAGGGACTCGCTCGAGTACGACGTGTCCGTGCAGATGCCGTCGCTCTCTCCAGGCGGCTTGACCCACATGAAGTAGTCCAAGTTGGAGACGCCCGTGTCCGATGTGGGCGGCTTGCCGATGCCAGCAGTCTTGACGTTGCACCAGTCCGAGGTAGGCGAGCCATTGTAGTTGCGGGACGTGTCCACAATACACGTCATGCTGGCGGAGCCCATGGCCGTCTGGAAGTTGGTGCAATACGTAGTGCATTCATCCGTCGAGCGGTAGTTTGACGTGTTGATGGTGATGCCCTTGAGCGTCCCCGAGGCGCTCAGCTCGTTGATGATCGTTGCCACCTCAGCGGCATTCGTCGAGTCGGCCAGCAGCCAATACCCGACATCCACGTACAGTTGGGCGTTCGAGTTAGCGGACAGCGCTGCCACCGCGACCTTGAGGTTGTCCAGGTACCCGGCGGACTTACCGCAGCCGCCGTTGGCCAGGAGACCCACGGCGTCGGGCTCGACGATATACAGCACCTTGCGGTCTCCCACAGCTTCGGTCAGTTGTGAGAGGAAGGACTGGTAGTCGCTGGTGCTCTGGACCGTATCGGAAGACGAGAGTCCCGCGTTGCAGTCCTTGTCGGGGATCCCGTAGACGGCGATCGTCATGCGGGAGTCCTCCGAGCACTCACTCGTAAGGCTGGAGAGCATGGTGGAGCGGTCGCTGTCCGAGAGGCGGTCGGTGTACCAAGCAGCGATCGAGTACTGCTCGACCGTCTCGAGCGCGGTCGCGAGCTGCGGGTACGTGGTCTTGGCGCTGGTGTACGAGGACGGCGTGATGGAGCACAGATCTTCAGCGGCAGCAGCGCCCAGGAGGCAGGACCAGGCCACGGCGGCCAGCGCGAACGGCGAGCGTAGGATCTTGACCATCTTCGAGACTGTGGCGCTCAGGGCAAATTGTGGAATGAGCTTCGTGTACTACCGTGCGCGGGCATCGGCATGCACGGAGATGGCCATGCGCCTGCTGATGCACGAAGGCGCGGAGGGCGGATCGGGAAGCCTCGGTGGGGCTCTGCAGCTATCGCGCGCTGATACGCTTGGACGCCAGCGCCATCCGGTGAACACTGTCCGAATGGGCTGACCGCAGGCGCTTCCAGCGGCCAAGATGGTGATCGGCCGGAGTCTGATTTGTTGTGCCGTCGTGACAGCCGTCGGACCACTCATCAAGCTGTCAGCTAGCCAGGACGTGCACTCAGCGCCACGTGCGGAGCCAGATGGCGCTGAGGTGCCTGCAGCGCTGAAGGATGGTCTGGCGATAGGAGCCGCCGAGTGCCAAGTTCACTCCGGCCCGAGCTCCGATGCTATCGAAACCCAGCGCCGTCTCAGGGCCGCGCTGAAGCGGAGCTATAGTACAGGCTGGTGAGTGCTTCGCTTGCTGCTTGAGACGGCGCTGACCGGCGTGACGCCTAATGAAGCGAGACACAAGATCGCATCCACGCATTTCGGTGACAGCACTTCAACGAACTGAACTCTACTGTTGGACTGCGGGAAGTCCACGCTTGTCTTGACGACGAGGCGGCAGATCCAATTGCACACTTCCACACGCGCCGATATGGCGCGAGTGGCTGGCGTCGGGCTTCAGCAGCAGCGACCAGGCCGCCACCAACTTGCCAGGCGCGCTGCCCTTACATGCGTCGGAGTGCTATGATGGAGTGCAGCTCTACAGTAAGTGTACTTATCTTTACGTGCCCAAGAAACTACTACGTCATTTTTCACGGTTTACATTAGGGGGTTTCAAAGTTGGATTTTGCCAAACATATTGACCTGAAGACATGAAAATTTCCAGCCTTCCTGATTGGCTGTTTCAAAAGTTACTTTGAACCCCCTTTTCCCAAGCAAACATAAGCCCCTAAGCGGCTGTGCGTCATCAAGTCGAGCACCTGCAACCAGGCCAAGTGCAAGTCCACAACAGTACAAGACGAGCGACGTTGTCTAGGGTAAGTACAAATGCACTGGCGTCGTGATTCAGGCCAACAGGAGACACGAGAGCGTCGAGGGTAAGTATGTGTGGCAAGACATAAAGCAGAAGAAGGTCAAGGTTAGCAACAGCAGCTTCTACATCAAGTCTAGCACCAGCCGTGAGGCTTGGACCAAGCTCAGCGGCCGGACGGATATTGGCTGCACCTGCGCGGCGTGCCATGTTTCACGCAGCCAACGCGCATTGGTGTGTGCTTGACGCCATGGGCGCTAGCGCTGGAGCCGCAGTTGGCGCCTTCGCGGGGCGCGCGCTACTGGCGGAATAAGCCTTTGAGATGGCTAGATTAGCCGTCGGATTCCAAGTCAATAGGCTCTTAGGTCGTTGACTGATTTTGCGTCAGTAAAAATTACTGACGCCAAAATCGAGTCCAAACGACCTACAGACAACGACTTACAAAGCCGGCATGCTTAATGCCATCCTCCTATATAAAAACAACGATAAATTCCCTCCCGTCAAATCTGAAAAACTGTCATAAAACACACGGTGTGTTGCATAAAGTACACAAGAAAGCATATAAAGTACACAAAACCAGATGGTATACAAAGATGAAGTCATTTGATTGAATCTGATTGGCTGGTTTGCTCATGTTAAGCTTTGCTTGTGACATAACGGCAAAACCGCAGCGCGATATGATTGGCTGAAAAGCTGTTTATGTTCTTGTGTCTATAGACTCAGCCCAACTTTGAAACCCCCTATTTACTACAGTATGAATTATACATCTACAAATTGCGTCTACGCAGCTTGGCCTTGCAATCCGTGCTCGGCGCAGTCGGCGTTGAGGTCGGAGCTGTCGTACTTGTCGTGGGGGAGGCGTTTGGTTCGCATCCACGCCTGGAGCGGGAGTTGTAACGCTCTCGGACGAGCTGGTGTCTGCCGGAGCAACAGTTCCCACTGCGGTGCTATCATCGTTGATGAGGTTTGGTCCACGTTGCTGCTCGCTGCCGGCGCTTCGGTTTTGCTGCTGGTTTGATCGCTGCTCTCGCTGCTCGTTTGGTTAACGTCTCCTGTGCCGTCCGCGATCGACTTCATACCGCCCTCCTTCACAAAGTATCCTTGGTCCATTGGCTTGGTGAAGCCGTCTGCGAAGAATGAACCTGCAGAGGTGCCGCCGTTGCACTCGCCGTCACTCTCTCTAGGCGGCTTGATCCACATGAAGTAGTCCAGGTTCGAGATCCCCGTCTTGGACGCAGGCGGCTTGCCAATGCCCGCAGTGGGGACGTTGCACCAATCCGACGTAGGCGAGCCATTGTAGTTGCGAGAAGTGTCGACGATGCAGGTCATGGCACTCTTGCCCATGGCCGCCTGGAAGTTGGTGCAGTACGTAGCGCACTCGTCGTTCGAGCGGTAGTTGGACGTGTTGATGGTCACGCCCTTGACGTTGCCGCTGCTTCCGAGCTCTTTCATTATCGGAGCAATTTTGGCTGCTTTGGCCGAGTCGGCGAGCACCCAGTACCCGACGTCGACATACAGCTCGGCGTTAGCGTTCATGATGCAATACAGACGTGGTATTACCGTTAATACATATTTTGATACAAATCATATTGGTTTAGTGCCCTTCGTATTTTGAAGGTCGTCGACAGCGCTTCAACCGCCACCTTGAGGTTGTCGAGGTGCCCAGCGGACGATCCGCAACTGCCCTCTTTAGCGAGAAGACCAACAGCGTCAGGCTCAACCACGTACAGCACCTTGCGGTCACCAACGGCGTCCGTCAGCTCCTTCAAGAAGGTCTTGTAGTCATCGGTGCTTTTCACGCTTCCACCCGACGAGTAGCCGGCGTCGCAGTCCTTGTTGGGGATGCCATAGACCACGATACTAAGGCGGGTGTCCTCGGAGCACTGCTCCAGCATGCTGGAAATCATGGTGGAGCGTTCAGCGCTCGTCATGCGGTCCGTGAACCACGACGCGATCGCGTGTTGCTCAAGCGCTTCCAAAGCCGTTGACAACTCGGGGTGGTCAGTCTTGGCTTGACTGTCGAGAGAGCAAGAAGCAAGTCAGGCAGCGGCCTGGACCATCTAGGCCCTGCCAGATCTGGTACGCTAGAATGGGTCTAGATGGGGGGTAGTTACTCAAAACTTTTTACGAAGTTTGTGTACAACCGATGTGCAGGTGATATCCTTGACACTCCCCCTGCGGCAAACAGTCAGTTGTTCGTGAGGGCCGACATCTGATTCAGGATTCGTTCTAGATTTAGAGCAACATCAGCAGCTCAAACACTAGCGGTACTGACTGGGTCTTCTTACTCTGTAAAGGCCCGACGGCGTTGGTTTAGAGACTTCAGAACCCGTTCTAAAATTAGGAGCAGTCAAAAGAGGACCATGGTGAAGCCCAAGCGGCTCCCGCTGTACGAGTCGCGCCCCTATCATCCGCTGATGAGCTTTCGGATGATGAATATGTAGGTAGTGACGATGTTTGCAGTGAGGACCTCAGTGATACTGGCTCTGCGGGCGAGGGGATGCACGATGACTTGTTCTCGTCGGACGAGGAGCCGGATGAGCCATACTGGGACCCAGACCCCACGCTGCGTCGGGACGTTTGGCAGATCGACGACTTCATCATGATCGAGACGCTCAACGAGAAGGAGGGCGGCATCTCTATCAGTAAGACCTTCGTCAGCGTGCTGTGGGATTGGCGTCCGAAGCCTGCCAGCAAACGCTACCGCTCGTTGAAGCCGCTCGAGAATATGTTAGAGACTCACCGCAAGGAGTGCTGGCTGGCACTGCGCTTCAAGAACAGCAGGATGGAGCACTTCCGCGAGTTTTGCAAGACTGACTGGTACGGCAGGGCCATCATTGCTGCGGGCGAGGACTACTCCTGCATGTTTCGGTCTATGACAGTTGCGGTCAACCTTCTCAAGCGCCCCAACCTGGTTCCGCAGACGGTGATCGATGATTTCTTCGCCGAGGCTAAGAGCAAGTTCGACGTGGACATGAACCCGGGCTGCAATTGGAAGCAGTTCACGGCTTTCCTGCGCAAGCTGCGCCAGCATGGGACTGCGCTCAAGATTAACGAGATGATCAAGAACAACTACGTCCAAGGAGGGCGTCGCGGGCCGCGTGTGTTGAGCGAGCTGACTCCGGACAAGGGCGTTACGGATGGACTGTACATCGTGGCGGCTTACAACGTCCGATTCGTGGGCCATGCAGTTGTGCTTCACGTGGCGGACGGGGGCCAGCGCAAGACCATTATCGACAAGGGCAAGGAGAAGCCTGTGGAGGAGTGTCGCTGGATGAACTTCTTCGCATTTGTGCGTCCGTTCAGAGTCTGGTAATCGCGATGGACATGTCGGGAGAGGATTTCACGGTGGGTTTTAAATCTTCAGACAATAAACTAAAATGCTCTCACCATTAAATTGTTCTTTTATTTATCATCAAAGTGCAAAGTCTTCTATAAATTTTCCCTCATTATTGTGGTGGGGACACACGTAATAGCTCTCTCATTTTCTCAAATAGTGGCTTCGCTAAAGGTTTAGTGAAGATGTCAGCGCACATTGCATTGGTGTTGCAATAGCTGACAGTGAACTCCTTGCGCGCCACCTTCTCATGTACGAAGAAGTACTTAATGTCAATGTGTTTGCTCCTGCCGTGAAGCTCTGGGTTGTTGCATATCTTAATGCAACTTTGGTTGTCTTCCATGATCAGTATGGGCTTTGAGCTCTCGTAGCCTAGTTCTCTTAGCAGTAGTTTTAAGTAGATCAGCTCTTGCATGCAGTAGCAGAGTGCGATATACTCTGCTTCCGTTGTGGAGAGCACGACTGTGTGGTGTCTCCGTGAGACCCAGCTAATGGGACTGTTGCAGAACATAGTGATATAATCACCGATGCAACGTCGTGTGTCTTGGCATGCTGCGTAGTCTGAGTCCGTATAAGCCATGAGATATTCATCTGACTGTTGGAGCTCGAAGTTTTCCACTCCACCAAGAGTGATGCCAAAGTCTTTTGTGCCATTGAGGTAGTGACGGCCATGCTTTACAGCATTCCAGTGAGGCAGCCCTGGATTGTCGGGGTACTGGCTAGCTTCACGGATGAAGTAGGCAAGGTCAGGACGAGTACCCGTCATCAGGAACATGAAACTACCTACAGCTGCTCGGTACGGTTTGTTGGCCATCATATCCTTACTATCGTCGTCGGTAGGACAGTCGGTGGCACTAAGCTTCTGCGCGATTGGCGTGCTCTTTCGTTGACTGTCTAACATTGAGAATCTATCTAGCACATTGGTGGCGTAGCTCTTTTGGTGGATGAAGATGGAGCGGTTAGCTCGGGTCCTTTCCATTGTCCAGCCAAGGAGGTAGGATACTCCCCCTAAATCGGTCATGTGGAACTCGGAACTCAGGGCCGATTTGACCCGAGCAACGACATGTTTGGACGGGGAGATGATCAGCAGGTCATCGACGTAAACCGATATGTAACACGGCGCATTGAATATAACCTTAAAGAATACGCAACGGTCCTTAACTAGGCGAGTGAAGCCGAGACGTTCGAGATACTTAGCAAAGGTGTGATACCAGACACGAGGTGGTTGCTTGAGGCCGTATAGGCTCTTACCAAGGCTGCATACGAGGCCAGGGCGATCCTTTGAGGTGAATCCCTCAGGCTGTTCCATGAAGACTTCTACGTCGAGTGAACCATTGCGGAAAGCCGTTTTAACGTCCATCTGTTCAATTGCATAGTCAAGGATTGCTGCAAGCGTGAGCAGCAGTCGAAGGACTTCCATGCGGACGACAGAAGAGACGATTTCTGTATAGTCGATACCGTACTTTTGCTGAAAGCCTTTAATGACCAGGCGAGCTTTAAAGCGCACAACGCGACCAGTTTCATCGCGCTTACGCACGAAAACCCATCTGCACTGGAGCACCTTGCGGTTGTGCGGCCGCGGCACCAGTGTCCACGTTTGGTTTTCCATGAGCGACCGATATTCAGAGAGGCAGCAGCGTGCCAGTCAGATGCATGTGGGGAGCGCATGGCTTCCTTGTAGGTCTTAGGGTCTGGGTCATAGCGAGCAGCTAAGAGAGTAATGATGGTATGATGAAGGGTATGTTCCTCTTCCAGGTCTATGGGCTCGTTGAACAGTAGCGCCTTAGAGTAGATGGTGAGGGCGTCTTTTGTCTTAACCTTCTTAGCGGAAGGGGTACACACGTCAGCATCAGTGGCCACCAGCGAGGCTTGGTTGCGTTTTAGTAGCGCACTTAGGGGAGGCAGGAGTTCTTTTTGAACAGGCAGGGAGGTGCTGAGAGGGTTTGGAGTGGCCCGTTCTCAATAGGTGAGGTTAGGAAATGTGTCCTCTTTGAACGTGACATCTCGGCTGTAAATGATTCTGTTTTCTGTCGTGCCGAGAAGGCGATACCCTTTCTTGTTTTGGGGAAGGCCCACAAACATGCACAGTTTAGCGCGCGCCTCTAGTTTGTTGCGATGCAGCTCTGGTGTAAGAGCGAATGCCGCACATCCGAACACTTTGATGTACGTGAGAGATGGTTTCGTGCCATACCAGAGCTCATAGGGAGTGACACCTTTAGGAAGCACACTACTAGTAGTCAACGCACACGTTCTAGGATAGTGCGCATCCGGCGCTCAGCCACGCCATTCTGTTGAGGTGTATACGCGTTGGTGAACTTGGCATGCATGCCATAGCGATCAAATATGATCTGGCCGAGCTTTTCGTACTCCTTACCATTGTCGCTCTGAAGTCGTTGCACCTCAGGGTCATACTGATTGAATTGGGTATCCAGGGTACCGACCTCAGTGTTGAAGCGGTTTTTAGCTGCCTTACGGAACTTCTCATAGCAATCGTACAAGTCCGACTTGGGCGCAACGACATATAGGTGCATGAAGCGCGAGTAGTCATCAATGAACGTAATGAAGTAGTGAGCGCCACTTAGGCTTGGGTAAGGCAAGGGGCCATTGATGTCAGAATGAACTTTTTCAAGAGGGAATTTAGAGCGATCAACATTGCATTTGAATGGAGCACGGTGTGCGTTAGCAAAGATGCACGAGGGGCAGAAGTGTTTCGGGATCGCGGATGCTTCAGAGAACGCCAGTTCAGGGGCCGCTTGGGTCCTAGACATGGTCTGCATCACACGAAAGTTGGGATGACCGAGACGCTTGTGCCACAATAAGACAGCAGGGTCCATACCTGATTGAGCCATAAGGGCATTGGCGGGTTGATCGTCCGCAGGAGCTGGGGCCACGAGCGCTCTGGGCGTCTTGAGTGGGATTTTCGGCTTGAACTGGAACAGGTTCATGTCCGACGCGAGTTCGACGTGGACGTTGTAGTCCTTGCCCACGAAGAAGGTGCAGCGAGTGCTGCTGACCACAAGGCGAATACCCATTTTCAGCACCTGGGCAATGGACAGGAGGTTGAACTTCATGTCCGGCACGTATAGCACATCACGTAATTCCATGAGGCGGGTAGTACCGGTAGTGTCAACCACCTCGAGGACCACATCACCAATGCCGCGGATGGCTAGTTGGTGCTTGCCACCGACCATGATGGCGCCGGCGTAGGGGCGGATCTCCTTGAACCAGGCCTCTTGGTAAGCAGCATGGCGAGTGCATCCCGAGTCAACCGTCCACGTAGGGTCATGGGGGTCAGAGCTCGTAGCCGACAGACCGATGTCCGGCATGATGACAGTCGCATAGGCGATGAGCCCCGCTTGGCGTCCTCTTGAGCTGAACTTGCGCTGGAGGTCCTGGAAGTTGACCGCGTTGCCAAAGCGATCATAGATGTCCGGACCCTAGAACCCATTCTCATTGCGAGAGGGTGGGCGCTGCCGGTCATCCGAGCGTTGGGTGCGCTGCTGCTTGGCCGGGAAGGGGTTGTGGTCATCCCTCGGCTTGCGATCGATAATGCCAAAGTTCGCCGACAGCACTGTGCCCTCCTTGACAGTACCAGTGCGCAGGTGCTTCTGCAGCACACGGCAGTCGCGGATGGCGTGATTTGGCCGTTGGCAGTTGGTGCAACCTTGAGAACGACGAGGCGGGTCGTCTCGGCCATGAGGTGTGTTCGCAATGACCTGAAGTGCCGTCTCGCTGGCCGTGGCGGGGGTCTCGGGGCTGCCATTCTCAATCACGTACTTGCGCTTGGCGTAGTCATCCAGCACTTTACGCTCAATGTTGGTCTTGAGGTCCGTGTACGGGATAAACTTCTTGCTGCCCTTCCAAATCGCAAGGTCAGGCTTCCAGGTACTAGGCATCGCATGATAGAGATAGAGTGACTTCTGTTCGTCAGTCATCACAATGCCAGTAGCTTCAGCAGCCGCCTTCAGTGCGCGCTCGAAGGTCAGGAAGAACGCCATCAGATCCGTACCCTCCTCGTACTTGATGGTCACCAAGTAGTGGTTGATGTAGTACGGGTCGCCGTGGGCAGTCGAGCCCTCATAGCGGTCACGCAGCTTTTGGTAGATCGAGTAGGCAGAAGTACAACCCTCGACGAGGAGCACGTGGGCATCATCGATTGTTGAGATCAGGAACGATCGCGTTTTGCGCTCCATTCGACGTCTTTCGTGCGTGCTCGGCTTGCGAGCTTCTTGGCCGCTCGGAGCTTCGCTCGAGCCTTCTTGGCCTGTGCGCGGAGCAGTGCTCGGCGTCTTTCCTTGTCGCGCTTGGTCTCGGTGAAGGACTTGATCACCGGGGGCGGCGGGGTGGGCTTGGCCGAGCGAGACGACTGAGGGTCAGTCGCCATCGCCTCAGAGGAGTTGCCCGACGAAGAGTCCGACGACGCGCCGGACGAGGAGCCAGGCTTTGGTTGGGACGTGCTGTCGTCGCGCTTGGCGTCATCGGCGTCCAGACCGCCGTCTGGAGACAGGGTTCCGGTGTCGGAGAGCAGGTCGTCCGACTTGGTGGGCGAGGGTGGGTGGGAAGGCTTGAGGTCTTGGTCGTCGTCGGAGTCGACGATGGACGAGTCCGAGTCACCGTCGTAGTCCTCCTGGTCGATGAAGCCTAGCAGGCCATGACCGTCGAGAGCTGCGCGGATGCGAGCGTTCCACACTGGGAAGTTGGAGCCGTTGAGGCGTGGGAAGTCTTCCCCGCTTCTCCCTATCGTTGGGCTTACAACCTGTCCAGCCATCAGCTTGAGCACTTGCGCAGGTCGAAGACGGGAGAGAAGGAAAGATGTAGACGTAGGGAAGATTGGAAAGTGAGATGTAGTCAGGTTAGCGAGAGAGCAAGAAGCAAGTCAGGCAGCGGCCTGGAGCGACGACGCGTGGCCAACCATCTAGGCCCTGCCAGATCTGGTACACTAGAATGGGTCTAGATGGGGGGTAATTACTCAAAACTTTTTACGAAGTTTGTGTACAACTGATGTGCAGGTGATATCCTTGACAGGCTTCACGCCCATCTTGGTTCCTTGGAACGGCTCTACAGATCTGTCGAACAGCGGATAGTCTCGTTCTCCACATGGCGGAGTCTGCAAGACTCATCGTGAGGCAAGGACACCTCAGAAAAATGGAGCCGCGCGAAAAGCTTGCGGCTACATACCGGTATAATACAATCTGTAGCATGTTGGTTTCGTAGTTAGTATCACGCGCGTCAGCAGCAACAATTGCAAACGGTGGCCGCGCTCTCTCTCTCAATAACGTTACGGCGGAATGTGACTTTGCATAACGTGTTTTTGCCTGTAAGCTGACCTCCTGCGATGGAAACGGCGCCGCCAAAGAGCAGACCAAAGTCGAGAGACTGCTCTGTTGCCATGCGGCGCCCTCACCCGTTCAGGACAACACCTCGCGCGCTTGTTGTCCGAACACTGCAAGGCCGCGCATCAAGTTGATGTCAGCAAACCAGTCACAGCCCCACCTGTGACGGGACACACAGCACTTCCTAACAGAGGAAGCAGGAGTATACAAACTCCAAGTGAACAGCCGTTCACGTGTCCCTGGTCTGAAGGGGACGACTTGACTTGAAAAGCGGTAGATCTAAGACTGAATGTATCTATAGGTTGGTACAGATTTGGCCTGCATACAAATCCTAAGTTCCCTATAGTTTGTGTCATACAAAATGTATCTGTTGGCTCTGAGGCCACTTGGGTCACTATCCAGGGGAGTGACCGATGTAGCCATCCCGGAATAGTGACAGGGTCACTATTCCATGTAACCCCGTTACATCCTCCCCCACTTAGATTCGATCTTATCGACCAATCAGAGCGAGGTAACGCCGGCGACTCACATTTCACTCGCAAAGTCGAAATTCATCGACAACGGCGCGAGCTCTGGCGCCTCGGCTCCCGGGCCTCACAGAGCAACTGGCGCATCGCCGAGCAAGCCGCAGGGTCTCCACGTCGACCGGAAGCATGCCTCCAAAGCGCAGTGCGCGCAGTGCGAAAGCACCTTCGAAACCGCGGGCCGTAGGGCCGAAGACCAGGGCGGCCAAGGCCAAGGACGAGTCGTCCGCGAGGCGGCCGAGGAGGCAGTGCGCTCCCGTAGCAGCACGCCGGAGGGCGGGCCTCGGTCTCGGAGTCGGAGCAAGACTCCCAAGGCCACGCCAAGTGGTGAGGGGAGCTCTCGGCCCCAGTCGGAGCAGGCCAAGCCAGCCTTCGACTGGTCGGCCAACATCAAGAACTGCACGCTGGTTGTGCATTCCGGTGAGAGCTCACCCGAGGGCAGCGACAACGCTGCCAAAGACGAAGCACTGGCGGCGAGCAGCGCGCCCAGCTCTCCGCCTTTCCCGAACGCTCCGTCCGAGAAGGAGGCCGAGGACGTCGAGTCCAGCGCCGGCGTCGGCGACAGCAAGCAGGCGGAAGAAGACGATGTCGTTATGGCCGACGCGGAGGACATGGCCGAGAAGTCGTCGAGCGACGCGGGCTCCGAGCCCAAGGCGGTGTCGCCACCCAAGCATCTGACGCTGGCACAAGGTCGTGAGCGTGCCCAAGCGTCGAAGGCGGCTGCCGCTACGAAGACCGAAGAGGCCAGGGCGAAGAAGCGTCCCGTTTCCACGTCACCTCGCGGTACCAGCTCCAAGCTGTTCAGCGACTCGGAGTCTGAGGACGAGGAGGGTGCCGTCCATGAGCCCAAGAAGCTCTCCAACGACCTCGACGAGCAGCAGGAGCAGTACCACGCTGCTCGTTCGGGGGCACACGCCAGGCAGTCGGCTGCCGCGACTGCTGTCGAGTCTTCGTCAGGCGGTAGTGCCACGTATCCGCAGGGCTACTTCCCGCCCGAGCCTGGCACTGGTGCGCCGCACCCGACTTACGACGTGACCCTCGGGTGTCTTCGTCTCGTGGCGCCGCCTTGACGACACCACCGATCTTCTCGATCTCGTGCGGAACTTGGTTACCCGCCTTGTCCTTGAGCGGAACTTGGTTACCCGCCTTGTTCTTGAGCGGAACTTCGTTACCCGCTTTGCTGGGTGGAACTATGTTACCCACCTCGCCGTGTGGACTTGGTTACCCACACCAGGAGCGCTTCCAGCGACTCCCGCATCAGTTATGGTCTGAGTGACCTCCTGTGGAACTATGTTACACACATCGGAAGCGCCTGCAGTGCCTTCCTCATCAGTTATGGTCTGAGTGACCTCGCGTGGAACTTGGTTACCCACGCCAACGCCAGCGGCGCCTTCTCCAGCAGCCCTTGCTGCCTGCGGTACTTCGTTACCCGCGTGTGGACCTACGTTACCCACCTGGTAGGTGCTGTCCGGCACCTCCACTCTTAGGCCTTGTCCGGCCCGGTCGGAGTCGTCGTCAGTCTCGACGGACCCCAAGAACTCATTAGACGCTGCTGCGCCCTGGCGGCCCTCGCGGGCACCCCAGCTACTGCCAGAGGTGGGAACATGACTCACCACAGCTCTGTCAGAGCGTGGGGGACGGCTGGCCCCGATGGCCTTGCCGCGCCAGTCGATCCAAGGCTCGTGTTTCTCCAGCCACGGCATGCCAAGGATCAAATCGTACTTGTCCATGTCTAGGACCAAGAACGGCTCCGTGCTGTCGAAGTCCTCGAACTTGACAGTGAGGTCCATGTGGACCCGAGGTACTTCTACCACCGTACCGTCGGCCAGTCTTACCGAGACCAGCCCGTTATGTTTGCTGCCTCGTAGCGCATCGGCGTACTTGTCGCGATTGCGTGCGACAGTCTGGCGGCGCGCAAAGTTTTTGGACGCCCTAGAGTCGATCAAGATTCTCAAGGGATGATCGTATCCCGGTACACTCGCGTGCACCACAAGCAGTCCACCGCTGCCCTTCTCCGCTTCGAGAGTACAGAGACTCTCAGGGGCTAAGTCCCCATGGCGTGCGCCACCCGCACGCCCCTCATGAAGACTTAGTGTTTCCCCAGTAGGGCGCCCCGCCCCTACTGGTGCCCGGCGTTCCCCTGGTCCTGGGGCGCGGCTTCTGCCAGCAACCCCTAGAGCCAGAGGGCTTCGAACAGAACTTCTTCTTCAGTCCTCCCGCGGGACAAGCACGTTTCATGTGCCCAAGCTTGCCACAGCCGTAGCAGCGAATGTCGCTCTGCTCGGCCATGCCCAGATCCATGGGAACCGGCCCGTTGATCGCTCCATTGCCGGAGTTACCATTAGGCGCACCACCAGAGGCAGGGTTGCTCTGCCATACCGTGGCGGGGGTACGAGCCTGCTTGTGGCTGTACTCCTCCTGGAGGGCGATCTGAATCGCCTCCTCCATAGTGTTTGCTTGCACACGGAACAGTTGCGTGCGGGCAGGACCGACACGCAGACCGTCCATGAACACGGTCACCTTGATGTGTTCAGGCAGGGGGTTCCCCACCAAAGAGGCAGTGAGCACTCGCATCTCCTGGATGTATTCATGCAGCTCGCACCTTCCTTGTTTGCAGGCGAGGAAGCGCGAACTCTGGTGGTACTCGTAGTTCGCCGGAAGAAACGCGGCCCGCAGCTGCTCGCACAGCTGGGACCATGATGCGAAGCATCCAGGCGTCGTCGCTTCGCGCGTATACGCCCAACTCTTAGCGCGACCACTAAGGTTGGAGAGCGCAAAGGCGACACGGAGTCGCTCGTCCGAGACGAGAGCCGCGTCCATCGCGAGCTCAACCTCTCGAACCCAGAAGTGAAGGTTTTCTCCTTCCTTCCCTTCGAAGGGGTGAACCTTCAGCCGCAGGGGCTTCGGTTGCACCGACTTCGGCGCGGCCGCAGTGGCCTGCAGCCCTTGAACGTGGGCGATGAGCCCTCGCTCGTAGGTGTCGAACGCGTTGATACGCTCAACCTGCTCAGCCGGCGTCGCCGCCGCTAAGCTACACAGGGCATCTGTCCCAAAGATGCCTGCCATCTTACGAACGGACTCGTACTGCGAGTCGTTCAGATGAGGAAACTCCGTCCGATCCATCTTGGCTCACTCGATGAGACCACAAAGGATTCAGGTAGTCCAATCTACCCGCGTAGGCGTAGGATTGACTACAAGTGCTACCAAGTGTGACGGGGCACACAGCACTTCCTAACAGAGGAAGCAGGAGTATACAAACTCCAAGTGAACAGCCGTTCACGTGTCCCTGGTCTGAAGGGGACGACTTGACTTGAAAAGCGGTAGATCTAAGACTGAATGTATTTATAGGTTGGTACAGATTTGGCCTGCATACAAATCCTAAGTTCCCTATAGTTTGTGTCATACAAAATGTATCTGTTGGCTCTGAGGCCACTTGGGTCACTATCCAGGGGAGTGACCGATGTAGCCATCCCGGAATAGTGACAGGGTCACTATTCCATGTAACCCTGGGTGAAGGGCGTGTCGTTTAGCGCCGGGATCATTTCTATCGCTCACACCACGTAAGCTGAGCGCGATGTCGCTCGCGACTTGATCCATGCGAGTTACACGCGTCATGCATTCATATAACACATTTCCTTGGCCAGGCCTTCAAAGTAAGGTTGAAAGAAATATGTTATTTGAATACTTTAATACAGGATAACGCAGTTAGGTTCATGCACACCGAACATCACCGTAGCAGCTACGGAGTAGCTCGCATTTCATGAGCTCAGTAGGTAGCACGCAGCACGATCTTGCCACACACTTTCTTCGATCCTAGCTTCTCCAGCGCCGGCAGCAGCTGGTCGAACGAGTAGACCGAGTCGATCACGGGCTTCAACGCACCCGACGACACGAAACCCGACAGCTCCTTCAGTTGCGCTGCACCATGATCTCGCCGATGCACTTGGCGCCGAACTTGGCTGCGCGCGGCTGCAGCATCGGGTTGATGGTCACGAAGCGGCCCGAGTCCTTCTTGAGCACGGTCTGGGCGTCGCGGTTCCACGCCTTGCGCTCCACGCCGCAGTCGTACACGACGTCGACCGAGTGCTCGTTTACGGCGTCGACCCAGCTCTGCTTGGACGCGTCGATGGCCTTCTCGGCGCCGAGCGACTGCACGAGCAGGAAGTCCTGGCAGCCCCTGGCCGTGGCGATCACGTGGGCCCCCATGGCGCGCGCCAACTGGATGGCAGCCATGCCCGTGGACGTGGATCCGCCGAGGATGAGCACGCGCTCGCCCGCCTGCAGGTTGGCGTGTTCGTGCAGCGCCTGGTAGCTCGTGAGCGCGGCGTACGGGATGCTGGCGGCCTCCTCGAACGTGACGTTGCTGGGCTTGAGCGCGACGAATTGCTCGTCGATGGCGACGAACTCGGCGAAGGTGCCGAAGTTGGAGTAGGGCGCCATGGCGAAGACGGCATCGCCGACCTTGAACTGGTGTGCGTTGGCGCCGGTCTCGACGACGGTGCCGGCGACATCAAAGCCCATGCCGAAGGGTTTGCCGGCGGAGGGCTGACGGCCAGTGACGGCGAGTCCGAAGTCTTGCATGATTTTCTGGTCAGCGGGGTTGAGTGCGGCGCTGTGGACCTTGATGCGTAGCTGGTTGGGCTCGAGCGGGATCAGCGGCGCGTCCTTGCGGAGGGTGAGCTCGGTTTTAGGTGCGCCATACTTCGAGTATTGGTAGGCTGTGTAGGTTGCTGACAGAGTTGAGATTTTACCTACGGGTTTGGATATAGGAGTAGCCTGAGCAATTACTGCTTCTTGGGATCTCTGGAGCACGGCCATCGTTATTGTTTGGTACTGGATGCTTGCTCGGGTGAGACTTTTGAAGAATGAAGGCTGCTGGCTGAGGCTTGACAGCTATCAATAGGCATCCGGCACTCGATATTTTTTTATGAGCAATCGACGATGCATTCTTGTCGCCGCATAGATCAAGTCTGAAACTACTCCACATGACGCCCTTCACTGCGTGCGGCACTGTCGCGGACTACGCGATCTTTGACGAGGAGCTAGTGGCTCTGAAGCCCAAGAACTTGACCTTCGACCAGGCTGCGAGCATCCCGCTCATTGGCCTCACCAGCTACCAAGCTCTGGTGGAGCACACGAAGCTCCAGAAGGGCGAGAAGGTGCTCATTCTGGGCGGCAGCAGTGCTGTCGGCATGTTTGCCATCCAGCTGGCCCACGCCATTGGAGCGCGCGTGGTCACGACTGCGAGTGCCAAGAACGCCAACTTTGTGAAGGGCCTCGGCGCTGAGCGCGTCATCAACTACCACACGCAAGTGGGCGGAAGAGCTGGAGACCCACTCGGTGGACGTGATCTACGACTGCGGCATGGAGGCGGACGCCTGGAACACGGACGCTCAGTTGATTCTCAAACAGAACGCGTTGTCTGCTGCCGCTCACGGAGCCGGTTCAGCCGGCGAAATTCGGAGCCAAGAACTGCGGCAACTTGCTGGTGTACCCGACGGCCAAGGGGCTGGATGAGATCACGGAGTACTTGGAGAAGGGCTCCATTGTCCCCGTGATTGACACTGTGTACGAGTTTGAGAAGCTCCAGCCGGCATTGACGAAGCTGAAAGGCAGGCACGCGCGCGGCAAGCTGGTGATCCAGGTGAACCCGGAGAGTCAAGGGTAAGGCAAGAGCCCAACCAAGCATGTACTGGGCGCACTTCCCAAGATCGCCGAAAAAGGCACTGAGTAATGAAAAACAAGTTGCATCTAAGTTGCATCTAAGGATGTAGTATTGTTTCAGGCAAGCTAGTACGTTGATCTACCATCTCTTTACGATCCGAAAGCTCCTTGCAGGGAATCAATTATTCATTGTACACTTTAGCTATGTAAATATGCATTAGGCTTTCGAAGCTCAGTGTGCCATGCTTAGCACGATCTTGCCACACACTTTCTTCGATCCTAGCTTCTCCAGCGCCGGCAGCAGCTGGTCGAACGAGTAGACCGAGTCGATCACGGGCTTCAACGCACCCGACGACACGAAACCCGACAGCTCCTTCAGTTGCGCGCCACTCGCGTGCACCATGATCTCGCCGATGCACTTGGCGCCGAACTTGGCTGCGCGCGGCTGCAGCATCGGGTTGATGGTCACGAAGCGGCCCGAGTCCTTCTTGAGCACGGTCTGGGCGTCGCGGTTCCACGCCTTGCGCTCCACGCCGCAGTCGTACACGACGTCGACCGAGTGCTCGTTTACGGCGTCGACCCAGCTCTGCTTGGACGCGTCGATGGCCTTCTCGGCGCCGAGCGACTGCACGAGCAGGAAGTCCTGGCAGCCCCTGGCCGTGGCGATCACGTGGGCCCCCATGGCGCGCGCCAACTGGATGGCAGCCATGCCCGTGGACGTGGATCCGCCGAGGATGAGCACGCGCTCGCCCGCCTGCAGGTTGGCGTGTTCGTGCAGCGCCTGGTAGCTCGTGAGCGCGGCGTACGGGATGCTGGCGGCCTCCTCGAACGTGACGTTGCTGGGCTTGAGCGCGACGAATTGCTCGTCGATGGCGACGAACTCGGCGAAGGTGCCGAAGTTGGAGTAGGGCGCCATGGCGAAGACGGCATCGCCGACCTTGAACTGGTGTGCGTTGGCGCCGGTCTCGACGACGGTGCCGGCGACATCAAAGCCCATGCCGAAGGGTTTGCCGGCGGAGGGCTGACGGCCAGTGACGGCGAGTCCGAAGTCTTGCATGATTTTCTGGTCAGCGGGGTTGAGTGCGGCGCTGTGGACCTTGATGCGTAGCTGGTTGGGCTCGAGCGGGATCAGCGGCGCGTCCTTGCGGAGGGTGAGCTCAGAGATTGGTTTGATGAAGCTTGTATACTGGTAGGCGCGGTATGTAACGGGAACGATGTCGAGGTAGGTAGGCTGGGATGCAGCGAGAACGGTCATGGTTGAGTTGAGATCGCTAGAGTTGTTGCAGTGACTTGTTCACCTGCCGGCGAGATGTGGAATGAGCGCTAAGCCGTAGCACGCCGCGTGCATCACGCGAGTGTGGGGGCAAATCCTGCGCGCGCGAAGGGGTTCGCCTGAGCAATCGGTATGCGGTATTTGCGCCACACGTGATCACCAAGAGGCAGCGCATGTCTATCTCTCGCATTTTAGTCGGGGATGCATCTCTTAACTCTAGGACGAGTGGCTGTGTCCCTGCTGCTCTGAGACTCAAAGTTCCCAACACCATGTATTGGGACCAAGCGGAGTGCCTCCAGTCTGAACGGCATCAAGCAAAAAGCTCATGCAATGGGCATTTCCGGATAATGGTTGAGTAACAGATTTGACAGGTAAATGTGACAAGGCCGGGGTCGCCACAAGAGACACGATCGACTACCAAAAAGATCCTGCACGAAGCAGAAAAGCAACATCCACAGAGGAATCCTAGGCGGCGGGGCGGCGCTTGTCTTCTCGTCACCACGCGCATCCTATGTGAGATCGGTGCGTGGTGTTTGAATCTCAGCCAGCGCAAAGGCGCGATAGCGTCATGTCCGCGCGCAAGGTCGAGCCTGCCTCGACGGGGCCTTCGTATGGGCTTCTGGTGCTGGCCACTCCATCCTGGAGCTAGAACCTGGAGTCTCCAGGTTCTATTAGCACTCGATGTGAAGGCGCTACCTTTCCTGCTACGAATTGATTAATGAAGCACGCTCGTACATAGTTTTGTCAAGGCGGCCTGCCCGCCGAGATCGCCGAAAACAAACCAGAAAGGCTGAGGGCAAGCTCTCTTCGTGTGAGTCAGCGGGTCGGATATTTTGCCAGCTCGGACCGCAGAACACTCTCTCGGTGTGCAATGGCAGGGTTTCACTTCTGTCAGGATTTGCTACACCCGCTCCGCCCGACGGAAATGACCACCTGACAGAAGCAGAATGCCGGCCATTTTTGACCCTGCGGTTGTGTGGTAGATACCGGTATCCATAATGATAGCACACAAAAGCTCGGTAAACTTGATGTGAATTTCGAGAATACATGCGCAACATATTCGTGTCTCTCGCAACCGCGCGTCGCAAGCGTCCTTTCGCCGGGCATGCGACCTCTCGCGGGCGGATCGTAGCCAATCAAATGTGGCGCCTCATCACCAAGCAGAAAAACTTCAGTTTGGGGGACTGTTGTCGAGGCGAAGGCAACTCGAGGATGCCCGGCAAACTATCATTGATAACTGTTGGCGGGCTCGGCATGTATGCGTGAGGAAGTCGGTATGTCGTGCAATCTACATCACAGTACAGTACATGTGCGGTGAGGCGGCACGTCGATCGTCGTAGACATCTGACGCTGAATCCACAACGGACGCAGGATCTACAACGGACGCATGGCGATCCTTGCCAGGAGTCGCCGTGCTAGCAGTCGTTCTAGAAACCAACCGGCAGGAGCTTCGCGAAGCTGCATTCAATACACTATCGCTTTTGCATTCAACAGCACAAAAGACCACAAAGTATACTTTGGTTGCGAGCAGTTCGCAATCGATAGTCAAGTAGACCAAGATGTCGTCACGCTTCAGGCTGGATAGCGACGGCGACGCGGAGATGACGGTTCCGCAGCCGGTCTACGAGTACATCGTGCCGCCAAAGCTGGTCGACTGGGACCAAGCATCGCTAGTGAAGTGGCGGAGGGCACGAGAGCAGTATGAAGAGAACGTGAGGGAGCGCTGCGAGTGGACGGGCGAAGACTACAAGGCCGTCGTCCGGAGTGTACGCAGTGCTATTCATCCTAACATGATGACGTTCCTCGCTACGTACGAGATTGGCAAGGACAAGGCGCAGATCACGGACGAGGACATCATGAGCAAGGTCAAGGAGAGGTGCGAGACCTCGAATCGCGACTACCTTGCGAATCCCTCAGCGCTTTTCGCTCAACAGCTAAAGATGGACCTGACGGTCAAGGATGTGCCTGACCGTGTGTCCAAGTATTTCCGGCAGTTCGAGAAAATCATTGCCGACAACGGCTTCCACGAGAATCTGGGCCGTGGCTCCCCGACAGACGATGACTATGTGGCACGGATGAAGCAGAGGACCAAGATTCTGGTCGATAACCTGTCGCCACCCATGCTGCGGGACGAGATCAAAAGGATGCTGGAGTTAGTCAAGTTTCGCCACATCCGCATTAACGATCAGTTACTGTACAAACTGATACTCGAGCGTGCTGAGCTGCAGCAATTATTCTACAATCGTTTCCGACAAGCTGATGCTGCGCACACAACGTCCAAATCAAGTAACCGGAAGAGCGGCAAGGCTGTGTCTGTGCCGGGGAATAATCGTCGTGAAACGGTGCAACAGAGCCCGAAGGGCAGCATCCAAGCAACGCTACACGCAGGAGGCAGCGACGTTGCACGGCCCCAACAAGGTAGTGGCCCTAAAGGACGACCGCCGCCGCGCACGGGATGCCTGCATTGTAAGGGAGAACATTGGCTGCGGGATTGCCCGGTCGCCACACCTGATGAGAAGAAAGCTGCACGGGAGGCATAGCAGTCCAAGAATTGGAAGGTGAAGAGAGCGGTCGTTGGTAAGCAGCAGAAATGTGGGGGTGGAGCAGAAGAAGGCGCATCTCCAGCAAAAGGCAGTGATGACGAGGAGTATACAGTCCTTATTAACGGAGCTGTGGAGATATCGATGTGTCCAGACACGGGAGCAGACAAGTGCATTCTCCCGGCGGATGCAGTGAACCAGGTGCGGGCGATGGGCCGCACACTTACGACTACACGCCTACTCGAACCTGAACCAGTAGAAGGAGTCGGCGGCAATGTCACATTTTGTCATGAAGCAGCGCAGATTGACGTGCAGATCCGCACGTCTGCAGGGCCAGTGAATCTCTACAAGCTCGACTGTCTGGTGGTGGAAGGTGAAAAACAATTCCTTCTGAGCCGAAAAGTGATGAAACGACTGGGCATTGACGTGAAGCGCGCGTTCGAGCAGCTCGCAAATACCAGTATTGAGCTTAATCACGATGATTTTCCTGATGAACCTGAGGTGGGTGAAACCGTGGATGCAGAGATTGAGTTTGAGTTGGATCGCATGTGTGAGGAGGTGAAGAAGGTGCTAAGTGACTCCCAGTACAAGGACTTTCGAGATGATGTAATTATGCTCAGCAGGGAGTTCAGCAGACTGTATCGGACACGGATCGGACATGATGAGCCAGCACTGGTAGAACCCCTGGTTCTCACGCTGAAGAAGGGAGAAGAGCCTGTTCGCTGCAAGCCTCGCAGATATCCTCCTGCCCAGCTTCAATTCCTCGAAGTCCACGTCGCTCAGCTGCTTGAGTTCGGGTTGGTGCGAAAAAATAATCTCAGTAAGTGGGCGTCTAATGCAGTGCCAGTGCTGAAGCCCGGTAGTAGCGGAGACTTCAGGGTGACGAACAACTACATCAAGATCAACAACAAGACAGTGCCAATTGCGGGTACCATGCGGCACTTCTCGATTATTTTGAAGTTCGTCTCGGGCGTGAAGTTCATTGCCAAGTTCGATATGTTCAAGGGATTCTGGCAGATCATGCTCGCGGAGGAGTGCCAGGAGATGTTCAGCTTTATGATGGTGTCTACACGCCACTATGTGTCCCGCAAGGAGCGACAGATTCCGCCTTACATTTCCAGAATCAGATGCAGACAGTATATAAGCCACTGCTGTACAAAGGAGCTCTCATCTGGATTGATGACATTATTGTCTACGGCCGGACGGAGGAAGAGTTTCTGGCGAACCTGAGACTGTTCTACGAGTTGACGGCCAAGCATCGCCTGAAATTGAACGCAAAGAAGAGTGTGCTGATGGCGTTTGAGGTGTCATGGTGCGCCCGGATCATCGATGGCCAAGGCATCCGGCAGGACCCGGAGCGATTGTCGGCTCTAGTGTCGTTGCCATTGCCTCAAACGGCAGCCGACCTCCAGCGTTTTCTGTGTGCGTGCAACTGGATTCGAGACAGCGTGATTGACTTTGCACGAGTCTTCGAGCCGATGCAGTCGAAGCTCAATGGAGCGCTGGTGAACCGCAGCAGAAACAAGCACTAGAGCAGTAGCCCTCACTTGGTCTGATGATGAACGAGGTGCATACTCGCAAGCGCTCCAGAGTATTGCAAACTCGGGCCAAACTCTATTTTCCCGAAGATAGGGCAACGATTTGTCTGCTGACTGACGCCAGTGACTACGGGGGGTCAATTATCCTGACCCAGGTTCGAGATTGGAGAGATGGAGTTCCAGTTGAAGAACAAGCCCATGAACTTTTGATTTGCCAAGGTGGTGTCTTTAGAGGAGCACAAGTGCACTGGTCAGTCGTCGAGAAGGAATCCTACCCCGTGGTTCGAGCGTGTATCTCATTGGATTACATCCTGGAGAGAGAAGGAGGGTTCAAAGCTTTCTGTGACCATTCTAATTTGATTCAGATTTTCTCGCCTTCAGAAGACGTCAAGAAGCACACCCGGGGCAAGTTACTCCGGTGGGCGCTGCGCATTTGCGATACACGACTGAGCATATCGACGGCGAACGGAACCTGTTGGCTGATATAGTATCGCGGTGGACACCGCAGGGACAGCCACCACAGCGCGGAATCGTTCAGGTGAAGGCAGCACGGGTGGGTAATGGGACGACACTTTCGAGGCTGCGACCACTGCAGGACGAGCAGTTCGAGTGGGCCAACATTGGAGTCGATCAAGAAGTCGCAGACCGCCGCAGATAATCCAGGTCCAGGATTTGAGCAGGACGGGAATGGTATTTGGACTGCAGGCGGTAAAATATGGCTGCCATCCAGTGATGAGGGTCTCGTTACGCGTGTGATGATTATTGCTCACTGTGGCGTACGAGCACACCGCGGAGCGGACGCTATGCTACAATTACTCAGCGTTGCAAGACTACAACAGAGCATAATCAAGTCTTCGGGGGCTGTGTGGAGTAGTTTCAGACTTGAATCCACAACGGACGCAGGATCTACAACGGACGCATGGCGATCCTTGCCAGGAGTCGCCGTGCTAGCAGTCGTTCTAGAAACCAACCGGCAGGAGCTTCGCGAAGCTGCATTCAATACACTGTCGCTTTTGCATTCAACAGCACAAAAGACCACACGTCATGGCGTACACCTGGTCGCCCACTTTCAGGCGCTTGGCCTCGCTGCCGACCTCGACCACCGTGCCGGCCGCGTCAAAGCCGATGCCGAAGGGCTGCTCGGGGGTCAGCACTTTGCCCGTGAAGGCCTCGCCTGCCACCTCCAGGAGGATGTAGTCGATGGGGTTGATGGCGGCGCTGGCCACTGATGCGCACTTGCTTGGGCCCGAGCTCCGGGCGCTTCACGGACAGGCGAAGCTTGAGCTCCTGCGCCTGCGGGCCGTAGTGGTCGTACTGGTACGCGCGGTACGTCTGCGGAACGGGCATCGGAGGATTCCTTCTTGGTCGATGCTTGTCGTCGACGCGGCAAATCGAAGACTGAGGCTAGGATCCTGAAGATCTTGTGGGATCACCTTGAAGTGCATGGCCTAAGTACGATCTAGAGCTACACATTGACGACACGAGGCAAAGCAAGACACTCGACTACTGAACGAACATCCATTATTTTCCTGTTGAAATGGCCCTCTTGTCGAGCAATCTCGTGTCTAGAGGACCCTGGGATCCCGCGCTAGTGCAGTCGACTGCGGACGGAAGTTCACCATTGCGGTAGGCAGCGGTGCCAGCGCCGAGAGCTCCGGCGTCTTGGCGTTGTTCAGCATCTTCTTCTGGCGACGACGGATGCCCACGATAGCGACGAGAGCCACCACCGCTGCAGCCACGAGACCAACCAACACGACCACACCAGTCCCCACAGGCGAGCTGGTTGAGCTCTCGGTCGAGATCTGCTGGCTTTCAGAGGACTTGGACGCGGGGATCGGCGTCGGAGTCGAGGCCAACTGTTTTGTAGGTTGAGCTTGATCTCCGGTCGACTGCTGAATGGGGTTGCTAGACGACGTCGACGTCGTGGCAGAAGGAGTGCTGGCTCCGGTCTTTGAAGGAGCCACGGTTGCATTGTACGTGGCAGCGTCTTGGTTCTGGTTCTGATTTTGTTGCTGCTGCTGCTGCGTCTGCGTTGCGCTTGACCCCGACCCTGTAGAGCTGTGCACCGTGCCATCGATGGCGCTGTATCCCTTCTCCGCAACCATAATACCTTGGTTCCAGAGGCTCTGGAACAGTTCGTTAAAGAAGACGCCAGCTCCAGGACCCTGCATGGCGTCCGACGTACGGCCCTCGCAGGTGCCATCACTGTCTCCAGGAGGCTTGGCCCAGATGAAGTAGTCGACGTTGCTGATCCCAGTGTCGCTCGTGGGCAGAGGCCCGATACCCGCGCTCTTGACATTGCACCACTCGTTCGACTCGGGGCCGCCGTGGTAGTTGCGCGACGTGTCGAAGATGCAGTGCAGGTCGATGGAGCCAACTGCCGTCTGGAAGTTGCTGCAGAGTGTCGACAACGTGCTGGTGGACTGGTAGTTGGACGTGTTGAGCGTGATGCCCTTCACCTTGGTTCCGGCACTCACCAACTGCTTCACAATGGCAGCCACCGCAGTGGAGGTGGCCGGGTACTCGAGCGTCCAGTAGCCCACGTCGAGGTAGATTTCGGCGTTGTCGTTCTTGGACAGCAGACCGATGGCAGTTTGCAGGTTGGCCAGGTACCCAGCGCCCTGGCCACAGCCCGTGGTGTCTGCTAGCAGTCCGATGGCATCGGGCTCGAGAATGTACAGCACCTTGCGGTTACCGATAGCCGACGTGAGTGTGGTGAGGAACTTCTCGTAGTCCGAGGCGGAGTGCACCGTACTGCCCACCGCCGACTCCTTCGCAGCGCAGTCCTTGTTCGGCAGGCCGTAGACCACAACGCTGATGCGCGAGTCCTCGGAGCAGCTTGACACCAGGTCGGCCGCTGTCTTCGCGTAGTCTCCGTTCTCCGTGCGGTCGGAGTACCAGGTTGCCATGCCGAACTTCTCGAGCGCCTCGATGGCGGAGGCCGAGGCCGGGTAGGCGGTTTTGGCCTTGGCGTAGGTCACCGGCGGCAAGGAGCACAAGGTGTCGGCCTGAGCAAGGCTGGCCGTACCAGCGACGGCCAGCAGGAACGAGGCCGCTACTGCAGAACGGAAGGAGCGCAGCATGCTCTCAGCGTTCTGACAAATGCTACGTTGAGTTTGCTGTGTCGTCGAACCAAATTTCGCGAGTCCGGCTTGTCATCTGGGGACTCTGCGAGGCTGGGCAAAAGCAGCAAAGGGCACAAAGAGGATCAAGAACCGCAGTGGAAGAACGCTTCCACACCATCGCGCCGACGATCCTGGCCAATCCACGGGGGCCGGACAATGACCCGGGCCTCGCTGTGTCTCCAGCTGGGCCCAGCAGCGAGTGGTCTTCGCCATTTCGAACGGAACGACAGGACGCGCTTGCCTTCAATGCGGTGGCGTTGGTGCTGCCACCTCAATCATTCTCGCTTTTGGCCGCGCGGCCTAAACGAGTTCACTTCACGTTTTCACCCACTCAATAATGTGTAGTGGTCCGACCCGGAAGGAAGTGACCAAGGACATTTCATTGAGGTCTCGTCTCGCCGCACCACGCTCCATGGAGAGCCCAGCCCGGATTCGGTGCTTGATGTGAAGCCAGGAAGTCAGTCACAGTGCAGCACCATGCAACGACAACGGAACTCATGACACAAGAGCGGAAAGTAAGAACATGCATTGGAGTGCTGTCTAACCTCGCGGGCCGCCCTAATCCAATGCGTCGATTCAAAACTCTCCTCTCGAATCGGAGGGAGAAACTACTACTTGAGAGAGAAGCTAGCCTTATCCACTGGGGCTAGGAAAGACGAACAAACCTCATACACAGAGAGAGACTGAGGCATAACCGGCGCCTTACAGGATCGTGCTGCCGCCCGCGGGCGTGCGCTTGATCTCAATGTGGATGTTGTTGTCGTTGTCGCCAGGGGTCGACAGAGCGGCGTCGGCCTCGCGGGACTTCTTGATGTGCGAGGCAGCGACACCGACCGCGGCCACGGCCACAACGGCGGCCACGGCGATCACGCCGACCGAGGTAGAGAGGCCGCCGCCGGTGTTGCTGTCGCCCGACTTGGTGTTGGCCTGCTGGGCGGTCTGGTCAATGTTGTCGCTGCCCGAGGACTGCTTGGTCGAGGAGGACTCGCCCTTGGACGAAGAGCTCTCGACGTCCGTCGACGTAGTGGGAGCGGGGGTGGGAGCAGGGGCCTCCGTCGCCTTCGAGGCGGAGTTAGTCTTCGAAGCAGAGCCCTCCTCATCCGTAGGGGTGGTAGCAGCGGGGGTGATGGCAGGGGTCTCCTGCGACATCGAGGCCGAGCTCTCCTTCGAAGCGGAGGTTTCCACGTCGGTCGACGTGGTAGCAGCCGGAGTCGCTTCGGGCGTCGAAGTGGTGGCGGCGGGTGCGTTCGTCTCCTCCGAGGGGAAGTTGGGGTTGCAGTCAGATGTGTGGTCGCCCTGCTCGACGGTGGGGGTCGTGGCAGCCGGTGTCGAGACAGGAGCCTCGGTGACCGGGACCGAAGGGGTGTACGACGAGCTAGAGCCCTCCTCAGCGGTAGGCGTGGTCGGGGCCGGCGTTACCACGGGGCCCTTGGTGGCCGACGGGGTGTACGTCGAGCCCGAGCCCTCCTCGGCCGTAGGCGTGGTCGGAGCGGGCGTCACCTCCTGCTCAATCTCAGGCGTGGTCGGGGCCGGCGTCTCGTGCGAGCCCTCCTCAGCGGTAGGCGTCGTGGGGGCAGGCGTCACCACGGGGCCCTTAGTGGCCGTAGGCGTGTACGTCGAGCTCGAGCCCTCCTCGGCCGTAGGCGTGGTTGGAGCGGGCGTCACCTCCTGCTCGATCTCAGGCGTGGTCGGGGCCGGCGTCACGACGGGGCCCTTAGTGGCAGGGATCGAGTCGTGCGAGCCCTCCTCGGCCGTGGGGTTCGTCGCGGCGGGGGTGGCCGCAGGCGCCTGCGTGACCACGGGGCCCTTGGTCGCCGTCGTGGTGGTGTACGAGTCGTCCTGCTGGCCGCCCGTGGCCGGCGTGAAGGAGCCGCCCTGCTTCAGGGCCAGCGCTTCGTTGGAGAGTACGGCCACCAGCACGGCCGTGCAGACTGCGAGCTTGCGGAACATCTTTGCTGTCGGGGTCTTTTTCGAGTCTGCCGCCGGAGCCGGAGCAGGAGGAGCCCGCAGCTCCGATCAGCTCCCCAGCGTGGCCTGTAGGGGTGGGTTGGGTAGAAGTGCGAGTCTCTCTTGGCGCACTATGGACCTTCTTTCGAGGGGCTCGGCCGCCACAACGCCACGACCGTCGCTGTTCGTAATTGACATGTGGTCGACCTCAACAACATCCCGAGCTCTGCACGGCGTGCAGTGCACGCTGCAGCAAGCGAGGCTCGCTCGGGTGGAACTGGCGCCAACGCCAGCGTTACGACGACCGTGCTGGGTGCGCACGTGCGCTCGCCGGTGGCACTGACAAGCGAGGGACCTTCCTCCCGGCGTCCTACAGGCTGCAGCACGACTGCGTTGTGCGTTGTCCTGCGCTGCTCGCCCAGCGTAACACAGCGCGGGACGTTTTCTCGCTCCGGACCCACCGCGATGCCCTGGCTCGCTCGGGCATTTCGCAGGCAAAAAACTGGCGTGCCCGCGGCAAATCTCTGTCTGGACGAGCTCGCGATGGTCAAATCTGCGGTGAAGCAAATGTAGCCATTCCACCGAGAGCATTCTGCTGAGCAGGTCACCATGACAGTCACGTGTGTTGTGTGAGCTTTACCTGTACTGACACAGTTCTCGACGCAGTTGAGGCATTGGTACAGTACATGTAAATGCTGCCACCAATGTTGTAGGTACTGTAGAATATAGTGTAACTTTCGGAAAAGTAAGACAATCGAATGGTAAAGTTGCTAGGTACTTACCGGTACGTGGATACGTAGATACCTTTTTTACAGTCCAGCAGTAAAGGCTGTCTTATCGCAGCTCTGGTGTCTTCTCACGACGCGTTTACATGCCCATAAGCATGATCGTGGTGAGCACAACCATGGTGGTAAACCAGGGTGATGCAGGTGCAGTGTTGCCAGACGACTCGGCGTCTGGGTCGTAGATGGTAGCCATCTGCTGCTGGTTGACAAAGTAGCCCTGGTTCCAGAGCTTGATGAAGTGGTCATTAAAGAACTCTCCAGCCGGCGGGCCCTGCATGGCGTCCGCTGACTGGTCAACGCAGGTGCCATCGCTGTCACCTGGAGGCTTCACGTACACGAGGTAGTCAATGTTGTCCAAGTCCGTAACATTCGTGGGTGGCGCCCCGATGCCAGCTTTCCGCACGTTGCACCATTCGGTACTTGACGCGTTCGCAAACTCTTGGAAGTTGCGGGATGTGTCGATGACGCAGTGAATGTCGGTGGACCCCACTGCAGTCTGGAAATTCGTACACAACTCGGCGATCTGCGTGGTGGAGCGGTAGTTGGACGTGTTGAGCGCAATGCCCTTGACGCGGCCGGCCTGCGTGAGTTCCTTGACAATCTGAGCCACGATATCCGCCGTATCCGATCTCTCCAGGGTCCAGAAGCCAACGTCCAGATAGATTTCAGCGTTCGGGTTTTCCGACAGCCGCGCGATCGCCATGGTCAGGTTGCTCTGATACCCGTACTCCACCGCGCAGCCTTTGTTGGCGAGGAGACCCACAGCGTCCGGCTCCAACACGTAGAGGACCTTGCGGTCTCCGACAATCGCTGTCAGATTAGTGATGAACTCTTCGTAGCCCGCTCCCGTCTTCACCGTGCCGTTGCCATTGGAGTACCCAGCGTCGCAGTCCTTGTTGGGGAGTCCGTATACCACCACGCTCAGCCTCGACGACTCCGGGCACGAGGCAACGAGGTTCAACGCAGTCTGCGTCGCGTTGCCATTGACGTCGCGGTCCGAGTACCAGGTCGCAATGCCCATGCTCTCAAGCTGATCAAGCGCGAAGGCAGAGTCCGGGTGTGCTAGCTTGGCGGCTGCGTACGTCACGGGAGGCAGTGAGCACAGCGTATCCGCCGCGCGGGCTACACCGCCGAGCAAGCCCAGCACGATCAGGAAAAGCGGGAGCAGCGGTGTCATGTGGGCTCGTTGGTCCTCGACGCTTCTGCTTCAGTACTGGGCGCTGTCCAATTGAGACGGAGTTGGTGATGACGGCGAAAGCATCGAGGCCGTTCAAGGCCTGGGCGCTGACACCCTCTATGAAACGTGATTGATGTGTAGCCATGTCCCGAGCTTGTCAACTCGTCAAAACCGATCTTTTTGCTGCTCGAGATGCTCAAAGCTGAAGCTGAAGGTTTCAGAACACATCACGGCGTCCACAGCGACGAGTTACTCGAAGCGTCGCTGCTTCATTGATGAAGGCGGCTGGTGGCTCTGTCAAGGTTGCAGCCACAGCGCCTACTTTCAGACAAGGGCCTGAGTGCGCGAGGTGTCGTTGGGGTTCGCGGCGGCAGGATTCGTAGCTCAGCCGCGCTGTATCCGCCACTTTATCACTGCACTGCCCGAAGGACAGGTCCGGTCATCTCTGTTGAGGAATACACGTTATCGCACGCTGTAGTGGCTCGACCTATGGTAGCTCTGCCGTTGGTGAGACGACTGTGCCAGCATAGTGCACGAGCAGCTTGGCTACGATTTTTGACATCATTTCTACCGTAAAAATACATCGTAGTCGTCAATCTTTGCCATGTTAGCTCGTGCAAAACCTCCTAAGAAGGCCTAAGTTTGCTTAATCCTTCTTGATCTCGTGCTCCATGCTGAAAGTTTGGAAACGCTGCAGACCCGATTCATCGTTTTGGAGCCAAATGTTTGTTTTGTAGGTTGATTTTCCCGATACGACTTAGGGGCTATTCAACTTTGAATTGCCTGAATAGCTTCGGTTCATTTCTTCGATGCCAGCTTGACGTGGTCCTGAAACACTCTAAAAAAACTATGCAAGTAGTAAATGTACATGTAGTTGCATCACGATTCCGTTCGCATAGCTTAGAGCTGCCGCGCTGCAGTGCTCTAACCGCTGCTTACCCGCTCACGCACATTCTGGCGCATCCGTTACCTGGATAGGGCCTTGAAAACTTCGTTGACCGTCTCCAGTGTTCACCAGAATGAGTCCGCGACATCCGTCCGCGACTGTGCGTTGCACAGTATTTCGCAGCAGGTTCAGTCGCACCACTATGATTCATTTCTAGCCCCCGCTTGCAGCGCAGGTGCAGCGGTCCGCTGCACCAGCACGATCGAAAACTCGCCAGCACGGCCCAATAGATGCGATAGGGAAACAGGGGGATGCTGGCAGCTTCCATAGAACTACACGGCACAGCTCAGCTAGGCAAGACTTCTGCCGGACTACGAGATAAGATACAACAGCTAGGTGATCATTGTGCTGTCGGTTGGATAGGACTAGATGCTGTGGTGATGTGGACGCTGCAAGTTCTCAGCCCGCTGAAGAGCGAAGAAGATAAGAAGTGCCACGCCGGTCGATGTTGAAGCTTCAATCGTATATTTGTGTGGACCACATCGCCACATTATCTTCAACTAGCGTTGTGCATGAACTTGTCAAGCCCACCGAAGTGCGATGCTCGGCGCGCTGCGGCGAGCGGCCCCTGTCCGCGGCTGGTTCTTCTCGGGTAGCTGTGGGGCGGCTGCATTCGCCCTGGCGCCAGTGACCGTTTGCCGCGCGCAGCCGAGGGATGGCACCCAACCTAGTGCAATTACAGCTATCTGCGACCGTTTGCCGGGCGCAGCCGATGCCTGCGGGCCTCGTCTCCTCCTTCTCCAGCAACACTCAGACGCTATGTGGATTTTATGGCCTTGGGCTCCGTGAAGGAAGCACTGCCTAATTGATTGCAGCAGAGTAGCATTGCCGTTCTTACCGACGACTTACGCTCTTTGCGCCTTTGTCTTCGTCACTGCACTGCAGAAAGAAAGTAAGCAGGAGACGGATTGGCCTCTGCAGCGGCAAGTCCTCGTCTTCCTGGCGATGGCGCTATGCTGCGTAATTAGCGCGCTACGCGCCGCGAGGGGTGGTACGGCCGTCAAACGAGCCGAGCCGCGCCGCTTCGCCGGACGACCGGCGCGCGATCTGCAGCCATGTTGCCGCGACTACTATAACGGACAATAACGCCTTCAAAACAATTCCCACCAAAAAATTGCGCCCGCAGAGAAACGAGCTCCGCGACTGATGGCTCGGTCCTCGCGCGATCTCGACGCCCTCTTGTCGAATGTTCCGCTGTCTTCCTTATCCGCCGCCGTGACCATCAGCTGCCAGACGCTCTCCGAGAACGCTCCGGCGCGCTGGCCGTCGCGCAATGCTTGGAGAGCCCGTGGAGGCTGCGGCCAGCTGGGCGCCATTTGACACCGGAGCGGAGCCCAAGCAGCGGTGCTGCGTGTCAGTGCTGGCCAGCCGATGGACAGCGACAGCAGTCGAACGATAGAGCTAATCTAAAGTCACCAGCGTTGACACGCTGCGTCGACGTCTGCCAACGTGCCAGCACGGCCTCTGCCGATACTGCAGCCACACGCCGCCGCCGTCTGGCTCGCGTTGATTTCAGTCCGTGAGAGAGCTTGCAGTTCCCCCGCCGCCGCCGCCGCCACCGCCACCTGCTTTTTCAGGCAAAGCCTAGCGAGAATTTTGCACTCCTGCGCTTTGCTCTGATTTGGCCTGCAAGAAACCGCTCGACAGCCGTTTTATGCCATTTTGTACAATATTTCTCGACTTTTGCTGCTGCGCCTCCGCTCTGCTCACTATCCAACTCGCCGCGCAGCGCACACTCGGATCGCCTCGTCATTTTTCAGCACGCGAACCTCCACGACTTGATGCCCGGCCAGTTCGTTGACGTGGTCGCCGTCGCCGTCGCGTCCCCCACGACGCTTGCGCCCAGCCTCAAACACCTGGACGAGCCGCTGGCCGTGCCCGTGCCCGTCGCCGTGCGCGAGTCCCGCTCGCAGTCGCTGTCCACTCTGCCGCGCCGCGCCTCCACGGCCAGTGTGCTCACGGTAGACAACAACCAGTCCGACACCTTCACGGAGGAGGAGCTGGAGTTCCAGCGGCAACAGCGCGTCCGACACTCGCGCCGCGCACTCAGCTCGGGCACCGGCGGCTCGCTCAGTCTGCTGCAGCAGGAACTCGGCTACCCGCGGCGCGCGCGAGTCACGGCAGACGCACACCGACACCGACGTGGCTCCCTATTGGAAACAGCCCTGGAGAACTCAATGGCCAAGAAGAGAGTACACAGCAACAGCCACGACAGCCGCGAGCTGCACCGCAGTAGCAGCGGGAACTCAGATAGCGTGAGCAGCCCCAGCGACCTCCTGAGAACGCGGTCGGTGCCCGAGCCCGAAGCGGAGAGTCAGATCCAGCAGCTTCACTACCATGGCCGCAGCTGGACGTTCAACTCGGCCACATGCTCACCACGGAGTGATGCTGCCGGCTTGGTATCAGAAGACAAGCGCGCGCAGGATGAGGACGAGGAGGAAGAAAACTTTATGAACTACCGCAGCGCTTCCGTCACGGGTTACAGTCGCGACACCGACGGCGTCGTCTACTACGAGGTGATCGTGCGCTCTACTGCTCACGGCCCCTTGTCGGCATACAAGGTGAGACGGCGCTACTCCGAGTTTAGGGACTTGCACGCTGCATTGAGCAAGGTCATGCCGGTATCTCACAGAAGGCTGGCATCTGTCACGGCCATGACCAGTATTAGTGACGACAACAGCAACAACAACGAGGAGGAGGACTCGCGCTTCTCCGTGTCAGAGCACAGTGGAACCAGCGAGCCGACTCTACCGCCTCTACCTGATAAGGGCGGTGTGTGGAGCTACCTTCAGTTCGACAGCATTCCTCTACTCGAGCGCCGATCGAAGTACTTCAACGCCATGCTGGTGGCTGCACAACGACACCCTGCGGCCCGAGCAAGTCGGCTGCTGAATGACTTCGTCGGTACTCCGCCTGACCTCGTGTCCCTGCACTCGAGCGTTGAGAACAGCTACGTGAGCCTGAACCGGTTTGCGGCCCCCAAGCTGAGCTTCGACATCGAGATCCAGGAGAGGAAGGAGAAAGCCAAGAGCATCCGGCGTCGCCGCAGCTCCATCAAGAACCAGAGCTTCACCGGATCGATCGACGCCAGCTTCAACAGCCCGCGCTCCTCGCAGTAGAGGGGACCAACCACTCCGCTCCGCCGACAGGCGAGATGTTCACCTTGCAGACACACACAACACAACACATCATCACCGCGCAGCACCTCGGAGCCGTTTTGGATTTTTATCTCAAGTCTGCCGCTGCCGTTGCGGCAGATCTGTTCCTACTCGTATTTCTTATTCGTTCCTACTAGTCCTGTAGATTGTCAACAAAAAATATAACGAGCGTCTGACGTGGATATGCGTCTTGGTTCGTCTGCCTCCGCGACATGGGAGCGTTACGACACTAGCATTGCATTGCAGGAAGGTCGGCAATGGGTAACGCTGCATACTGCGGATCTGCAAACACGAACAAGTGCTTCCTCATCGCATTCAACGGCATTTTTCGTGACTGAAGCGCTCCTCGGAATCGGTTCGGCTCTGTATTTGGTGGTCTATTAATCAAGAAGCGAGGGTGTCGATGTCGCTGACCAAAGCTGCGCTCGCCTTGCCTCGGCTCGCCAGGAAAGGCCCAGCGCCCGCCGTACGTACTCTACCTCTCCAAACGGCTGTCTACAGGGATATCCATCAAGGTGAAGAGTCGAACTAAACAGAGCAGAGCGTTGTGCTAAGCTACGGAGACGGATACGCGCGCGCATCTTACGGCGGCACCATCTTCTGGACGTAGTCGGTGACCTCGGGGTCGAGGTACTCCGACAGTTCGTCCCGGGTCACCCACAGGTAGTCGCTAGCCTTGTCCTGGTTCAGTTCCACGTCTCCGTACAGCAGCTGCGACTTGTAGAAGAACACTTTGGTGCCGTCATACTCGGAGTCGTTCTCGTGCAGGTACTGGAGGTAGCCCATGGGGGCGAAACCCACGGGCGTGGCATCCACCTCGTCGCCCACGGTTTCAGTCACGTGTCGGAGCGCAGCGTCGCGCATCTTCTCGGCGTCCTGCTTCTCGCCCAGCGGGAAGAACCACGGGTACTTGGCGTCCTGGTCCTTGCTCTTGACCAGCAGGAACACGCGGCCCTTGAGCGCGCGGTTGAGCGACTTGCGGTTGTTAGCAGCGTCATCCTCCGTCTCGCGCGGGGCCAGGTGGAAGCCGGCGCCCACGATCTCCTCCGGGTCCTCCTCAGCGTTGGGCCACGGCGCCTCTTCGGGCGTGATGTGCCTGGTGCCGGGCTCCATGAACCAGAAGTCGTCCTCTAATCTCTGGTCCTCGCGCAGGGCCTTCTCGTGCTGCATGACCTCGAAGTCCATCTCCCAGTCCTTCAGGTCGGGCTGCACAACGGGCAGGCGCTCCAACACGCCGGCGCTGAGCACGCGCCACTTCTTGCCATCGTCCACGGGCGGCGACACGAGGAAGTTCTGGCGCTGGGCGCGCTGGCGCGGCTGCTGGCGCGGCGGCGGCGGGTTGCGCTTGCGCTCCTCGATCTTGGCCTTCTGGCGCCACGTCAGGCGCTTCTTCTGGCCGGAAGCGAACGTGCGCAGCTGCTGCGAAGGCTGCGCGCCGGCCGCAGCGCGCGTCAGGCCGCCACGGAGCGCGAACATGGGCGGGGAATGCGAAGGTTAGTGCCGCGAGAGCTGCTGGGCGTGTGTGGCTCAGGCCAACGCTTGCCAAAAAAGCGGGCTACTATTTGAGTCAAATACTGGTAAATACCGGTTCTAATCAATGTGCACCACGTCAAATTGTACCTGAAAACCTGCGACGTGTGCGAAAATGGATTTGGCTACAGCGGTGGTGGGAGCAACTTAGATCTCCTTGTTGAAGAGCGGGTGGTTGTAGCGGCCGGGGACCTTGGCACCAGCTTCTGATGACTTCGCCCCGTTGGCAGCTACGATGTTGCGTCGCGCGTCGGAGCCTGCAGACCGAGCTACGGCCGGTGCATTGCGGCGGTCCTGCATGCCCTTCGTCCAGGAGTCAACCTCCACTCGGTCCTCTTCATTAAATAGCAGACGATGACGCGTGCCTAGCGCCAGCACTCCCTCGACAATAGTAGTCGCCCACGCCACATTGAGTTTGCTGTACAGCGTACGGAGCAGAGGCAAGAGCTCCGTATGCAGGCGTTTAGCGCGCTCTTCCTCGTCCTGTTCCTCTTCGTTGCTGACCATTGCCTCGAATCTGGCCTTCACCACCTTAGCGGCCTTGTTGAACTGGTACGTCTCGTCCGTAAAGAGCTGTGCGTGCGTGACAGCCAGGAACTTCCACGCATCCAGCTTCTGCTCCCGCAGACGCCGTTCATCACCGTCAACGCTCAAAATCACTTCGCGCTTGGAATCCAACGTCTCAAAAAGAGTCTGGAACCCTTTCTTGCCGCTCAGCGTCCCCGCCTTCGCGTTAATCACCTTCGCTAGCGTGTTCATGAAGAGCTCACTTGACTCGACCGTCAACTGACTCGAGATCAACTGGCTAAACAATGCACTGGCCTTGGCAAACTTCTTGTCGACAAGCTGCATAGAGCAATTGCAACAACAAATGTCAACGCCTACATATCATCATGGCAGCAACTTTGTCGATTGTTGCGCTCGTACCATGTATCCCTCGAGCTTGGCGACCGTGGCCGGCAGGTCCAGCGGCTTCTTCTCCACACGTTGGCGCTTCGCCGCATCGTCCTTTGCCGTTGGCTCGTCCTTCTGCTCTGTATTCCGCTTCTCCTCCTCTCGCTCGCGCTTGGTCTTCTTGGGCAGCGCCAAGCCGCCGTACAAGTCGTCGCCGTCCATCGTCTTATTGCTCACTTGGCTTCAGTATAGAACAGTCAAAACCTTACTCGCAGAATACAATATGCCCTGTCATGGTGCTTCAGCTTTGCCTACGCGTAAGTCGCTCACAACTTCATCACCTTCACCTTCGTCGGAGGTATCCTCCGCCTGTTGTTGTCTCCGGGACCATGAAGCCCATCGACGCAACGACCCACGAGTACGCGCGCATCAACGTGGGCGTGTCGGCCCCCGGGCGCATGCAGATCCACCCGCTGGCGCTGGCCATGGGCGTCGTCGGCCTCTTCTGCCTGCTCTTCCTCGTGGCCGCGTCCTCGTACCAGAAGCAGCAGCTGCAGGTCATGGCCCGCAAGCTGCTGCGCAAGAAGCGCAAGTCCGTCACGGAGGAGGACCGAGTGGGCGCCGGCGGCGTGCACCCGGTCTCCGACCTGCCGGGCTTCGCGCGCCAAGCGGCCGAGTCGGGCAACGCGCGCGTCGTCAAGCGCTGGGTCCACTCCACGGACAGGAACGTGGACGCCCGCAGCGCCGAGAACCTCACGGCGCTGCACTACGCCGTTCGCGGCGGCCACAACGAGTGCACGAGGCTGCTGCTGACGGCCAACGCTGACCCGAACGCCATCGACGAACGCAGCATCACGCCGCTGCACTTGGCGGCGCTGGGCGGCCACGCGCTCTGCGTGAAGCTGCTGCTGGACCACCACGCCGATCCGTTCCGAGAAGACGTGGACCACCACACGCCGCTGATCATCGCGGAGCAGAGCGGCAACATTGGATGCGCGCGCTTGCTGCAGCGAGCGATGGCCAAGGCCGCGGTGCAAGACGACGCGTCCGTCACGCTGCGAGCAGGCGCCAGCACCGCGCGGGTCGACAATGCAGTGTAAAGCGCTTTTTGGTGGCTCATTGTCGAGTCTTAGTCAGCAAAAATACACGTCTCAAAAGCTTCTAGCCCCCCCTGTATATCGAGGCGTTCTATAGTTTGGAGTCGCGGCGAACCTCGAACATAGCGGCCAGAGCGGCCACGAGCAGGTCTACCTCGCGTCGCGTGTTGTCCGCGTGAATGACGATGCGGAAGCGCTCTGCACCCTTCGGCACCGTCGGGGAGCGGATGGGGATCACGCGAATACCCATGGCGTTCATCTGCTGGGACGCCATCAGCACGCGGTGGTTGCCTTCGAACACGACCCCCTGGATGGGCGAGTCGCTGGCCAGTAGCGCGTCGCGCGGGATACTCGAGTTGCCGTTCACCTTCTCCTTGAAATACTTCACGAGCTTAATCACTTCGCAGCGCAGTGCGTTGGCTGCGGCACTAGCGCTGAACTCGTGCACGCAGGCGACAGACACGAGCTGGTCGAACGGAAACGCTGTGGTGTAGATGAAGGACCGCGCGTAGTTGACCAGGTAGTCGATCAGCACCTGAGAGCCGCACACGACAGCACCGTGACACCCCATCGCCTTGCCGAAAGTGTGCACGCGGCATGCAAACGCGTTCTTGTACTTGATCTCCAGACCAAGCTCCCGCACGGTGCCGGAGCCTTGAGGTCCGTAGACGCCGGTGCTGTGCGCCTCGTCGACGATCAGGAACGCGCCAACCCGCTCGCAGAGCGCAGCCATGGCTTCCAGAGGAGCAAAGTCGCCGTCCATCGAGTAGAGCGACTCCACCACCACGTACGCACAAGTCTTGCTCGCGTCCTGTTCAGATGAAGGCGACAGATACTTTCGGAGCTTGTGCTCGAGGTCTTCGAGGTCGTTGTGGCGGAACGACAGAGCACGACCCTTAGCATACGCGCGGCTCAGTCGAATGCCTTCATGGCACGAGTTGTGCACCAGCTCATCGTACAGGATCACGTCCTCTGCTTGCGGAACGCAGGACATGACGCCCATGTTGGCAGCGTAGCCCGAGTTGAACAGCAGCGCCGCGTCACTGTAGCATAAATTGAAGGGTGAGTCACTCGCTCAGCGCACTACTCCACCACGACCCCACCCTACCTGTTGTAGAACGCGGCGAGGTTCTTCTCCACCTCCATGAACAGCCGCGAGTTGCCTGAGATGAGGCGCGAGCCCGTGGCGCCCAGCATGGGCGCGTGCTGCCTCTGTAGCTCTGTGTGCCGTGTCTTGACGAGCTGCCGCAGCGGCTGCGAGCGCGCGAAGCCCAGGTAGTCGTTGGAGTAGAAGTCCACAGCGGCGGTAGCGCTCTCGTCCGGCACCTGCAGCGTGCGCAGCGTCCCCACGTGGCGGCGGCGCGCCAGCGCCATGCCGAGCTTCTCGTCCATCCGCGTCATTGACACAAAGTGCAAGTTGTCAAATGGTGGGAATGATGATGTACAGTAGACCAGGGCCTTCTATTCGGAGTAGACATGTGGGCCACACAACCTGATAACACAAACTTCAACTTCTGTTGGCGAACTTCCTGTGTCGGTTGATCTGGAGCTACTGCGAAGCCTTGTGGGTTCTGTTGCTTGGGGGACTAAGAGCCTATCTTGCAGCTGGCAACTCGTTTAGTGAGGAAACACTTAAATGCCAGAGATGAGTTACATCGGAATGCAATTTTTGTTAAATCAAACGTGTTTTTCAGAGTCCCAGCATTCTACATCCGATTTTTGACGACGTCTCCAAACTGTGGAGTCCACAGTGTCTTGTTGCCGCCTTGCCTTCTTCCACGGCATTGCTGGTCGATAGCTACTTAGTTGCCTCCGAATTGCACAACCATCTCTCGGAACGAGAAGTAGGAGAGGTACAGCACGCGTCGGATATACGCCGGGATGTACAGCGTCGCCCGATGTAAGGTTCCCTCCCAGTCGATCCCAAAAATGTATGCGATAGCGGCGTACGTGATCGTTTTCCCGTCTCCAGCCTTGCAGGTCGCTGACAGATCAATCGGCACATTTCTTCGAAAACTGTCCACGAACGCTTTTAGCGGTGTCGCGAACTGCTTCAAGCGCTCCCCGTTGTGCTCCCCATCAGCGAGGGCCTCCGGTTGATCTGGCGGCTCGTACGCAACGAGTTCATCGTACGAGTGGCAAGTTCTAAAGGCATGAAGAAGTGATCGTGGGTGGCCGAAAACTATTTGGTAGAGGTAATGAGCACTTTTGGCCGCTTGACCGTCATCAAGCTTGCAGTGCGCCTGGATAGTCTCCGTTTTGTTATCGTCCCAATGCGTATTCTCGATAACTTCCTCGATTACAGACGGCTGCATTAAATCCAAGCTCAGTCGTCGAAACTCTAGCCGATCACCACTCGACCCCTCTGGTACGAAGCTCAGGAAAGGCGCCCAGCCAGCAACCAAGAAAAACAGCTTCTCAATCGAAAATAAAGGCATCAAAATATCGTGGCAGAACTCAATGGACCGGTCCTTCTTCTCGATGTCAACAAGGTCGACTTCAAATGCCTTGCCAATCTCGATCACGATGAACAATGGACCAACCTCGATCGTCAGATTCTCCAATACAGTAAAAATACTCGGGTCATCGTTCAGTGAGTTGGGGTCTAGAGCACAAGGCATCCCGCAATCGTACTTCGTGCAGCCACTAGTGAAGTACTCTTCGAGTTTTCCGATAAAAATCTTCGAGGCCTTTCGACCGTCAAACTTAAGTCGTCATTCAGGAGATCCATCCCGAAAAACTCGATAGTAATCGTGTGACACTGACGTACAGTATCCATAAAGCTGCTCTGCATAATGGAGGCATCCGCGAACCTATCCATTCTCTGTCGGCATGTCCGAATAAACTCTTGGCTGAACGTAGACTTGCCTAGGCCGGGGATATGGTCTATCAGAGGGATCACCACGTTGCCTTCGCCCCTTTTTGCGCAATTGTAGTTGCCGTGGTAGGATTCGAGAAGCTCTAGCGTCGGACGATCTTGGCTCATGAAAAACAGTTTGCCTCCCTCGACAGAATAGACTGGCTCCTCCTCTTCGTCTTTCCATTGCCACTTGCTGCTAGAAGCGCTCGCTTTTCTACGTTTCGCTGGAGCCTCATCAACTTCATCTTTCGGCTCCTCCCGAGATCTCGTCCGTACCGTCGTCACAGGAACCGTCACGATGACCGTAGTCTCCTTTGTTTGCCCAAGCGACTTTAAACGTGACTCGACAGCCAAAGGCTCACTTGAATTATATGCCGTCTGGTCCTTAAAAAGCACGAGTTGACTTGGCACCCTACCGGGGAGAATGGCTTGACATGCAGCAAACACTGCATTCCGCATATCCTTCACTGTGTTGTCCTCGGTCAGTGAGACTGAGTCCACGCTGGTGCCTGCGAACGGCGTGTTGTTGCCGGCTTCCATTAGCTTATACCAGACCTCGGGCTCTTCCACGAGGAGCGGGTTATCTTCATTCACTCCGTAGAGATCCAAACTTTCGCCGATTTCCAGAGGTGTCTTCGCGTCGCAGCTCGCGAAAACTTTCAGGGCTGAGGCGCGAATTTCACGTGGAAGAGAACGCTCATATTCCTTGTACACTCCCTTCTGAAAGTCTCCAACGTCAGCACCATCAGGAATGGTCAACACTTCCACCACAGTCTGATGTCTACAGCTCGATGCCCCTTTGCCCCACCGGAAATACTTCTTCTGTGCCATCGTCCACCTCTCCACAACGCCGCAAGTTCGAGAATGACAGCGGAATTGCTCTGTTGTACCGCGTATGAATGATGGGTTGTGGTCATGCTCAGCTTACATCTCTTTAGCGCTTAAGAGTGATGGTCGTAACTTCAACTTTCCGGTGGTCGTACGTGTGAAAGGGCTTGAAGACGCGGAAGGGGAGACACCCATAAAGACCAGATCACCCCGTTGGCCCACGTTGGCGATTCCCATCAGTATCTCATTCCCCACAATGAGCGCGGCGCAAACCATGATAACCCTGGCCAGGAGCGCTCGAGAAACGGAGCGTGTGGAGCGCGATCGCTTGGAGCGGGAGCCGTCCTTTGTGTCTGCGCGTTCGCCTTCATCGGCTGTCGATGCGTCTCCGTCGCCTCCGGACGCCGATGGCTCGTGCTGGTCTTCTGAGACCGCATTGGATGGCCGCGTGTTTCGCCGACTGCAGCGCTTCCACCTCCTGCCTTCGGAGCTCAAGGCGCAATCCGACATGGTGGCCACGTACCTACTGGCGCCGAGAGTGCGTCGAAAGGTGCTCGAGCAGCGGAAGCATTGGTGGCAGCACCCGCTGCACCTGTCGAAGGCTGGTCTGGGCACCTTTGTGCAGGGCCGCGAGCTTTTGAAAGCCATCTTGGGCTACCTCTTGCTGTCCCACGCGGCCAACAACTCGCTCCGCGATGCGCAGCAACTCGCTGAAGGGCTCGTGCTCAGTGGCTTCTTGTCACCGGTGCACGAGGCGCGAGAAGCTGATGACGAGCCTCTGGGCGAGCTGTACGTGTCGGATGACGAGTACTACGAGCTCGTCGCTCCCGGAGCCACCGCGATTGTCCCGACGTCCAACGTGGTGGCCTCGGCCACTGTGGACAATGGTTCCGCCAGTTCGTTGCCAGGAGCCATCGTCTCGCCCGTTGGACCGCAGCACTCTCCTGTAAATCCCCCGAAGCCGGCGCGACAAACTCGAACCGCGCTCTCTGTCTGGGCGGTGACGGACGGCGCGACTCGAGCGGGTTTCGTGCAGCGTCGATCGGGGCGAAAGCACATGCGGGACTTACTCGGAATCCAGCCCAAATCGAAGAGCTGCTACGCAGTTGTGAACAAGACCAAGCACCATTCGCTCGTACTGTTCGAGACGGACGTGGCAAGACACGAACTTGTGCGCGTGGGGCTCCCTGCGGCGACCGTGGAGTACATGGCAGCTGACGACAATCCTTCGTGCTTTCGCTTGAAGATTTGCGTTGCTAGCGGCCGTCGTGATGGCGGCGACGACGCGGTCGAGATTCTCAGCTTAAAGAGCAAGCCCGAGCAGGAGCAGTGGCTGCTTGCGCTGCTGGATGCTGGCGCAGCGTTCCTGGAGACCCACCCGGCGATTCTGTCATTCGCATCCTCAACGGCCTCGCTGTACTCACTGCGCGATACGGACGCGAACGGCAAACCCTTCTGTCTGTCAGAGCTGCGTGGTCACGTGGCATTGCTGGTGAATGTGACCAGCGGCTCCTGCAACACCAACGCCGAGCAGCTTCTGGAGCTCGCGGACCTGTCGAAGAAGTACGAAGACGCTGGCCTGAAGGTGGTGGCGTTCCCAAGCGCTCAGTTCGGCGACGCTGAATTCGACAACGACGAGGAGCTGGTGGAGCACTTCCAGGAGCTGTTTGGAGTCCGCTTCCCGGTGCTGACCACGCGCGACGTGAACGGCCCGAACGCGCGCGATGCGCTGCTCTTCTGCAAGACGCGAGTGCCGGGAGCTGCCAGATCCGCAGCGAACGCATTCATCGAAAACAACTTCGTCAAGTTCCTCGTGGATCGCGAAGGTCGGCTGGTCAAGCGGTTCGGCCCCAATGACTTGCCTCTGAGCATGGAAACTGACATCCAAGAGCTGCTGTAGGTAGTTGTCACCTCCTACGCCGGGGACCACGAAGACGGCCTCGTGATCTCCCGAGACGCCATTTTGCTCCATAAAGCGAATTGAATGAAGTGTTTGTTGCTGGAGATGTGGGGTGGAAGATGCAATAACATGTTATTTAATAACCCGCGCATTCGCTTCTCATACGCGCTGCGCTGCTGTCCAGGATGCGAACGCTAGCTGGCTCGGGCTGCTCCATGCGTTGACGGAGCCATTTCCAGGGGAAGATCATCTGGCCGCTGCAAAACTGCACTCGAGCCTCGCCGCCGAACGAAAGGTGTGCCGTCCAAAAAATCTATAGGCGCTGGGCGTTCCGTTCCGCGCGTCGGAGGTGGCGATGCAGCGCTGCATCATGGACTTGAAAGGCTCGGAAGACTTCTAAGCAACAATCTAGTCGAGGAAGGCCTTCTTGTAGGCCGAGTTGAGCTGCTCCACAACGAGAAGCACGATCATAGCGTTGGGCGCGCAGCGCGTGTAGTAGGTCCAGTAGCCGCGCCAAAGCTTGGAGGGGCCCTCCTTGGTCACGATTTGCTTGAAGCAGTCAGTCACGCCCGAGTACGGGTTCTTGCCCGTGACCGGGTCCACCTTCATGTTCATAAGTCGCGACTTGACAAGGTCGAAGGGCAGCGAAGTGAAGGCACAGGCGAAGCCCGACACGGCGCTGGCGCCCATGTTGGTGGCGAAGCCGTGGCCGTACTGGGCCGCGATCATCTCCTTGGCCTGGTCGTACGAGGCCATCATGCCGAGGTTCATGGCGGCGCCGCGGGCCACGAGCGGGATGCTGCCGCGCCAGAGCGTGGTGACGCCCTCCGAGCCGGCGATCTTAAAGATGGCGTCGAACACGTTCTTGTAGCCGCGCTTCTCGCCGGCCTTGGCCAGTGTGTCGGCCTGCATGCGCACGAGGGCCACGTCCATGGGGCAGCCGAGCGTGGCGGCGATGCCGCCCGTGACGATGGCCGACGCCGACTTGACGGCCAGGGGCAGCGACGCGCTCTCGCCGTTGGCGACGCGGCGCGCGATCATCTTGTCGGAGAAGGCGCGGTGCATGCCGAGGCGGGCCGTGCCGTAGACCATCTGACGCGCCACGGCGGCCGAGAGGCCCGCGTACAGGCCGGAGATGCCCTCCTTGGCCACGACGGAGCGGGCCACGCCCAGGCCCGTGACGTTGGAGCCCGTCTGGCCGGCCAGCTGCAGGTGCACCTTGACCAGGTCGATGGGGTGGATGGCCACGGCGGCGAACACGGCCGCCGAGCCGCCGCAGATGTACGGCTGCGCGGCCAGCGCGATGGGGGACTTGGTCGTCGTCGACATGGCGGTGGCGTTTGCTGAGCTGCTCGAGGAGGTTTCGGGAATGGAGTGGTCGGCGTCAGCACCGGCGGTGGATCAGGGCCAAAGTACCGTGCCCTCTGCTGGATTGAGTAGGCCTAGGGCTCGTTGAAACACATGGCTCACCACCAAGCAGAATTGAGCCCGCGCGACTCGTTTCGATCGGAAAATACGGGAGATGTGGTGCACGAGGACAAAGTCTGGTACGACTGAATACTAAACGAATAAAGCGGAGCCGAGTGCGTCAGCAGGGCATCGGTAGACGCAGGTATTGAACACCTAGGACAGGATGTCGAGGCATTTGCTCAAACTTACCCCAGCGCTAGTGCTTGCCGCTAGCCTTGCGGGCTGTTCCGCTCGGCTTGAAAGTGTACTTGCACGCGCGATTTGCGCGGCGCCATCGTGTTGTAAGAGCTGCCGTTCGTGGCGTGGCTCTTTGCCTCCCACGGCGCATGTGAACCTCCGCTCTTTGCTGCCACCAAAAATCCGAGCACCGCCGCCAGCGACAACAACAACAACCCGCAACCAAGCAGCGGAGCATTCCGACGGGATGGGGAAGCTGGCAGCGCGCCAGCGATTCGTGGCGCTCGATGTTGTCGAGCGGTGGTGCTTGGGGCGCCGCAGCAAAAACGTGCCCTACCCGGCGGTTCTTTAGCGACCTGCTTGCTTGATTGGGAGGCGCAGCGACAGGCTGCGTGGGCCGCAGGATGATTGCTATGGCCTCGGCCAGCGCCAAGAATCTTGGCGCTTGGCAAGATCGCCGGCGCCGGATTGGGAGGACGCTGCGACACAGCAGGTTGGTCCTTCGGCTGCAGCTGGGGACGTTTGTGAGTCGCCACCGTCCGCGATTGCACACTGCAGCCGTCCAACATCGGCGTGCTTGATGGTCCCCAACGCCGGCCAGCACGGACTCTCGCGCGCACGTCGTCTCGCTCAGCTAGACGCCGTCGCTGTGGTCCTGCAGTGAAATTGCCGAATGCGCAAGTGGCATTGAAGTTTGCGCGGCCACCAGAACCTTCCGCTTGAAGTCGTCGCGCCACAAGCTTTTCCTGCACTTGTGGATGCTTTGTGTGAGGTTTCATTAGCGCAATGTCGGTCTACTTACTCCGGCATGCATCATGCCTAGCAACGCAGTGAGCGGAGTTCGGCAAGAGAGCAGGTTCTAAATTTAGACCGCTATAAATAGAGCTCCAGAAAATTAAAATTGAAAACAGAAACTGCTAAATACTTTTTGTACCGTACCAGATCAAAGCTCTAGTACAGATTGAAGCTACATCTCCGCCCAATCACATTATTTAATCTTTTCAGCCAATATGCACCAATCTACACTGCGTTCCTCTCTGCTATTGGCCACATCTACAGAACGTCAGTTTCGCTATAAGTAACTTGGCACAGTGACCATGCCGGCGCCGCTAGCGGCGCTGCTGCTGTTGCTGCTGCTGGCTTCGACGCCGCCCCGCGCGCCGGCCATCGACGTGCCCGTGGAGACAGGCTTCCAGTTCACCGGCCTGCATTCCGACTTCGCGCAGCAGTACTACGTGCTGTACACAGAGCTGGACGACACTGCGCAGCTCACGGACGTGAGCGCGGACGCGCTACCCAGCGAACTGCGGACGGAGCTGAGCGCCAACTCGCTCACCTGGAGCGACATGCCCGGCCTGCTGCAGCGCGCCTTCCTCTGGGACGCGGGCTACGTGCTGACGCCCACGCACTCGCTGGCCAAGGTCTACACGCGCTGCGGCCGCACCATGGCGGAGGTCGTGGTGCCGCCCAAGGCCTTCGAACGCGCCGGCTGCCAGGTGCGGGAGTGCGTGCTGCCGGACGGGACGCGCTTCCACCGGTCGCTCAACTGCAAGGCCTCGCAGCTCTCCAGGGCCGTGCAATGCGCAGTGGACGCCGCTGACGACAACTCAGCGCCAGCGTACGCTGCTGTCTGGGGGGACGGAGGAGAGGACGACACGCTGCCGGAAGTGACGGTGCAGCGTCACGCCTACCTGAGTGACGCCGATAACGCCCCCAATTTAATGTTTGCGCTGCATACGACGGCCTACGAGGTGGGCTACACGCAGTGCCCGCTTACGCCGTCGATGGTGATCCCCTGTGCGCCGTACAACTTGGTGAATCAGTCGAGATTCTGCACGCCGGAGCCTGGCGACGTCGCCTCGGCGTGGCTTACCAAGTACGCGGCAGACCACAAGCAGGACAAGACGTGGCTGCTGGTGCCGCTGTGCATCGTCGTCTTCGTCACGTTTGGCACTGTCGCAGTCTACCGCTACAAGTCGGCGCTGCGGGACGAAGCGCGCAGAGAAATCGATTTGTTCATGCGCGAGAATCGTCATTTGTTTGATAATGGAGCTGTGGAAGCGTTCTTGGTGCCGAAGAGGAAGGGCAAATGCGCTCGCTCGACCAGGACAAGTCGCCAGCACCGGTCGTCGTCGTATTCGTCTTCGTCCAGCATCGACAGCGACGACAGCGCGTACAGCTCTCACTCATCCGCCGACCTTGACGGTTCCCAAGTGTCCTTGAGTTATGATGAAGGAAACCAGAATGCAGCAGCATTCGAGCACTTCGACGCCACAATTGGATTGTCGGCGTCTGCGTTTGACCCACTGGCGTCCAACGCTCGCATGAACCCGCTGCAAAACGGTGCTGAACAGGGCCTGGAGAATGGAGACACGACACCCGATGAGGCCACTGCGCGAAGGAACGAGATGGCTATCCAGAGCTTCCGACTATTTGAATCGCATCGCAAGATCCGTCGGCTGCGTATTCCAATTGGTGAGCTGCAGCTACTGCGACCGCTGTCGCGTGGCGCTACTGGTGAGGTATGGCTTGCGCTCCATAACAATTCGCAGGTCGCGATCAAGCAGTTGGTGTCGGAGAAACGCCGCTTGTTGCCCGAGATGGAGATGTTCTTGGCCGAGATCTACCTCATGGCACAGTTGAAGCACCCACACATCGTGACGCTGATCGGTATTGCTTGGAACACGCTTGAGCACGTCATAATGGTGCAGGAGTACATGGAGGGCGGTGACTTGCAGCACTTTCTGGCTCAGCAGTGCTCCAACAACAACACTTCGGCGGCCCCAATAAGCTCAGGTAACACGATCGGAAGGCGCTCCAGCTCCATGTCCGGAGGCTTGCCCCAGGTTGACGAAGCTGCAGCTATTGCGGCCACATCATCCGGTTCTTTCGCCGGTGGACTGGGTGCCGCTGCTAATGGATTGATCCACTCGACGCATTCCTTGCACTCGAGCCACTTTACTTGGTCGAAGCAAAAGCTTGCCATCGCGCAGGCTGTCACGAGCGCATTGGCGTATTTGCACGCGCTGACACCGAAGGTGCTGCATCGAGATGTCAAGTCACGTAACGTGCTGCTGTCGTCGTCTCTGGATGCCAAGTTGTGTGATTTTGGGGTCAGCCGACGCAAGTGCAGCGGCAACGACGATGAAACCAACCTCACTGCGACAGCTGCAGCTGGCACATTATCCTGGACCGCGCCCGAATTGCTACTGGGCGAGGAGTACACGGAGAAGGTAGATATCTACTCGCTTGGTGTCCTCCTCAGCGAGCTCGACACGTGCACACTGCCGTACCACGACCCAGCCTCTCTCTCGGAGCGACTTGTCCAGCACCCTCTTCGCCTGATGCGACGCATTCTCGACGACGGACTGCGTCCCCAGCTCTCGCCGGACTGTCCGCTGCCGATCACGCATTTAATCGCGGCATGCGTATCGCGCAACCCGAAGCTGCGCCCGAGTGCTGCCGATGTGGGTGCTTGGCTCGCTAGTGCACGAGGCGAGCGGTTGCTACGGAAGAGCTCGAGCGTTTTAATCTCTTGAGTACTTCTCTGGCCCACATAAGAAACAACACTTCGGTTTTCTGGACATAACTTTTTACAAAAAAATCGTTTGGTGACTCGCAATACCTCAACCGAAAGCTGCGCATTTGCTCCGTTTCACGCTATGATTTAAAAAATCTAGCAGCAGAAAGAAAAGAGAAACAGCCTTTTATCTGAACTCCGTTTTAGGCAACATTAGGTATTTAAGCGAGGTGCCGTCAAAAATTAGCGATATTAGAAAATAAAATATCACCGTAATCGCGAGTGACTGCTTTACCCTGATGTTCGGTTGTCGATGTTGTAGCGCCTGTTGGAGACGAGTTAGAAGAGCTAAAGTTTTGAGGTTTTTCTACGCGATTATCTCGACATGCGCAGACCCATTTATTTTGGCCAATAGTAAGATGAAACAGTTGATTATACCCAATCATATGTGACATGTGGTTCACATTAAATTGAGGTTTAATGCCGAATGTTGTTTCTTAAGTGGGCCAGAGAAGTACAGTACTTAGGTGTAGCGTAGTGTGTGGTGAGCTAATAGTTAACATGCCCTTAGACTTTCTGTTGGAGGTGATTCAATCGCTCTACAGGCAAGTGAGCAACGTCCACGCGTAGATGCCCTATGTTGTTCAAGAAAGTGCCAACTTGGCTTTCCATTTTCGACTCCCCGATAGCTGTAGGCGCTCAGAATGCTGCAGCGCAAGGCAGACCAGGCATCGTTTGTCACCATGACAGTGCCAACGACCGGCGTTCGGGTCTCCTCTGAGCTCACGCCGCTCCCTGCATTCTTTCCGCGCATCGATGCATCTCTGAAGCTACTGGTAAGTACAGCAGCGTCAAGGAGTCGTCGATGTCAAGCCGGTCAAGCTGGTTGCGGCGGGTTTTCAGCGCGTTGGCAACGCTGGGCCGCTCCGCAACCTTCGAAGCGCCGTCGGCTATATCGGACCTCTTGCTGCGCCTCTGAGTCACTTTCCGTGGAAGCGCGCTGAAAGCGGTCGGCGCTGAGCCCCCTCCGGCTCGGACGAGTCACTCGAGCCAGAGCACTCGTCGCCGAGTGCTTCTCATCGAGCGGAGCTGTAGCATGTCCTCTGACCACCGAAAAAGAAGCGCTCGTTGAAGATGTGAACACGGAAGCCCCTTTGTTGACAACAGTGGGCGGGCTCGGTTCGTCACGAAGCGAGTCGCACTTGGTATGGCTTACTGCCGCAGCGTTGGCGCGCTTCGCGACGGCCCTGCTGTTGCTGCTGCTGCTGCTGTGGGTGCAGACGACATGCCTGCCGAGTAAGCAGTGCCTGTCCCGACCACGCTGTGCCGCCCGCTGGCAGCGGGCCGCTGCTGGCCCTCGGTCCGGACGACCAGGCCTCGCTCGCGCGATTCCCGCCAAAGATGAGAGACCACTGGTCTCAGTCTCTAAATCAGCGTGCGTTCGCGGATCTCTGAGACTCTCAGACCAGAGACCGGTCCAGCCGTTGGGCGCGATCTTATCCAGCGCCGCTTCGTCTACGAGCGGGCGCGATCTCGGTGGCTCGATCGAGCATGCTTGCGCTTTGCATGGCCGGTGATGAAAGCTGCAGATCGCACAGCGGCGGTGGCGGCACAGTGGCCAAAAGTGAGAGAGAGCAAGCACAAGCAAGCAGGCAAGCATGCGTGCGGCTTCACGCTCGGATGGGCTCACGCTCTGGCCCAGCGCTTGCAAGCACGCAGTCGAGCTCCATACTGCGGTGTCGATCGGGGTCCGTCGGCTGCGTCGGCGTTCGAAAATCCGAGGCTGATGATTTGGTTCGGGCAATAAGGTTCGCCGCGCGTTCGGCGCGCGTTACAGCGGTCGGGCCAACTTCAACCCGTGCAACGGCCGCGGACGGCGAGTTTGTATGGCCCCGGTTGGAGGCTGCCCGCTCATCCCGGGCACGCCATTTCCTGGCTCGCGACGGCAACGTGCTGCCCTACCTGGCTGCTGAAACCAGTGCTGTAGCTGGGTTGAGCTGCCACGGTCTCTTTTGGTATGAGATGGTCTCCTTTCGGCGAGCGAAGCGGAGATGTAGTGCTGCTGGCAATGCTGGCTCGCTCTGTTTTCTCTGACACCAAAAGCAGGTCGGGCCCGCGGGGTCCGTTGAGTGTGCGGGCCGGCGTTCAACGACACGGCCGCAGCGGCCGGAGATTGTCGCTCGCGAACGGCAGGGCGTTTTCGCCGCTGGACGGCGCGCTGCACCCATTGACAATGCTCCTGCAATGCGGCGACGCGCGAGTGAGCTGCAGCTGGGCGGACACCGTGGCGCGAGTCCCGCGTTGCGACGCTGCCGAAGCGCTCAGCGTGCAGCTGCATCGCCCCGTAGCGCCCTTCGCTACAGCATCAAGCCCAAGCCAAACTGAGCTGGGCGGCGAGCGCCTGCTGCTGGGCGGAGCTGCTCGCTTTGTCGTCCAGATAAGATGTGCCAAAAAGTATCTTCGCCCCGTCCCTCGTCACCGGGGTGCGATCCGGCGGCACGGTCTCTGATTGGGCGACATACAACACGGGCAGCGCAGCTCCCAGCAAGCAACTCGACGGCCTCTTTCCACGGTTCATTAGCGGATTTCCAGCGCCGTGACCAACCCGCGGTTGAATATCGAAAGCTCCGCGCGGTCAGGCAATAGTCAATCGCCCAGCCCAAATGCCGTCCGCGAAAACTGCCCGCCCAGCGGAGGACTCAAGCCGGCCACCGCCGCCCAAGCGCGCGCGGCTGTCGCACGGCCGCAAGAGCAAGCCGGCCACGGCCGGAGACGGAGACCTGCCGGCCGCGCTGGCCGCCACGGCCGCCGCCTGCAAGGTGCCCAAGTTCCTGCGCTCGCTCTACGCCATCCTGCAGACGGAGGACCCGCAGGTCATCTCGTGGGTGCAGAACCGGGAGCTCAAGCCCAACAGCGTCACGGCCTTCCACATCCTCGAGATGGACCGCTTCGAGCGCGAGATCCTGCCCAAGTACTTCAAGCACCAGAAGTTCGCTAGTTTCCAGCGCCAGCTCAACAACTTCGGCTTCCGCAAGTGGACCAAGACCCAGTCCAGCGGCGTCTGCACTTTCAGCCACAACTGCTTCCCGCCGGACCTGTCGGCGGCCAACAACTCCAACCTGTCCATCCGGGACCAGTGGCGACAGAAGAGCACGCAGGTGATCCCGCCGCCCGCCTCGGCCGTGGGCGGCCAGCCGATCAAGAGACGCATCGTGGGCAACGGCATTGCCAAGGCCAAGGTCAAGCAGCAACAGGTCAGCAACCCCGCGCGTCGGCGTCCTGTCAACGTGCAGGTCCCGTCGTCACGTGACATGGGCGACTCGCCCGTGTTCGCCGAAATGTACCGCAGCCCCAACTCGAACGCCAGCATGGAGAGCAGCGCCTTCCGCCACAGTCTGAGCCACCAGCCGCCTCTCAAGAAGCTCGCTCGACCGAGCATGAAGCAGGAAATGATGGAGCCACTCAATGGCCTGGAGGCCTTCTGCGACGACTCGTTCAGGCAGTTCATCTTGCCGCCGCTGCAGCCGCACCACCTGCTGTCGGCCACGCCGAGAGGTGGCACTCCGTCGTTCTCGAAGCACAGCGACTCCAAAACCCCAGGTCTGGGTGCCTTCAGATACTCGCTGACTCCGGTGAACAACGGTAGCAGCAGCAACGTGCCGAGCACGTTCTCGACCGACTCGGGATACCCCAACAGTAACAACGGGTTCAAGCCGTTCGACTTCAAGCACGACACCCAGCCTCACCCGTACCCATCTGCCGGTGGCCACCAGAGCAGCAACCACGGCGCTGCTGATGCGGCAGCACTGCAAGGCGCCTTCCTGGAGCCGTGGATGTGGGACGCACAGGCCTCGTCGTCGAGCTTTGAGATCGGATCGTTTCCGCTCGAGTTCGACTGCAAGAACGATTTTGACTGCAAGAACGAGTTCGAGTGGCAGGAAGGATCGTGTGGCAGCAACTACCAAGGCTCCACGGCTGCGGCTAACTGTGGCGGTCAAGGCAAAGAGCAGTGCCATCAGCAGGATCGCGGTGTGCCGTCCAACACTGAAGAGTTCGGCTTGGACAATCTGCTCTTCGTCGAGTGAACGGAGTCAGCGAAGATTAATGAGGTGCTCAAAATGGCACCGAAACGATGATGACAAACACGCGCCGGCGGCACCAGTCGGCGGGCGTGTACCAACACCGAAGTGAGGCCCTCCCTGCATAGTAAGAAGAGCTCAGACCATCGGCGTAGCGTGTAATTGTAGTGCGTACGTGGCCAAACACGTCGACCAAGGAAATCAACCAGTAAGAAGAAACACGTAGCTTTTTGAATCCATTCAAGATCCATTCATTACAGAGTTAAAGGCTTTGTTAAGACTGCAGTCTGCAGTCCGACTGGCCCTGAACTGCTACGCCGTCGTTGCGCTCGTCGGGGACGCTGGCGTTTGTGGTCCTGACGCCCGTGGACGAACCACACCTTCTCCATCGCACTCGGAGCAATTATGCTCGAGCACCATCGAGTTGTACACGATCTTCTCAATGCGATGGCCCAGGCATCGCGGGCAGAGCTGTATCGACGAGCGGCGGGAGGGCAGGAGGTTGTTCTGCTGCTGTTGCTGCTGCTGCACCCATTTGTCCAGGATGCCGCTGGCTTCAAGTTCCTCGCGACTGGAGTACCCGAGCCAGTTCATGCCAGCGTTCGCGCTGGGTGTCGACCTCCACGACATAGCATGCTCCGCGGCCCCGCTAGCAGGAATTCGAGAATGAGCGCTATCGTGGCCGCATTTGATTGGGCTGCTTTGCAACGAAGAGACGCCATGGACGGTTGGTTGGTGGCAACGCCTTCCGCCTCCTCCCAGGCCTTCTAACGAATGCTCACGCTGCGCGTGGCTACTATGGCCGCGATGCTAGCTCTACGTCTAAGCCTGTGCAGAGGCATCGACTTGATGGATTGGTGCTTTCGCATCCTGTCCGAAACAAGAGGAGCGACTACCAGTAGGTGGGGCCAGACTGGAATCCAAGAAGCAGTGGGTTTCACACGAACAGCAGCTCAACACGATTCAATTGCATTGAGCTGCTGTCTTAGTGAAGTCCTGCCGTCCACATCAGCGCCAGCTACTGGTGACAGAGGAGCTGATGCAACTTGTCCAGCAGAGGCCTCGCAACGCGGGACTCGCGCCACGGTGTCCGCCCAGCTGCAGCTCACTCGCGCGTCGCCGCATTGCAGGAGCATTGTCAATGGGTGCAGCGCGCCGTCCAGCGGCGAAAACGCCCTGCCGTTCGCGAGCGACAATCTCCGGCCGCTGCGGCCGTGTCGTTGAACGCCGGCCCGCACACTCAACGGACCCCGCGGGCCCGACCTGCTTTTGGTGTCAGAGAAAACAGAGCGAGCCAGCATTGCCAGCAGCACTACATCTCCGCTTCGCTCGCCGAAAGGAGACCATCTCATACCAAAAGAGACCGTGGCAGCTCAACCCAGCTACAGCACTGGTTTCAGCAGCCAGGTAGGGCAGCACGTTGCCGTCGCGAGCCAGGAAATGGCGTGCCCGGGATGAGCGGGCAGCCTCCAACCGGGGCCATACAAACTCGCCGTCCGCGGCCGTTGCACGGGTTGAAGTTGGCCCGACCGCTGTAACGCGCGCCGAACGCGCGGCGAACCTTATTGCCCGAACCAAATCATCAGCCTCGGATTTTCGAACGCCGACGCAGCCGACGGACCCCGATCGACACCGCAGTATGGAGCTCGACTGCGTGCTTGCAAGCGCTGGGCCAGAGCGTGAGCCCATCCGAGCGTGAAGCCGCACGCATGCTTGCCTGCTTGCTTGTGCTTGCTCTCTCTCACTTTTGGCCACTGTGCCGCCACCGCCGCTGTGCGATCTGCAGCTTTCATCACCGGCCATGCAAAGCGCAAGCATGCTCGATCGAGCCACCGAGATCGCGCCCGCTCGTAGACGAAGCGGCGCTGGATAAGATCGCGCCCAACGGCTGGACCGGTCTCTGGTCTGAGAGTCTCAGAGATCCGCGAACGCACGCTGATTTAGAGACTGAGACCAGTGGTCTCTCATCTTTGGCGGGAATCGCGCGAGCGAGGCCTGGTCGTCCGGACCGAGGGCCAGCAGCGGCCCGCTGCCAGCGGGCGGCACAGCGTGGTCGGGACAGGCACTGCTTACTCGGCAGGCATGTCGTCTGCACCCACAGCAGCAGCAGCAGCAACAGCAGGGCCGTCGCGAAGCGCGCCAACGCTGCGGCAGTAAGCCATACCAAGTGCGACTCGCTTCGTGACGAACCGAGCCCGCCCACTGTTGTCAACAAAGGGGCTTCCGTGTTCACATCTTCAACGAGCGCTTCTTTTTCGGTGGTCAGAGGACATGCTACAGCTCCGCTCGATGAGAAGCACTCGGCGACGAGTGCTCTGGCTCGAGTGACTCGTCCGAGCCGGAGGGGGCTCAGCGCCGACCGCTTTCAGCGCGCTTCCACGGAAAGTGACTCAGAGGCGCAGCAAGAGGTCCGATATAGCCGACGGCGCTTCGAAGGTTGCGGAGCGGCCCAGCGTTGCCAACGCGCTGAAAACCCGCCGCAACCAGCTTGACCGGCTTGACATCGACGACTCCTTGACGCTGCTGTACTTACCAGTAGCTTCAGAGATGCATCGATGCGCGGAAAGAATGCAGGGAGCGGCGTGAGCTTAGAGGAGACCCGAACGCCGGTCGTTGGCACTGTCATGGTGACAAACGATGCCTGGTCTGCCTTGCGCTGCAGCATTCTGAGCGCCTACAGCTATCGGGGAGTCGAAAATGGAAAGCCAAGTTGGCACTCTCTTGAACAACATGGGGCATCTACGCGTGGACGTTGCTCACTTGCCTGTAGAGCGATTGGATCACTTGTTCGCACCCCTCACTGCGCTACGATTTTTTCTTACAGTAAACTCGGAGTAGAAGAGCTCTTGAGACGTTCTTCGATAGGTGGTTTGCGCGGGTGGACGTGTCGAGTACGTGAGAAGAGATTAAACCTTCCCTGAGTATGTGCTGTGTGAATTGACGATGCATTCAATATCGCTCTTATTGTACCGGTAGTTTGCTAACCGATACTACTTTTGCTTCGAACTGGGGAAAATGAACATGAATTGCAGGGTCATCGGGGAATTTAATGCGTGCGAGAACCAGAAACCATTTCATTTTACCTCTTGTCGTCGGAGGAACCGTGCCATGCGGATGTTTGTTTTGGGTTTCTAGATAAATGACGACATGCACAGCTTCACATTTTCAGCTCTTCGTATCCCATAGTTTCCAAATTTGCTGATAACGGCGTCATGTTTGGTGTTTTTGCCCTCATGGCCTTGTCATTCCACTGATAAGTCAACTGCAATGCCCTTGAGTACACCATCCATCACAGCTCGTAGCGGAGAAGCTCATCAAAATAAGCCCAATTAATCGTGTCCTTCAGATGATCAGACGCCAATACTCAACAAGTTCAGCATAGGAACCACACGCTTTGAAGGCTCAAAGCAGCAACCGTGGGTGGCCGCAAGTTCTTTCGAATAAAACTGTTTTTTTTCTCTTTCGTCCTCCTCGATCGCAGGGGGCTGGAGAATTTGAAGGCCGAGTCGTCGAATCGAGAACTGGTCTAGTAAGGCGTTGGAATGGCTCGGGAAGCTTTCAGTAAAAAAACACGCCCACCGAAAATAAAGAAACCAGGATTTCGCGGTAGAACTTCATCCATCGATCTCGCTTGTCGGCATCAGAAAGCTCAACGTTGAAAGCCATCTTAATGCCATCAACCACGACAAACAATGGGCCAACTTCGTTTGCAATTTCTTCAAAACGACCACAAAATTCAGATGATCTTGAATCGGACTGGGATCGAGAGCACGAGGTCTGATACCATGCGTTCGAAAATACTGGACGAAGTACTCTCGAGTTCCTCAAACAAATTCTTGGCAGCCCTAGCTCAGTCAAACCCCAAGAGGAAATCCCATTCCAACAACTGTAGTGTGATTGCGTGGCACTTCCGCACGATTTCTAGCAATGCGTTCTTTTCCTAGTCGATTTCTAACAAACCATCGCAGTTTTGGTTGCATATCCGAATGAACTCCTGTCCAGACGTTGACTTTCCTAGGTGCTGCTTCGCACGATCTTGATTTACGATGAACAGTCTGCCTCCCAACAGAATAGACCGGTTCACCATCCAATTTTCATCGCCACTTGCTGCTAATAGGATAATTGGTTTTCCACCGTCTCGCTGGAAATTCATCAACTTCATCGTCGGACTGCTTCCATACTACGGGAACAGTAACAATGAGCACGGATTCTTCTGCTCAATCAAGGGATTTGATCTGAGCGCTGACTTGTACCGGTTCATTCGAGTCATACTTAAGTATGTCAGTTGGTTCTTCGTAAATCGTGAGTTGACTTCGGAGAAAAGGGATCAGTATGCAGCAAAGACAGCTTCACGCAGATTCTACGTTATAAGCAGTCTCTCAGGCCGCAGCCGCAGTGAAGCTCTTGAACGGAGTGCGTCCGCCGACTTTCCTTAGCCGGAACCAAACCGTGGCTCCACAGTCAACCAAACTTTCTTTTCCGTCTCGCCGTCCGCAAACTCTTCGAGAGCTGAAGCATGAATCGCGGACGGAAGATGATGCCTGGCATCGATTGAAAACTGCTGTGCGAACAGCCACAATGGCAGCACCACCAGGAACCTCCAAGTCTTGTACCGCGCTCCTTGACTTCTCTTCAACAGCGAGTTACTGGAGGCGAAAGCCTGCAGTGGTAGGATTTTTTACTACCCTTATTTCACCCTGACCGGAACTTTTACCCGGACCTTTTTCCCGGGTAAAACGCCAGGTCAGGCCAAACATCCGGGTAAAGCAAGAGTGTGCATTGAAGTGATATTTAATAGCAGTGTTTAATGTAAGTTATGGTGTGTGTTGAGTTATGCAGGTGCGTAGCTCGACTATTCAGCGCGTCGCAGCATGATCGCAGTCTGGGGGCTAGAATGACCACTCCTCCACGCCATTTTCTTCATCTGGATCGTGGTCACTGTCCGAGTCAAGGAAGAAGTTGTAAGTGTTAGCGTGCTCATCAATTTGCTGCTGCAAGTCTTCAGCCGACTGCGCATTTCGGGGTGGCTCATCTTCCTTCGAAGAGTGATCAGTTTCGCCACTACGAGCTGATTCGACTGAGCCGTCGGACTGGTCGCCAAGCTCATCATAGTCACCTTCATCTTCCGACTCAGGCGGAACTTCAAATGTTGCTAAGTCGGGGGCAGCCGGCAACTCAACGCGTGGTGGACGCTGTTTCTTCTTGCGTAGACCGCGCGTGATGTTGGCTTGCCGCTGCGCGTAAGCAGTTGAAATTTTGGCAATTGTAGAAACAAAGTGTCGAAGCTTGGGGTGGGGCTTGAACGCGGCGTTCATCTCCCTGTTAAACCTCTCCAAGGGGTTGTTTGTGCGCGCCACGATAGTATTGGCGATACCAAACACATTCCACTCAGTGATGTAGTATCGCTCAAGCCAGGTTTTTCTAAAGTAAACCCAAAAACTTTTCCACTCACGGCGTGAGTATGGGCAATTGTTCGCGATGCACCTCTGCTTGATCTCCTGCTTCACCCATGCGATGCCCTTCGGATCGACGAGGTCTGGATCAATTACAGTGAGAATGTCCAAGACGCCAGACTCCATAGCGATAGTCACTTCGTCGTCGGAGATGCGCTCGTCTTTCAGTCGCCGGCGAATGGCTTGTTTAAAATGGAAGAAACAGCCCACCACTTCAGCGTTCGGGAACCGGGTCTGAACAGATGAGATGAGGCTAAACTCGAAATCACATACAATTTCTGCAGGATTGAGCTTTTTGCCGGTGTCGCGGTAGATGAGATGCAGGATATCGTCGTACATGGACTCAGTCTGGGACGTACAGAGCACGAAGTATACCGGTGTGAACAGGTTACGCGCTGGGTCATCCACCATTAAGATCAAGCACTGGCGAAATCCTCGTGGTACAGATCGAAAAGTACCGTCGAGGAAAAGAGATACGCTGTTGTAGAGTAGGAGCTCTTTCAGCGCAGGATGGGCCCAGCCTAGCACACGACTTGGTGCTTTCTTAGGATCGGGGTGGGCCGTTACCAAATGGAACCGGAAGAATGGGATGGCCGAGTCTTTCACTTTGGAGAAGGGAGGGACTTCCACAACTCCGTGAATATCACCACCGTAGTATCGGCGGCGAATGCGACGGATACGCCCGATAACTTGCTCCTCTGTCAATCCGTCTAACAGCTCTTCTCTATCGGGACCGTAGAACGCCTCGCATACTTGCTCCCAAATGTCGCCCTCTGGCATTGTTGGATTTTGGGTTGCTAGCTGATCTGTAGTTCGTTTCATTGCGTCGGTCTCATCATTGAGTTGCCATTCAATACCGGGACCGGACGGCACGTGTGCTCACCCTCCACCCACCAAACAGCGGCCGGGGTTACTTTGAGCGTGGCCATACAGCCAGAAGTCTTCGAAGTACTGCAACGATATGCAATGTGCTTCTTCGAGTACCAGTTCTTGCAATATCGAATGCCCTTGTAGATCTTGATCGTTTTCGACCCTCGCTTTTTCTTGGCTCGTGACATGGGTTCCTGGCTAGCAGGGGGTAGCATCACGTGATCACCGGCAGCTTGGACTTGGTCAGATTGATCATCAAGGGACAGCGCTTGCAACTCGATAGTGTTCCCACTCGCATCATTGCCGACCTTGCGACGGACGGAGCGCTTCATCTTTTGCTGGGCACGAGTGCCCTGGCGGGTCATCTAGACGTCTCGAGAGTTGGTTGTGGTTGAACAGGGAGCTGCGCTTGTGCGGAAAGCAGGAAGATGGTATGTGCTGCTGCCTTACCAGTATTGCCATGGGGTCTTCCCATGGGGCCTTCCCATGCGAGAATGCTGCGGATAAGTATAGTTTTGTGAGAGATTTGGATAATAATAGTTTCTTAGAGTAGATGGCGATGTAGATGATATATATGCCCGCATGAACTTGGCAAATATATCTTCTCCGGGTTATTCTCAGGTCATTGAAAACATGCGCTCTTTTTCACTAAGAAAGAGTTCCGGGTAAAAGTTCCGGTCAGGGTGAAATAAGGGTAGTAAAAAAGGTAACCCCTGCAGTCGGCATACGTGGCCCTGGCGTTTGGAGGCTCTTCCAAACGACCACCGGAACAAGTTGAAGTAACGATCGTTGTACGCGTAGGCAAATCACAGTAATAATGAAGTGCAAACTCTGACTTTGCTATTACAAAAAGTGCCAATAAAAATCAATAAGCTACGCTTCGGTGCAGCAAGAGATAGCATGCCAACGTGGAATCCTCTGGCGCCGATGAATAAGACGGGGAAGTCTCGCCGGCAATGCCCACTTAGGGAGCCGTCACAGCGGTCGTGGCGTTTTCCGCCTTCACGGGCTCCTCCTTGGCCGCCACTTCCTCTTCAGTCGTGGCAGCCACCTCCTTCGTCTCCGTCGTCGACTCCTCGGTCGTGACGACCTCTTCCTTCTTCGACTCCTCCGTCGCGGCGGCCTCCTCCTCCTTCTTCTCGGTCGCAGCTTCCTCGGACTTGACGGAGGTCACCTCCTCCTCTTCCTTGGGCTCTTCCTCCGTCTTCTCCGGCTCAGGCGCCTTGGCCAGCAGCTCCTTGATGTCCTCCTCGAACGACAGCGGGAGGTCCGTCGGCGCGTAGCGCTTGAACGGCTGGCCGTTGCGGTCCACCAGGAACTTGGTGAAGTTCCACTTGATGTAGTTGCCGAACGTGCCGGGCAGCTTGGCTTTCAGGTACGTGAAGATCGGGCGGGCGTTCGAGCCGTTCACGTCGTGCTTCTCGAACAGCGGGAAGCTCACGTTGTACTGCTTCACGAACTCGATGATCTCCTCGTGCGTGCCAGGCTCCTGGCTCTTGAACTGGTTGCACGGGAAGCCGAGCACGACCAGGCCTTCCTCCTGGTACTTCTCGTAGAGCTGCTGGAGCTCCGGGTAGTTCGTGGGGGTCAGACCGCACTTGCTCGACACGTTCACCACCAGCACCACCTTGCCCTTGTACTCCTCCATGCTCACCTCCTTCTTGTCCATGTCGAAGTCCTTGAGCTCGTAGAACGACTTGGCCTCCTCGGCGGCCAGGTTGTACACCTCGCGGTACTGTACGCCGACGTTCAGCAGGGTGTTGAGGAAGGCCTCCTGGCCCTCCTTGGTCACCAGGTTCAGCAGCTCGAACTTGTCGCCGTACACGAGCTTGACGCCGAACTGGAAGTGGGCGTTGTCGAACTGGACGAAGCCATCGGCAGCGCCGTACTCGGCCAGCACCGCGCGCGCCACGTCGGACTCGAAGAAGTAGATCTTGCTCGTCTTCTCGTTGGCCACGACGTACACGTCCTTGCCCTGCGTGAAGGCCGAGAACACACCAGCCTTGCGCTTGAGCTGCGACGCGTAGATGGCGCCGTCCACGACGTTCCACACAGCGGTGTCCTTGGACTCCGTGATCGCCTCGGAGAGCGGCACGAACAGCTCGCTGTCCGTCACGTACTCCTTGGGGGCCTCGGCCAGGTAGTTCTTGACGCGGTCCTTGTAGGACGTGATGAAGCCCGACAGCACCAGCGCCTCGGCAATCTCCTTGGCACGGAGACGGTAGGGCGACGGCGCCTCCACCTTCTTCTCCTTCTTTTCCTTCTTCTTCTCCTCCTTGGAGGCTTCTTCAGCCTTGGGGGCCTCCTCCTCAGCCTTGGCAGCCTCGGCCTCCGCCTTGGCAGCCTCGGCCTCCGCCTTGGCAGCTTCTTCTTCAGCCTTGGGGGCCTCCTGCTCGGTCTTGGGGGCCTCCTCTTCAGCCTTGGGGGTCTCCTTCTCCTCCGTGGCAGCCTCCTCCTCCTTCTTCTCGGGCTCGGCGGGGGTCTCCGTCTCCTCCTCCTTCTTCCCCTCCTCCTGCTCGGGCGTGAGCCACTTCTCGAGGAAGTCCACGAGCTCCTTGCCGCGCACGCTCTGCGGCACCTTGACGAGCGCCGAGTGGTGGGACGTGAACACCTCAGCCTCCTTCTCCGTCAGCAGCGTCTGCGCCGCCGCCGCCTGCTCGCGCAGGTCCTCGGCGAGGGCCTCGAACGCCGCCTTGCGGGCGAACACGCGGCCTTGGAGTTCACTCATGCTGTGGTGACGGGGGCTTCTTCGTGCGGAGTCTTGCTGGGGTCGACGCTCTTGCTCGCAAATTGCGGAATGACGCCTTCTTCGCTCCGAGCGTCTTTGCTTTTTTGCTTCAACATCTGCTCAACCCATCAAAACACGCTATGCATTATCAGAGGAGGCAAGCGGTCGTCTCAGCAACAGAGAATACCTCGAGACTAGGATGTTATGTTAGACTCATGTGGATATCTACACGAACGGGGTAACTGTTTATACAGGTTGTCAATCGGTTTCCACAAGTACCCTGTGACAATGTGCAGCCAAGTGTTGCATAGAAGGGTAGGCTCTCGAACCTTCACTTTTCCTGCTTCCTTGTCGGCGACAAGTTGTCGCCCCATGGAGCGCTTTCAGCCGGCGTAAAGGGGCTAGGCATCGGGACATCTTGCTCTGCAGGGCTGCCTTTGATCAGAGGCTGCTGCGGGGGTCCTGATTTCGCAGCGCGAGCCATGCACTCGCAGCGCTCCGTGGCCGCTGCCAGCATCTCTCGCACGCCCTACGCAATTTTTGCGCAGCGGCCAGGTCCCGCGCCGACTTACCGGTATCGCGGTGTCGCGGGCACCCCGGCGCCTTTCCTGATGGATGCGTGCGCAGCCGCGGCGCCGCTGCCGGCGGGCGGGTCGTCCGCTCGACGGCGAAGCGCTCAGCTTTGCCAAGGCACCGAGCTCCTGCGCGGCGGCGGCGACGGCGGCGCTCCAAGCTGGTGCTGCTGGAAGGCGGTTTCCTCCATCGACGTTGAAGTGGAGCGGCCCAATCAGCGCGCCGCCCGGCCCGGCCCATACAAAGCGCCATACAAGCGCGTAAGTCGCTTAGATGGAGATGGGCAAGTGTATGCAGCTGCGTACTGTACTCGACCACAAGGCGAATCCATCGGCCCAGCGTCACGATGGTGCTCGCCGCCCGCCGCCTTGGTCGAGGAGAAGCATAGAGTGCGGATACAGCAAGCAGTTCGAGTTGGCCAGACCTCGTCGCGTCAAAAACGCGGTTTCCCCGCGAGCGTTGATTCCTGGCCTGATGCCAGCCGGCAACTTCAACATGCGAATGGGAAGCTGCAGTGCAGCGTGCAGACTGCACGCTCCGAGCGCTTCATTCCAAGGCTTCCCTCTTCCTTGAGCAAGCCGAGCTTGCCAGTTGCACGCGTTGGCAGCGGGGTCGCTATCCTCTGCAACTCGCGCAGAAGCCACATCACTACGCGGAGCTCGCTGAAGCTGAGCCGCAGATCGGCTAACCCCTCCAAGAGATGTTGCGTGTCGCTGTCGGCGACTCCATTGCACCTTTGCGCGCGTGGAGGTGATTGTGGCACTGCTGACCCAGCTGACGGCAAGCTTCTCGGCTGCTCGGCGGGCAATGCCTTTCCGTGATTGCCAAGCGCGAGAACAATGAAATCCTCGCAGCTCCGTGTGAAGACATGGGCTTGAAGGAGAAACGCAGCTCGCAAAAGCTGGGACGTCGCGAAATGGTCAAGTTTCCCGCTGTACGTCCCAGACATGCCTGAGTGCGACGGCAATGAGGTGGCGCAATGGACCAGTCCAAGGTCTGCTGTGAGACGGCTCCACTTTCTGCAGCTCTGGCAAAGCTGCGTTTGCACAGCTGGTGGAACACAAGATGGTGGTGGTGATTCTTAGGACTGAAAGGTGGAAAACAGACCGAGGGCCAAGAACAATGTTGCTACCTGCTGTTTCGCAGGCGACTGAACGCCGAGTGCTGCTTAAACCCCGCAAGTTGAACATATAATTCATAGTGATTAACTCCCAAGCTACTCGGCACTCGGAACATACGACGGTCTCATACTTGCGTGTGTCGAGTATCGATACACGTCGTCGCAGCAGCTCCTGCAGATGGTTCGGATCTTGAGCTTCTTCTGTTGCTGCTGGCTGAGGCTTGAGCGGCGGCGCCCCATGCCGCGTCCGCCCGCGTTTCTAGAGCCGCCTACCGAGTTCATCTGCATGCCGGTCCTGGCGTTGGCGAAGCTGTCGACGGAGGTCTGGTATCCACACTTGCGGCACAGCGACACGGAGTGACAGATATCGCACATGTATCGCTTCCTGAAGAGCCCGAAGCGCTTACCACAGTGCTGACACGCCGTGGCGTTTTCCTCGATCGCGCCGATGGAGCGCGACATTGGCCGGAACGTGGCCGGTAGAGGCGTCTGCATGGCGTCCGTGCTGCTGTGTGCACGCATCAAGCCTCCCGCCGACGCAGCAGCAGTCGAGGGTGACATGCTATCGCGCTGACTCGGATCAACCTCGATGGACGGCGACGAGCTGGACGTCGACGTTGATGACCGCCTTGGCATCATCGTGACTCCCTGTCCGGTAGACATGCTGACGGCGGGGGCCACGACCTCGGACGTTGACTTCTTAATCCGCTTGAGGCGATAACTGCGCGACTGCGTTCCCTGGACGCCCATGACGCTGGCACGCATAAGTCCGTACACCGTCAGAAAGCACGCGAAGATGAGTCCAAGCGAGCGAATCCCCTCGGCGTTGAGCGTCCCGACAGATCCCAGCAACGCGGCCGACGTGCGGCACACTGAGGTGCTGCCACTCTGCGCGCCGTTCACCTGTGTCCAATGGTACTCGTACGCGCTCGACACGTTGTCTCTGCAGATGGCCTGAACGCGGTAGGCATACTTGCGCCCAGGCTGGACGTCCAGATCCACGAGCTCCGACGCGTTACTGTCCAGCAGCGTGCTCCACTGCGGCTGGTCCTCGACGTCCGGGTATCGCTGCAGCACGAATCGCTCCACGGGCCACAGCAGCGTCTCGAAGCTGCGCCACCGCAGCACCACAGCGTCGCACGTTCCAGCCGCCACCAACAGCGGCGAGTGCGGGAACGCAGGGTCTGAACGAGACACAAACACAGAACCACACTCCACGTTAGTCTTCTCGTCCGAATACCCTCCCAACTCTGACTACAGGGCCGCGTACACTTGCGCACGATCGTCTCTCCATCCAGCGTCAGCGGCATCTCGGACGGGACCAGATCGTCGGGGGTTGTTTGAGCTTCACTGTCGGCGTCAGCAGCAACGGAGCAGCCGAGATACGGGCACGCCTCCTCGAGCAGCGCCAACTTGAGTCCTGGTACTGAGAGGGAAGGCAGATGGTAAGTGATCCCTTCGTTCCCTTCGCTTTGGTTCGTTCTCCTGGGGGGCGGACTTACGTACCATCGAGGGCGAACGCCTGCACGCCGACGTTGACGCTGAGGCCGCTGAGCGCCAGCAGCACCAGCAGGAGAGAGACACGGCCGTCCAAGGTCATGCGCGCGCGGCGGGTGGAGCCTCTGCAGGGACCTGGGCGGGCGACGGAATGGCGAGTGAGCCGCTCTCTTCCCTACCTCTTCCAGGTGGCGGATGGGCGCAGACATGCACGTGAGTTGATGTTCGTTGCGCCGCGATTGGTCGAAAATCGGATCTCAGCAGTTGAATCGGCCACGATCGGGCGATTTCGAGCATCAGCACCAGGCCGTGGCCATCTTTATCGGCGCTCTCGGACTTTGGTCGGGCTCGCGGACCAACAAGCTGCGTGTACTGTACTGTGGATGCAGTGAGATTAGTTTAGACATTGGTAGCACGTAGTGGACTAGGAATTGACGCGGATACGTCGAGTACATGCATATTGTCGGCGGGCTGGGCACTTCGAAGTGGACCGCACACTTGAGCCGGTTCGCACATGTCACACGTATGGGCATCCAGGCCGGGTCCCCAGTGCCGCTGGCAGCGGCTCACCAACAGTACAAGTGAAGACTCGCCAAGTCTTGCTCATCAACTTGGTGGGCTTGCAGCTTCGAAGTCGGTCGCGCCGCCCTGCTCACCGTTTGTGGTATGTGTGTGTTGCCGCTGGGCGGTATCTGAGTCAGGCGATCCTCCAGCGTGGGACGGAGAGGCGCAGTATCAGCAACCGCAAACGTGAGGCTGCAAATTGCAGCCTGCTAGCGCCGCTAGCCTAGCGGTGCAACAATTACGCAGCTCTTTCTGGCCCAAGTAGTTAAGGCTTGATCCACCGCACCTTGTCTAATTTACACCATAGCAACCTTGGTGTCGTGTGAATCAGTCATTGGAATGCAGCAATAGTTCAGGAATTGAATTTTGAACGCCGCTTATTACGGCGAGCATTTGACCTGCAGCTCAGTGCCAATGGCAACAGCACCAATGTGCTTACCTACGCATGATCCGTCAAGAGGTAGACTCGTTGGTTCAATTTGAAGAGTACTTGCATGTACTCTAAGTATCGTACACTTTAAAGGTTGTAAAGTTCATATACTGTACTGGTAATACTCGATGAAAACGACATCCGAGAAGGTATTGACAGCAAGCCTTGCCGTCAGCTGAAGCTGGTGTGTCTCCAGATCGAGCGATGGACTTGTACTCGAGGTGTAGCATACATAGAGTCCCTGAACGCCACCATGTTGCCTCTTTCGAATGAGGTGTTCGCTAGTCGATTAAAGTCGTTTGGATGTAGCCATTGGGGCTCAGTAAGTGCCGAAGAAGTCCACGTCTGCTCAATGTCGACTCAGTCGAGTCGAGCTGCCCAGACAATTTCAACTGCAACGTTGCGCGTAATCATTCAACGTAATAATCACCCAAGAGAGAGCTCTGCTCGAGCCTCAAGCTTTGCTCGGAGCAGTGCTTTCATGCCGGAGACGAGGTACACGTCGTACTCGCAGAGAAACTTATAGTTGAGCAGGACCTATTGAATATCGTGTGTGGAGTCATCGACCACTACCGTAACGAAACCACTGATGCGAAGGTGTTGTTGGAGGCGATACGAATCATTCGGCAGTGGAGCGAGCGCTCTGCACTCCTGACGCGGTTTGAAGCCTCGCGTAGTGTGAAGAGTATGTTGCTGCCTGTACTGATCGATCTACTGGATCTGCACGCGAGGCAGTCGCCGATATCGCCCAGGCGTTTGGTGGTCGTGCTCGAGATCCTATTGATCCTCCGGCATCTCACAGCGAGCCCTGGTCTTCGCAGCGTACTTGTGAACTCCGACAGACTGGAGACCATTCCCAAGTTGTTGCGCTGCAGAAGCACGTCTCGTCCAACTTTAAGTAGCAGCTTCGCTGTTCAAGAACTTGTTGTCACGGGCCAGACGTGCAGGCCATTCGGTGCCTCTGGCCTACAAGATGACGGTGACCTTGACGCGTTGGTGGATCGAGAGACCCGCAATCTGCTCAAGCTCGTAGCAACCGGCCCGGATCCAACTGCGAAGTCCGTAGCCTTCGCTCGACGAGGAAACGCGCTCGATGGACCCGCTGCCATGGTAACGGCGAAAGCGCCACAGCGACAATTAAGAGCAGAGCACGTGAGGCCCGATACACTTCGGGCATACGGCTGTGGCAAAAGGTGACGACAACGCAGTCTAATGCAAGGAAGAAGCGAGAAATCTTCAACGTCGTCCTTTGCTGTCCATCGAGGAGCTCGCTGGCCCATTTCCGCGCATCACGCGCGTGCTGCTCGCTCTCGTTCATTTCTGAATTCGCCGTCTTCGACAGACCCACGAAACACTCTTCAACAATCAACATGTCGACTTCGGGAACGCTGACGATCAAGGTGCACGGCATCGAGGCATCGTTCGGCGAAGAAAGGCTGGCCGGTGAGAAGCTGGCCGTGCGTTTCGCCGTGGGCAAGGCCGAGCATACGACCAAGTTCCGCAAGCACGACGCCCCCATCGACGAGCACGTGAAGCTCAGCGTCAAGCACGCGTCGGCTGATTCGAAGCTCACCATCGAGTTGCTGCAGGAGAAATACTGGAAGCCCCTCGTGAGCACGCAGAAGGCGCTGACCCCCGAATACGAAAACAGCGAAGCGAACCGCAAAATGGTGTTCACGTTCGGCGCCACAGCCGCGCCCAGCACGGTGCTGCTCTCGTACTGCGCCGACTGGCGCCCGAACAAGACGACGCTGGCCACGATCGAGACCCACCGCCCGTGGTTCATGCGCGCGTCCTACTACTACGACACCACCAAGAACGTGTACAACTACACCACGAGCTTCCGCATTGTGGCCCCGTTCGCGCGCTTCGGCGAGAACATGACGAACATGATGCTCACCAAGGTGAGCGGCAAGTCGCTGCACGATATCGACGGGGCCTGGGTTGGCCCTGGCCTGCTAGCCCTGGACAATAAGGTGGACGACGGGGTTGAAGTGGTCGTCAAGGCTTCCTCAGCCGTCTTCAACGCAGTGGCCAGCGTGGCCAATTACACCAAGACGCAAGTGGTGCACGCTTCGTCGTCGACCTACGGCACCGTCAAGAGCACGACCTACTCGGTGCTGAGCTACGTGCCGGTGATCGGCCCCAAGATCGTGGCCTAAGCGGAGGAACCGACTGCGGATTCGCCACCGTATACACGCAGATGCAACCAAAATTGACATGGTGGGGACGGCGGCTGCAATTGCATCAACACCAGTTAGTTTAATTTTTATCCTTTCGCGTGAATTGAGCAGAATTTGCTGGTGACGTAAGGGGAGAACGAGGCTACTGCGGCTAACCGAACTACCTACATGAACACTCACATGTATGCCAACAGAACTATCCGTCCACGACCGACCGCATCCAGAAACTCTCGCAATAGACACAACAGCACTGCATCTTGTCAATCCAGCGGTATCATCTGCACACCCATAGTCCGAACTCGCACGAAAACAAACGGTGGATGTTCGCCCCAGACACGCAATGAATCCGATTTTAAAGAAAACGGTATTCACGTAATGTATTCAATTAGGGATACTCACAAACTATGAAGTAGTTTCTTCAATGCTGTACAACCACCTCGCAGCTCATCATCTCAAGACACAGTACCAATTTACTTACTTAAGTACAGCATACCAGCCTGGGCCACCGCACTGCGGATCGCATCACAATCCAACGTAAACTCGGGCATCGAGTCAAATACGATCGGGCCCAGCGACGCGCATCGCGGTTCGCCTTGATCTCGCTTGTAGATCCACACGCAGCCCTTTCGGGAATCCACAACGACGCCTTCGCGAGTGCCCGCTTCCATGAACACTGCCATCTTTGCCTGCGCGTCTTCCAGGTTAACCGTCTCCGTCAAAAGTTGCAGAACGACAGCGGGGACGCACGGAGGATACGACAACTTTGACATCTTCTTACCAGACATCATGCCAGCGAAGGTGAGTTCATCCATACAGGCAGCGTCGGGAACGAGCCAAGCACGCCCAGCCTTCGTTATGAGCTGGTAGCCCGGAGTGGAAAAACATGACACCTCCGATCTCTGGGTTGTGTCGTTTCCAGATCGAGAATTGCCTGCTCACTTCGCCTCGCTGCACTGATCCGATGCCGCTCATGGGGTACTCGCGCACAGTAAGAAAGGGGGACACGTACTCCAGCAGAAAACGTTTTTCGGCGACTTCGTTCAAATCGGGCGGGGTAGTGAGTCGATACTTGCCTGGAACCGCGGGAATGCGATCTCCACACGGTAGCAAGATGAAGTCCACGCCCTCCAGAAATCCTTCCGCGTCGAGTTGTTGCTCCATTGGCCCAGCGCGCAAATTCACTTATGTGGCACTGCAATGATTCTCGTTCTTGCTGCTGTAGATTGATCGAAAACGAATGGCAGATTCACGGACTGAAGTGGTCTCATCGGAAAAGCGTGATCTAACTTTACGTGCAAGGTGGAGGAACGAAGCCACCATCGTGCCGACGTCGTACACTTGTTCTCGAGCGTGACTTGAGCAGAATTTTCTGGTAAAAGCCGACGTCGTCCCTTGCTGTCAATCGAGGAACTCATTTCCAGTCGCGCGCGAATGAAAATTGTTCTTGTTTACTTCTGAATTCGCCAACCCGCATAACACTTCAGCAAGCATCATGCCGTTGTCCGGAACACTTAAGATCAAGGTGCACCGCATCGAGGCCACATTCGTGGAGGAGGAGCAGAAACTGCACGCGCTGCGCTTCGCCGTGGGCAAAGCCGACTACACGACCAAGTTTCGCAAGCACAACGCCCCCATCGATGAGCACATGAAGCTCAACGTCAAGAACGCCCCCACCGACGCCACACTCACCATCGAGGTGCTGCAGGAGAAGCGCAAGAAGGCGCTCGTTGGCACGGCGCAGCCGCTCACCGAGTTCCTCAAGAGCAACCTTGAGCGCATCATGACGTTCACGTTCGGCCCCAAGGCCGCACCGAATGTGGTGCTGCTCTACTTCCGTGTAAACTGGGAGCCTAACGACGCCGAGGTGAGCATGCACCTCCCCTGGTTCATGCGCGCGTCCTACTACTACGATACGACCAAGCGCATGTACGACTACACCACGAGCTTCCGCATCGTGGCCCCCTTCGCGCGCTTCGGAGAAAGCATTGTCGACGCGATCGTGGAGAACGTGAGCGACAAGTCGCTTTACGAGATTGATGAGGACTGGGTCGAGCCGGGCCTTCTAGCCCTGGACAACAAGGCGGACGCTGGCATCTCCGCGGTCCGGCAGTATGCGCTCAAGAAGAAGGACGATGCGGTGGAAGTGGTCACCAAGACCAAGAATTTCATCACCGAGAAGATCTCGTCCGCTTCATCGGCCGTCTACAATACGGTGGCCAGCCTGGCGTTCTACACCAAGGTGCAGGTGGCGCACGCATTATCGTGGACCTGCGGGACGATCAAGAGCGTGACCTGCTCGGTGCTGAGCTTCGTGCCGGTGATCGGGCGCAGAATCGCGGCCTAGTGGAGGAACCGACTGCAGATTCGCCCACGCAGCGTCACAAGATTGATGGCCTCTGCTTTTGGGCGGCTGCAGAGTTGCAGCCAGCCCCTTTCCTTTTAGCCTATTAACCTTTGGCGTGAATCGAGCCGCGTTAGCTGACAACGTAAGGAAAACACGATGGTCTTCTTGGGCTGCTGTGGTGATTGACGTGCTCGGCTGAACACGAGAGTTAGGCTGCATTGGTAGTGTCCATCGATTGACCGATTCCATCTTTCATTGACGTCCAGGTCGGAAGTTGAAGTGAGATGCCCGTTTTATTCGCCGTCATCTTCGAACGTGATACTGCACCAGCTTGGAGTCCAAACCGTGGGGCTGCGCTGTTGACAACGACAATGGGGCCGACGATGCAGTGGCCGGTGCCCGCGCAGACCGCGCTGCAGTCCCGCGGCGCGTCATGTTCGCGCTCCCGCCACCAGCAAAGTGAGACTCCCGCGGCCGCGCGTCAATGGACACCTCGGTGAGAAAAAGCGCGATGCCTTTCAAGCAAGCCCCTCATAATCGGCAAACATCGTCTTATCTGGGTAACGTTATCCTAGAACCTCTTTGAATATGCAACATAACAATCACACAAATTCAGCTCCGCTTTCAATCCGCAACGACATGTACCCATTTATCATGGCGCGACTTTCGATGACGCGAGTGTCCGATACAGCGAGCGCGCATCACGGTGCAACCTGGCTGGTATCCATTGCGCTGACTTCTCTACGATACGGAAGCAAGCGCGCGCTGCTCCTTCTCGCTCACTTCTGAACTCGCCGTCTTCGTCGCAGACCAACACTCTTCCAGCAACAACACCAGCAACTCAAGCCACCATGCCCACGTCCGGCACGCTCAAGATCAAGGTGCACCGCATCGAGGCCACGTTCGTGGAGGAGGAGCACGCCCTGAAGCTGCACGCGCTGCGCTTCGCCGTCGGCAACGCCGAGCACACGACCAAGTTCCGCAAGCACGACGCCTCCATCGACGAGCACGTGAAGCTCAACGTCAAGAACGCCCCCACCGACGCCACGCTCACCATCGAGGTGCTGCAGGAGAAGCGCAAGAAGGCGCTCGTGGACACGGCGCAGCCGCTCACCGAGTTCCTCAAGAGCAACCTGGAGCGCAAGATGACGTTCACGTTCGGCCCCAAGGCCGCGCCCAACACGGTGCTGCTGTACTTCCGCGTGGACTGGGAGCCCAGCGACACGGCCCTGGCCGTCGTGGACACGCACCGCCCCTGGTTCATGCGCGCGTCCTACTACTACGACACGACCAAGAGTGTGTACAACTACACCACGAGCTTCCGCATCGTGGCCCCGTTCGCGCGCTTCGGCGAGAACACGGCCAACACGGTGCTCACCAAGGTGAGCGGCAAGACGCTCTTCGACATTGACGAGGCCTGGGTGGGCCCCGGTCTCAACGCCCTGGACAACAAGGTGGACGCCGGCATTTCGGCGGTGCTCACGACGCTCTACTCGGGCCAGCAGTACGCCCTTAAGAAGAAGGACGACGCCGTCGAAGTGGCCAGCAAGGCCAAGGACTTCACCACCGAGAAGGTCTCGTCCGCTTCGTCGGCCGTCTACAACACGGTGGCCAGCGTGGCCGACTACACCAAGACGCAGGTGGTTCACGCTTCGTCGTCGACTTACGGCACCGTCAAGAGTGTGACCTACTCGGTGCTGAGCTACGTGCCGGTCATCGGCCCCAAGATCGTGGCCTAAGTGCAGGAACCGACTGCAGGTTCGCCCATGCCGCTGACAACGTGAGCTTCATCGGATGCAAGCAGACACAAGATCGACATCGTGTCGACCGATCCTACTTTTTGGCGACTGCGATGTTGCAGTCAACATCTTTTCTTCTTAGTGTATTAACCTTTAGCGTGAATTGAGCGGCAGGTGCTCCTAACGTAAACAAATACAATGGTCTGCTGGCTTTAAACAACTCATGAACAAACAAGGATCGACCTTTGTTACTGGATCCCGAGAGCTTCAGCCCAGCGCAGCACAGCTTCGTCGTCGAGCCACAACAGCACCATCGGCATGGAGATCAATACTACAAGCGTCCCGAGGTACGACGGCCCCACCACAGGTGGCCCTGACTTGGTGGATAGAACTCGCAGGGTTGGGCTGAGAGCGGCAGTAGTACTCAACGTTGGTGCGGCAACGTCGAGAGGAGCAGCGTCCACGAGCAGACCACGTGTCTTCGCCGCGGAATTTGGTGGTTGGTCGGCCTTTGGCGTGGCCAAGCTGGTGCTCGGTAGTGGCTCGCTCGGAAGCGACCACGATGTTCCGTTTACTAACAAGGCAGCAACTGCGTTGAAGCACTCCTGGGTGTTTGTGCCGTCCCTTGACGAGCACTCGAAGAAGCGTGAAGCCCCGATTATCCGAGAGAGCTCACGACCCTCCTCTTCGTGCACTTGTCGAGATCCGTACGCTGCATCGCTCTTGTTTCCCACAAGAACGATTGAGAACAGCGAGTCCGCGACTGCGGTGCTTCGGTAAGCCAGGATCTGCATCACCCACCGCAGCACCGCCGCGAAGCTGAGCCGGTTAGTCACGTCGTAGACTACGATCGCAGCGTTTGTGTGGCGGAAGTAGGAACTCGGCAGTCGAGCTGCTCCGAATTTCTCCTGGCCAGCAGTATCCCACAGCTGCACCTTCATGGGAGCAGCAGCGCCCTCGACGATTGCCATCTTGGACAGGTAGTCGCTTGGAACACTATCGGCGGGCGATAGCGGCTCAAAACTCGTCATCCGACGCAGTAAGCTCGACTTGCCCACATCACTATCCCCAACAACAATCACTGCAGAGCAGCAAAGGCGTGAAAGTGTTCGTTAGACCATAAGGGATTGTTAAGGTGTACTATACGATTGTCTTCCTACCTTTGTACGTTTGGCACATTTTCTTTTTCGGGTTTCGTGGCATGATCGAAAAGCCAGCACCATGTTGCAGTAAGCTAGGCGCCATCGCCGTCGATTGAGTTGGGATGAGTTGAGTCGAGTTTGCGATACAGATGAAATTGTAGTGTGAGAGGGGAGGGACGTCTTGCATGCAAACCCCAACGACCAGCAGTCAGTCTCCACTGCAAAGTCGTCGCAGCGGATGCATGTATAAAGGCTCACCTTCGACCCACAAGAAAGGGCGCATACCCACTTGACGACAACGCGCAGCTCGTGCTTCTCTCCTTCCGTGACCCGCTCGATGCTGCTCTTTGGCGGTTTGTGTCAGTGCCGCCATCCAACGAGTCACGGGAATCAAGCTCTCGCCAGTCCATCAAATGCACGGAAACGATGGGCAAGTACGAAACGTTCAAGTTACGAGTCTCCCGGCACATCAAGAAGCCGCGAGAGCCATCCGAGCGAGCAACACAACTCCAATAGAGTGACTCCACTCCACTCATTCATTCATTGAATCCATTCATTCACCACAACGGAGGAATTCACGTTAGTCTCGCACACCGACTATCTCTTCAGGCCCGGTGTCCACGACAGCACAAGTATCGCCTTTTGGTCTCACGCGTGGCAACCGGCAATCAACAAGTAGCGAGATCTTGACAGGCGTACGAGTTGAAGCAAAACTAGGAGCTCGTTCCACAGAAACAGCCAAGTAAAAAAAATGATCGTGCGTATGGATATGTAGCCATCTTGGCCAATGACTTTAGTCCGATATTAACATTTGATGTGTATCCATTTACGAAATTAATCCACTTCAATCCGAAATTAAAGCATTTTCTGACCTCTTCATCGACCATGTCCAAGGCCCTCCGAGGACGCGTCTTCGACCTGTGGCGCCACTTCCAGGCGCTTCCCACCAAGTTCCAAGGCGATGTAGACCTCATCCAGCGTCACCTGCTCTCTCCGGAGGTCAAGAAGCAGCTCTTCCTGGCCACAGAGCCTCCTCTGCCTTGCCCAAAGTATCTGGCGACTCTCTGCTGCGTGTCATTGGCCAGAAACTAGAGCAGGAGCCCGAAGCTACCTACACTGTACAAGTTGCCGGTGGCCTGGTGCAGAGCGGCTTTTTGACGCCTACAACGGACTCGAAGCTGCTCCAGAGCTTTGATTTCGAGAGTAAAAACTCGGAGTTCATTGGAGTTGGCAAGGGACTCGCCCCTGATGAAGTGAAATCGGTCTGGAGCGTCAGGGAAGGAACAATCCAGGCTGGCGCATTGCACCGGAAGAAGGAGGGATTTCTGGCCAAGTTTTTTGGCGGCCAGGAACTGTGTTACGTCGTGGCCAATGACCAGAACAGGACTGTGTACATCTTTGACTCTGACGTGGCCTTCAGCCCACGTGATGAAATGGATGTGGCGACCGATGCGACGGTAGAGTTTAGTGAGGAACTCAAGCACGGCATCAAGCTGGCCAACCCCAAGGCCACGGAGGTGTTCGCGGCCGAGAGCAAGGAGAAGCAGGAGGAGTGGCTCAACTCGTTCATCAACGCCGGCGCGCAGTACCGCGAGGTGTTCAACGTGGCCGACACGGCCAAGATCAAGTCGTTCTACGAGCTCAAGGACTTCGACATGGCTGGCAACGAGGTGTCCATGGCCAAGTACAAGGGCAAGGTGGTGCTGGCCGTGAACGTGTCGAGCAAGTGCGGCCTGACGCCCACGAACTACCCGGAGCTGCAGGAGCTGTACGCCAAGTACAAGGACGAGGGTCTGGAGGTGCTGGCGTTCCCGTGCAACCAGTTCGCCGGCCAGGAGCCGGGCACCCACGAGGAGATCATGGAGTTCGTGAAGCAGTACAATGTGACGTTCCCGTTCTTCGAGAAGCACGACGTGAACGGCGCGACGGCTCGGCCGGTGTTCACGTACTTGAAGACGAAGCTGCCGGGCTCGTTCGGCGACTTTGTGAAGTGGAACTTCACCAAGTTCCTGGTGGACCGCAACGGCCAGCCGTACAAGCGGTTCGCCCCGAAGGACCGTCCGCTGTCGTTCGAGGAGGACATCAAGACGCTGTTGGCGCAGAAGGCTTCGGAAGAGTAAAGGTCGAGTTGGCGGTGCGCGCTGAAGTCGCAGCTATGACCAGCTTCGTTAAGAAAAAATGTTGTTTATTGACCTTTCTTCTTTGTTGCCTGTAGCATCCGATGTGCTTGCCTTGGGTGTTGCTTTTTGAATTTATGATATTTGGCAACAGTATCCATAGCTTTGATGCTGCACGAACTGGAACGCCATTGTCCCGAGGCTACCATAGACGCAAAGCTGCATGAAAGCACTGCTCCGACCAAAGCTTGAGGCTCGAGCAGAGCTGATTATTACGTTGAATGATTACGCGCAACGTTGCAGTTGAAATTGTCTGGGCAGCTCGACTCGACTGAGTCGACATTGAGCAGACGTGGACTTCTTCGGCACTTACTGAGCCCCAATGGCTACATCCAAACGACTTTAATCGACTAGCGAACACCTCGTTCGAAAGAGGCAACATGGTGGCGTTCAGGGACTCTATGTATGCTACACCTCGAGTACAAGTCCATCGCTCGATCTGGAGACACACCAGCTTCAGCTGACGGCAAGGCTTGCTGTCAATACCTTCTCGGATGTCGTTTTCATCGAGTATTACCAGTACAGTATATGAACTTTACAACCTTTAAAGTGTACGATACTTAGAGTACATGCAAGTACTCTTCAAATTGAACCAACGAGTCTACCTCTTGACGGATCATGCGTAGGTAAGCACATTGGTGCTGTTGCCATTGGCACTGAGCTGCAGGTCAAATGCTCGCCGTAATAAGCGGCGTTCAAAATTCAATTCCTGAACTATTGCTGCATTCTAATATCTCCACCCAGGAGCAACACACACATACACAAACGGTTAGCAGGGCGACACCGACTTCAAAGCTGCTAGTCCGCCAACTTGTTGGGCAAGACTTGGCGAGCCTTCGCCGTTAGGGAGACCCTGAAAGCTCCAGGGGTAGTAATGCATCGAACCGCTGGTGTGGATGTGAGCAAGCTAGTAGAATGTTTAGTCGTCATCTGCAGAATTCCATCTCAACAAGCAACGCTATTAGAGTGGATTTAGTATTTGCAAGTTGATGCCGCGCACGAGTTTAAGTGAAGTCGTATGTAGGTTACTCGAAAGTCCGAGCAAATGTACTTGAAAGTAAGGACAACCCAAGACGCTGTTGGCGCAGAAGACCGCTGAATCATTTGCTGCAACATTGCAAACTTGGATTTGTTGTCAAGACTGATGTGACGACGCCCCGCCAAGCGACCGTGTGACGTGAACGCGTCATCAGTGAGGTCGGCGTGACCTTCACTGTGTGGTACCGAAATCATTCAGGTGATTACGGGACGATGATTACGTCACGGTGATTACGCCAAGATTGTGGGTACAAGATGGGCATCGACGTGGTGTTCTCTGATTGGATAAGGTAACTGTGTATCCAGTAGAGAATCCAGTAGGGTGTATCCAGTAAGAGGTATCCAGTAGCAGGCTTAGAGGTAGCACGCGGTTGCGAACTAAGGACCTGAATCGAATCACTTTGCATTTTGCCAACTACTGCTCAAGTGCTCTTCCTTTTGGTTATGAGCCCAAGCCCCGTCTTCCCTGACCAAGACCCCGACTACGCCTTCGCCATGGACGCCGCCCCGACCGCGACCGCCCGCATCAACAAGTTCGACGGAACCAACTTCCACACATGGAAGTTCAAGATGCAGATGGTGCTGGAGGAGCGCGAACTGTGGGAAGTGACGAGTGGGGAAGTGAAGCTCGAGCAGTGCACGACCGCGGCGGACCAAGCGACGTTTCGCAAGAAGTCGCGCAAGGCGCTGGCGATCGTCTGTCTCGCGTTGGAGGACTCGCAGCTGCCGCTGGTGCGGTCGGCGAAGGACGCGCATGATGCATGGTCAAGACTCGAGGGACACTTCGAGAAGAAGAGCCTGGCGAACAAGCTCTTTCTTCGTCGACGGTTTTTCACGACAACGATGGACGAAGGTGATGATGTGCTGGAGCACATTAACAAGCTCAAGACGCTGGCGGAACAACTCGACGCGGTCGGCGCTCCGGTCAGCGAGGACGACTTGGTGATCACGCTTCTTGCCAGTCTGAGCGAGTCGTACCAGTTCCTCATCACGGCGTTGGAATCGCGCTCCGACACGCTGACGTGGGAGCTCGTGACGTCTCGGCTCCTGCACGAGGACATGAAGCGCAAGGAACAAGGTGGCGGTGCTGACGGAACCGCGCACGCTCAAGGTCAAGCGTTCATGACAAGCGACAACGGGAAGCGCAAGGGACGGCAGGCGCAAGCGCAGAGGACGAGCGCCTGTCACTACTGCGGCGAGCACGGACATTGGATCGCCAAGTGTCCGGTGCGGATCCGCGAGAACGGGGAGCGGCAGAGGCCGCAACGAGCGAACGTCGCGCAGGTCGAAGATGACTCTGGCGACTTCCTCTTCTCGGTTGGTGGCGACACGGGTGCCTCCAAGCTGAGCGGCATGTGGCTGGTCGACTCGGGTGCGACGCAGCACATGACGTACTCGAAGGAGTACATGAAGAACTACAAGAAGATCTCTCCGGTGGACGTGCATCTGGCGGACGACGGCGTGGTTCAGGCGGTGGGGAGCGGCGACATCGTGATGTCGATGCAGACACCGCGCGGCATGAAGAAGGGTGTGCTCACGGGTGTGTGGCACATCCCGAAGCTGTCGCGCAACCTGTTCTCCGTCGGCCGCTTCACCAAGGACGTCGGGCCAGTGACCCTCGAGAGCGACGGGTGCTTTGCGGAAACGAAGGGTCTCAAGTGGAAGCTCGGCGCTCGCGAAGGCAAAGGACTGTTCAAGCTCTGCATGACGCCGAGGACGCCTGCTGACGAGGCCAATGCGGCAAGCTCGAAGAATCGCCAAGGGGACACCACGTCGTACCTCTGGCACCTTCGACTTGGTCACATCGGCCATGGTGGTCTCGAAGCCATCGTCAAGAAGGGCTACGGCACTGGCATCCCAATGACGTCGGTGAAGCAGTGGGAGGTGTGCGACGGGTGCGCACTCGGCAAGCAAACGCGAGTAAGCTTCATGAAGTCGTCGCCGAACCGTGCGAAGCAAGTGCTGGAGGTGGTCCACAGCGATGTGTGCGGTCCGATGCAGACGGCGACGTTCGGAGGCAAGCGCTACTTCGTCACGTTCATCGACGACAAGTCGCACTTCTGCGTGGTGTACCTGCTACGGAACAAGTCGGAGGTGGCTGCCAAGTTCGCTGCGTTCGTCGCGTTGGCTGAGACGCAGACCGGCAAGCGAGTGAAGGTGCTTCGGAGCGACAACGGCGGCGAGTACACTTCGGGTGCGATGGCCAAGTTGTGTGCGGATCGCGGCATCGAGCAGAAGTTCACGCCACCATACACGCCTCAGCTCAACGGAGTGGCCGAGCGAATGAATCGGACGCTGGTGGAGTGTGCGCGCTGCATGCTGGAGCACGCCGGGTTGTCGAAGGAGTACTGGGGAGAAGCGGTGATGACGGCCACGTTCCTCCGCAACCGGTGTCCGACGCGCGCCATCAGTCACGACAAGTCGCCGCACCACGTTTGGACCGGCAAGAAGCCTTTGCTGGCCAACCTCAAGGTGTTCGGGTGCCACGCGTACGTGCACGTGCCGAAGGAGAAGCGGTCGAAGTTCGACGCTCGGTCGGTGCGCTGTCGTTTCCTCGGGTACTCGGAGCACGAGAAGGCGTATCGGTTCGAGGAGATCGAGAGCGGTCGCGTGTTGGTGAGCCGCGACGCGCAGTTCATGGAGGATGTCTTCGACGGTGGGAGACGCGACTACGCTTCGAAGGAGGTGTTGGTGGGTCTTCCGACAGATGATGATGAAGACACCACGGATGAAGAGACTCAGTCCGGATCAGACGAGAACAGAGAAGAAGCTGCGCGGAATCAAGACTTTGAACCCGGCAGCAAGCGACACCCGCGCACGCAGTCGCTCGAGGAAGCCGTGGAGGTTCCGAGTGCCAAGCGGTATGCGGTGCCAAGACGACAGCAACCGCTGGACGAGATGTCTGCCGCAGCACAAGAGAAGGAAGACTTCGAGGCTGCGTACGTCGTGGATTCAGTGGGAGAGATGCCGACAACGTTCAAGTCGGCGATGGAATCCAGCGACGCAGACAAGTGGAAAGAGGCGTGCGACTCGGAGGTGGAGTCGCTCCGCAAGAACGAGACGTGGACCCTGGTGCCACTGCCGAAGGGACGCAAGGCGATCGGCTGCAGATGGGTGTTCCGCGTGAAGGAGAACCAGTCTGGAGAGATCGAGCGGTTCAAGGCGCGACTGGTGGCGAAGGGGTTCTCGCAGAAGTACGGCATCGACTACGACGAGACGTTTGCGCCGGTGGCCAAGTTCACGTCGATTCGGGTGTTGCTGAGTCTGGCGGCCAAGTACAAGCTCACAGTGCACCAGATGGATGTGAAGACCGCGTTCCTCAACGGCTTGTTGGACGAGGACATCTACATGGCGCAGCCGGACGGATATGTGGACGGAGATCGACCCGACTACGTGTGCCGGCTCAAGCGTTCGCTGTACGGCCTGAAGCAGTCGCCGCGGATGTGGAACAAGACGATCGACGAGTTCATGTTGAAGCTGGGGTTCAAGAAGTGCGAGTCCGACCACTGCATCTACTTGAAGCGGGACAATCACGACATGATGTTCGTGGCACTGTACGTGGACGATCTGGTCCTCGCCAGCAGCAGCGACAGGATGCTGAAGGACACGAAGCAGGCGCTGAGTGACCGGTTCGAGATGACTGACATGGGCCAGCTCAAGTACTTTCTCGGTATGGAGATCGAGCAAGATGTGGCGACTGGGAAGGTGTCGGTGCGGCAGACCAAGTTCGCGAAGGACATTCTCGAGAAGTTCAAGATGGATGAGAGCAACCCTGTGAAGACACCGCAGGATCCGGGTCTGAAGCTGACCAAGGCCATGTGCGAGGGAGGCTGCAAGCACGACGAGACCATGGCGAATGTTCCGTACCGGAACGCCGTGGGCTGCCTCATGTATCTCATGGTGGGGACTCGTCCGGACCTCGCAGCGGCAGTGGGAGTGCTGAGCCAGTTCGCAGCGGACCCATGTCCGACACACTGGCAGGCGCTCAAGAGGGTCTTCCGCTACATCCGAGGCACGAAGACGCACGGCCTCGTGTTTCAAGCGAGCAGCGAGGACGGACTGCAAGGCTACTCGGACGCGGACTGGGCCGGCGACATCGAGTCTCGACGGAGTACGAGCGGCTACGCGTTCGTGATGAACGGCGGATGCATCAGCTGGCGAAGCAAGAAGCAGCGCACGGTGGCGCTCTCGTCGACGGAAGCCGAGTACATGGCGCTGTCGGAGGCCACGCAGGAGGCGGTGTGGCTCAAGGTGTTTCTGTGCGAGCTGGGCGAGATGGCGAGCGATGAAGCGGTGAAGATCTACGAGGACAACCAAGGCTCCATCGCGTTGGCCAAGAACCCGGAGTTCCACAAGCGCACCAAGCACATCGACATTCGCTACCACTTCGTGCGCGAGAAGGTGGAAGACGGTCAAGTGGTGTTGCAGTATGTTTCGACACTCGACATGCTGGCGGACATCATGACGAAGCCGATCGCGGCGCCGCAGTTCGACGCGCTCAGGACGAAGCTGGGCATCGTGGTCGCTGACGAGTCGAGTGGGAGTGTTGTCAAGACTGATGTGACGACGCCCCGCCAAGCGACCGTGTGACGTGAACGCGTCATCAGTGAGGTCGGCGTGACCTTCACTGTGTGGTACCGAAATCATTCAGGTGATTACGGGACGATGATTACGTCACGGTGATTACGCCAAGATTGTGGGTACAAGATGGGCATCGACGTGGTGTTCTCTGATTGGATAAGGTAACTGTGTATCCAGTAGAGAATCCAGTAGGGTGTATCCAGTAAGAGGTATCCAGTAGCAGGCTTAGAGGTAGCACGCGGTTGCGAACTAAGGACCTGAATCGAATCACTTTGCATTTTGCCAACTACTGCTCAAGTGCTCTTCCTTTTGGATTGAAGCTTAGACCTTTCAGAAAAGAATGTAATGGCTCTCGTTCTCTGCAGGCAGTGAGTGTTGATTGCATTTTGTTTTGGTGGGACGAGCTTCAACACAGCAGTTAGATCTGAGACTGGACGTGTTGTGCGATCCTGATACCTGGCTAACCGGTCCCACAACTACTTAGCACTAGAACCAAAGAAAACAACAAAGATGCAGACCAGAATGGGGAAGAAACCACGTGTGGAGCAGTGCGCACCGAGCGCGTCAAACCGATGGAGTTTGGACGGCTCCATGGATGTATTGGTGCAGTGGCTGGAGACCCCAGGCAACTACGACCGCTGGCGCGACAGTCCGTCAGCAGCCTGCCAAGATGCGTTTTCGTTCCTGAAGGAGCCCGGGATCGACCACAGAAGCGCGGGGGCGATAGGAACCAAGATCTACCGCACTAAGGAGAAATGGGGGGACGTCACCACATTGCTGAAGGACTCGGGTCTGTTTGACGCCTATAAGAAGGGTGAAGTTGACGCTGGAATACGTGCCAGCGTGAACAAGAAGTGCCCGGTATACGATCGGCTTTCGACCGTGTTTCGCACTGCTCGTGAGCAGGCATGCCGAAAATACGATATATATCTATTGTTTGCCGGACACCATAATAAATATTGCATTGCATCCGAGTATCAGACTGAATAAATAACGCAAGACATAGTGTCGACACAGTAAATTACTGCAATCATGTTACGACTGTACCTACTTACAGGCACTACTCCACGGTCGCAACATCCCAGTACGAGCTGTTGATCTTGAGGAACAAGATCATCTCAAGCATCATGGGGGAGAGGTGGTGGCGCTCATGGCGCAGCATAGCGCGCGCAATGCTGAAGAGCCTCTCAGCCATGTTTGAGGTAGGAGGAATCGCATTAAGCAGCTCGTACGTGGCCGACGCAGCAGCTACCTTGCGTCGCTTGAGCGCACGCACAGCGAAACCTTCCTTGTCCGCCGGCGTGCAGTCCACGCCTTCCACATGATCCTGCGTGCGCTTGAACGGCTCCAGCGCAGCGACTTCGTCGTCCGTCAGCAGGGCCGCCTGGTCGTCCAGCACCTTGACGACCGCCTGCACGAAGACGGCGGAGTGGACTATATCCGCGTCGGTGGCTATGCATAAATAAAAACATATAAAACGCAGTAGTTAAGTAGAAATACCATCAGACGAAGAGTGAGCGATGATCCTTACCGAGATAATTCGCGAACGAGGGGTGGCTCTTGAGGAGCTCGTCGAATAGGACACGAGCGTCCAGCAGCGTAAGGCCGTCGCCCTGCAGGTGCTTGGACACGGACTCGACGTCCCGGAGGCTTGCCAGCAAAGTCTCCAGCTTGCGGTGGGCTGAGCGTGACGGAAGGAAGTCCGCGAGCTCCTCGTCGTCCGCCGAAATGAACGGTTGAAAAGGTCGACGACCAGCGCTTGTCCTGTCTGAGGACAGCGGCCAATGGGGTCTTGGCACTAATTTCAAACAAAACCCAAAAACAAAGACCAATTTAGTACCAATACAAAAACCAAATAAAATAGCAAACAGAGTACTTACCACAATTTGGCTGCTTGTTTTAAAGTCCGCAACTTACGCATAAGCTGCTGGATCTCTTCGAGGATGCTGTCGTGGGGCTCCAAGTAGTCTCGCACCGCCAAGTTCAGGCGGTGGCTGGCACAGCCGATTAGCGGCACACCGAGTAGGTTCGCAAGCCGCTTGTTTACTCCGCAGTTGTCACCAACCAGGAATAGACATCCGGAGATAGACTTACCAAAAAAGGGTAGGAACCTTTTAATCGCCGTCAGATGGCCGTCAGCGCTCAGCCGGTCGTCAGGCTCATCCATGACAGGCGCTAACGACAGCAGCGGGTACTGGGGGCCTGTCGCCGTCTCAAAGCAGCCATACACTGCCATGTAGTGCTCCGTGCCGTGGGTCCACCCATCAAGGACCAGACCAAAACGCTCGGGCATGGTGTCGCCGATCATCGTCTCCATGGCCTTGGTCACGGCCTCCATGATGGCGGTCAGCGTCTCCACGGAGATGGGAGTTAGCTTCGTGTATCTACATAACATACGGCATTAGCACACATGTAAATCACCAAAATAGATATGAAAATACGTACTGTCGCGTTTTCTTGGACTCGCAAAAAGACAGCGGTAGATTGCCCGTGACGATCCAGCGCAGCCACGCGTAGCGGTTCGAGGCCTTCTGGGTGACCCACGGCAGTAGGGTCCCCGTCGCAGTGTATTGCTGTGATTAACTGTGTTGTACTTCAGCATATTTTTGTTGTTCGCTTACCAGCAAACTTGCCGGTTTTCCTGCTTTACAGAGCTGCGGCATGCTTTTTTGTGTGGTGGGTGCACTATGCCTAACTTTAGTTAAGCTTAGTTTGAAGAAAGCGCTAGGCCTCTTCCAAAGTAGTAAGCAATATGTGCATAACTGCAGCTTCGACTTGGAAGTTCGAGGAGGTCGAGTCGAACTGGCTGCGCGCAATCTCACCCAGCGTTGATGGTCCTGCTGGTCCTCACTCGCTTGACCTGCAACTATGACGAACCACCGTGAGCGCACTAAACGGACCTCGCACGTCGGAGCATGCTCCAGCTCCGCAGCAAGCTCACAGCTCGCCACCTCTTCGTTCATGACCCTCTCTCTTTTCACTTAGTCGAGACGCAGTGGATTCTCTCCTGCATACGTTGACCTGCGCGTTTACAGCGATGCAGCCGCCGCAACCATTCTGCAGCTCGAGGTATCCACACGCTCCAGCCCTACCTATTCCTGACATACCCAACGCCAGTCAAACCTTGTCACAGCTTTTCTGCCCCACCGCCTCCTTCCCAATCTTATCTTCATCATTCCCCCACCGCATAACCGCCCATTCATCAGCTCACTCCGCGCAGCACAAGCCGAAGCCAAGACAACATGAGCACCGACAACAAGACCGAGGGCGTTATCCAGGCCGGCAGCCTGTACCGCAAACGCGGCGGCCTGCTGGCCAAGCTCACGGGCGGCAAGCAGCTCGTGTACGTGGAGGCCAACGACAAGCTGAAGAACGTCAAGCTCTTCGAGTCTGAGACCAACAAGGCCTCGCCCCTGGCCACCGTGGACCTGGCGGCTGACGCCACCGTCGAGTTCGACGCGTCCATGACGCACGGCATCAAGCTGGCCAACCCCAAGGCCACGGAGGTGTTCGCGGCCGAGAGCAAGGAGAAGCAGGAGGAGTGGCTCAACTCGTTCATCAACGCCGGCGCGCAGTACCGCGAGGTGTTCAACGTGGCCGACACGGCCAAGATCAAGTCGTTCTACGAGCTCAAGGACTTCGACATGGCTGGCAACGAGGTGTCCATGGCCAAGTACAAGGGCAAGGTGGTGCTGGCCGTGAACGTGTCGAGCAAGTGCGGCCTGACGCCCACGAACTACCCGGAGCTGCAGGAGCTGTACGCCAAGTACAAGGACGAGGGTCTGGAGGTGCTGGCGTTCCCGTGCAACCAGTTCGCCGGCCAGGAGCCGGGCACCCACGAGGAGATCATGGAGTTCGTGAAGCAGTACAATGTGACGTTCCCGTTCTTCGAGAAGCACGACGTGAACGGCGCGACGGCTCGGCCGGTGTTCACGTACTTGAAGACGAAGCTGCCGGGCTCGTTCGGCGACTTTGTGAAGTGGAACTTCACCAAGTTCCTGGTGGACCGCAACGGCCAGCCGTACAAGCGGTTCGCCCCGAAGGACCGTCCGCTGTCGTTCGAGGAGGACATCAAGACGCTGTTGGCGCAGAAGGCTTCGGAAGAGTAAAGGTCGAGTTGGCGGTGCGCGCTGAAGTCGCAGCTATGACCAGCGTTGTTAAGAAAAAATGTTGTTTATTGACCTTTCTTGTTTGTTGCCTGTAGCATCCGATGTGCTTGCCTTGGGTGTTGCTTTTTGAATTTATGATATTTGGCAACAGTATCCATAGCTTTGATGCAGCACGAACTGGAACGCCATTGTCCCGAGGCAACCATAGACGCAAAGCTGGGGTATTGTACGGTAAGGCGAAGATGTGAGTCGAGTGTGGCAAGCAGCGAGCTCATCACATCGGCTTGAGACTGCCACCGATCGATCACTGACACGAACCACCACGTGCTTTCCGTCGGTGAGAACAGACTCTCCAGCGATTCAACAGGGTACTGGCGCACCAGAAGCAGAGTCATAGTGAGCCACGAGCGAATTGCGCCAACGTCCTTGTTGAAGACTACGAAACACTTCAACATGCGCTTCGAGATTTCACGCGCCCACTTCGCGCCTTCAGATGAACGTTCTCTATCAAACAGCATCCGTTCTGTAGGCCGAGGAGAGGAGTATAGCGCCACTAGAACACGCAACGCAAGGACAACAAGTCCATGTGCTCGTCTCCGTGGAGTTTGGACTAGTAGAAATCGATCCATGACTCCCATCAAGTCCTCCAATATCAGTAGCGGTCGAAGCTTCGTGACGTGGAACTCGTTGCTAGAGAACAGGGACTCGCTTGCACGCAGCGACGCTTCTTGGACGCGGATGGATTCGGGGTGGGCCGACCGCATGCTGAATAACTCGTTCCACATCTCGAGCTGGCCCGCTTGGCACTGGAATCGAATCGATGCTTGACATGCCAACGATATGATCCGACCTAGAGCCCATTGCACCTCTTCCTCGCGCAAGTGCGACCGCAGCAATACGCGCAACAACTGCACACTCTTTTGGGTCGCTAGCGTCGTGTCCACCGCAGCCTGGGCCTGAGGATGATCCGCTATGGCATTGTCAATACAAGTCAGGTTCCTGTACACACTGTGTATCATCCGGCTTCGCCTCCAGTTCTCCTAGTGCATCGTGAATTTCTTGCTTGGCTGCTGCCAGCCCCGCAAGGCTCATGAGCTTCGCTTGCTGCATCATCTTACACTTCTAGAAACCCTAGAAGTAGTGAACGTCGGCCGAGAATAGTGTCGAAACCAACTCAATGCTGAGACTTTGCGTCGTGACATCCAAGGAATGGCATCCACAGCAGTGGAGGCGACTCGAACTCCGAGTGTTGAGCTGCGTGACCGAGTTGAACTTCTTCCCGGGAAACTTGCCTTCGGCTTGGCTTCTTCAGCACTCTCAGGTGAAAAGGCAGCCACGCCCAGACAAACTGAGAACCCCAAGAGCCCAACGGAGGATGATTGCCGTCTTCTTGATGACGAATTCGTCTGCATGGATGGCGACTTAGTCTACGCTCGGTTCTTCGCAGATTTCGGGCCCTTGCACTTGTCGCGAACCGTGCGCTTCTGTCGCGACTTGGAATCGCGCTTGGACTTGAAAAACTCAGTGGGAAGAAGTGGAAGGCGACTGGTGCTCTACTGCAGCGATCACCCTCACAAGCGCGCGAACGCGATGACACTGCTCGCGATCTTCTTGGTCTTGGCCCGAGGGTTCTCGCCTGAGCTTGCTGTGACCCGAGTGTTGAAGGACGGCAAACTGCAGCCTCCATTCGGCTTTCGAGACGCTTCTTGCGGAGTGTGCACATTCTTCATCACCTTGCTGGACTGCGCTCGAGCGGTGCACAAGGCGGTATTGAAGTCGCTGTGGAGCTACCAGAGCTTTAACATTGACGAGTACGACCACCTCGACCGTCTGGAGAACGGCGACATCAACTGGATCGTGCCTGGAAAGCTGATCGCCTTCAGCGGCCCGCAGCGTGAGCGCATCGTCCTGGACGCCGAGTCCGGCGCGTCCACACTGCTCGCTCGAGACTACGCTGCGCTCTTCCGGACATTAGGAGTTACCTGCGTGATCCGCTTCAACGAGGCCACCACGTACGAACGAAAGGCCTTCATCCACGCCGGTCTGCGCCATATCGATCTCCCATTCCCTGATGGTAGCAACCCCAGCGACGACATCCTCCACAAGTTCATCCGCGTACGTCTGCGAAAGCTTCTAGCGTCTGCTGTCATGATAACTTACCTTCTTGTATTGCAGGTGTGCGAGCGTGAGACTGGTGCTGTGGCCGTCCATTGCAAGGCCGGCCTTGGACGCACAGGAACCGCCATCGCTGCGTTCCTCATGACGAACTACCGCTTGTCAGCCACGGAGGCCATCGCTTGGTGCCGGATCTGCCGGCCAGGGAGCATCGTCGGCCCCCAGCAGCACTTCCTCGCCGTTAAACAGCCCGAACTCCACGCACTCCCGTCCATCTTCGAAGTAGTCCCTGTGACCAAACCACCACAGCCACAACGTCAGTCCAAGAAGAGCTCCATGCCTACCAAACTCGAGCGCCTTCCACGCCATCACCAGCCGAGAGCGCACGTAAGTTCCAGGTGAAGAAAAACAATTTATATTCATTGCTTTCTCGCTACGTGGACCCCGTTGCATAAAATTGTTGGTCCCTATCTGTCGGAATCGAGCCCGCGGTCATCTCTCTCTCCGTTCCCTCGCGGTCCAAGCACTCGCAATCAGAACTCCCCTCATACGTTGGAGGAGCCGGCGTCATGCTTGGAGGTCCTCGCCCACGCAGCAACACATATTTAGCTAGTTCGTGGCCTGCTACGCCGCTCCGTCGTCGCGCTCCCAGTCCTCCCCACGGCCCGTGCGCCTCACCGCACGCCGCTTATACTCCACTTTCTTGTCCCGTCACGTTGTTTTTTCTGCTTGTTTCGCTTGGTTTTCTCCTCCGCATGCACTCGGACGTGAGCTGCGCGCAGCGCTCACTTGTTGGTTCCCGTTACCGGTGGGGTGACCTGCTGTCGGCTCCCCACCTCACGCCCGTATTTTGGGCCCGAGTATTGGTATATGCCTCGCAACAGAATAGGTCACCCCGCGCACCGCTCCGTAGGTCGACGACGACGCGTGCACCACCTGGGAACTCGCGTAGTCGGCCACGCCGGTCACAGTGCCGTACACGGCCCCCGTCGCCGACGCCACCTTGTGCGTCGTGTAGTTGGCCGCTCCGACCACCGTGCTGCCCGTCTTGTGGGCGACGTTGGACACGGCGCGAACAGCCCTGTCCTTGGTCCTCACGGCCATTTGCTGGCCCTCGTAGAGCTTCGTGAAGGCCACCGAGATGGTGGCGTCCACCTTATTGTCCATGGAGTCCAGCACCGGCACCACCAGCGACTGGTCCACGTCGTAGAGCGTCTTGCCCGAGACCGTGGCCAGCACCGTGTTCACCGTGGCCTCACCCAGACGGGCGAACGGCTTCACGACGCGGAAGCTGGTCGTGTAGTCGTACACGCTCTTGGTCGTTTCGTAGTAGTACGACGCGCGCATGAACCAGGGGCGGTGCGTCTCGGCCGCGGCCAGCGTCTTGGTCGACGACTGCTCGGCCGGCGTCCAGTCGGCGCTGAAGACCAGATGCATCGTGTTGGGCGCCGAGACGGGGCCGAACATGAACGTCATCTTGCTGTCGTGGGAGTCCTGCACGAACTCCTTCAGGCTCCGCCTAGCGGACACCAGCGGCTTTGCCTGATCTTGCTGGAGCACTTCAATCGTGACTTCCTCAGACTCCGCCGTCGCCTGCATGTCGCTGTGGGTAATCATAGATGATTGCGTCGCAGTTAAGAACACACACATGCATAACCGTTAGATAGCTGGATCGGGCACATATCATTCTCGGAGGAGACAGAGACGTACTAGTGCAGGGCCTCGTTGATCTCGATGAGTTTGTTGTGGCCGACGGGCGCGAACCGCGTGTCGTGCACGTTATCGCCCACGGCCAGCCGTATGCCGTACCTGGCCTCCGGCCCTCCGCTCTGGGCCAGCGAGGCCTCGAGGCGATGGACTGCAGCACGTCAAAGAGAGACAGCAACAGCAAGGGTCAGCAACACGAGCGACGGCCGCAGATAGTCGGCAGCTTGTATGTAGTACGCACCCCTCACGGCCAGTGTCCCGGACACCGCCATCCTGATCCCCACCGAGACTTCGCACTCGCTTGGCCAATTCGGAAATGAACTGCCGCCTTTGGTCGCGCGGGCGCAGAGCGGAGCCATCATCCGGAGCGGAAAGTTCCGGCTGCCCTCTGTGCCCTCTCGCCCGCGATGGTGGGCGCAGCGTCTCTGTCCCACCGCACTCGGCGATTGTATGCTGCGACACAGTGGACACCCGACAGAGTCAACGCTGGACTCGCTAACTGCCGCCAGCCTGCCTGGCCTGCTCGCTGCTGCCAGGATAGCAGGCAGCAGCCAAGCCGTCCTGCCAGCCGCAGAGAAGCCCCTAGGTGCTGTCTCAAGCACGCGCATAACGGCAAAGGGGGGAATTTTGGCTGCCCGCCAGCAGCGCGGCGGGCGGTCACGGCTGAAAAGTAGCCGAGCAGACGCCGCAAAGGCAAAGATCGGCGCCCCGGCTCCGCGCAAGTGACAGGAATTTTGACATGCAACTCTGACGTAGAGCGAGTCATTTTGCCAGTTGTCGAGGCGAGCAGTACAGTATCCTTACAATGTAATAGGGACCAGGAATTATAGAGTTGCCCGATACAACAGATTACACAGGTCTTTTCCATACTATTTACTTGATACCTCTTGAAAACGAGATCAAACCTACTAAATATTTGGTTTAGAAGTATGCGCATTGTACGGAAAATACTGTACATGTCGCACTTAGCCGGGGCCCTGCCTAAGCTTGAAGCCGTTGGCGGTTGAACGCCGAAAGATCGACGCGACGTCGGAATCTCTTGCAGCGGCAGAGACACCGAGCTGCCAAACCGCCGAGGCCTGCAATATTTGCTCGGCGTCTCCCTTCTGGACGGCGGGGTGTCTACTACGAAGGCGGCGGCTTCAGTGTTCGCGATCAAGCACAGCGCGGACTGCTCGTCTGCGGGCGCGTCGCAGGGCTCGCCGCTCTTTGCCGGTCGGCAGCTGCCGCAAAGGATAGGGATCAGGACTCCTGATTCAGGAGCGGTGAGCGCTAGCCAAGTGGGACCGTGACGGTGGTCGCCAAGCGAGATCCACTCGTTGAAGCGGGCAGCGGGCGTTGAGGCCCGAGTTGAGACCGCGCTGGCTGGAGGGCGGACCTCGGCCGAAGCAGCGCGGGCAACACGGGGCGGACTGCACTGCGCTGCGCTCGACTTCATCGGCATCTTGCAGTACATGTGGTAGCAGCCTGCTGCTTGCTCCTCCGCGGCGTGCTCGCCAGCCGCATCCTCGCAGTACCCAAAGGGAGAGAGAGGCTCAACCTAGCGCCATCTCGCGGACCTGACGCTGCCGACACGGCAACTGCATCGGGGCCATCCACCACGCTGCGAGCCAGTCATCAGTGTCCGATTTCGAACCCCCATGGTACAGCAGCCAGCAGGACAGCGAAGAGCGGACTTGCGCGTCAACCAGTGTCCGGCGTAGCAGCGCGAGTGTGTGCAGGGCGACGGCGAGGCTGACGAGTCGGCAGTCGATGGCCATTCCTTGCTGCTGGCTCGTGGTGTAGCGACGACGCTGCACCGGCGGTGGCAGGAAACTGCTCGTCCGGGGCTCAGCTGCGGCCGAGGACGGCAGCCGCAGCGAGGCAGACGCGCTCGTTTCGATGAGAAGCTCGGAGCCGTCCGCCTTGCAGCGACGCGGCCGTCGCAAAGGATCCGCCGCAACGGACGGCAACGGTATTATATGCAACAAAGGCAACGTGTACAGTAGACGAGCAGTGCGCGTCTCGTGTGGCACACACAAACCGACAACGCTCGGATCAAGGTGTCTGTGTCTGGCAGCATGATTTGGATGCGGCGCCGCGCGAAATCAATCGCTGCTGCTTTCCACGCTTCTCACGACGGGCTCGGCGCTTCTCGGGAGCAAGAGTCCGTGGTCGCTGCCCAAAATTCCCGCCTTGAAGTCGGCTCTGACATGGCGAAAGCCAAAGCGACGTCGCCCGCCGTGTGAACGGCATCCGCGCGATTCCGGTGTGAACTCGCGTTCTCTTAACTCTACAGTACGGAGTCCACTTGGACTCCACGGTGGTCTCCATCGCAGTGATGGCTCCACTCCAAGGCTCGAACACTGAACGCACCGATGAACGCCATCCAAGGCGCGTCGGCCGCGGAGATGGCGCTCGCTCGCGACTTTGAGATTTGCACTCGGCTCAGTGGTGCAGAACGCAGTCTATAGACCAGGCGTCGGCCGCCCCCAGTCAGGATGCCGCGCGCGGTGCATCACGCTTCGAGGTCGACGTAGGACCAGATATATCGTCCACCACCTCGCTCTCTTCCGGGCTGCCAGGAGGTGAGCTTCTCGCCGGCCACTTCCATTTTAGCGCCAGCGCGAGAACACTTCACACCTCCCCCACCCACCCCCTGCAGACCCAGCCATGCCGACTTCGGGCACGCTCGCGATCAAGGTGCACGGCATCGAGGCCTCGTTCGGCGACGAGGAGCTGGCCGGCAAGAAGCTGGCCGTGCGCTTCGCAGTGGGCAAGGCCGAGCACGTGACCAAGTTCAAGAAGCACGACGCCCCCATCGACGAGCACGCGACGCTCCACGTCATGAACGCCCCCGCCGACGCGCAGCTCACCATCGAGCTGCTGCAGGAGAAGGGCAAGAAGCCGCTCGTGACGACGCAAAAGTCGCTGGCCGAGTACCAGAACAACGCGCAGAACCGCAAGATGACGTTCACGTTCGGTGCCAAGGCCGCGCCCAGCACGGCGCTGCTCGCGTACAGCGCCGAGTGGCGCTCGAGCGAGACGACGCTGACCAACTTCGAGACCCACCGCCCGTGGTTCATGCGCGTGGGCTACTACTACGACACGACCAAGAACGTGTACAACTACACCACGAGCTTCCGCGTCGTGGCCCCGTTCGCGCGCTTCGGCGAGAACACGGCCAACACGGTCGTGGAGAAGGTGAGCGGCAAGTCGCTGCACGAGATCGACGAGGCCTGGGTCGGCCCGGGCCTCAACGCCCTGGACGACAAGGTGGACGCCACCATCTCGTCCGTGGCCACGACGCTCTACTCGGGCCAGCAGTACGCGCTCAAGAAGAAGGACGAGGCCGTCGACGTGGCCTCGACGGTGGTCAAGAAGACGGGCGAGACCGTCTCGACCGCCGTGGGCGCCACCGTGCACACGGCCGCCAACGTCAAGGACTACACGACCGAGAAGGTGGTCTCGGCCACGTCGGCTGTGTACGGCACCGTGGCCAGCGTGGCCGACTACACCAAGACGCAGGTGGTACACGCCTCGTCGTCGACGTACGGCACCGTCAAGGGCGTGACCCTCACGGCGCTGAGCTACGTGCCCGTGATCGGCCCCAAGATCGCGGTCTAAGCCGGCGGAGACAGCAGCGGCTAGCTTGTTTTTATCAATTTATGTTTATAAGGGCTCCTAGCAAGCCCAGAGCGACGAAAACGATGTCGAAGCGTTTTAAGCATGCATAAATGACAAACGTGTTCATGTTGAAGTGGTTCCATCTGGTTGGCGCACCGGGGCAACAGGAGAACGGATCCTATTCACTCTGGCGCCAAAGCTTTTTAAAGGTTAGGCGCCAGCATGCGGCCCGTGTTAACTGCGACGTCGTGACTTAAAGTTCGCCGGACACTATTCACCGCGCGCATGGAACTCACCACAGCATTGACGAGTCCTGGGCGATAGACGCCGGTGGCGTGGATTCATCAGCATTGACAGACATCCTTCGGCTTGGATGCCTATCATCTCGGCTGATGGACATCCAAGCTGATGAATCCGTGGGTACTGTAGGTGTTAGTCGCCCCACCAGAATGGTGGAGGTGATCGGATGCCGTTCACACGCCAGCGACGCCGCTTTCCTTATCGCGACGAGAAACTCTCGCAGTGTATGAACTGGGACGACTACTGCTAATAATGATGTCCAAGTTGGACTCCAACCGCGTGCCAAGGATATCACGACCGCCGAGCCCGCCGTGAACGGCATAAAAAGCGAGCGATTCTGCGTGGCCGTAGCCAAACTCAAGCTGGCACGACTAGCGCTGCAGCAGAACGCAACGTCGCCTCTTCAGGATCGCTGGTCGCGTCAACACGGTGCATGTTGTTGCCCTGTTGGCGCCCCATGTCCCTGCAAGTTTGGTGGTCCCCACCGTTTCCTTCCCGCCTTCTTTCCTTGCCGCAGCTGAGCGGATGAAGCTTTTCAGCGGTCTGCGCTGCAGACCGATGAGAAAGTGACAGGTTCGACCTAACCAGCTTATGTCCTCTAAAGCAAAGCACAGACACCGAGACCTTCGACACAAACTCAACGAGTCAAGCGAATACTTGATTAATTCTCACCCGGCACCTTCTTGTTCCACTCGCCGGTCCGGGCCTTCTTCTTCTTGAGGCCGTCCTCCAGCACATCCAGAGCCTTCTCCTCGTCGTCAATCAGTTCTGCATCACAAGAGTAGAAAATGGTATGTTAGCTAGGCAACAGACCTATCATCCGCGATGCCGTCATACACAAGCGTACCGATCGTCGCAGCAGCACTCCGGAAGTCGTTGAATGCGGCAGCGGCAGTGTCAACAGGCGACAGTCGCTTGCTCTCCCCCTTTGAGATCGAGAACAACTGCAGGTAAGGGTTCTTCTTGTACGACACCGCAAGTACTCCGTCCTCCGTGAACAGCAGCTCGCACGGGTCGTTAGCGAGCAGCGTCTGGGTGTCCTCGCTCGGGATCGCCACCTCCTTGAGAGCGTGCGCGCCATCAGCAGCCACGATCTCGAAGAAACGCGCGTTTTGGTAGTTCACGAGCACCGCCACAATGTTCGTCGTGGGGCAAATCGCCAGCGACACGTTCAGCAAGCTCTTCGCCGCCTTGCGGCCACTGTCGTCGCCGGCATTGTCCGCGTCCTCGTCCAGCGGCTCAAGCGAGACCTTCACACCAGGCAGCAGCGTCTCCGATGCCAGGAGCTTGCCGGTCTTCATCTCCCACAGCTTGAGCGTGTTGTCCATTGACGTGGACACCACAAGCTCGGGCGTGACGGCGCTGCACGCCACCTTGGTCAGACTGGCAGCGTGTCCCAGGCAGTAGCTTTCGATGATGGAGGCGTTCGGGAACCTCGAGACGCGCATCTTCTCGTCGCGATCGGCCGTCAGCAGCAGCGACGAGTCGTGGTTCACCGCCACATGGGTGACCATGGACGTGGTGTGGCCCAGCAGCGTCTTGAGGTCGCGGTCCACGTCGGGGAACGGCACGGCCACGGCCTCGCCCGTCTTCTGACCCACAACGACAGCGTACTTGGTCTCTCCACTGGGCAGCTTCACGTGGCCCACCGCCATGCACGTGGCGCTGCGGGGCACGGAGCGCGAGGCCTTGAGCAGCAGCGTCTCCGCCGCCAGATCCAGCTCGTAGTGCACCAACCGGCGCTCGTCCACGAGCAGCAGCAGCGCCAGCAGCTCGAAGCCCTGCGGCTGGAACAGCTCAATGGTCGTGATGCGGTTGGCGGGCGGCGCCGGCTGCGTGGCCTGCTTCTTCTTGCCCTTCTTGGCGTCGTCCTCGTCCTCCGCAGCGGCCGGGGCCTCCACGACGCCGTCCGCGCCCTGCAGCACCTCGAACCGCAGCAATTTCTGCGCAGAAGAAGCTCCCGAGGGCAGCACGAACACCGTCGTGTTGCGCACCGTCACCACGACGCCGTGCGCCGCCGCCACAAACACACCCGTCGCCACCATGTTGACACACGATCAGGAAATGGCTGGTGCCACCACCAGGAGCACCAGGATGGCTACATTGATGTGCATATGGTGTGTACCACACCCTCCTTTATCCATCAAAGGCGTCGACCGCACATTCAGATCGGAACCCAAGCAGACTTGGACGCGCATCATGATGCTCGCCAAGAGGTACAGTATCCGCAACACTGCCATGGCTGTAGTGTATTATTCTCTAGTACATCTCACGCCACCTCTCTAATGTGCGATATGACTACAGGTTGCATCGTGCGGCGGCCACGCGCTCGCTGCTGGCTGCGCGCTCCTTCAGCTCGTTCCGGACGCACTCGTGCGGCGAGCTGCGGCAGGAGCCCCACGAGGGCCAGCGCGTGACGCTGAGCGGCTGGGTGGACGCCATCCGCCCCTTCGGCCCCATCTCGTTCCTGTCGCTGCGCGACCGTCACGGCGTCACGCAGCTCGTGCTGGAGAAGGACTTCCTGCAGGCCGCCGGTGGGTCTCGGAGCTGCTGCAATACTGTAAGCAGGGGCTGTGAGAATTTAATAGCTTTGAGTGTGTGTGCAATTGCAGATGACGTTGTGAGCAAGATTCGTCCCGAGTCGGTGGTGCAGGCGTCGGGCGTCGTGCGCGCGCGGCCGGCCAACATGCGCAACGACAAGATGGCGACAGGCGCCGTGGAGGTGGTCGTGGACGAGATCGCCGAGCTCAACTCGTGCGTGAACCTGCCCATCCAAGTGGCCACGGGCTCGGAGGTGGCCAACGAGGACACGAGACTGCGCCACCGATATCTGGACCTGCGTCGCCCTGCCCTGCAGCAGAACCTGGTGGTGCGCTCGAAGATCTCGCTGGCGGCGCGCAACTTCCTGTGCTCGGAAGGGTTCCTGGAGATTGAGACGCCCACGCTGTTCAAGAGCACGCCTGAAGGTGCGCGCGAGTTCCTGGTGCCTACGCGCAACGAGGGCCAGTTCTACGCGCTGACGCAGAGTCCGCAGCAGTACAAACAGTTGCTGATGGTGGGCGGCCTGGACAGGTACTTCCAGCTCGCGAGGTGCTACCGTGACGAAGGCGGCCGTGCTGACCGCCAGCCAGAGTTCACGCAGATCGATCTGGAGATGTCGTTTGTTACCCGCGAGGACGTCATGGGGCTGATGGAGCGTCTGGTGAAGGAGATCTGGAAGGCCGCTGACAAGGAGCTGCCCGACCGACCGTTCATCCGCATGGCATTCGACGAGGCGATGCACCGCTTTGGCGTGGACAAGCCGGACACGCGCTATGGTATCGAGTTGAAGGACGTGGACGACCTGCTCCAAGAGACTGAGTTTGTGCCGTTCAAGACTGCCTTGGCCATCAAACCCCCCAAGATTCACAGCAAGCGTGGCGTGGTTCGCGCTATCAATGCCAAGTCTCTGGCCAGCGGCGGCTTCTCGCGGAAGGACATCGACGAGCTGGAGAAGGTGGCCAAGCGCGCGTCGAAGACAGCGGGCGCGTTCGTGGTGAAGGTGGAAGCCGGCAAGCAGTGGAAATCCTCACTAGCGAAGAAGCTGTCCGCAGCAGAGATCGACCAGCTCAACGAGCGTCTTGACGCAGAAGAAGGTGACGTTCTCATCTTCTCAGCTGGCTCGTACCACGACGTGAACACGCTGCTCGGACGCCTGCGTACGCACACATCGCAGTTGCTGCACGCGAAGGGTTTTTTGCAGAAGGAGCTTGACCCGAACAACTTCCACCACTTGTGGGTGATCGACTTCCCCATGTTCGAGCGCAGCGAAGATGACGACGGCAACATCCTCGAGAGTGGCGACAAGATCTCTCTCTCCGCGACGCACCACCCGTTCACGGCCCCTCGCGCTGACCACGCTGTGCTTCTGGACGAGATTCTGGCGAGCGTTGAGGCTGCAGCAACAAGTAGCGAGAAGAAGAGTTTGCTGGAAGACCCGGAGGTCGCCGAGAAGCTGCTGGAGATCACCGCGCAGCACTACGATATCGTGTGCAACGGTTGGGAGCTGGGTGGTGGCTCCATTCGTATTCACCAGGCCAAGCTGCAGCAAGCTGTCTTTGAGGACGTGCTCGAGCTGCCGACGCTGCAGCGCCAGAGCTTCGAGCACTTGCTGCAGGCCCTCAGCCACGGAGCTCCACCCCACGGCGGCATCGCGCTCGGCCTGGACCGCCTCGTTGCCATCCTGTGTGGAGCCCCGAGCCTGCGCGACGTTATCGCGTTCCCGAAGTCGTCCACCGGCAACGAGCTCATGACGAACGCACCGGGCCCAGTGCTGCCCGAGCAGCTTGAGGAGTACCATATCCAGGTGCGCCACGAGGAAGAGTAGACAGCGAGATAGATTGGCTTTTTGTATCCAGGTAGACCAGAACAACGCAATAGACTTGAGGTATACTTGCTTTATCAACGACGATGTCGAGCCCAGGTGTGCTGTAAAGCACTTCAACTACAGTACAATGAAGCGCTTGTTTGTCTATATGTCACTAAACGTTAAACAACAGGGCAAACTACGGCAGCGGCTGCTTGCGCTCACGCTCGTACTCGGTGTAGTTGCCATCGAAGAACTCGACGTGGCCGTTGCCCTCGAAGGCGATGATGTGCGAGCAGATGCGGTCCAAGAACCATCGGTCGTGGGAAATCACCATCGAGACGCCGTCAAAGTCGCTGAGCGCAGCCTCGAGCGAGCGCAGCGTGTCGACATCCAGGTCGTTCGTAGGCTCATCGAGCATCACCACGTTGTGGCCGCCCAGCAGCATTTTGGCCAGGTGGACGCGGTTGCGCTCTCCGCCACTGAGGCTGCCCACCTTCTTCTCCTGCATGCCGCCGCGCAGGTTGAAGCTGGCGATGTACGCGCGCGTGTTGATGCGGTCGCCTCCGATCTCCACGAACTCGTTGTCGCCCGAGATCTCCTCGTACACAGTCCGCCGGCCGCTCAGTTCATCGCGGCTCTGGCTCACGAAGCCGAGGCTCACAGTCTTGCCCAGCTCCACGTCACCCTCGTCAGGCTCCTCGATGCCCGCGATGATGTTAAACAGCGTACTCTTGCCCATTCCGTTGCCTCCCACGATGCCCACAATGGCGTGCGGAGGGATCTCAAAGGACAGCTTGTCGAACAGGACGCGGCCGTCGTCCAGCTGCTTCCGCAGGTTGGTGACCTTGATGACCTTGTTGCCGAGGCGGACACCGGACGGCACGACGATCTGTCCCTCCTCGACGCGCGAGGACGCGCGGAAGCCGCTCGACTCCATCTCCTGCAGCTTCTTGAGACGCGCCTTGTTGGCCTTCTTGCTGCCCTGGTGGTCGCGCGACCACGCGATCTCGGACGCGATCTGCTTAGCGCGGATGGCGTCGCTCTTGCGCTGCATGTTGAGGCGGTTGCGGCGCTGTGTGAGCCACTCCGTGTAGTTGCCCTCGTACGCGTACGTCTCGCCTCGGTCCAGCTCGAGCACCCAGCCCGCCACGTTGTCCAGGAAGTAGCGGTCGTGCGTGATGGACAGCACCGTGCCGCGGTACTTCTGCAAAAAGTCCTCCAGCCAGTGCACCGACTCGGCGTCCAAGTGGTTCGTGGGCTCGTCCAGCAGCAGCATGTCGGGCTTCTCCAGCAACAACCGGCACAGCGCCACACGACGGCGCTCTCCACCGGACAGCACCTCCACGTCCGCGTCCGCAGCGGGCACCCTCAGGGCCGCCATGGCCTTCTCCACCTCGTGGCTCAAGTCCCAGCAGCCCAAGGTCTCGATCTGGTCCTGCAGCTTGGCCTGCTCCTCCAGCAGCGCGTCGAAGTCAGCGTCGGGCTCGCCCATGGCCATCGACACCTCGTCGAACTTGGCCAACAGCGTCTGGCTCTCCCTCAGGCCGTCCATGATGTTCTCGTACACGTTCTTGCTCGGGTCCAGCTGCGGCTCCTGCGGCAGGTAGCCCACCTTGAAGCCGTCCTTGACCCAGCGCTCGCCGTCGAAGTCCGAGCGCACGCCCGCAATGACCTTGAGCAGCGTGGACTTGCCGCTGCCGTTGGGGCCCAGCACGCCGATCTTGGCGCCGCGCAGGAAGCCCAAGCTCACGCGCTCGAAGAGCTTCTTGCCGCCCGGGATGGTCACGCCCACGTCCCTCAAGTGGCACACGAAGTCCCCGGGCACGCCGCCGCCGGCGTTGGAGCCGCCCGACGGAGCTGCAAACGAGCGCACGGCATTGCCGCCGACTTGGGAGGCTGCCAGCCAATGCGGGGCCAGCGGCGAGCTGCGTAGGCCGCGCGACGCCACGGAGCGCGAAGCGACACGGCCGGACAGCATGCTAATGCCCGGCTTGAGTGGATGTGCGGGCAAGAGCGCAGGAGCGCTTTAACTCGTTTATATCGGTTTACAAGGGGTTATAACGTCAATTTCGGTGACCATTTTACCGCTTGTGAGAGCTTCCACTCCAATTCCATACAGCAAGTGCAAGCAACCAGGCCCCAGCGCTGTAGTCTGTGAATGCTACCAAATTCCTAGCTCTGCCAGTAGTACCCGTTTCGTCATTTTGAAAGTGATGGTGTTTGGCATGGCAAAGAGTGCAACATGGGAAGCAGACGAACGAAAGACCCAAACCTGCAGCTACTGAATGCAATTTGCTGTCGAGGAAAACCTGTGCAAGCATTCCGATTCAGTGAAGTTAAAGCTACATTGCCGTATCAACGATGGTGACGAAGTTAAAGTACCTTGCACCATAGTTACGAGGAACTCAGGTGATGCTGATAGTATCGAAGTGCATGCTCAACTCCACGTAGATGTATGCATTGGACCCTTTGCCTTTGCTCACCTTGGAAACGCACTCAGTTCTGACTCAGGCATAGTACAGTAGAATGCCACCGCACTCATCTTGAGTAAGTGTAATGCAAAACCTCCAGCGATAGCGGACCTCGGTGATCGACTCGGTCCCGTCACGAATTGCGAAGATGCTCCGTTGTCGCCTCCGATGACGTGAAGCGTACACTGCAAGGCTGTGTAGACCTTGCAGCTCTCCTGCAACTTGCAACAGTGGTGTTAAACCGGAGTGCGTTGAGGCAATCTCGATGGCGTGGTTGCACCCCGCGAAAGCTGATCCAGAGTCACGTGATCCGTCGTGATGTCCACCACACAGCGCTTTGCTTCAACCTCCGCCGTTTGTGTCATTCCTGCATTGACTTCACTTGGCCCCCATGTGGCCGCTCTCGCTCTTGTCCCGTGCGTCTCGCTGCCTGTCGCGCTCATCGGTGCTGACTGCCAGTCACCCGCGCACCTTCTCGTCCGCGTCCAGCCGCCTCAACCTGGCGGTGGTGGGCACGGGCCGCATGGGCCGCATCCGCCTCGCGGGCATGCAGAACGACCCGCGCGTCTCCATCGCTGCAGTCATCGACTCCAATGCCTCGGCCGAGCAGCTGCAGGAGCTCAGCAGCCAGTACGGAACGCAGTGCTTCTCGATCATCGCGGAGGCTGGCGCCGCTCTGAGCGATCCGGTGGACGGCGTGTGGATCTCCACACCCACCCCCACGCACCTGGAGCTCGTCCGTGACGTTGCAACGGGGAAACTCGGCACAGACGTCAAAGCCATTGGCATCGAGAAGCCCGTCGCTGCTCTCGTGGACGAGATCGACGCGGCGTACCAAGTGTGTCACAAGAACGACGTGAAGCTCTTCTGCTCCTTCCAGCGCAGGTTCGACCCGAGCTACGAGGCTCTGCGCGCGCAGTGCGTGGACAAGCAGAGCATCGGCAAGCTGCAGTCCATCCACACGGTCTTCCGAGACCACCCGTGTCCACCCGTGGAGTTCCTTAAGACCGGCGGAGACCCGTTCCACGACCTCGCCGTGCACGACATCGACTACGTGTGCGACCTCGTCGGAGAGTATCCGGACAAAGTGTACGCGCATGGGACCAGCCTCTCCGCGGAGCTGAGGGAGCTCAACGTCATGGACAAGGCCAGCGTCTGGCTCGAGTTCCCCAAGACGGGCGTGGTGTGTACCCTGGATCTGAGTCGGAGCGCCGAGTACGGCTACGACCAGCGCATTGAAGTGGCGGGTGAGCACGGCATGCTGCAGGTGCAGAACCCAAGCAAGACGGCCACGGTGCAGTCGACAAAGGCCGGCACCACGTCCGACGTGCTGCTCCACTCCTTCCCGGAGCGCTTCCGCGAGGCGTATCTGCTGGAGCTCGACAGCTTCATCGACGTCGTGCAGGGCAACGGCAACCCGCGCGTGCACTGGGGCGCTTCCCGCATGAACACCATCATCGCCGAGGCCGCTCGCATCGCCGCGGTGGAGAAGAAGGTCGTCACGATCAAATATCTCGGCACCAAGCAGACAGCGCCCAGATCCGACCCCATTCTTGAGTACGAATACGAATATTAGAGTGGCGCGCTCAATACAGGTAGACTCGGACGAATTGATAGTCGGCTTGGATACAGTTGAAGTTTGATCATAAACCCAAAGCTCCTAGGCGACCTCTGCCCGACCACTCATCGATCGTGTTTGACGTGGCGTCGGGGATCATCCCTCACTCCCGAACTCTCCAGCTTCGCACTACCAACAATGGCGTCGCAAGAACCGCAGATCCACCGCGCCCTGCGTGCCGATGTCCACGAGATCTCGGCCATGATCCAAGAGCTCGCCGACTTTGAGAAGGAGTCGGCCTCGAACAAGGCCACGCCCGAAAAGTTACTGGAGACCGTCAACTTCGCCGACGACGTGGCGCCCGAGCACATTCCAGGCTTCCCTCTCACTGCCGCTCCGAGCCGCAAGGTGGCGCATTGCTTCGTCTTGACCATCGGGGACAAGGTCGCGGGTATGGCGCTCTTCTACTACAACTATAGCACGTGGCTGGCCTCTCCCGGCGTGTACCTCGAAGATCTCTACGTGCGACCAGAGTTCCGTCGCCGAGGACTGGCCACGCTCCTGTTCGGGGCGTTGGCCGAGGAAACTCAACGCATCAGCAATGGCCAAGGGCGACTCGAGTGGGCGTGTCTGCGCTGGAACGAAGGTGCTCTCAAGTTCTACGAGCGCATCGGCGGCTCTCGCATGGAAGAATGGGTCAGCATCCGCGTCGCCGGGGGCGAGAAGTTGGAGCGCCTGAAACAACTGGCAGACGAGGTTCGAGCCAGCAGCGGCAAGTAACGCAACGCAGAGAGAAGCGTCTCGAGTACTCGCCCCAACAATGCGACCTTTTGCTGAGCTTCCCGCCAGCAGTTGGGCTCCAATTTTGCAACAAATTCTCATAGCTGCGCATCTTACACACTTAACAACAGTTTACGTCAGTACTAGCACAACATCAAAACTTCCCATTCCATCGCCTTGAGGTACTGGCTATTGAGGGCGACGCAGGTGTGTCGTCGTCTCGGCGAACTCTTCCTCTTGAACGCGCAGGAAGAAGACGAACACGAGGAAGAGCAGCACGTAGAAGACGCACTGCAGCGACGCCCAGTTGACTCGACACCACAATCGCCCCTGCCTCAGTCGCCGTCGCAGCTCCGCCGTCCGAGTCCTCACACACCGACGACATCCAGCCACGCCGCGTATCCTGCCGCAATTTTTGCAATACAATCTCAGCTCTGAAACTGCCTGCAACCTCTATCAATCACAGCACGCACCTCCACAGTCCCAGGGCCTCTATCCATCGAGATCCATTGGGTTGTCCTCGACGTGGCTGCTGCTCCTCCCCATGTATCAATGCCGCCTCGCTATTGTCACTTTCTGCCGTGCTTGGTACGGAAATTTGCACTTCCGACGCGGAATTCCGCGCCGACGCAGCCACTTTCCTCTCCACAGCATCGACGAAGCTCGTGGCTTCGTGCGCGTCGGCTGTAGACGACCGTGGCGAGCTCGCAGCCAGTGCGGCCAGCGCCTCCTCGAGCGCTCGGTTCGGAGTCACGGAGAACGGCCCGGAGAGCAGCGGGGAGCGGCACATTGGACACGCGTCCACCTGACGCAGCGCCCCATCCAGACACGAGCGGCAGAAGCTCTGGCCGCAGCAGGAGGCGAGCACGGGCCGCTCGAAGCTGCCCAAGCAGATCGGGCAGTGCCAGCCGTCGCTGGACGACATTTCAGGAGAGGAAAAATGACGTTCTGGTCCAAATTATTGATTTGGGAACGCTATTTTTGGACACAACTTCAACTTTGAGGGGATCAGATTGGGAGGTGCAGTTTCTGAAGTGGTTTTGCGACTGGCCAGAGTTGCGAGTCAAGAGCAAGGACAGGTATTTCTTGGCGAGCGGTCGCCATAGCGTGGTCCCAGTACTAGAAAACGGCTGCGATGGTTCTCTCTTAGTACTCCCCTGCAAAATTTTGGAGTGATAAGTGCCATCTACATAGGACCGACCCGACCTCCTTGCACTATAGAGGCCGTGCTCGAACGCTGGTGTTGGTGATCGGTAGAGCCCAAGACTAAAACTCTCGTTGGTGTGGCCCTATCGTTGACTCTTTTGAGCTTGCGCCTTATCATATCAACAGGAGCGATGTGAAGCAGTATCCGTTGCGAGCCGTTGGATGGGATCGAGTTGCTTTGAGTCCATCGTGTTATAGGTCGAATCAAGTGAAATGAGTGCGAAACTCGAATCTGTCTGAGGTGGTGCTCCAGCTATTGCTGGCCCAACGTTTCCGATGAGCGCGTACGTGAGGGCGTTTCAGATGAGGTCGCCCAGGAGTCTGTTGTGTGGCTGCGCGATGAACATGCAACACATTAAACAGGAATTTACACGTCTTCGTCGGTTGAATTCACTGGAGGTTGATTGATTCAATGCTGAGGGTCGGCTTGCACCGCCGCAATAGTAAAACATATCCACTACGATACTTGCCGATCCGTCATATACAAGCCCTTGGCTCGCGTGCATTTTTCTTCGTCGCCCCGATCAAAATATTGCCGCTGCAGGCAGCAAGCCGCCATTGACGAAACGAGCGTGTCTTTGCTGCAGGCTTCAACTTGCGACGAATAGCTGGGCAGGCTGTTCGTGAAATAGCTGACCTTGTCAGTATATAGATAGCAGCTATCTATATAATACTCGGGCGTACGTTCCCAAGAATCGCCGGTAAGACTCTGCGATGTGCTCTCGTCCACTGCGCGTCTTACGCCAACGCCAACGTCAATGGCGCTTGCCTACGCACCGCAGCGAGCAGTCGACTAGAGAAACAGTAGACGAGTGACACTATCTTCGATTGGTTAACACGTACAGCAGGGAATTCATCATCGTAAAGCGTTTCAATCAAAAAAGGGAGCACGAAAGCAGAGCCAGATCAGAGCGACCCCAACAATAGCCGGCGAATGGAGGCGAGTATAGCGTGCTGCGCGGCGCAGCCTGCGCCTGGTCCGTCTCCGGTGGTTCGTTATCGATGCGGTCTGCAGCATCGCGAGAGAAACAACGCTGGTCAATCTTCCCACGTACTCTCGGTCAATTCACTTTTCAACTTTCGTCACCAGGGCAAGAAGCACCGGGACCAGACCGTCGAGTACCGAGAGCATTTCGCCGGTCCGCTAGCCCAGTCCAACCACAACCACCTTCATTCAGTGTCTAACATGGCGGCGCTCACGGATCTCCTGTGCCAAGGTATGTAGATTGGCGAAACCTTGAGGCGGGGCAGTAACGAGGGCATACATGTACCTCGCTCTCGGTTCCTCTATGTGTGACCACGTCACTGCGCATTTCGGAGGTGTATCACATCTGATTTCGTGTCCAGCACTGTGCTGGCACAAGAGGAGCTGGGATATGAGATGTCACGCTTGCTTCGTGTTTCCGCCTGGCCTAGGCTACTTGTTACTACGTGCTTACCTGCCTGCATTGCTGACCCTCGCCATTCATGTGACGCATTTCCAGTAAGCTCGATGCGGGCGAGCAGTGGGAGCTCGCTGGTCTCTGCAGCGCCAATCCTCGACAGCGAGCGGGGCAAATACATCGCATCGGCGCCGGCGCGGACGCACTCGCGGCGCTGCGGCTTCCCTGAGTGCCAGAAGACAGCCAAGCGCGGCGGACTCTGCATCTCGCACGGCGGCGGCAAGAAGTGTTCGGTGGAGGGCTGCACCACCAGCGTCGTGAGCCGTGGCTTCTGTGTCGCCCACGGCGGCGGCAAGCGGTGCCAGGCGCCGGCCTGCACCAAGAGCGCGCAGACCGGAGGGTTCTGCTGGATCCACGGCGGCGGCAAGAAGTGCGGCTACCAGGACTGCAAGAAGCGCGCGCAGAGCGGTGGTGCCTGCATCTCCCATGGTACGTACGATGTGGCCTACTAGAGCTGGTGCAGTTGACAACGGGGACTAACCGGTCACATTTTGATCTTGTGCAGGTGGAGGCAAACGCTGCCGGATTGAAGGTTGCAACAAGGTGGTGCAGTACGACGGGCTCTGCGTCGGCCACGGAGGCTATCGCAAGTGTCTGTCCATCAACTGCGACAAGCGTGCGCTCGCCAACAGCTACTGCCAGGCTCACGGCGGCAACTCGATGTGCCGCGTCGTCGGCTGCCACAAGCGAGCGATTCGCGGCGGCATTTGCTCCGAGCACAAAGCTCAGATGCCACTTCAGGCGGCCCGATCCATCACCACGTTCGCGCGCTGCAGACCCTCGCTCGACCAGGACCCGCAGTTCAAGGTCGAGCCCACTGCAGTGCTTCGCACTCGTCTAGATCAGTATCACAGGAGCCCGACTGTTGTCAGCAAGGCGACTTCCGAGCTCCGGGGGCCCTCGACCTACAGCCGCATGCGGCTCGCAATGGACACGGACTCGCCGGCTGCCGACGAGCACGTCCTGTCCCCTCTCCAGTACGTCCGACAAGGGTCCCCCTCTCTGTTGGACGACGGGAGGACGATGGTGACCCCCATCTCCAGACACTTCAACGCCGGAGAACGGTACGACCCGTTTGGAATGAAACGCCAGAACCTCCCGGTACTGCCGAGCTTCCAGACGCTGCAGCGAAGTGCTAGCTGTGGCTCGTCCTCGGGGTCCGACATGGAGGTGTCCAGCTCCGGATCAACGCCCAACCAGCCGAATGAGGACATCGTGGACCAGCAGTGGACGCAGTTCCCAGCAGAAACGCTGTCTAGGCCCAGCGATATGGTGGTGTCACTGGGCAAGGCTTGCACTCACACGTGCAGCGTGGCGTCCTGCTCGCGGCACGCCAAGAGGAACGGGCTGTGCCTACTGCACAACATCGTCGTCGCGGTACCCAAGTAGTAAATTAGTCGAATCTGTTGTCATCCTAGTTAAGAACACGTATTCAAAATGCATAAGTACCTCCCAAGAGTCATTTTTCAGTCGTACGCTCTAGCATGCAGCATTGGCAGACACTCTGGATCTTTTGGGGGTAAACTCCACAAGTCGGACGCAGGCACAGCGGTGGCAGCGATCACAGTCCAGCACAACAAGAAGCAACAAAAACGCTTGGGCAAGGAACCAAACAGCGAATCTTGGTTAGAGCTCACGGAGAGAATCGACAAATAAATGATGAGGTTGAGGTGGAATCAGTTTGGTTTCTGGACGGCATTGTAACAAGGTATAAAATGTCCCGACCATCTCAGCGAAAGCTGTTTGAAACCTTCATCATTTGGGATTAGAACTTCTAGGAAGAATAATCCCACACCTGATTTGAAATTATAAATCTACATTGCAGGCTATTTACAAAACTTTGGCCTCACGGACAGCAGGCAATTTAGGAACCGTCTAAAACCTATTTTTAGTTTTAGAACTCACAAAACCAAACAGGAACCATGACATGCACAGTACCCCAAAGCGCTGACTACAACTCAATACTTAGTTGGCATTACTGCTTCGTGCACTGTACATACATCTACCGGCTGGCTACAGAAGAAACAAAAAAGGTTATAAGCTTAATTGCACCGTACGACCAGCCAAGATTAGCCACCCTAAAAACACCAATACTTAAGTGAGTTGCAATGCGGTGCCTTGCTTTTGGAAATACCGCAACAATTCAATCCCATATTCAAATTTCAACGGCCTGAAGCGCAGCGTTCGCTCAGACTGTTAGCTTCACCATGGTAATAGCGTAAGTTAAACTGCAAATTTAGGGGCGCCTACCGCCGGGTTGTATTCTACTTCTCCGGTCTGGAAAAGATTGAAGTGTTCTTTATTCAGTTTATAGATAACGTGTTACTGCTCCAACACAGCTTGAGGAGCCCATAGAGTAAAGATCCCAAATCGCTGTAGTTTTCAAAATGGTTTTCCCGCTTTTTAAGGTTGTTATCGGACGCTTTAATGGGGTCTGGTCGTAAAAACTGATCAGATTCGAGCTTGGACATACTCTTGCGAAAGCGGGAAGTAATGGTAAGGTGAAAGACGATAACTGGGGTCATAATGGAACACAAGGACAAGCAATACACGCGAACGAAGATAGATTGAAATCTGAAATTACATTGACTACGGCCCAATAGCCCCAACATCAAGCAGTAGTTAACTTTAGTAATTTTCGTGCAACGAACAGAAGATAAAATGCAAGGTTTATGTTTTAACTTTTTTTAAAAATGACGATGTATTATATATATTGAATTAATACATGGTAACTTACTTTTAAGTTTTAAAAAATGTACATGTACTCTAACCACCTAGCCGATCAAAAGACAAGCAATTCGATACGATCTAGATCTGCTAAATGCTACCGCAATGGCCGTAGGCTATGGTGTCTGCATCCAGTTTGCATGCGAAAACATATAATTGCGTTTTCGTATCGTTTACTCCAGTGACTGTCACGATTTTCCTTCGTCGGGGTCGTGCCCTTGCTAGGCCGAGGTTGGAAGAATAGATAAACTCAAGAAAAGACTAAGAGAAGAGTAAAGTAGTTTGTTGCTGTTGTTGCTTATGAAGAAAAATCACGACTGACTCGCACGGCCGACGGCTCAGCTCCCATAGTATCCAGTGGAACGCAACTGCACGGGGTCCACAGTGGCATCGACCTACCGTATCCTGGCCTCTTTGGTGTGCGTTTCACCCGGAACGCATGAGGTGACTCACGAGTAGTTGCACTCTGTCTATCCAGCGCACGCATTGTGTTCAAACACTCCAGGAGTAGTGTTAGACCGTCGACTGGGGGAGAACCGTAACATGACGGGAAACAATTTAGTAAAGATTCAACACCGAAATTATCATCAAGGTCCCCTACTGGACCAATTGTAACGAGCTGCACACAACAACAGTTTGTTTGACGTGCTTTAAATTGCGGGGAGGGTTTGTAGCGGTTTAGTCAGCAATATACACGCATAGTTGCATCTCCGCCTTCCGCGGTCATATCGCGCAGTAGGCTGCCCCTAAATTTGCAGTTTAACTTACGCTATTACCATGGTGAAGCTAACAGTCTGAGCGAACGCTGCGCTTCAGGCCGTTGAAATTTGAATATGGGATTGAATTGTTGCGGTATTTCCAAAAGCAAGGCACCGCATTGCAACTCACTTAAGTATTGGTGTTTTTAGGGTGGCTAATCTTGGCTGGTCGTACGGTGCAATTAAGCTTATAACCTTTTTTGTTTCTTCTGTAGCCAGCCGGTAGATGTATGTACAGTGCACGAAGCAGTAATGCCAACTAAGTATTGAGTTGTAGTCAGCGCTTTGGGGTACTGTGCATGTCATGGTTCCTGTTTGGTTTTGTGAGTTCTAAAACTAAAAATAGGTTTTAGACGGTTCCTAAATTGCCTGCTGTCCGTGAGGCCAAAGTTTTGTAAATAGCCTGCAATGTAGATTTATAATTTCAAATCAGGTGTGGGATTATTCTTCCTAGAAGTTCTAATCCCAAATGATGAAGGTTTCAAACAGCTTTCGCTGAGATGGTCGGGACATTTTATACCTTGTTACAATGCCGTCCAGAAACCAAACTGATTCCACCTCAACCTCATCATTTATTTGTCGATTCTCTCCGTGAGCTCTAACCAAGATTCGCTGTTTGGTTCCTTGCCCAAGCGTTTTTGTTGCTTCTTGTTGTGCTGGACTGTGATCGCTGCCACCGCTGTGCCTGCGTCCGACTTGTGGAGTTTACCCCCAAAAGATCCAGAGTGTCTGCCAATGCTGCATGCTAGAGCGTACGACTGAAAAATGACTCTTGGGAGGTACTTATGCATTTTGAATACGTGTTCTTAACTAGGATGACAACAGATTCGACTAATTTACTACTTGGGTACCGCGACGACGATGTTGTGCAGTAGGCACAGCCCGTTCCTCTTGGCGTGCCGCGAGCAGGACGCCACGCTGCACGTGTGAGTGCAAGCCTTGCCCAGTGACACCACCATATCGCTGGGCCTAGACAGCGTTTCTAATAGTCTAAAGACGCCCCTACAAAGAGTTGCGGACCAATTGCAGGCTTGTTGAAGCTATCTACTCGCTGCGGTAGAAAGCTTACAGGTTCCAGACCCTTTTAGCCGGAGACGGGTGCCATAAGGTACTAGCCTGGTTTGCGTCTCAGTGCAGGGTGTAAGGCTTAGCTCCATTGAGTTTAATGAAAGCAGAAGACCTTCAATTCTTGAGCTTTGTATTTGTGTCGGTTTGATTCTTACGTACATGCATGCACACTGTAAAGAATGATCAGACCAGTATTCCGGGCTTGGTTGAGCTACTTATTCGCTCCTTCTGGCAAGCTCCTTGAGCAGGTCACCCGTTGAGAGCGCCTCCAGGTCAACAGCAGGCACGTCCAGCCAGTCGACGGGGTTCTTGAGCACGTCGAGGGTCTTCTCCTCCCACGATCCGGGCGCAGGTTTGTTCATGTACTCCCAACGCGCAGTCAGCGGGAGCGACATGAGGATCGACTCGACGCGAGATCCAGGAGTCAGCAGACCGAACTTGGTGCCGCGGTCGTACATGATGTTGAACTCGACGTAGCGGCCACGGCGGATCTGCTGCCACTCCTTCTGCTGCTTGGTGAAGGGCATGTCCTTGCGCTTCTTGATGATCGGCAGGTAGGCGTCCAGCATGGAGTTGGCGCAGCTGCGGATCATCTGGAAGTTCTCCTCGGACGTGTCCGTGAGGTCATCGAAGAAGAAGCCGCCGATGCCGCGTCCCTCCTGACGGTGCGGGATGTGGAAGTACTCGTCGCAGGCCTTCTTCCACTTGGGGTAGATGGCAGGGTCGCGCTTGTCCAGCTGCGTCTTGTACACGGCGTGGAAGTGGCGCGCGTCCTCCTCGAAGAGGTAGCTGGGCGTCAAGTCGGCGCCTCCGCCGAACCATCCGATCTTCTTGGGCTTACCGTCCTTGTCCAGGTACCCGGTCTCCACCTCGAAGTAGCGGTAGTTGAGGTGGATCGTGGGCGCCATGGGGTTGTGCGGGTGCATGACGAGGCTCACGCCGCAGGCGTAGAAGGGCAGCTCGGCGCCCTCCTTGAGGTCCTTTCCCCTCGCCGTCATCTGCTTCACAGCAGCAGGCGGCAGCTTGCCGTGGATGATGGAGACGCCCACGCCAGCCTTCTCGAAGACGTTGCCGTCCTGCAGGATGCGGCTGCGGCCGCCGCCGCCGTGGCCCTCGCGCTCCCACTTGTCCTCGCGGAACTTCTTGCCGTCTACAGCCTCGATGCCGGCGCAGATCTCGTCCTGCACGCGCATGATCAGCGCCTCCATGCGCTTGGGCAGCGGCGCCTTGGTGTCGAACTCGATGCTGCTCTTGGGCACCTTGTCCTGCGACAGCGGCTGGTACAGGAACTCGGACGTGGGGATGGCGGCGGCCTTGCAGCGGCTCGACTCCTGCTGCTGCGCCAGGTACGACGCCCCCAGCGCGGCGGGCAGCACGGCCGCGGCCATCCACGGCCGCGAGGGCTTCAGCAGCGAGCGAAAGTGACGCATGCTCGCGATTACAAATCTCGGACTGAACCTGCGGCTGCCAGCAAAAGTATCCGCACGTAAAGACACGCACTGCGCACTTAACCGACGGTATTGGTTTTTTGTTAAGTACGAAGGCGATACGTTGAAGTGGTGCGTGGCCACCCGAGGCGCGAGCTTCGGGTCAGAGCTAGCGTTAGACCGGTGATTTCAGGCTAGAAGGTGGAGTGATGCGGACTTTTGCTAGCGTGGCGATGCGACCAAGGACTGGATCGAGCGCATTGGGGTTTTGTGTTGTTTTGATTTTGTATTTGAGTTGATATCTACAGACACACGAACGACTATCTTCGTGCTAGCAAGCACGCTTTCCACAGGCCGAGGACGCCATCGCTTTAAGGCTCCGACTCGACCTTCAGCCAGTCGACGGGGTGCTTGAGCACCTCGAGGGTCTTGCCCTCCCACGAGTCCTCCTTGGGGGAGTGCATGTACTCCCAGCGGGCCGTCAGCGGGAGAGACATCATGATGGACTCGACTCGCGACCCGGGGGTCAGCAGGCCGAACTTGGTGCCGCGGTCGTACATGATGTTGAACTCAACGTAGCGGCCACGGCGGATCTGCTGCCATTCCTTCTGCTCCTCCGTGAACGGCATGTCCTTGCGGAGCTTCAGGATTGGGATGTACGCGTCCAGCATGGAGTTGGCGCAGTTGCGGATGCACTGGAACGTCTCCTCCGACGTGTCCGTGAGGTCGTCGAAGAAGAAGCCGCCGATGCCGCGGTGCTCCTTGCGGTGCGCAATGTAGAAGTACTCGTCGCACGCCTTCTTCATCTTGGGGTACCACGTCGGGTCGCGCTTGTCGAGCTGCGTCTTGTAGACCGTGTGGAAGTGGCGCGCGTCCTCCTCGAAGAGGAAGCTCGGGGTCAGGTCGGCGCCTCCGCCGAACCAGCCCACCTTCTTGGCGTTGCCCTGCTCGTCTTTGCCGACCTCGATTTCGAAGTAGCGGTAGTTGAGGTGGATCGTGGGCGCCATGGGGTTGCGCGGGTGCATGACGAGACTGATGCCGCACACGTAGAACGGCAGGTCCTTTCCGGGCGGCAGCTCGGCGTTGCGCTCCGTCATCTGCTGCGCGGCGGCAGCAGGCAGCGTGCCGTTGATGATGGACACGGCCACGCCGGCCTTCTCCATGACGTTGCCGTCCTGCAGGATGCGGCTGCGGCCGCCGCCGCCACCCTCGCGCTCCCACTTGTCGGTGCGGAACTTCTTGCCGTCCACAGCTTCAATGCCGGCGCAGATCTCGTCCTGCACGCGCAGGATCACGTGCTCCATGCGCTTGGGCAGCGGCGCGGACGTGTCGAACTCGATGCTGTCCCTGGGCACCTTGTCTTCCGACAGCGGGTGGTACAGGAATTCGGGCGTGGTGGAGCTGGTGGTGGCCATCTTGGAGCGCGGTTGTAGTCTTGATGCGGAGGAGGCGAAAGCGAGACTGAGGCGCAGCCTCGTGGCCGCACATTGGCGGGGGCGTGCAGATAGATGGCACACATGCACGCCGAGGCAGCCAAGACAAGCGGAGCGCGAGCGCAGCGAGAAACGCAGCGAGGCAATCGTGCAGAGCAGGGCTGCGACTTGCACAGTGCAAGCAGTGCGACTTGCACTTCACGGTGGATATGTTGCCCTTTTGGCGCTGCACAAGTCGCAGATATCGATTTCGAAGAGTGTGACGTGGTCCACTGGGCGTTCATTTTGACCAGCGCAGAGGCGTCCGCCATGGAAAGGAGGTGCCAGTGTTTGTCTGTGCGACTGCAGATCTCCGGTGCTCGTCGCTTTGGGTAAGGTTGAGATCGCCGCACGATGGTCGCCACCACAAACTAAACGCATTTAACGGATCCTCGGAGCTACACTCTTGATCCACCAGTACAAATGTCACTATCCCATGCACTTGCACAAGGTATTGAGTGACATAGGTTTTAATGACAACTAGTCCTTGACATCGATGTGATGGATACACAGAGTATAAGATTGTAAAAGTTTATACGGGCCAGTTGTCAAAACTGTAAGCCGTCGTACAGCCGAGTTGTTCTGATCCGCGTCATGAGCATGCGTCCTCCGCCGCAGTCCGAGATGGCCGAGCGCCTGGTGAACGCGCCGCAGATGCAGCGCGATCTGCAGCGCGCGCGCGAGGAGAACGCGTATCTGCGCGCGCAGCTCAAGCAGCAGGGCGCGGCCGGCACCGGCGCGCTGCCGTCGCGAGACAGCGCCAAGAAGACGCGCGCCAAAGACGACGCGGCCGACGCCGACTTCGACCGGGCGCTGGCGCGGCGGCAGGCGCGTCTGGACTCGGCCGCCACCAGCAGCGGGAGACTGGCCGCCAACCTGGAGCTCAAGAGCGCCAACGACCGCGTGGCGCAGCTGGAGCGGCAGCTCCTGGACGCCGAGGAGACCATCTGCCACCTCAAGGCCGAGAAGCTCGCGGCGGTGCGAGACGTCGAGCGGCTCAGCGCGGCCAGAGAGCGGCGAGGTACCAGCAGGAGAGAGGACACCGAGGAGCAGCGCAGACTCGTGCTGGAGCTGGAGACGAGGTTGGCCGAGCAGAAGCAGGCCCACGCCCTCGAGCAGGAGCAGCGCATGGCCGTCATTAGGGACCAGGAGCTGGAGCTCAAGACGCTGCGCGCGCAGTTGGAGGAGAAGACGCAGCAATACAAGGAGCTGCGGCAGCGACACATCGACCTGCTGGAGCTGGACGACCAGGTCATGGTCAAGCAGAGCGTCACCAGCGGCCAAAGTCAGTTCAGCATCTACGGAGAAGACAGCGACGAGGACGAGGACGCCAAAGCGACCAAGCCTAAAAAGGATAAGACTGGGCGCGCGCGAGCCCCCGCTGATGCGGACTCAATTGACCCCAAGTGGAAAGAGGAGCTGGTGCGCCACCCGACGCCGCACTTCGACCTCGAGTCGCCGGAAGTCGCCTACATCCTGCGCGCGTGGACGAAGAACATCAAGAAGATGCGCTACTTGCGCCGCTGGCTCATACAGGTGGTGTCCACGAAGGGCCCGCTGCCGGAAGACTTCCCCATGGGCGTTGAGCTGCCTCGCCTGCCGCCGGAGGTGCGAGACGGGTTCCTCACCCTTATACTGCCGCTGCTGCGAAAGCAGACCCAGCGAGAGATCCTAGCTCACTCCCGTCTGTACAATGACGGAGTTCACACCGATTTGCGTTTCCGTGTTGTGCCGCGTGATTAACTTAATCAAGATCGTTGCTGTTTGATGTCGATCACCGCAGCTCTAGGTCGCAGTATTCTTGTGTAATCTCCTTTATGACGCTTGCTAGCTGGCTTTGAAGACGCTCTATCCCTTCTTGTGAGGCCAGGTGCACATTGGCACCGGCACTTTTCGAGCGGCTAGTATTTAACGTCTCCCAAGACCGTTGGGATCGGAGAAAGAGCTTCTGCGGGTCGAACAGCTCGCGCGTCTGCACTTCAAGGGTGAACTTCTCCGCTTTTGTCTCCATCTGCTGCACCCGCGAGCGAGACTTTTGGCGACTCGACCACTTCTCCCACTCCGCTTTATAGCCCTGTTCGATCTGCTGGATCTGGGTCGCGTGGGCTTGGAACAGCGTCTGCACTTCCTGGATCTGCGCGTACAGCGCTGAGTAGGTAGTATTTTCTATTGGGCTGACCGTGGATTCAACGTCACCGCCACTATTCATCGACAGCACAAGACCGTTGATCCACTTGTAGAAGAGAGCTTCGTCTTCTGTCATCTGAACACTGCCATCAGCAGTTAGTACGCTTGACCACCACTTCACGGATACAGCCGCAACGAACCTTTGCGATAGTACTCGCACTTGATCAACCAGTTGTGAAGTTGGTCCAGCTAAGAGGTCGAGCACGTAAGCTGGAATCAGCTCGTCCTGGTGCTCTTCAGGCTTGTTCTGCATCATCTCAAGACGCTTCACCAACCGTTCGTGGTAGCGTGCGTAGGCCTCCATCTCATTCAGGTGGCCTTGCAAGCGACCAAGCACGCTATGCAACTGGTGGACTTGACCGTCCAACGGCATCACCCGATCATTGGTGAATGTACCGGAGGAGATAACGTCTGCCGCAACTTCAGACACGCTCTCAGCATCAACGTCAACATCCTATACAACAGCAATACGAACTCAGACCACGCCAGCCAATATCTCGGGCGGAACAAACAAGTACTGACGTTGGGGAACGGCGGCAAACGCGCCTGCTTTGACCCTGTGCACCTCTGTACCGCAGCGATTCCAACATAAAGAGTTCTTCTGTTAGCAAACGCAGAAGCAACATCTAAACGCTGACATCCACATTGCACGTACTTCCAAAATATACCGCTGCTGCTTCTCAAAGAACCGCGAAAACGCAACGAGCCACGCAAAGGCGAGCAGCAGAACTTGGCTTGACGGACGTGCAGCATCGGAATAAAACGCTGTACACACGAACCCCCACTCGTAAAGGTAAAACTTCACCAGCTCCATCTGGACGGCTACGTATCATATCACCATATCGTTAGCAATTGGAATGGCAAGTGCAACTCGCTCAACGCCACGCACCGTGCAGCTTTGGGTCTAGTAGACCGCTCTCCACTGCCTCCTTACTGTTCAACCGCTCCATTTCCTGCATGTCCACTTCGAAGTCGGCCAGCATCACTAGTACTAAATCGTGCAGCAGTCTCCACAGCGCCCAGTATTCCCGCTGCAGCATAAAATAAAACCAATGTGTCAATGCTCGATCAAGTATCTTTGCACTCCCTCTGGCAGTTCGCACCTCCGTCGTCTGATTCTTCTTGGCCTTGCGCAGCACATCCGTCGACACATAGCGCACCCCAATGGACTCCAGTCCCAGACGCAGCAAGTAGCCGAAGCGCGGCGTGTGCGAGCCGTCGGCGGCAGCAGAGCTGCGCTTGATCATGGCACTTACCTTCTGTCATGTCGTATGCAAGAGGATGGTATTGATGTGTGCTGCACTTCAGATTAGTGAACACGGGCGGAACGTGCACACGAGACCGAAACCGAGTTAACACTGCCATGCACGGCAACCCCGCCGGCACCAAGACTAAGCTAAGCCGGCGCGACTCCATTGAGGTGCGACAAGCAACGGCAAGCTTCGCGAGCAAAACGCGCGACGGCTCCGGCGGCGCCGAACCCTGCTAGTTGGAGCCCTGATTTTTGAGTGCCCTGCAACTTGCGCCAGGCCCTGGCCTGGACGCTATCGTTCCAGTCCACGAGGCCCGTCCATTTCGGACTGAGTCGGAGGAGGCAACGGGAGGATCGGGAGGGCTCCTTAATCGGCCTGGCCGACACCCGCAAGACAATATCAGCTGACCGGGAACCAAGTGCGAGACGAAAGCAAGCTTCCAAGGCCTGAATCGTCCAGACCAGGCAGCGGCGGTGGAACACGTTGCTGCTTGCCGCCACTGCAATGCCAGCGCTGCTGGACGGACGCAAATTGAAGAGGACAGGCGCGCGCGTCTATGCAGCCAGAACCCGCCCTAACCGATTCTTGAAGTGATCATTTTCGACAACTTTGTATGGGTAAATGTATGCCCGAAAAGTCCATACATTTCCCCATACTAATGCTGGAAGATACGTTTCACTTGTATGCCGTAGCGTCGACCGGACACCAGCAGCTCGACCCAAGGACGCAGCCATGCAGCATGCCTGCGTTCCAATCGCCATCGCCGCCGCCATCGCCACCCGCAAGACCTCCACACCTATATTCTGCCAGCACCCTCGCCATGGCCTCCATCTCGACAAGAAGCAGAGCAGAGAGAAAGAAGCGCCCGCCGATCTTCCCATGTCCCGCAACGGTTTCGCGGCGGCTGAGCCCATCCCCATCCGCTCAATTGCACTCCGCACTCCGGTCTCAGTTCCCAATTCGCCGCCTCCGAGCCACTTCACCCCCACTCCACCACACACCACTCGCCATGGCCCCCACCGTGCAAGTTTCTGCTGAGCCCTCGACGTCGAGCGCTGCCGACCGCTACCAGGGGCTGGCCGCCTCCTCCCGATCCCGCGCGCGGGCCGCGCACCGCGTTCGCCTGTGCTACCGGGACGAGGCCTATCGCCAGCGCACCGAGGCGCGCACCAAGTGTCTCATCGCGGACGCGACGTCCCCCACGAGCTCCAGCACGAGCGTGCTGCTGGCCAAGAAGGCGCTCAAGTACCGCAAGGTCTACGACCGCATGACGGGCGTGGACGTGAACGACCCCAACTTCAACGTGTTCGAGTTCCTGGGCGTCGACTGGTGCAAGACACCGTCCGTCGAGACCTCGAGCCACGTATGAGCGACGGGCAAACACCCTCACTATTTATTGTCTGCCGCCCACGTCGCTGAGCGCTGCGCTGCGTTGGCGGACGCAATGGAGTACAGTAGCCAAGCGTACATTTGCGCATATATCGAGATCTTATCGTAACCTTGAATAATGCACTGTACTGTACATGCGCACGTATCCATCCCTGCCTTGCTCTGTTTTTCCAGGATTTGACTTCAACTTGAAGGCACAACCTTAACCATTTAGATAATGTGCTCACGGTGCGGCACCGTCGGTGCCCAGCGTCCTCCATGGAGTAGGCACTGCCCACACCACCTACCTGGTACTGCAGTCGAGCAGCTCCATTTGTCTTGTCTTCCAGTGGAATCAATTATCATCGGCATCACCGGCCAGGCGCGACTTGTTGTTAGTGTTGGCTGCGTCTTCCGAATCCAAGATTCAAGTTTACTTTTGTTACGAAGTTTACTCTGCCTCGATGAATCATGCGCACACAAGGATTTCCCCTTTTCATTCGGGCTGCATTGATTCGGGTGGCCACCGTAAAGGAAGAAAAATTCCTTTGGTACTGGGACTGCGAAGTATTTTTCTTATACAGTACCTACTCGAGACCTTCATACACAAAAAAGTAGCTCGTGGTGAAGATTTCGAATATGTTGCCTGCAGATTCCATCTACTTACTGCTAGTACCAGCTAACGCGGCCACCATGCACCACACAACACTACTTTTTGCGGGGTAAACCTGTACTGAGTAAACTGAAAACCAGAAAATTGCAGTGTCAGTTTCGAGGTGAAATAGTCATTGGGGAACGGTCACAGCCCAGAATGGCACAAGCTACTGCGGTGAGCCCAGCAGAGTCCGAGGATGCGTCCGCGTGCTACGAAGCATTTGTTCAGCGAAGGCGTGCACGTGGTGAGCTGAGTATTCGAACGCTCGAGGGCTTCCGACGACTTCAAAAGAGATACGGCCAGTTAGCGTCCAAAGGTGCGGCGTCTGATCCTGCAGCAAGCGACGACCAAACTAAAAAGGACAGCGATGTGGTAGCTACCGAGCAGCGTACTATCGTGGATGTATATTTCAACCCCAAGATTTCGAGAGTGATTACTGAAACGTGCTGGTGTTTGGCACATTTTGGCGGCGGTGAGGATCCGAAAGAGCAAAAGGTGAGAAGGTGTCTGTGATGCACGATACAACAAGAAGTATCTGAATTATTTGAATCGATGCTTGTTTATAGGAGTGTGCAGGCCTGATCCTTGGTGCCGAGAAGTATTCGACTTTTAACTTTCGTTTTCTTCAGTGGGTCTTCCCAGAACTGCCGCGTAGAGAAGCTCAGCAGCTCGTGCAAAGAGATTGGGAACATGATCGCGAGTTTGATGAGCGCCAAGGTGACGGTGGACTGAGTCTGCATGGGTTTAAATTATCGCTTCTGGACCTTGTCATCTCCTGCACAGTATGTCGTCGTGTTTGATCCTGTTCAACGACTTATTTTGTGCCTATTTAACAGTCTAGTGAATTTGTAGGATTGTACCGTGAACAAGTGTCTAGAGTTCCTCAACCTGATGGCTCGCTGGTTGCAGCACTCCCTGCCTCCGTATCCTACGGTCGATGCGATCCCACAAGCCGTTAAAGACTTGGTAGAAGCCAGAAAGACCATCGCTTCCGAGTCCACCCATGCCAAATCGACCCCAGCTCCCATCGCGTGGGAAACCATTCCTTTATCCATGATGGCTCCTTGTCAGATTGGCCATGAAGGCCTTTACTGCGAGCTAAAGGTAGGGAAATGGCTGCAATTGACCACAGTTTGGTTCACCTCACGCAACAACTTAACATTTTCTTTGGTTTCGATTGTATCTCAGGCGCAAGTTTGTTCAGCACCATTGACTATTATGGTTCTGGCTGCCGATGAAAAGTATGTGCATGTTGAGGTTTGTTAATTGAAATCGTGAGCACGACAGAATTCTGACCCTCTTGCTGTTGTTGTACGACAGCCCTATCGAACTCCTGCTGTCTACCAATTCCAAGCTACTTGTCACGAAAAGTAGCAACCACGTAGATGCTTATCGGAAGGTCACATCAGCTAACGTACTCTGTGGAGAACTGAAAAGACAAGGATATTGGACGTTCTGCATGAATCCGGGCACACCGCTGATCCTGACGGTCCCGAATGAAAGCATCAGTCGTCACTCGAAAGCTCTATACGCTTACTTTCGCGCCTTCAACCCTGACAAGCAGCAAGAGCCTCATGGTGATGTGGATAACAACGACAGTCCTCCTCCGCAAGCACCAGCTTCGTCGTCTGTAACTCTGTTTACGAGTACACCTGAGCATTGTCGCGTTCGCTTTGGTAGCAAGGGCAGCGTACCTCATCGTATGGAGCGCATGAGCGCTCGAATGTTTACAGTGGATCGCTCCGTCACACAAGAAGGCTCGTTCTCGATTCTAGTCACGGCTTCGCTCCTACAGTGCACAAGCGCTGCGGGTGGTGCTGGAGCTGCGGCGGCTGTTTCCAGCACATTTGAGAAAGCGTCAACCTTCATCATAAGAGAAGATCAGTGGACGGATCCCCAAGGAAACAGCAGACACACGGACGCTCACACGTTTATCTTCGTTTTCAAGAGTACCGAACCCGCTGAACCAACAAAAAAGACCGGGCTGAAGGAGCACGAAGCTACACTTCCACAACAATGGTTCACGTCATTGAGTGCTGCGAACGAGACCAAAACCATCGTGGTTGAGCGAAATCTTGCCGCCGTCTCGAAAAATAGTGAGCATAAGAACGAAGGCACTAGTGAAGCAGAATCTCAGCGACGAGACGTTTATCAGCTCTTCGTCTTCACACTCCATGGAATATTTATCGAAGTGTCCTGCACTGCCGCACCTGTGCTAACCAAAGAACCAGGAAGCGGCGATGGCGATTCGGCGGATTCAGAGGGCAGCGACGCCAACGACCATAACGCGTTATCCATGATTTCAGAAACGCCCTTGACCAGCGTCGAGCTACTGAAAGAGCTTCTACTGCTGCAGAAGATGCGGCAGAACCAAAGCACATCGGAAGCCTTACCGGATATTGTCATTGGCACTCAAGTGACCACGACTAAACCGGTTACTATAGCGGAGTCGCTTCGAACCAAGGTATAGAGATTATGAAAAAGGTGCTAGCAGGTACAATACTCACTCTCTTTGTTGCGTTCGCTATAGGTTCTTCGCTCGCGTCAAGATGAATACCACGATCGCTTCGTTCAGCTCGAAGCCGCAATTCGCGAAAAGCTCGTCGAGTGCAAGCAACGGCGGCCAATTGCGACGCCAGCGCAAGCCTCCGAAAGTGTCTCCAACATAGAAGTCGCGAGTCCACCGTCGCCAACCTCAGAACTCGATAAGCGCGTGAGCCTTTTGACGACGTTCTTCCACGAGATGGCAGTGCACCAGCCGAAACTCGACGAGTTACATGGCAGCGCTGCCGAAGCAGCGGAGGCAGCGGCGGAAGAGCTGCTGCTCAAGCGGTTCGGCGACATGTTCAACACGGATGAAAACCTGCAGAGCACTCTGGATGAGGAGAAATGGAGTACAGACACGGCTAAAGTTGCGCGTCGACGCAGCTCAATCGCTACGAATCTGCCCAGGGCGATGCAAGCGGAGGAGGTCACAGGGACCCGAGACCAAATCGACGAGGGGAAGTACCCGTGGACGTTCGAGGACTACGAGAATACGGCGCAATACATCGAACAGCTGATGGTAGACATCGAAACCCACGAGACGCAGCAACAAGAGGTGCAAGACGCCGCTGAAGCCGAGCGCAGACAAGCTGTGATGGCGCAGCTCGTCGCCTCGTGGCAGTATACGCAGCACCGAGTGAACAAGGCGGCAACGCGTCAACGCGTGCGTGAGATTGAGCAGAGGCGGCGCAGTCAGTGGCTGCAGTCTCAGCGCGTCCAGGTGTACGGCGCTGTTACGTCTGCAAAACGTGGTGACAGGCCAGAGCGCACAGCCTTCGTCCTACCCAAGCAACGGTTCCTCGTCCAAGAGGAGTCCCTCCCCTCGACTGCAGTATGGGAGGTGCCTACTTCACCGGCTACCGAGGCAACATCACTGGTATCAGGAGCACTCGCTGCGGCTGGCCTTGTCAGTCCTGCTAGACCCAGGTCGCGTCGTGAAGACGCTCGCCACCAAACTTCGACCAAAATCCTGCCACGTCGTCCACCTCAGCGCCCTATGACGGTGGCCACACCAGAGCGCGCAAGCAACGTCACCGCATTGCGGTCTGCTGCGCTCTCGCGGGCTCGCGTACGGCGCATTCGCAGCGCGCACTCGAATTATCGAGGAAGTTCTGCTCAGACTGCATCGTCTCCGACGGAAACAGCTCAGCAAGAAGCACAAGTGGCGCCCCAACACGGGCAATCGCTGGTATCTGACAACCATGCGCCGCCAGCAAACTCGTCCAAGACGGCTGATACTCGTCGTAACGACGACAACACTCAGCTCCACGCCATCTCGAGCATTCAAAACCTATTAGTCGCGCCCCCAGACGACACGGTAGATACCGGCGGATCAACATCTCTGGCAACCGCGATACTTTCCGGTGACCAAGCAGAAGTTGAAAACTGGGTGACAACTGATACTGGGAGTATTCCACGAGAGCGAAGCACTGCAAGGCCACCAGCACGGAAAAAGAAGCTCAAGAAGAAGCAGCGCTCAGCCAGTATCGTGCGCTTCCAACGTCGAGTTCAGGAGCTGGTATCGATTTCAGCTCAACTGCAAGCTGCCGCCGAGCAAGAACGGAGGCAGGCTCAAGGTGTCGATGAACTCAGTAGTGTACCATTCCTGGCAACTCGCAGCACAAAACCAGTGTCTAATAAATAACGCTGCGCGTCTTGCCCACGTTCTCGCGACCATTCCAGATTGCAGTTTAGATTGTCCAGCAGACGACTTGACTTGAACTCCCCGCAAGTTGGGCTCCGACTTCATAAAGTGCCTCCTGCTGCGCGTTCGAGTATCGGCACAGCAATGGAAGTGGATCCGCTTGGCGGTTGGAAGCTGCAGCTTTCGCCCGTTGATGCTCGAATGCTTCGCTTTGTACTGCAGGCTTTGTTCGTGTTCCCTCCGCCACCGTTGAACGCTGCCCCGTACGACCCCAAGAAGCTTCGTCAGTCAATTGACCAGCTCCTTGAGGAAGATTTCCCCTTCTTCAAAGACGCTCAACGCGTTCGCGACGGGGAAAGTGGTGAGTTTTGGCTTCATTCTCGACATGGAGCACAAGTGAACCAACTTATCGAGGTCCAGGAGCTTCCAGAATTGACCAGGATGGACGAAGTACTCGAGACCACCCCTCTCCACTTCATCCCAGCAAGATCCGAGACCCAAGTTCTCTCTGTCAAGTGCTGTCAGCTTATCGACGGTACTCTAGTCATTGGAGTGGATGCAGATCATTGTGTCGTGGACGCCGAAGGACTCGCTCTCTTTATGAAGCGATGGAGCTGCCACTACTACGGCGTAACAACAGCAGACTCCACCTCTGTCTGCCTTAGTCATGGCCGTAGCCAACTGATTCCACTAAGTCCATACTCGTCGACGATGACTCATCCAGAGTGCGCATGCGTCTGCCACGCTTCAACTCAAAGCCCACACCCAATGCCACCAAGACTCTCAACCTTTACAACCAGCCAGCAGCGCCTCCACCTGTCGCCCACAGAGCTAAAGAACCTGAAGACTTTTGCTTCTCTCGGCGACGAGACCTCACCGATCAGCACACTCGACTGTGCGAGTGCTCTCTTGACGTGGCTGATCACGCGCAGCAGAGGACACAGCGACGCCGTCCAAGTCTCCACCGCAGTCAACCTTCGACGCCGAATGCAGCCGCCACTACCGCGTAATTTCACGGGCAACGTTGTGCTCCCAGCGCTGTCACGCCACCCAGCCCAAGACTTCCAAGCCTCAAGCTCAGGCCCAAGTGCCAGCAGTTTGCACTCCATCGCTCGACGCGTTCGTGAATCCATCGCCAGATTCGACGACGAGTACATCCGCGACACAGTCTCGCTGCTAGCAGCTCACCCAGACCCAGATGCTCTCCAGCCTGCGCTGCGTCTCCCAGGCGGCCCGGATCTCCTCTTCTCGTCCTGGCGAGGCCTCGGCCTGAGAGACGTCAACTTCGGCTCGAGACCGACGTACGTCGGCCCGCCGACGCTCGTCAATCCCATCGATGGAGTCGTCGTCTTCCTCGAATCAGTCGACAACCGGCCAGGACTCGACGCTCTCGTGTTCCTGGAGCACCAGGCCATGCACTAGCTGCTCGAGCTGTGGCAACAACGCGTGAACTTGCCGCGTTTGCGCATACGCCGCCACGATTCGACTTGACTCCCTCTCAGTTGCTAAAAAGATACCGAACATGGGCAAGATCGAGGAGCGTTTGGCCGAGCTCGGCTACGAGCTGCCCGCCGCGGGTGCGCCCAAGGGCAACTACGTCAACGTGGTGCGCACGGGCGACTACATCTACACCGGTGCGTGCCATACACAAGCTCTCGTTATCCTATCAGCTCTGACGGTGTGTCATTCGTGTCAATAGCTGGCCACCTGCCCGTGACGGCTGCGGGCGAGCTCATCACTGGCAAACTGGGCAAGGACCTGACCACGGAGGAGGGATACGCCGCGGCGCAGCGCGTTGCGTTGGCTCTGCTGGCCACGCTCAAGAGTACGTGGCTGGAAGGCAGTCCAGTGATGGATGTGTTATTTACTGGAGACCGTGGCTGACTGGACATTGCCGTTGTTGTTGCTACTGCTACCAGAGGAGCTGGGCGAGCTGGGCCACATCAAGCGCGTGGTGAAGCTCACGGGCTTCGTCAACTGCGTGGACACGTTCACGGCCCAGCCGGGCGTGATCAACGGCGCGTCGGACGCCGTGGCCGCCATCTTCGGCGACAAGGGGAAGCACGCGCGCTCGGCGGTGGGCACCAACGCCCTGCCGCTCAACGTGGCGGTGGAGATCGAGGCCGTCGTGGAGGTGGAGGCCGGCGCGCCCTCGCTCACGTGAGCGATGCTGTAGCTGCAGATGACATGAGAGTAAGGCTCCCCTCCCTTGCATCAAGACTGCAGGGCAGGGCAGCGGAATAATAATCCCAGCGTGTGACCACATAGTACACTGTACTTGCCATCGGAGGCTTGGCAACGGTTGTCATTGCCACCACGACAACGTGCTCAAGCAGGATAAAACCCCTCAAGATATGCTCGCAAGGCCCGGTCTCACTAAAATTTTTTTACACAGGTCTCCACATACTAAAACCAAGAAGTCGAGAGTCAGCAAAAGCATTCGGATCATAAACTCTCACAAGCACTCGTGAGTTGCTCTGCAGTAAAGCTCACGCAGCATCCAAATGGCTCCCGCCGCAGTGACGCCGCAGCTCTGACGCCGCATCGAGTCTCAGCTTGGTCCATTTCCCCGCTGTCTCTCGATCTCCAAGTCCATGGTTTCGACCGAGTCCTCGGCGGCTTCAACGGCAACAGTCTCCTCCACTCTGCGATGGCGGGCAGTTCAGGGCAAAGACGCCCCTGATACCTTGGCGTTCGGCACTGCAGATGAAGAGGAAGAGATCCGCACGAAACTCGACCGCAGCCACGCCGCAGACGACGAGAAGTGCAGGTTGTTGCTGCCCGAAGCTCCGCAGCTCACTCTGGAGTGGAGGGACTTGGCCCTCCGCGTCCCCGTTGCCAATGAGCCGGGCGCGATGGACAAGGTCATTCTGCACGACGCCAATGGCGTCGCCCGACCCGGGGAGCTGCTGGCCATCATGGGGCCGTCGGGCGCTGGCAAGAGCTCGCTGCTGGACTGTTTGTCCGGGAGGAATGGCAATGCTGAAGGCCGCATCATGATCAATGGGGTGGAAGGGTGGACACCCAAGCGCCGCAGAATGGTGGCGTACGCCATGCAGGACGAGTTGTTCCATGCCACGCTAACGGTGCGGGAGCATTTGGTGTTCCAGGCGAGGCTGAGGCTCGGTGGACAGGTGAGCAAGAAGGGGTGCCTGGATCGAGCGAATGCGGTCATCGAGGAGCTGGGGCTCACGGGCTGCAGGGACACGCTGATCGGAGGGTGGATGCTGCGCGGCATCTCCGGCGGCGAGAGGAAGCGGCTGGCGTTCGCGTCGGAGATTCTGACGAACCCGGCGGTGCTGTTTGTGGACGAGCCGACGTCGGGACTCGATAGCTGCATGGCGCGTGCTGTGGTGGAGCAGTTGATGCAGCTCGCGACCAAGCGCACAGTCGTGACTGCGATCCACCAGCCGTCCTCGGAGGTGTTTGCTCTCTTTGATCGGCTATATCTGCTTGCGGAGGGCGCGACGGTGTTTGAGGGGCCTCCGTGTGAAGCCATTTCGCATTTCGCTTCGCTGGGACTTCCATGCCCGCAGTTTATGAATCCTGCAGACCATTTCATGGAGCAGCTTGTGGTGCTGGAGCGAGCGACGGACCACGAAGGATTGGCCCGGGTCCAGCGCCTGAAGGATACGTGGGCTGAGCAACAGCAAAAGCATCAAGCTCAACAGCCGAGCGGTGGCAACGCGGCTACATCTACGTGGGCGATAAAGCAGGCCCTTCCATCGACAGACGCAGTTGATGTTGTAGTCTACGAAGTGGAAGGACGCGAGGAGAATGACGTTGAAGGTCCCGAGTACGACTACGAGAGCGCGCATCTACCGCTTTGGGGCCAGATTGAAGTTCTCGCACATCGTAATGCGCTCCGACTGGCGCGAGACCCCATGGCCTTCCGTCTGCAGGTGCTGCAGACGTTCATCTTCGCGTTCCTGCTGGGGCTCATCTACTTCCAGCTCCAGATAGATCAGAAGGGCATCCGCAACTTCTCAGGCGCCTTCTTCTACATCGTGACGGACCAAGTGTACTCCGCTTCGATGCCTGCTATCATCTCTGTGCCCGTGGAGCTCCCTATCGTCTACCGCGAGCTGGACGTGGGTCTGTACCGTATCGGCGCGTGGTTCCTCGCCAAGAACCTCTGTGAGTTGCCGTCACAATTGGCGCTGCCCACGCTCAACCTCGTCCCGATCTACGTGCTGATCTTCGGCTTCTTCGGCAGTCCAGGCTTCTGGGTGTTCATGCAGATGCTGGTACTACTGGTAGCGATGAACAGCTCGTGCGTGGCATTCGGTTACGCTGTCTCGTGTATCTGCCGTCGCGTGGACATCGCCCCCATTGTGGGCAACATCGTCATCATGCCCCTACTTCTGCTTGGAGGCATGTTTGTAGACCCGGAGCGAGTCCCCGCCATGTTCCGCTGGCTGGAGCTCGTGACCCCCTTCAAGTACGGCTACTTCGGCTTCATGCGCGCGTTCTGGCGCAACGTCGCCAACATCCCATGCAATCTACAAGACGCAACAGCAGACTGCACCCCGATGACAGGACACGACGTGCTACAGGACTACAACATCCCCGACCAGTCCGTCTGGGGCGACGTGTGGAGTTTAATTGGCCTGAGTCTGTTTTTCCGAGCACTCGGCTTCATCGCCCTGCACTTCAGCCTTCGCCACAAGTTGAGCTAGTGTACCACTAAAAATTAAAAAAGTAAATCTTTGGACAACTTAAATCGCGTGCGGGGGGGGGGGGGGGCAATTTGATCCAAACTCCGAACTACCGGTACCCCTCTTTTTTTCGAGAAACTTCAAGTACACCACGTTAACCAGAAATCTATGATGGATTGCTTGCCGCGCCATGTGATCGGTTGTCGTTGCCGCAGGTGGAATCAAGGATTTGGTACAAGTCTCTGCACGATCGACTAAAGCTTAGGGAATGCGGGGTTAGCACATGGATATTATGGGCGTGGATTCTCGACGATCTTAAACGAAGTACCATAGAATGCAATCGCTGTTGCGGTATTGAGCTGCTGTATCGACGAGTTCAAGGTGTGTTGCAGTGTTCCGGAATCCAACAGACCCTTATTTACTGTGATTAACCTCAACTTAGGGCGCCAACGGCCTGTCGAGCACAGATACATGTAGCAAGCCCCCGAAACGCGCGGCAGTCCTCGGTGTGCTCGATGGACTGCAAGCCTTATCGAAGGGACGACTCAGGCTCACCGGCAAAACGAGCCCATTTTTTAGAACGGTCTAAATCTAGAAAGGAGACTTGCAAAAATGGTAGTTACCGACACTGTTGATGTGGCCCCGCCACTGCCTGCTACTGCCCTGGATCTTGCTAGGTAGTTCCGAGCTTTATCTGGGGAAACCGATGACAACAGCGCCTCTGGTTGAGCGCGGAAAAATAGATTTTTAGTGCCGAACAAACATATTCAAACAGCCCTGATCGCAAGGCATACAAAACAGAAGTAGCGCCGGGGCTGGGTCGTGTGGAGTGGGTGTCAACATAAATGTTACACAATGGGGTTCGTAATACAAACACAGTAATATCTGCCCCGTTTCTAGAATTTGAATGTTCTAAAAAGTGGGCCTAATCTGCCGGTGAGCCACGACTCACGCATCTGTACTGTACATGCAAGCACCTGTCAACCTCGAATCCAGTTTGTTTGCAGACTGTCAATCTCTGCTCTAACGTGCGACGTGTTGCCACATGCTAAGGCTCGCCAAAAGCAGGGACAGTCAGTCGATCAGCGGGAAAGATCATGCCTATTCCGCCAACGACATCGTTAGAAAAAGTTGGCAGCACGCGGAAAGTAAACTGTTCCACTCGAGCGCTTGTGGTTTCCAATCTACAGATGGCTGCTTCAACTCGTCCTTACACAGAACATCACCACAACTTCCGCCCCAGCGATCCTACGCATTGCTCCCGATCCCGAACGGACTCCCCCATTGTGTACCGCATCGCGATCACCCGTTCATTCAATGGCGAGTGGCGAGCAAGCTCTTCTTTCATTCCTCAACTTGCCCTCAACGCAACACTCGCCTCGCCCTCTTCGACTCCGATCCGACTGCGTTCCTACACCATGAAGTTCATCGCCTCCATCTCCGCCATCATCGCTGCCTGCGCTCTGGCCGTCTCCGCCGATGTAGCCACGGGCCCCGTGTGGGGCTACCACGCCAACGACGCCAGCATGGTGCACACGTCCAAGTGGGCCGAGCACTGGAAGGCGTGCGGTGGAGTGCGCCAGTCGCCCATCGACATCAAGACTGTGGCGAAGGTGGACAACGGCAAGAAGAGCCCGCTCCGATTCAGTGGCCGCTGCTCGCATTACAACCTGACGGAGCCGCACGAGCCGCTCGAGGTGGACGTCATCGGAGGTGCGTGTTTCGTGGGAGTAGCCATTGCACTGTGAAGGGTGTAGCTGATACTGAAAGGTTTTGTTAAAATGCTCTACAGGCAACTGCATTGCTGCGGTGAACGAGGCCGAGTACAAGATGGCGCAGTTCCACCTGCACGCCCCGTCGGAGCACACCGTAAATGGCAAGGCCCACGACGGGGAGATCCACTTCGTACACAAGAGCCACAAAGGCTCCGCTCTGTTGGTGGTCGGTATCTTCCTGGACATCGCTCCCAAGTCGGACGTTTGGCTGGGACCAGTTCTTGACGCCCTCGAGAACGTCAACTCGACCGCGCACAAGAAAAACGAGGCTATCACCGTTCAGTTGTAAGTACAACAGAGGACTGCGCTGGGTCCAGTATTTCGCTTGTACAGCTCCACTCACTATTTCGTTTCCGGTTGTATAGGAGGTCGTACTCGAACCTGATCAAGAAGGCGAGCAAGAACTGCGGCATCTACAACTACCCGGGCAGCCTCACGACCCCTGGCTGTGATGAGACTGTGGACTGGTGGGTGGTGCAGAACGCGATCCAGATCTCGTCTGCCGACTTCAACCGTCTTCACAAGGATTTGGTGGAGTACCACATCACGGACGACGGCAACAACGCTCGCCCCGTGCATCCTCTGAACGGCCGCACGGTGACGCGCTACAACTAGCTGGTTTGATGCAGCTTCTTAATTGAAACGATGATGAAGCTTCCTTTGCTCTGATGTCGCTAATGTTGTGTACATGTACTGCCCTAATATCACAATCGAGACGCTTAATATAACTGTTGTTTTGTATGTTTCTGACTGTAAGCGTTATACTCTCTTTTCATGTAGCTTCGTACTGACAACGAAAATGATACGCAAACTTGCGACCGTATTTCAATCAGTTTTTAGTCGCCGCCTTGTCGATTTTTGGTGGATTTCACGGGGTTGTCTTGCAGTCAATTCCGGCGGAAAGGTCTTTTCAGAAATCTGCTACATATACATGTATGTAGTACGGCGAATCGCGCTTGCTCCTGGGTATTACACAGTACCATTCTACCTTTGTCATTACCGTGGAATTCTAAAGAATTCTATTTGTTATATTGTGACGGTACACATAGAGCTTCATCTTTTCGCAGGGAGACGCCGTGGGTCGCGGTAGTCCGACTGCGCTGCCTTGGACAAACTCTTCAGTCAAATATGTTCATGTGCTCGTACAGCCCCGGTAGTACAGATACGACCCACAAACTGCAAAGAGTGGTACATCCAAGTTCCTACAGGAAATTATATAATCTAAGGAGATAAGTGATTGAGGTGCGTTACTACCACTATTTCCTCAAAGCTCAATTTTACTTCTAGAGAGAGAGGGTGATACTCCTCAATAACATCGCACTTCTGCTGGATGGTTAGCCACACACCCTTGGTACGCTTCTGGGTGCCCTTAGAACGCTTCTGGAGGCTGGGCGTCCTGTGCTCAGTGCTGCCTTGAGTTTGTCTGTGGAAAAAGTGCGCCGGCGGGATGATTCAAATGAAAATGGAATGTGTAGACCACACAGTGGCGGTACTTCAATGTGATGGGCGCTCCCTCCTGAGATGATGTCACTTGATATCATGATTCCACAAGGGTATCAATTAATACGGTTTGCAGTTTCTGGGTGGTATCTGTACTCCAGTGACCACAGCAACGCGACACTGGCCGCTTCAACTTGCGACTTGACGATAAGATATACATGTATTGTGCTTTGCAGATAAAATGTCGCCCCGTTTTATGGCCTAGATCGAGGAAGGCCGGTCCACAAATCAGGGTACAAAACAGAGGCGGTAGCTCGATTTACTTAGATCGACCTCGAATTGCGCTTTTGAAAACGCAAAAGGGATCGATTTACCGTAGATCTGCCCAGATCCACCGGGAGATCGACCTCGAGCCCTGATTTGGATTGTCGTAGCTCGAGTTATTAGCCGGCCTAAATAGATCGATCTGTCCCTTTCTTTGACCTCGTTTTATTAAATCGACCTCGACTTAATGATAAATCGATGAGAGCTCCAAGTCAAAACAACAAAACGTTTGCAAAGCACAATACCTAAAAGGCATAGTATCATGTTGGGACTTGCCCCCTCGTATGATCACTACGCGTCTGTCGTCGCCAACTCCATGCGCTAGTCGAAAACTCCACGTCACCCGGGACGTTTCCATCGATGGGAGCATGGCGAGGAGCTCGCGCAGGCAAGGAATCAGCCGCTAATAACGTAGCGGGGATTTGCGATAACTTGGAGGACGCGTTCTGGTGATCGGCTCTTCTTCGCAGATACAGCCGTAGACTTAAAGAGGGAGTTGCATACATGTACCCGTAAATATGTGAGCGTCGTGACAAGCATCGAAGTCGAGTTGCGTTCACCATTATTGACGCAACCGCCGGCCTACATGTAGTTCTCAGTCCCCTCAGGTGAACAACATGGTATTAAAATATACCCTCTACAGTATTTCCACAGACCTATGGTGAGGTGAGACTTTGGCCTGGCGCGGACTTCCGAAAAACCGGTCGCACAGACTGCTGTTGCGTTTGATCGCTTGAGCAAAGGAGAGCACCCTGCCTAATTGACGGCAAAGAATCTGGATAGGCTCTCGAGAAGCACATGTCGGCAGCGTGTCCGGGTTTTGTATTCAGGCTGTTAATCAATTGTAACTCACGCGCGCCATATGTGGGTAAGCAAAAAGCGAGGACGAAAGCAGAGTGTACAGTACGGCGTGTTCCCGACACAAGCTATTTTAACTTTTTTGAAAGTACTAAAATAGCTTAAAAACACTATGGTCGCTAATTACCTTATTACCTCACACTACAGGTCCAGCCGTATCAGGTTCTGGTACGAACAAACTTACCGCACTTAGGCTTTCATTTTTATATGAAATAACTAAGCCCTTTCGTAACAAGAATTTTACAGTTTAGTCACGCAGTTAATGATTCTTGAACGGATTTTGCAGGACACTACCAGGACACAGAAAATTGCTTTATTTGTCCAATCAAATTCCACGTACCGATGAGATTCGGCCAATTACATTCATTGCGACTCTTGCCGTCTATGCTTGTCGGCAACACGATGCAGGCGGACTACCGGGACCCAGCTTAGTTGACCTCGACGGCGCTTTCTCGCGCGGGTAGTGCTGAGAGAGACTTCGATACTTGGAGCGCACGCTGCGTACACGCTGATGGCCTCCGACACTGTCTGGCCAGCTCGAAGTAAGTTTCTATCTGCTGCATACGTCTCGATCTTATTCATCAGATACCGGGCATCACTGAGGCGCTGTTTCTATTTGGCATGGCCGCGCCTTCCAGAAGCCGAAGAGGGGGTAGACGCTTCTCAACATTCCCGCAGCGCCATAGCACCCAAAGATGCGCGGCAGAGCACTTAGGAAAAACGAAGTCAGGGGACCCGACGAAATCTCCCAGCCCAAAAGAAGGTAGGCAGCGCTGTTCGCTTGTCATCTGGATCCTGCTCGATGTCTTGCTGTACTTCTGACACGTTGGGCTGGCTAACTAGATCGTGAACACCGGCTTCTTCAAGGCACTTCCGTAGAGCGTCATGAAGCCCGTCGAACGTGACAGTTCCAGCGCCGATAGCACGCTCTTCCAGCTCATGAATAATATCCTTCACAATTTCGCGGCGGGATTCCTCAATCATTTCGATAGTTGACAGCGTATTGTCTTGCAGTACTCTCATTTGGCCTAAAATGGATACATGAGGCGGAAGGCCCGTTGCTTTGAGCTGTGTTTTAGGCCCGGCGTATCCACACTGTACACATGAGCTCAAATTCCCGAGAAGCTCTGGATCCTGAAATAATGCCGTCTCGAAAAGAGGGTGGCGAGGAGGGAGGTGCATTCTGATGTACGGCGTGTGATACACTAATGACGCGAGGCAAAACTCTCCAACAAACAGTAAATGTTCGGGTATCCCTTGAAATACCCTTGTAACACCAAGTTTTACCCATTCATCTTGCTCCACAAAATGTGGCGGTAGAATTGCGAACTCGTGACTACCCGATGGAAGACCAGCAACCGTTCTGCCGACATACATATCTCCAGCAGCCTCGTAGCGTAAGTAGGTATTCTGAACACCGCCAAGAGACCACCCAGCACGCAAATGAACCGTGGTTGATGACGGACAAGCTGTCGACCCTGACGCACAGTACGTTGCAGCACCTTTGCGCATCGAATGAGTCCCCAAATCGTTAGAATTGACCCCTCGTCGTTTAAGCTCTGCAGCAACCTTCTCATCCACTAGCAAACGTTGCAGACATTTCCGAAATCGATCATACTGGTCCGTGAGCAGGGGTTTAATACGCCGCCGCAATTGCTTCTCGGAGAGTCCCGTCACGTCGCCGATACGGCCTGCAAATGCGTCCGGAATGAGGTTCTGATGGCTCAGAAGAAGCCACGAGATGAAGCGACAGTAGGAGTTGACGTAGGCAGCCCGTGAGCTCGGGGCGACTGTATTATCTCGAATTTGCTCTGCTTGGCGCCTCAGTTCATCGAGTCCGCTGGGTTGTGGGGGGGATCCATCGCTAATCGACTTATGTAGTGGACAAGCTGTCCTGCAAAAGAACAAAATAATGGCTTTGCTTACCCTCAACCACTAATTCTGGGTTTTGTATAGGATTTAAAGCCGGAAGGTTTCGACTTGGGAAATACAGGACTTTCGTTCTTGCGCTAATTCCCGTACATCTGCTAGATGTCCTGCAAATTCAGGAGAATGTTAATTGTGTTGACGACTTTGCCATCGCCAGATGGATTATTCCCGTCGTGTCCTTACCACTTCAACGCAAGTTCCGACACTCCCGATTTGCTCACGATCCCAAACGGGATCCTCGTTTGCGCCGCGCCGCGATCGACCGATCCTTGATGGCGAACAAGCCCTTCCGTTCCACAAACTCGTTTCATTCCTCAACTTGCCCTCAACGCAACACTCGCCTCGCCCTCTTCGACTCCGATCCGACTGCGTTCCAACACCATGAAGTTCATCGCCTCCATCTCCGCCATCATCGCTGCCTGCGCTCTGACCGTCTCCGCCGATGTAGCCACGGGCCCCGTGTGGGGCTACCACGCCAACGACGCCAGCATGGTGCACACGTCCAAGTGGGCGAAGCACTGGAAGGCGTGCGGTGGAGTGCGCCAGTCGCCCATCGACATCAAGACTGTGGCGAAGGTGGACAACGGCAAGAAGAGCCCGCTCCGATTCAGTGGCCGCTGCTCGCATTACAACCTGACGGAGCCGCACGAGCCGCTCGAGGTGGACGTCATCGGAGGTGCGTGTTTCGTGGGAGTAGCCATTGCACTGTGAAGGGTGTAGCTGATACTGAAAGGTTTTGTTAAAATGCTCTACAGGCAACTGCATTGCTGCGGTGAACGAGGCCGAGTACAAGATGGCGCAGTTCCACCTGCACGCCCCGTCGGAGCACACCGTAAATGGCAAGGCCCACGACGGGGAGATCCACTTCGTACACAAGAGCCACAAAGGCTCCGCTCTGTTGGTGGTCGGTATCTTCCTGGACATCGCTCCCAAGTCGGACGTTTGGCTGGGACCAGTTCTTGACGCCCTCGAGAACGTCAACTCGACCGCGCACAAGAAAAACGAGGCTATCACCGTTCAGTTGTAAGTACAACAGAGGACTGCGCTGGGTCCAGTATTTCGCTTGTACAGCTCCACTCACTATTTCGTTTCCGGTTGTATAGGAGATCGTACTCGAACCTGATCAAGAAGGCGAGCAAGAACTGCGGCATCTACAACTACCCGGGCAGCCTCACGACCCCTGGCTGTGATGAGACTGTGGACTGGTGGGTGGTGCAGAACGCGATCCAGATCTCGTCTGCCGACTTCAACCGTCTTCACAAGGATTTGGTGGAGTACCACATCACGGATGACGGCAACAATGCTCGCCCCGTGCAGCCTCTGAACGGCCGTAAGGTCACGCGCTACAACTAGGGGTTTCTAGTTCCGTCCAAGACTCTGCGGAGACTTGATGTGATGATTAAGTCTCTACTTCTCATACATCGCCACACGTGATACATTGACTCCTTATAAAGAACAGAACATGCTTTATTCGACTGTTGTCTTCTTTGCGAAGTGTACGTGTAAATTTTGTTGTCACCTTGGAATTCTCGAGGATTCTTTTTTTTCTGTTGTGTACCGAGCCTAATCTCATCGCAAGGAGACGCCGCGGGCCGCGGCAGTCCGACTGCGCTACCTTGGACAAACGCGTCAGTCAAATATGTCCATGCACAACACCGGAAGCGCTCTATTATTAAATAGGCCACCGCAACGGGCCGCTTCAACTTGCGATTTGACGACAAGATATATCATGTACCTAAAAGGCATGGTATCATAACGCCACTTGTCCCCGCAAATGATCACTACGCGTCTGTAGTCGCCAACTCCATGCGCTAGTCGAAAACTCCACGTCACCTGAGCCAGTCGCTAATAACGTAGCGCGGATTTGTGATAACCTGAAAGACTCGCTCTGGTGATCGACTGTTTTTAGCTCTAATAACAAATATTACTTCGAAGTAATTATTTTAATAATATATAATTTAATATCAAAAAAAACTTTCTATTTACAAGCTTGAATGCTGCTACGCCGAGGTAGCCACGGTAGCATGTTACATGTATCAGCAATGCTGAGGGTATATATTGAGGAAACGTTAGCGTTTGCATGTCACGAGCAGTGATAAACCTGTCAAATTCTCCCGCCTTCACCGCGCTTAACTTCTGGTCCGAAAAATAGCAACGCCATCCTTATGTGGCAAGTCCATTTTTCAGTTAGCAAAATGTTTGCAGTCAGAATGAGAGAAGCGCTGCCACCGCACTCGCAACATGCTGCAGTGCCTGGACGCTTCCAAGAGTACATACAACCCGTTTGCCATGCTGTGGGAGGAGGAGAAGCCACCGACAACAAGCACTGCATCTGTGGCCTCTAGGCAGAAGGTTCGAGTAGCTGAATTTGAATTTGTTGCGGTTTAGTCGGCTATCTACACCCAATGCTGCGCGCTGCTGCAGCTTCGCCTACGGGCCCCGGACCTAAAGTCCAGTACCCGCGGTAGTAGCCCAACTCGAGTAGCTGACAGAGCTCTTGATGCTATTACCCTACTTTTTTTAAAATAGGAGAGCGAGGAACATGTGTACATCGAGCTGGTGCTATAATCTTATCTCTGGCATCCAGTTTCAGCAGCTGATCTAATGCGGCCATGCAGGATAAATAGTTTCTTGTTGTTGTGACCCCAAAGGCAACTGAAGCATGTGTACATGGAGTCGGGCGTGCTGCATACTACAATAGGGACCCTTAAGGGGTTAACTTGACAGCGTCCAGAACACTGAGCGGTACCCTGAAATATTTCTTAGTACAAAATAAAAATTAATCTAACATTCGCAAAATATCGACATACGCAGACGCTTCTGTTACAACATCGCATTGCACCCTTCCGCATTCATCCAACGACTTGATTAGTTCGGCGCGTTACATTATCCGTTGTTCGGCCTTCACCCGAAGTTCCTCCCCTGCGCTTATCGAAAGAATCGCCCCTACGAACAAGCTGTTGCACCCCAGTTTGTATGTAGGACATGCTGTTCTGACTCAGCGCCACCGATATTCAGAGCTATAAAAACATCGGATACACCAGCACCACAAGTTCCGCCATACGCCACAAGCTGCTTGTTTCCTATCCCGGGTGGATTCTACGTTTGCGCCGCACCGCAGTTGACAGACTCAAATTCCTCATTCCTCAACTTGCTCTCATCGCAGCACTTCGCATCGCCTTCTTCGACTCCGATCCGACTGCGTTCCTACACCATGAAGTTTCTCGCTTCCATCTCCGCCGTCATCGCTGCCTGCGCTCTGGCCGTCTCCGCCGATGTAGCCACGGGCCCCGTTTGGGGCTACCGTGCCAACGACGCCAGCATGGTGCACACGTCCAAGTGGGCGAAGCACTGGAAGGCGTGCGGAGGTGTTCGTCAATCGCCCATCGACATCAAGACCGTGGCAAAATCGGGCAAGGGCAAGAAGAGCCCGCTCCGATTCAGTGGCCGCTGCTCGCACTACAACCTGACGGAGCCGCACGAGCCGCTCGAGGTGGACGTCATCGGAGGTTTGTGGTGTGAATGAAGCGTAGCTCTTGGATTGACATGATCCGGCTAACTTTAATTTATCGCAATTGGTACAGGTAACTGCATGGCCTCCGTGAACGGTGCGGAGTACAAGATGGCGCAGTTCCACCTGCACGCCCCGTCGGAGCACACCGTAAATGGCAAGGCCCACGACGGGGAGATCCACTTCGTACACAAGAGCCACAAAGGCTCCGCTCTGTTGGTGGTCGGTATCTTCCTGGACATCGCTCCCAAGTCGGACGTTTGGCTGGGACCAGTTCTTGACGCCCTCGAGAACGTCAACTCGACCGCGCACAAGAAAAACGAGGCTATCACCGTTCAGTTGTAAGTACAACAGAGGACTGCGCTGGGTCCAGTATTTCGCTTGTACAGCTCCACTCACTATTTCGTTTCCGGTTGTATAGGAGATCGTACTCGAACCTGATCAAGAAGGCGAGCAAGAACTGCGGCATCTTCAACTACCCGGGCAGCCTCACAACCCCTGGCTGTGATGAGACTGCGGACTGGTGGGTGGTGCAGACCCCAATCCAAATCTCGTCTGCTGACTTTACTCGTCTTCACAAGGATTTGGTGGAGTACCACATCACGGATGACGGCAACAATGCTCGCCCCGTGCAGCCTCTGAACGGCCGTAAGGTCACGCGCTACAACTAGGGGTTTCTAGTTCCGTCCAAGACTCTGCGGAGACTTGATGTGATGATTAAGTCTCTACTTCTCATACATCGCCACACGTGATACATTGACTCCTTATAAAGAACAGAACATGCTTTATTCGACTGTTGTCTTCTTTGCGAAGTGTACGTGTAAATTTTGTTGTCACCTTGGAATTCTCGAGGATTCTTTTTTTTCTGTTGTGTACCGAGCCTAATCTCATCGCAAGGAGACGCCGCGGGCCGCGGCAGTCCGACTGCGCTACCTTGGACAAACGCGTCAGTCAAATATGTCCATGCACAACACCGGAAGCGCTCTATTATTAAATAGGCCACCGCAACGGGCCGCTTCAACTTGCGATTTGACGACAAGATATATCATGTACCTAAAAGGCATGGTATCATAACGCCACTTGTCCCCGCAAATGATCACTACGCGTCTGTAGTCGCCAACTCCATGCGCTAGTCGAAAACTCCACGTCACCTGAGCCAGTCGCTAATAACGTAGCGCGGATTTGTGATAACCTGAAAGACTCGCTCTGGTGATCGACTGTTTTTAGCTCTAATAACAAATATTACTTCGAAGTAATTATTTTAATAATATATAATTTAATATCAAAAAAAACTTTCTATTTACAAGCTTGAATGCTGCTACGCCGAGGTAGCCACGGTAGCATGTTACATGTATCAGCAATGCTGAGGGTATATATTGAGGAAACGTTAGCGTTTGCATGTCACGAGCAGTGATAAACCTGTCAAATTCTCCCGCCTTCACCGCGCTTAACTTCTGGTCCGAAAAATAGCAACGCCATCCTTATGTGGCAAGTCCATTTTTCAGTTAGCAAAATGTTTGCAGTCAGAATGAGAGAAGCGCTGCCACCGCACTCGCAACATGCTGCAGTGCCTGGACGCTTCCAAGAGTACATACAACCCGTTTGCCATGCTGTGGGAGGAGGAGAAGCCACCGACAACAAGCACTGCATCTGTGGCCTCTAGGCAGAAGGTTCGAGTAGCTGAATTTGAATTTGTTGCGGTTTAGTCGGCTATCTACACCCAATGCTGCGCGCTGCTGCAGCTTCGCCTACGGGCCCCGGACCTAAAGTCCAGTACCCGCGGTAGTAGCCCAACTCGAGTAGCTGACAGAGCTCTTGATGCTATTACCCTACTTTTTTTAAAATAGGAGAGCGAGGAACATGTGTACATCGAGCTGGTGCTATAATCTTATCTCTGGCATCCAGTTTCAGCAGCTGATCTAATGCGGCCATGCAGGATAAATAGTTTCTTGTTGTTGTGACCCCAAAGGCAACTGAAGCATGTGTACATGGAGTCGGGCGTGCTGCATACTACAATAGGGACCCTTAAGGGGTTAACTTGACAGCGTCCAGAACACTGAGCGGTACCCTGAAATATTTCTTAGTACAAAATAAAAATTAATCTAACATTCGCAAAATATCGACATACGCAGACGCTTCTGTTACAACATCGCATTGCACCCTTCCGCATTCATCCAACGACTTGATTAGTTCGGCGCGTTACATTATCCGTTGTTCGGCCTTCACCCGAAGTTCCTCCCCTGCGCTTATCGAAAGAATCGCCCCTACGAACAAGCTGTTGCACCCCAGTTTGTATGTAGGACATGCTGTTCTGACTCAGCGCCACCGATATTCAGAGCTATAAAAACATCGGATACACCAGCACCACAAGTTCCGCCATACGCCACAAGCTGCTTGTTTCCTATCCCGGGTGGATTCTACGTTTGCGCCGCACCGCAGTTGACAGACTCAAATTCCTCATTCCTCAACTTGCTCTCATCGCAGCACTTCGCATCGCCTTCTTCGACTCCGATCCGACTGCGTTCCTACACCATGAAGTTTCTCGCTTCCATCTCCGCCGTCATCGCTGCCTGCGCTCTGGCCGTCTCCGCCGATGTAGCCACGGGCCCCGTTTGGGGCTACCGTGCCAACGACGCCAGCATGGTGCACACGTCCAAGTGGGCGAAGCACTGGAAGGCGTGCGGAGGTGTTCGTCAATCGCCCATCGACATCAAGACCGTGGCAAAATCGGGCAAGGGCAAGAAGAGCCCGCTCCGATTCAGTGGCCGCTGCTCGCACTACAACCTGACGGAGCCGCACGAGCCGCTCGAGGTGGACGTCATCGGAGGTTTGTGGTGTGAATGAAGCGTAGCTCTTGGATTGACATGATCCGGCTAACTTTAATTTATCGCAATTGGTACAGGTAACTGCATGGCCTCCGTGAACGGTGCGGAGTACAAGATGGCGCAGTTCCACCTGCACGCCCCGTCGGAGCACACCGTAAATGGCAAGGCCCACGACGGGGAGATCCACTTCGTACACAAGAGCCACAAAGGCTCCGCTCTGTTGGTGGTCGGTATCTTCCTGGACATCGCTCCCAAGTCGGACGTTTGGCTGGGACCAGTTCTTGACGCCCTCGAGAACGTCAACTCGACCGCGCACAAGAAAAACGAGGCTATCACCGTTCAGTTGTAAGTACAACAGAGGACTGCGCTGGGTCCAGTATTTCGCTTGTACAGCTCCACTCACTATTTCGTTTCCGGTTGTATAGGAGATCGTACTCGAACCTGATCAAGAAGGCGAGCAAGAACTGCGGCATCTTCAACTACCCGGGCAGCCTCACAACCCCTGGCTGTGATGAGACTGCGGACTGGTGGGTGGTGCAGACCCCAATCCAAATCTCGTCTGCTGACTTTACTCGTCTTCACAAGGATTTGATGGAGTACCACATCACGGATGACGGCAACAATGCTCGCCCCGTGCAGCCTCTGAACGGCCGTAAGGTCGCGCGCTACAACTAGGATCAGTATGCAGCGAAAATTGTTGTGGAATGTTGTTGTTTGTTATTCTCTGCATAGAATAAATTGAGCACAATCCGTTTGATATATAATACTGTGAAGTGGCTTTCTAGCAGTTGCCACTCTACATTTTACACCACAGTTTTGCTAGAGCTTCAGGAGACGAGTCCGATCTTTTGGTTGGCGGAAAAGTAGGCCTGTCGTTTGGCCCACGACGCCGTGTCCGGGTAGATGAATATCGGGTAGAGCTTGTTGCCATGAGAAGCAGTAGAGAGCATTGACTGCTCGTTGTAGTCGAAGTCGAACGTCATTTCCGTGTCGTACTGGTCCAAACACGGGGGCTACGACACCAGAAACGAGAAATCGCCAGGTTTTAGTGAACGTGGAGGAAAGAATAAATATTAGAATCCAATTCAGAGCCACGGACCTCGGTGCAATAATACCAGCCCAAGACGTCGTGCTTCTGCCACGAGCTACTGGTTGACGCTGTAAATCCCTGCAAGTACACAATTGTCTGTCGCATTAGCGACTTCCACCACCACCACCACCACCACCGCAACCATTTTTATTGCTAACAACGTACCACGAATGCCTCATCAGAATCCAGTCTCACTGTAGCCGCTAAATTGATCGGAATCGCCAAGATGGGCGTATCGGTTTTGATGCCTTCATCCATAAACACCACCAGTGTTCCAACTCTTCGGCCTTCTGACACGTCTTTAATGAACTTGTGCAGATTCGTTGTCGCCGAGAAGTAAGGCACGTAGTTATACTGCATCAAAAGGGGAGTGTTAGTAGAGAAGCATTTCGTCGCAGGTAAGTGCACGCATCACCTTCAATTCCGGGTAGTAGCGTATTTTTACAATGTGTACCTTGCCATCGGCGAGATCATGTACAGCAGCCGCCGAAATTCGAGCCCTTTCGGAGTTCGTGTTGCTGTTTTGACCTCGTGAGTAAATAGCAACATGGTCGTAGAAGACATCGTCTCCAACGCTTTCATCGTTGAACCACGTGTCGAACTCGACGGCAAGTGAATTTTGAAGCCCAGGGAATCCCATGCTGGAACCTTGGGCTCCCAGTGTCGCTGTGCGGTTTTGGTGGGAATGTATCACGAATGCCAAGCCGTCCCCACCATGAACTGCACAGCTTTGGTACTCGCGGAGCCCGAAGTTCTGGTCTTTGACTTCGAAGCAGCGCCGAGACTGGTCGGTGATCTGGAACGTGAACCGTGTCTCGAAACCCTGCAACACTGGTAGCTGCTGCGCGTACCAGATTGACGAGACTTGGTGCGGTTGAGAGGCAGTGAGGCGTAGACGCACAGGACATCGAAGTTTCTCCTCACTCGCCTGATAAACGTCGCGATGGCCAAGCACCGCCGTCTCCACGGCGATACGCGCACTTGTCGTGTGGTTCTCAGTATCACGAGTCTCTAGACGAATTGCTTCTTGCTGCTCGGTCAATACAGCTTCCAGTGTGGCTTCGCGCGCATCATTGGCGCCGGAGAATTTCGAGTACGCAGTCTGAATCGTACAGGATAAACCGCGAAATCAGTAAATATTTCAATCTCAGCACAAAATTGAGCGAATGCATACACTTGGGAATGGTGCACAGCTACTCGTAGCCGCTTTTCCATTTAGAACTAGCCCAGTTGTGCCATTGAAGTCGTAGTACACGAATTCTGCACGAACCAGATCGGGTGTGGACAAAAAGAGTAAGCAACTTGCAGGAACAATCACCTAGCTAACCGTTGAGATAAGGCGCACCTGCTGCGACTGCATCTACAATGAAAGCGGTCAACAGCGCAAGCGCGCTTGATATCTTCATGAGTCGCTTGTCGGTAGATTTGGTTTGACCAAGTGACTCTTCGAAGTCTCAATTTTAATTGAGACACAGATTATTTACTGGAAGGCCACTTCAAATTATGCTGGTTTCATCAAAATTAAATCCGTAAATGGCGCAAACCACCCCAAACTTTGACGATGCCCTCGGAAGCATCTAAAGCATGTCCTAGCACGTTTTCACGCTCTGGTTGCTGCTAGTTTAGGCAGTAGTAGCCTTCCTATTCTCCTACCCATGAGACCACCACTTAGCTGTCCATTGTTGATACTGAAGCTCAGTTGTTTGAAGGGTCGCATGAGTGATGACATGCATTTTCAGTCGAGTGGTTGCACTTCATAGCATGCTCTGCGTTTAATAATGCTCTTCCTCCCGAGTGCATTTGCTTATCATTTAGAGCACACGCAGGGCTATCCGAAGAAGTATTTATCCCCATGTAGAATGACCTAACGGATTTAAAAGACTTTTGACCTAGCATACCAAATGACGGCTTTTCGTGACCTTCCAGTAAATAATCTGTTAAAATTGAAAAAGAAAAGGGGATATTGCAATTCGGTACCAGTTTTGGCTGGGAATTTGCTGGGACCCGGAGTACATTGCGCATGTGCCCGAATGGATAGTCAGGTACGTTATGTTCATTTTCGTACGGAAAATGGACATTGTACCGTAGGTACTCAGAAGTTAGAAGTTTCCTCAAGTTTTTCCTCAGAATTCAGACTTGGCGAGCCCTTCCTCGAGAAGTAAGAAAAAATCCTCAAAAATAAGTAGCACCCCGATAGGTATTCGACGCATAGCCCACAAGTTCAGAGTTCCGCTGCTAAAATGATGACCCTGAAAGAACCACACAAGCGATCAACTCGTCGGAATGAGCGAGCGCAATGTGTGTGGCCGGCCACCGTCGCTAACTTTAACGCCCGCCCGCACGCCTCTTCGGTGTCAGTACTGATTGCTCTGATTAGCAACAGAAAACGCTGGGTCTGACCCAGTGTTGTGGGCCTGGTACTGAACAGAAAGTCTTTTCAAAATCTGGTACCAAATAGCAATTTCCCCAAAAGAAAAGCATGTCAAACTGACACAAACTACTACGTAGTACGAAACCTGGCATCACCATTTCCAATTAGCATTTCACATTGACTTTTTCCCACTACTTATCATCACACCAACATCTACTTCATGCATTCAACCTTACTTAAGGTCGCTGCTTCTTCCACGTGTAGAAGCCCCGGTAGAACGGTTTGCTGGCCTTGAGTTCGTAGCAGTCCGTCTCGACAACCCGCTGGTTCTCCACATACCACTGGAACATCTCTCGGCACCGCCCCGCTCCACTCAGTGCGTTCTTCTTCTCGCCACACCTGTGCTCCCTCGCCTCCCGCACCAACTCGTAGTAGCGCTTGCACGTCTTGGACCCAATGTAGTCCACGTACCCTTCCCAAAAGGCCTCGGAGTTTGCTGTTCGGTCACAAAGTTGGTCCAGCTCGTGTCGCGTAGACTTGTACATTGTGAACACTTCGTGGCAGTAGAGCGGCCACATAGTCTGCTTCCAGGGTCGGTGGGCGTTCACCCCCGAGCATTCTACGGCGGCCTTGGCTTCTGTGGCGTGGAACAGGCGACACGCGTTGTGCTTCTGCCAGACGGAGAATTTCTCCAGAAACACCAACGCCTGGGTCTGATCGTTAGAATCGGCAGGTAAATCTTGGACGCAGCGAGTGAGCGTGGCGTTGTGCTGGTAGAACAAGGTGAAGCTCTCGGCGCATTTCGGGTTTTGGTCGGAAGTCGCCGTGTTGTGCGGGTCCGAGTCGCAGTTTTTGGCTACGAAGTCGCAGATGACCACGAAGTTGGAGCACAAGTCCTGCATCTGCAGCGCGAGAGGGAGGTGCGAGCTTGGAGGCGGAAGCCGCGGGGCCACTGCGACTACATCGGCGGGGCGAACGAGGCTCACACGCACGCACAGCACCGCGAGCAAGAGCAGGAGAAGGCTGTGCGGTGCCATGCCTTTGATATGCGGATAGGATTTGATTAATTGAGAGAGGTTTGAGTAAATTACGAGGTCATTTATGAAATTACTTGTGAAATACTGAAGTCGGTTGGTGCACTTCTGTACCAGAAAGTATAGACAACGCCACCCTCCGACCCTATCGCGGGCATGGGACTACGTGAGAGTTTTATGGAGCTCCGTTGACGTAGCTCCGGATTGTCTTCATCAAAACGTCTCCCCATCGCTCGACTCCCGCCTGAAGTTCCTGCCACGTAACTTCAGACACGGGGAACTGAGGACTATGAAGTTTCACGAACGCAGCGCGCCGCAGCGTCACTACCAGCTCACCAGCGCCGTCCATGGGTCGCCTACTAGCCTTCAAAACGATAGCTCCCGAGGTATCAAGCCGAACTCGTTCACTCGGAAAATACGGGTACAGCTCATCTTCGTCAATGCAGTCGAGCGCCAGAACGCCGACCGCCTCGCCTTCCTTCTTCCCAGTAAACAAGTGCGAGAATGTAGCGATGCTGCTCTCAACAAGCGTGTAGTTCTCCGAATGCGATAGGACACGGATGTTGCTCACACTTCCAGCGATGGTGTCATACTCGTCTCTCACTGTTGTGTGGCCCAACCTCGCCGAAATATCAATCTCGATGTTGCTGTAGTGGAAGAGCACCGCTTCCCACACTTTCTCTAAGCTTTCCACCACCGGAAAGTGCATCGTCTCACTGTGCATCCCGCAGATGTCTCCGTTTGACGTCTCGTAGCGATGGTCCGATGTGTGGGGCTTGACCGACCTCCCGGTTGTCATCAGAAAGTCATAAGCGTTCTGCAGCTTTTGCTCGCGCACGGACATTAAAGTCGCCCGGCGTTCATCCCAGTCCCTCGTCAGGCAGATCCGCGTATACAGCGGGTGCGACTCCTGCGGCCCAGCGAAGCTGCCAGCATGGAGTGTGCCCTGGCTACTTTAAGCTGCTGGTCCTTGGCCACAGACATCATCAATCTATTGTCCGCCACTAGAGCTTGCACCTCCGGGTCCAGCAGCACCACATCTTGAGGAGGAAGCGAGCGGAGCTGGAGCTCCTTTAGCTCGGACGACAGACGCTGCGCCTCTTGACGGAGCTGCTCGGCCTCCTCCTGCAGTAGACACGAGCCAGAGTAGAGTAGTAAAAAACAAAAGTGTGCGTGCTAAGGGGAGGGGGCATTAGGCCAAGCTGCGAGCGCAACGTACTCTTCGTGCTGTATACGTCGACTTCCGCTTCTTCATCAGAGCGAGGAATCTGGTCAAATGCAAATTTTATGGAACACTACAGTAGAGCCAATCAGCAAGTTGCCCTACCTGTGCAGGTACAGGTTCACAAGCTACTTTGGGCAAATAAATATGTGCTATTTGTTCGCTTATCTTCAAAACTGGTACGCCCGACGTCATCTATTAGTTGGCGTTGCCCCCTTCATCCGAGGTCGTCACAGACCTTTTAGTCGGCGTTGTTCCCCTCGTCCGAGGTCGTGACAGACCAGACGCCCGACTGCAACGAGGACGAGCTGCGTTCAGACGCGTGGATCATGCGCTCAAGGATCACCACGATCTCGGCGGCGGTGGGGCGGTCGCCCGGGTCTTTCTGCAGGCAGCAGTCCGCCAGGTCTAGAATGGCCTTGGGGCAGTCGCTCGAGAAGCTCGGACGCAGCTTTCCCTCCGCCACCAAGCTCAAGATCTCCGCCTCCTGGATCTTGCCGCGGTTCGACTTGTTCTCGTCGTTCCAGAACGGATAGTCGTCCGTGTCGATCTCGGACAGCACCACGCCGAACGAGTAGATATCCGCCGCTTCATCGTAATCTCGACCCAGGAGCACCTCGGGGGCGATCCAGAACGACGTCCCCACCCCCGCAGTCATGTGCGTCTCGACCAGGTACCGCATGCGCGCAATACCAAAATCGCTCAGCTTGGCCTCCAGGTACATGTTGAGCAGCACGTTCTTGGACTTGAGATCGCGGTGGATGATCTTGGGCTTGAGCGCGTGAAGGTATGACAAGGCCTCCGCAATATGCAGCGCAATTGTGGCTTTGTGCGACTCCCACGAGAGACGCTCGCCCTTGAGCTTGTAGCCGTGCAGTACATCGCGCAGGTCGCCATTGTCCATGAACTCGGTCACTGCGGACAGGTGTCTGAGGTTGTCCCAAGCCACACCAACGAACTCGACGATGCGAGGATGGTACAGCACTGCCATCATGATGATCTCCTTGAGGAATTGCTCGATCTCGGCCGCGGAAGCACTGCGGTCCGGGCGGATCTTCTTGATGGCGACGCGTCTGCCCTTGTATTCGCCCATGAACACCAGCCCGAAGCCGCCCTTGCTGATACACTTGCCCATCTTCAGCAGCTTGTGGTCCAGGCGGTTCGTGACGATCACTGGGTCGTTCAAGAACACCGGGTCCACTTGTACTTGCGTATCGTCGAAGTCGAGCGTGTCGCCAAAATCTTGCGAGTAGAAGTCGTCTTTTGAAGAGGACATGCGCTGAGCCTTCTTGTAGGAGAAGTGCCGCCAAAGAAGAAGCGCAGCCACGGCGATGACGATGATACAGCCTCCTGCTACTAGGCCGATGAGCAAAGAGTTGGAGCCGCCTGACGATGCGGTCTCTGTGGAGGATATCAACATGAAGAAGTGAGTATTTCAAGGGAAAAGTGTCAGGGTTGCGCTCTTGAAACACAGTGAACGTACCAGTTGTAGCGCTGTCGTCGGCCACGCAAAAAGTTCGATTGTGTGCAGTTTGCCACGCCCCGTCAGTGCAAGTAGCTGACGCGTCAGGAAGATCAGAGTCGAACGCCAGCAACGCCTGGATAGCACTGAAGACCGTCGAACTGATATTGAAATCAGTGATATCGTTCTCTGCGATGTATCTGTGCGCGCAGAAAAATAACGTCTGTCAGATCAACGGCATTATCATAGTTTCAGAGGTGCAGCACTCACAGTTCTTGCAAGTTGTCCACGTTGAAGACCACCGTTGGGAAAGTTGAGATGTTATTGTTGGTCAAATTTCTACTCGAGGCAACAAGCAAAAGCGTTAGACTTTAGCGTCAAATACAACCGCCCGATATGAATCGTTCACTTACAAGACTTTGACAGCGCAGAACTGATTCGAGCACGAGTGCGCGATGGATGACCCAACGTACGCAGCCGTTAGGTGGTTCGATGACATATCCCTGGGGCACAAACGCGCACCAGAAGCTTTGGTAAGTCACAACCCGGCTAAACATTATCAGTAGCCAGCACTTACAGATACTGCACGTTGTCAAGCCCTTCGAAGAAATCGTACCCAAACTTGATCATGTTGCAGTTCCGCAGCGTACTGCAAACCACACACAGCAACGAGATTAGCGTCAAAAGAGTGCCGCGAATGCGTTGCCTTTATCCAAGTGAGCTCACATGTTCAGCGTTGTAGACGGGTAAAACGTGGAAGCAGTCTGTGTGATCGACGACATGTCAATGTTCTCCAGCGAGCTGCTCCATCAACAACAACACCCCACACTGTTAGCTCTCACTAGACGACACCACCAGCTAAGATTATCAGGCCACCTACACAGTCGTAATGGCGATGGATCCGTCCTCCACGTCCGCTATCGGCAGCGTGGACCCTGGCAGATCCTGATCCTGCGGCACGAACGTAATCGTCTGCGGGTACGTCCCCTCCCCAACAATCCTCCTAAAGGCGCAAACACGCAGCACTATCAGCTTCTCCGTCTACACTAAAACGTCCACAATAGCCACAGACTCACAGCGTCGTGAGGCTGGAGGGCACGAGCAGCGTCCGGATCGAGTCGACGGCCAGCACGTCCTCTGACGTGAGCGTCGTCGGGTAGCTGTCGCCGCCCTCGTCCGTCCTCAGCGTGACGTGGAACTCCCACGTGTCCGTGTCCGAGTAGCCCGTCGACAGGCACGAGCACGAGGCGTTGACGGCCGTGAAGATGTCGGGGCAGCCGCCGTTCGGCGTCGCCTCGTCCGTGCGGCGCTGCACCGACGGCACGCCGTCGCATATGACGTCGCTGCTCGAGAGGTTGTTGAGCGCCGAGTTGAACCCCACCGCCAGCTGCGTCTCGTTGTCGTCGAAGTTGGACGTGAACCATTCCTGCGCCAAAGTCTCCGCTTTGGTGACGGCCACCGACGCGGCGGTAGAAGAGGACGAGGAGGAGGACGAGGAGCTCTGCGCGTGTGCCATTGAGATACTACGGACGACCCACAGCAGTGCGCATGCAACTGGCAGACGCGTCCATTCCGACCGCGTCATGCCGGCAGGCGAGATATCTCCCAGGTCTCCTCAGTTCGAGAGCTGCTATAGCTGGTCGACGATGCCAAGTGGGGACTGACTCGAGGTACTGTCGGCAGCATCCCGCCAATCATGGAATTTAGCGTGGCCCGAAAATTCCAGTCGTATCAGATGCTCAGCTCATACTTTATGTATCGGCCCCGGCAGGAGCCTAAGGTATCTTGCTTGCCCTAAGAGAACGGATCCTAGCGAAGTGGCTTCCCAACACTCACTGCAGTAGTTGCTGACTCAGCAGGCTCGAAGTCCGAACGAATTCATCTGCCTTCGCCGCCATCTTTGCCATCTCGGTCGGAGATTCGTCAGAGATTCTCCGATGGGAGCTCAGCCCCGTTTGCCAGTACGTACCTGCATGAAGAGCGAACCTCGATAGCGTGGGAGTCGACAGAATTCCGTTGACTGTCGACAATCATTGATCCTTCCGCTAGTCGGCCACTAGGGTGGCGATCACAGCAAACGTGTTCGACAATGTCGTGAGCCATCGTGAAGTGAAAACTAACTTCGCACTGCAAAGTTTGCAATACATGTATTGTGCCAAGTGTGGCTCCTCAATGCCTCCTCAACCACTGGCATTGAGTAGCGAGCTGCACCCGTGCGCACCGATATGGCCTGAGGTGGGCAGCACTCGCCGGGCGCAGTGGCACTTAGTCCTGACCGCCTGCACGCTGGTTGGAGAGCCTAGCGGCATTCTCCCAGCACGAGCAAATTCGCCTCCGCCGGTTTAACGGATTGAAGTTCAACGGATCGCAGCAGATTGTGCATTATCAAAACAAGTGGCAGTCTGTACAGATATCCTGTGAGAATGAGTGTTTTGCCCCCATGCTTATTCCATTAACACGTGCCTAGAAACTGGAGTCTCAATCGCTGACTAAAATGCTGCGTGGCCCTGGATTAATGCAGACAACCCGACGGCAGACCGAAGTGTAAGCAAGGTCGGCATTTTTTCAACCGAGCAACCGAAAACTCAATTCGCAGAGAAACGAAATAGATCGCTCCCTGTTTACTAAGTTAGTAAACAGGTAATACTAACGTCACCCAGAAATCGGTACAGACAAATCAACGTCTGGGATCTTATAAACGGCCTTTCACTCCATAACCAACGAGGCTTGACAACCGGGTCCGCTTTGGTATGTTTGCCTAGCATTTCACACTGGCGACACCCGTCGTTGCTTGTTGTGCGTGACTATTGCTATGTAGGATGCTTGGTTGCTTGCTCGAGCTGCTCCCTGCCAGCGTTACCCTTCATTGCTCCCTCATTTCCAATTTGCTCGCGACGAAGCAAATCTACCACCACCGCCCAGCCCGCACCACACAGCAATGACCAAGTGCTTCGCCATCACCACTGTGTTGGTCGCCTGCGCTCTGTCGGCCACATCCGTCACTGCTGACGGTGCAACGAGTGCTACCTGGGGGTACAAGCATAACGACTCGAGCATGGCTAACCCGGAGCACTGGGCGGAGCAGTACCCGTCGTGCGGTGGCTCGAAGCAGTCGCCCATTGATATTGAGATGTCCGGTGGCTGCAATGCTGAGGCGCGCTCGCTGACGTTCAGCGGTCAGTGCACGGACTACAACCTCACCCAATCCGACGAGGCGTTCAAGGCCGCTGTCAACGGAGGTACGAGCACTACGTCTGCAGACTATTGGGTCGTCTAATATATTTTTCTGTTGATAGGTTCCTGTGCCGTGTCAGCGAACAATGCGTCGTACAACATGGTGCAGTTCCACCTGCACAGTCCTTCGGATCACACGCTGAGCGGAGAGCACCTCGACGCTGAAGTTCACTTTGTGCACAACAACACGAACGGTTCTGCGATTCTGGTTGTCGGTGTCTTCTTCAAGGCTGTCGACGGAGGTGAGACTAATCCCTGGGTGGCCTCCGTTCTGGACGCGCTCGACACGGTCAGCATGAACTCGACGGTGTCCATGTCAACGTAAGTTTTGCTGTTTGCTGCCCCTCGATGGCATGGACTTAACCTATCTGTGTGTTTGTATGAAGTACATCGTACGCTGACGTAGTTACCACTGCTGCCGACGCCCACGGAGTGTTCAACTACGCTGGGAGTCTCACCACCCCGCCATGCAGTGAAATCGTGGACTGGTGGGTCGTCAAGCAGCCCGTGAATATCTCCACGACCGACCTCGCCCGCCTGCAGTCGCAGCTGAAGGAAATCCCCATTACGGACGACGGCAAGAACGCACGCCCGGTACACCCGCTCAACGGTCGCGTCGTCGCCGCATACCTCTAGATTCCTAGCTCCATGTTCCTGCTTACATTTCATAAGAGCCTGTTCGCTACGTAGCTGGAGATGGCCCTGTAAATCTCTAGGTAGCTCCAAGAGCTGGAGACGAATTCACAGTGCCATCTCTAGTTGTCTTGTTGTGTGCTACCTACTTTTGACCAATCCGGTCACACTTTTGGTTTTCGTCTCCAGGCACAACATGGGAGACGAAGATGCACTTGTCCTCGCTGCGTGCTCCGCCGTGGCACAGGCTGTGGCTTTGTATGCAGACAGTTGCGAACCAGGACCTCCTGCTGGCAAGAAGAACCGTTTTACCGTCACCACTCTGCGCTTCGAGTCGATGCTTCAATCATCAGCCTATTCAAGCTGGTTCGAGACCAATCTGCGCTGTACGAGGTCCACCTTCTTCCGTATAGCTAGCTTTCTACAAGAGCATGGGGTCGCTTTTGCACAAGCTAAGGTCAAGAAGCATTCCTACGAAAAGAAGGTGGCAGCGGCGCTGTATTTCCTGGGCTCAGCGGGTGGATATCGCGAGGTGGGAGCTGCAATGGGCATGGCTAGAAGCTACGTCATGGAGATCACTACGGAGGTAGACGTTAGAAGCTCCTTTCAGACGAGACTTGCCTCGGCCCTGTGCTGCTTGCGATGCGGCCGAGGCTTGCAGACGCTCGAGCATGCGAGATGGAGCGGGAGTAGGCTCTGGCGTAGCAGACATCGCCACTGATACTTGAGCTAGCGGAACAAATGTTGACGCAGTCTCGGCGCCTTCTAGCAGCAGACCTTCATCACCGGCAGATGGTGTCAGCGAGACGAGGGGCTCGGACGCTGGCGTTTCGTCATGACGTGCGGGGGGCGCAGGAACCGAAGAGCCTTGAGCAGCGGCATGTGCCGCACGCGTGGCCGCACTGGTGAGGCGAGTCGGCATTTTCTCAAGTGGGGAGGAGAGCCATCCCATATCTGTCCTGTGATTGGCTTAAAATTTGTCTGGAGATGGATACATAGCGAACGAGCTGTAGGTGGAGATCAAGCACCATCTCCATCTCTAGTACAACGCGAACAGGCTCTAAGCATCCACTAGAGATCATGAACACGATTTGCCTTGAAACGTGCCTTGCTCGCTGAGCACGTCCAGCCTGGATGTGCTCAGGGGACCGCCCCCATATTATGCTTCCAGCGACTTGGTCAATCCACCTGGTTCTCCGTGCTGCGAGGAAGGAATCGACCGTGCGTACGCTTTCAGACAGAAGCAAACTGTTCGACACCTTGCTGGGCTTCATCGAGCTCGCGGCTTTTCGAGAGGGCGATGGAGATTGCGACGCGCAACTTCACGCAGTAAGCACCTCGTATTGCACTGTGTTTACTACGTGAAGTGCGAAAGAGTTCTGCAAAGAGAGCCGTTCGCAAAAGTGTTGTCGCCGCAGAGCCACAACATGCAACTGAACACTCTCTTTTCTACGGAGGGATAGGAACGATCGGGCGGCACACTTGGTCGTTGGTGACTGCCGAACGCAAGCTTTGACGTCGCGTCAAGATCACTGCTCGGTAACGTCTCGCCGAGGTTTCCTGCCAGATGGAGGGCATAAGCAACACACCGGGAAATGTGCCGTGTTACTTCGAAGTGCACTCAGATCAGTGCAGATTAGGAAGATTCGCTTTCAAAATGCTCTATATGCACAGACTAACCTAGAATCTAAAGCACCAGCAAGACTATCAAAACTGGGTGTTCATGGTTTTACTTGCACTGGATCAACCAACTTCTGGTAAGACACTACAACATGGAAGCACCAATGCATGCACTTCGTCTGCTAGGCGTTCGAACGCAAAAAAACTAAGCGTCGAACTCAAGGAAAATGATACTACGCCCTATCATTCATACCACGATCAGGTGAGGATCCAGCACTATGCCGTCGGCCAAAGCTTTGCATCGCAATCTTTCTGGTTTCCGTTTACAGGTAATCCTTCATGCTGTACTCTAGTCTGTGGACTTATCCCTGGTCGAGCTCCGAAAACTCTCGTTCGTTCTCAAGATCGATATCGACAAATCGAGATTTGTATGTTGCAGTCCGATCTCACTTCGTTTGGATGTTCGTTTTGCCGGTGCAGCACGGCAAAAGCTCCCCTGGCCCCACGAGCAAGGTACAATTCCGCGTGTCCGGTTGTTTATGACAGCAAGGTTGCCGTGTGTGACGTTCGGTGGACCCCGCACAGCACACTGCTTACGGTGGCAAATCGCGGAATCGGCACCATCCCAGGCAAAAATGTGGAGCTCTGCGGTTGCCCTCTTGCCTTGCCTCACTGCCTGCACTCGGTCCTCGTCCCTACAGCGGGAGTTACCGCGTTTGGGGTCGTGATTTTTAATCAAAAAAGAAGTCGTCATTTCCGAATTTAACAGCTCTTCGACACCACCACCGCGACAACAGAACAGCCCCCAATGAAGTTCATCGCCACTTCCGCTGCCGTTGTTGCTGCTTACGCACTTCCCGCTTCAACCGTTGCTGCTGGTGGAGCTGAAGGCGCTGCGTGGGGCTACAAGAACAACGATACGGCTATGGCCAGCCCGGCTCAGTGGGGCGAGCACTACCCTCACTGCGATGGCACCATCCAGTCTCCCATCGACATCGTGTCGTCGGATGGCAAGCAGAGCACCAAGGCGAAGAGTACCCTCCGATTCCGCGGAGACTGCCCCTCTTTCAACCTCACTCAGACCGAGGAAGGGTTCAAGGCGAGCGTTGTCAAAGGTGCGTAGATGATTGTACTCATCAATTTGCAAGCACCCAGTACAAGTATCAACTTCTCCTTCGTTTCTTTTGCAGGCACGTGCCAGGTGAAGGCAAACGCTGCCAAATACGACTTGGCCCAGTTCCACGTCCACGCTCCGTCCGAGCACACGCTGAATGGAGACCCCCTCGACGGAGAAGTTCACTTCGTCCACAGCAACGCCGACGGTTCTGCCCTCCTCGTGGTCGGTGTCTTCATGGAGATTGACCCCTCCGGTGACACGGACCCGTGGCTGGAGTCGGTTATTGACGGCATTGACGACGTCACTCCCACTTCCTCCACCATGATGAAATTGTACGTTGCATTATTCTCGGCTACCCGCGTAGAGTTACTTACGATATCGTGATTGGCTTATAGGACATCATACTCGGCCCTTGTGAAGAAGAGTCTGCAGGGCAGTAGTCTCTACAACTACCCTGGAAGCCTCACGACGCCGGGGTGCGACGAGATTGTCGATTGGTGGGTCGTGGAGCAGCCAGTCAAGATTTCAGCGAAGGACCTCACGCGTCTTCGCGAAAACCAGGGAGAAATCCAAATGATGAACCATGGAGAGAATGCTCGACCGGTGCAGCCTCTGAACGATCGCACTGTCACCAGTTTTGAGTAGATGTCATCGAGGTTTTCGTTAATGTAGCAGTGTTTTGCCTTGTTGCATACGGAATAGGTTCACCAAAAGGTATCGTCTATTATGCCAGTAACGTGGACAAACACAAATTACTACAAAACATTCGAAATTTCTCAAAATCAATACAATATTATAGATAACATAGAAGTAATTTACATCGCCGTAATCAAACTTTTATGCATATCCAATTAATTCACATATATTGTAATATTAAACATTGTATAATAATAATATTTCCCAATAACAGGTATTTAACTGCAATACATTTATGATTGTATTATATAAATAATGTTTTGTCGCAACCACCTGCTCTCTAGGTTTGGACGCCAGCTTAACCCCAGTCCAAATTTGTCCTAGGAAAAAGGACCAAATTGGTTTTTGGTGTGGCGTACATAAGCCGATTTGTCCTACCTCGAGCCCGGTAGGACGAAAAATGACTAGACATTTGTATACCCGCCTTAAGGATAGAGACTGTCGCTTCTAACAAATCACGCATTTGTATCGGAGCTTAAAATACTCAGATCCAGTCAAATCCTCAAATTTGTCCTAGCAGCTAGGACAAATTCGTCAAAGTGATATGTTATTAGAGACAATGTTCAAATTGCCTTTATGTCTACAAGGACAATCGATTAAGTGAAGCTGATCCGTCAACAGAGAGATTAAGGAAAGGGTTTTCTGCCCATGCTAAGAAAACTTAATATTCATGTGTCGTTTTATGACAGTGGGGCGCCAAAGTTTTGGTCCTTTCGTTTGTCCTAGGAACGATCTGGGGGGGGTTAAGGAAACTCTTCAGGAATTTAAAATCATAGAGTGCTGTGTCGCGCTAACTGATAAGGATCTTTGGTACCGATGGTAGTGCAGACACTGCATTCCTTTGAAGTCAACATTTTGGCATCCAATGCGGCCAATGTAGTTAAACAATTCCTCAACCCTACTGTAGTCTCGAGGAACGACCGCACCGTTGTTTACATGTTAGTAAATGTTCATTCAATACAAAAGCACATGTTGCATACTCGCCTCATGGTCCGGATACCTTGTTAGCCTACCGACTTACGACAGCGTCTGGGTGCATGTATTCGTGGGCGTATGGCAGGAACTGCTCGACTCGAACAAGTGCTACATTTAGAGTTGTTGTGCCAAATTCGTACCAGAATACAGAATCGTCGTGCTCGCGAGGAGTCCATGCAGACGAAAGAAACCACATAGCAATTCTGCTTCGTCTCAAGTCTCGCTGCAATTCCTCATGCAGCCACCGTGCTTGGAATAATAGATATACTCCATAGTAGCCAATTGTGCTTGTTACCACCAGCAGGTTTAGTGAGAGTAGGGAACTCCTTGTGGCTCGGGGACAAGACGATAGGAGGACCCTGGAGTCCCGTTAGTATCCGCAATGTCGGAAGCTAACCATTTGGTTTGCTAGGCTCGCCCTCCCTATACCTTTTGCTCCAAACAATAGGCATGCAACGGGAGAGCGCCGCTGCGAGTCTGCCTCTCTGTGTAGGCCAGCCATAAGAAACTCGTCGCGATGGAAGCCCCACCGAGCAGGCGCAGTAAGCTTGCGGTGGTTGCTGTCGTGGCGTTTATCTATCAGGCACTCGAAGTTTGTATCGCGCAGGGATCGTTTTCAGCCTCGTCGTCGTCAGGAGCATGGTCATCCTCCAGTGGCTCTGAAGTTGGCTTTGTTCCCGTTACAACAGTAGCCGAGGAGTTGGCTCAGGAATGGTTCACCGAGAACTTTTGGGACAACATGACGCAGTTGGCGGTTGGCGTGGACTCAAAGCTGAAAAACTTGTCTACTAGCGATGTGATCTGCAGTGGCATGCCATCGCTCCAGCGACGCTCCGCTGAAACTCTCCCCAACTCCGGCTGCCCCGACATTTTCACGGCGATCGATGCTTCATGCACGTGTCTGATCAGCGGCTACAACGGCACTGACACTTGGGAGTTTCGAGTAGCCCAGCGCAGCGTCGACAGCGAGTACCCAGCCAAACTCACTTCCGCGGATGTTCTACATGTCGACGCTATCAGGACGATGCTGGTGCCTCCAACGCTCAAGACGCTGTATGTTCGTGTGTATTATGGTTGTTTGTATCGCCTTCGAACTAACTAGTGCGACGCTGCTTGCAGTCGTATCGTCGGAGAAGGAAGTTCGCCACAGGACATTCAATTCGCGCCGGAAGATAGGCGTATCCCTGGCACTGCGTTACCTGTTGCTACCAGCCCCAACGACTCGATCTCCGTATCGTCCGTGTGAGTACAGGTTTCGATGGTGAGTTCCGTGATTGATACCCTTGCTAACCAGTCGATTTTTACAGGGAAATTATCAACATTAACATGTTTTCAATCACGCTCTCAGCGTCCTCCTTTCTGCCGCCAACAACGACCAATCTGTGAGTGTAATTTGTGAAAAGTGGCATGAATCATAGTCTAACACTGTCATCACTCCTGCGTCTCGTAGTACCCTGCGAAACTGCAACTTGTTCGGCTTTGGCTTCCGATTTTTCGACGGAGTGACTGGGCTTAAGTACTTGTAAGTCATCGGTGGCAAAAAAAGTTGCTCAATAATGCGCTAACTTGTTATTTTCCTGTCGGTATTTAACAGGGATCTGTCGTCCAACTCGTTGACTGTTCCTTACGCTGGATCAACTACCCAGAGCACTTGCTCCAATGAATTCTGCACGATTGAAACACTGTACGTGGTCGAACCGTGATCAAGATGTATTTGAGTTTATACTAACAACACTTTTCTTCGTTTGATCCATCGCAGGAATCTCACCAACAATAGCCTGACAGCGTTCCCTACCGTGGTATTCAACATCGACAATCTACAGGAGCTGTACGTGTTTCTCTCTGCAACCATGAAATATCTCCCCGGTTGGTCTGACATCACACCATAATCCCTTCCAGGTACATTGCCCATAACGACATCACGGACTTCAACATCAGCAACTCGACGTTCGCCGCTATCAAGAACTTGGCGGTCTTCGAGTCTGATCAACCGGACCCAGCGGCCACCTGCCCCTGCGGAACGTGGCAAACAGCGCACAACTCGCGGTTTTGCGTTGCCAACAGCACAATCTCAATCCCAGGTACGCACGCAATCATCGCTCTCGTATCAACGTCAACACCAAGCTAATACTTTGTGGTATTGTGGGTTTCTGCCTTGACAGAAACAAGTTCAGGGACGTGCACCGAATGCATCCTCTACGTGAGTATCATCGGCGGCTGCGTAGTGGTGGCCCTCATAGTGCTGCTGTTGTGGCAACGAGCCCGCCTTCGTCAACGAGCTTCCATGCCCTCGGCTGAGTCCTCGCCCTCCAGCTACTACCTCGCCAGGAGCGGTGGCGAGACCGCAAACTTCCAGTCTTCCGACAAAACCACCACCGAGGCGTTACTGGAGGACCCGATCATTGTCACGAACCGCATCAACTACAAGGAGGTCAAACTAGGCAAGTGTCTAAGCAGAGGCGGCTTCGGCCTGGTGTTCGTCGGGCAGTACAAGGGCCGCCAGGTCGCGGTCAAGAAGATCCGACCCGACCGCAGCCTCGACCCGAAGGACGTCAAGGCCTTCCTCAAGGAGATCATCCTCATGGCGGAGCTGCACCACCCGCGCATCGTCGAGTTCGTCGGCGTGGCTTGGGACAACCTCAAGCACTTGTCCGCCGTCTCGGAGTTCATGGAGGGCGGAGACCTCCGACACGTGCTGCGGAGCTTCAAGCGCCAGGGCAGTCCGTTGTCCTGGAGGAGCCACAAGGCCGTCATCGCGCTGCATATCGCCGAAGCCATGCACTACCTGCACTCGCACTCGCCCAAGGTGATCCACCGCGACCTCAAGTCCAAGAACGTGCTGCTGAACCGCCACCTGGAGGCCAAGCTCACGGACTTTGGCGTCTCTCGAGCGCAGTACTCGGTGCAGACCCACGCCATGACCGCCGGCATCGGGACGTCCTTCTGGATCGCGCCCGAGGTTCTGCTGGGCCGCGACTACAACGAGCAGGCCGACATCTACTCGTTCGGCGTCGTGCTGTCGGAGATCGACACGGACGACTACCCGTACTGGAACGACGCCAACCGTGACGGAGCTCGGGGCAAACTCGAGGAGGCCGACATCCTCCGGCAGGTGGCCAAGGGCAACAAGCGACCGCAGTTCTCGCCCAACTGCCCCGCCGCCATCGTGCTGCTGGCCGAGAGCTGCCTGCAGAAGGACCCCAAGGACCGACCGACCGCCGCGAACATCGTCGACACGCTGCAGCAGCTTCTGGGCTCGAGTCTCGCGCCCAGTCTGTCCGACTCGGAGTCGTCCCCAGCATCGGGCTCTGCGTGGACTGCAGACTCTAGACAATAGATACATGGATGTGTGTGTATGTGTATGTTAATGTCCACCAACATGTCAATAGAGTGAATAACTGTCCTCAAGGACACCCGGCTGATCTTTACTGGTCGTATCTGATGTACCCAAAGCCAAGACAGTAGCACGGTACAATGGTGCGGTGTCCGTGCACGTGCATGAAGCTGTGAATGGGAAGCCAGATGGACCTCCTCTGTGCTTTGGGTCCAGCGGAGACCGAGACGCTCTCTGGCTGTCGACCCTGAATCCGCCGGTATGCGGTGGGAACTCACGCCCAAAGCAGACTAGCGTCCGGACCCACAGATTGATAGTCGGTGTCATAGAGACTTAGTCTGCGATAGCCGCCGTACGAGGCAGCGCTGCTTCCATGACGGCCGGCCATCGTCACTGCAGCCTCATAACGCTTTGCTGGCTGCTGTGGCTGTGGAGTGCAGCAGCAGCTCAGAGCTCTTCGTCGTCGTCGTCGTCATCGCTATCGTCGTCGGGTTCAAGGGCTTCGAATACGACGGAGGCTGGCGACGTGACGCCGGCGGAGGTGCTGGCCCAGGACTGGTTCGAGGCCAACTCGGACGCGAACGTGACGTATCTGGCGGTGGGGGTGGACTCGGCGCTCTCGAACATCTCTGGCAGCGACGCCATCTGCGGGAAGGGCGTGCCGTCGCTGCAGCGGCGTACGCCGAATGAGCTGTCCAACGGCGGCTGTCCTGCCGTCTTCACGGCTCTGAATGGGTCCTGCACGTGTCTTCCCGACTACAACAACTCCGAATCCTGGGGGTTCTTGGTGACGGCAAGGACCTCGGAGGAGGAATACGACTATCCGCTTACTATGAACGCGACGGATGTGCTGCCCATCGATTCGATTCGAACGCTCTTGGTGCCGTCGACGGTCGTATCGATGTAAGTATAGACCTGCGCTTTCGTACTTCGAGAGTACTAATACTTTTTTACATTCTAGATCGATTACAGGCGTGGGGGAGGAACCTCAAGCTATCTCCTTCGTGCCGCAAGATGTGGACTTGCCGGGATCCGACATCCCCATCGCTGTGAATGAAGAGGCTACTAGCGACGCCACCTCCATCACAGCCGTGTGCGTACTACGAATATTACCGGTTTTCTTTTTTTTACCTCAGGCTAACCTTTTGCTGCCATGTAGGCGCCTGGAAAACATCGACATGTCCTCTGTTGTGCTGAACGTCGGCTACTTCTTCCCAGCCACTACTCTTAACCTGTAAGGCGTAGGTTTGTGCAACGCGAAGCTCTTGGTGGGGAGGAGATGGTGGGCTAACGTTCAGGCTGGTGAATTGTTTTGCTACAGTACAATGAGAAACTGTGGGTTGGAAAAGTTTGGCTACGATTTCTTTCAAGGACTCAACTCGGTCGAATACCTGTGCGTACGTCGGTGATTCAATGCTGGAATTGGGGGTGAGGGCTAATATTTTTGTTTGTTTGTTGGGTTTGTACTGAACGAGCAGCGATCTGTCGGAGAACAAGCTTGCTACGGCATATGCCGGCAACACCATCGGGAAAACTTGTACAACTACATTCTGCGCAGTTCAGATTTTGTAAGTTCTGTACTTCCATTTAATTTTTTTTCTGTATCTAACACCATGCTGTGGGTTGGACAGGAATCTAACTGGAAATGTGCTGACAAGTTTCCCTTCGGTTGTCTTCAACCTCGACGACCTCAGTGAATTGTAAGATGCCTGTGAAAAACCTGTTTTCTGTGGAGTAAACGATCTAGATATTCAAGTTGCTGACTTTTGTGCGTCCAATGACCAACAGATACCTTCGCAACAACAATATTACGGACTTCAACGTCAGCGCTTCCGTCTTCAGTTCGATCTCGGCATTACGAGCATACGAGTCGGACCAACCAGACGAGTTGGCTACTTGCACTGGTGGCACGTGGCAAACCGCACACAATGTTACGTTTTGTGTCCTCGATACCTCCACAGCAGCGGAGGGTACGTTTGATCAACCTGCATTTGTTTCATGTTCGTTGCATGAATCTTAATTTTTACCTGTTCCTTTATGCATTCTTCCTGAGCTAGATTCATCGAGCAGCACCAGTTCCCTTGTCTACGTTGCGATTGCAGCTGGATCCGTCGTAGTAATGCTCTTGATCATTTTTGTGTGGATGAAGTGGGGTCCTCGATCAGACATAGAGCGTCTGTCCTCCTCCTCCAAGATCGACAGCACTAGAGCGTCAAACTTGGATGAAACAAGGCGGGAAGTAAATCAAGCTCTTCTCGAAGACCCAGTGATTGTGACCAACCGTATCGAGTACAAGCAGTTGAGACTCGGCAAGTGTATCAGCAAAGGGGGCTTCGGATTAGTATTCACCGGGGAATACAAAGGCCGTCGCGTGGCTATCAAGAAAATTCGCCCAGATCGCAGCGGAGACGTCTCGGAGATTGAGGTCTTTCTCAAGGAGATCATTATGATGGCGGTGTTGTATCATCCGCGCATTGTCGAGTTCATCGGTGTGACCTGGGACAACTTACGCCACCTGGCAGCGGTGACTGAGTTCATGGATAATGGCGATCTTCGAGAAGTTCTGTATACTTTCAAGGAACGGGGTTCGCCTTTGTCGTGGCAAACGCACAAAGCTTCTATTTCGCTGCATATTGTCGAGGCGCTAGCTTATCTGCACTCGCAGCATCCGAAAGTAATCCACCGCGACCTCAAGTCCAAGAACGTGCTGCTGAACTTGTATTACGAGGCCAAGTTGAGCGACTTCGGCATTTCGCGCATGCGGTACGACATGGAGACGCACATGACGGCGGGGGTGGGCACTTCGTTTTGGATTGCACCCGAAATTCTGCTCGGTCGGGACTACGACGAGCGCGCAGACATTTATTCCTTCGGCGTGGTCCTCTCGGAAATCGACACGGACGACTATCCGTACTGGAACGACAACAACCCTCACGCAGCTCGCGGCAAAATCCAGGAGGCCGAGATCTTGAGCCAAGTCGCCGTGGGCCACATGCGGCCGGAGTTTTCGGTGGATTGCCCAGAGGAGATACTGGCATTAGCAGACGCGTGCCTGCAGAAAGACCCACGGAACCGACCGACCGCAGCGGAGATCGTGATGATCCTCCAGAATTTGATTCATCCTTCACGCTGCGGGTCATCGTCGCAGATGTCCGACGACTCCGGATCGATATGGTCGGTTGAAAGTCCGAGCAATATCATTCTGTAATGAATGGATCGACGAGGAAGAAACTCTAATTCGGTGAGAATATAACGCGGAAGTATCTCGAATCGATCATCGATCGATTAAATTTTTGTGTAGAATGACAGTATCCTTCGATACTACACTTAGAGCTCTGTTCGCCCGCTTATTAATGGAGAACCAAGCCCCATGTTTTTGTGCAGCATCGGAGGAGGAAACGCTCCTTCTTGTCCTCGGTCTCAAGGCGCGAAACCCTTTTTGGGAACGAATTCTGAGGCCACGAGCGAAAGAAACCGCTTTTGCCGACGACGCGCTCGAAATACTAACCCACGATTTCGAGCAGTTCGTTCATATTGAACGATAAAAGGGAACGTTATGAATAGGTTTGCGAGTGAGTTTAGCGTGCTGCAACGGTAGCCGCGTTTTGAGATAGGGTGGCATGGCTTCAAGATGACTCCAGTTGGACTGCGGTGGGTGTGGCGCTTAGCTTTGCACCAGGCCACTAATAACCGTTTAACCCTGTACCAAGATCAAGGGCTCCGCGGGTTCTGATGTATACTTTCACTTTGTGCCTCTTGTCCAACTCGCATCCTCGCTCTTGTATGTCCACCGTTTCCAGACAAGAGCATGCTCCGGCGCCCTCTATTGTTAGGATGCGAAGTTCTAAAGTATTGCTAGCCCCAGGGAACAGAGAGAGCCACGCGACGTGTGTGGCTTGAGAGCGCCTCATCTCGTGGCGTTGGCGTTACTAGGATAGCAGTAGCCATTCGCTGATACAGGGCGATACTGAGGTTGCGTTGCCAAAACTAAATAGTGTTCAACGTTTCAGGATAATTAATAGTGCTGTGTGTTTGCCGTAGGACGCAACGGCCACTTCCACTTTTCAATCCACCACTCGCCCCGATCCCACGTCGAGCAGCCAGCCAAGGGGCCATTTCTAGTCCCAGACAAGACCCTGCACAAGACCAACGGCAAATAACGGACGTAAACGACCCCAGTTGGGCTCCTTCTCAAGCTATTCTTACAAAAAGGTTAGCAGTTTCTGCTAACACTAACACTGTTCGGAGGCCCGCAGTAGCGTGTGCGCCGCTGGGGCCTGCGACATTCGCCATTTTGCAGCAGACTTGGACATTTACCTGTCTCCCGAGTCTTCACACCTGCCGTTATGAATCCGCAGTCGCAGTGCCCAAACTCAGCCCGAGTGAGCCCTCCTAGAAATCCCTCCAGAAACCAGCACCTCGATGACCCCTTCGTGGTCTTTCAAGCACAAACTTCGACCGATGCTTTCGCTTTAGAGCCAACTGTGGTCACGACAGCCAGGTCCCGGACTTTCGAGCGCCTCAACCACAGTTCTGCGCATGGTCAAGACCCGCTCAATGCTCTCGATCTTGTGCTGGCCGAGTCTCCGATCGCAAACAATTCTCGGAAGCGAGTCTTGCCGACTTCGGTCGCGTTGATGATGTCCAGAGGCAGTAGTCACCAACAGAGCCCGTCCATTCTGGAGCGCTACGCTCAAACCGTCCCGCTGTCTGCATCCTGCCAAAGCGTCCAAAAGCGTTGTCTGTTTCCAGACTGCACCAAGATGTCCGTGAGCAAGGGGCTGTGCCGAGGTCACGGAGGCGGCCGTCGATGCCACTTCGCAGGGGGTTGTACCAAAAGTGCTCAAAGCCGCAGCATGTTCTGCTGGGCACACGGTGGCGGTCAGCGCTGCGATATGGACGGCTGCATGCGGTCGCGTAAGACCAAACACTTTTGCGTCGCTCACGTGCGCCACGAAGCGGAGGGCGCCAGGAGCGACCAGCTACTTGCTGGCAAAAACAGTCGAGCACCTCACACGCGACGCAGCCGCTACGTCCCTGTGCCCACGCGAACTCATCACCTGCCCTCGCAGAGGTTGCTCCCCAGCTTGGGCCAAGCGCTGAGCGCTGCGTCACTTTCGCTCCCGAGCTTCCCCATTCTCCCCGAAGTCCGAGCTCGCTGCATTGATGAATGAAGCCAGGCTGGTCCGGTAGAACTACACAACAAACACCACCAACAAGATATTTACCAGGTTAGTAGACAACAACTGGGGCCGAGTTCTCAACGTACAAAACGTGGAGCAGCACACTCCACACGAATAGATTTATATCTTAGTCACTAGTTCCCGGCCACGACCGGAATTCACTCTTATATCGCGAGGCGAGGGGTGCTGGCGGCGAGGGCGTCGTCGTCGCGGAAGTCCACACAGTTTCGGACGAATATTGCGTTGGCACCGTGCGCAGCAGCGCCTCATTAAGGCTGGGAAGCTGCAGCGCAGGCGGCGGGATACCAGACACCTCTCCGGCGTACTGGTGGTATTGGGCAGTATACTTGCGTTGCTCGTGAAGGACGTACTCCCCCGACGGCATGCGCATGTTCTCTTTGTTGTGGACGGCCGACAAGCCACTGTCGCAGGAGACAGTGGACTGGCGGCCGACGCTGTCGTCCGAGTCCGCACTAGTGTATGAGCTGGAGGAAGTCTTAGACTTGGACGCAGCCTTCGCGGCCTTCGTAGACATCGGCTTGGGCACACTGTCCGAGTCCGGCATGGGGACGGTAAGCTCCATGTCCACGTGATCCACACAGAACCGCTTGGTCTTGCGGCTACGGCGGCAGTTTGGCGCCTCGCAGCGTTTGCCGCCTCCATGGGCCCAACAGAACGGACTGCGACTCTGCGCGCACTTGGTGCAGCCTTGATGTTGACACCGCCGACCACCTCCATGGCCACGACACCGTCCTTTACTGACGGCGATCTTCTTGCAGCCTTCAAACGAGCACTGCTTGGCGCCGCAGCCCGTGAGCAGAGCGCGGGCCAACGACGGCGCGATCTCATCTTTACCCACCGCCGTAGAAGTGGAAGTAGAGGTAGAGGCGGCCGGCGCCTCGGGCGTCGATCCGCGCGTCCTCTTTTTCCCGCTAGCCACAGTCTCCGTCTCAGCCCTGGGCGGCGACCGCAGTCGAATCTGATGCACTCCGGGGGGCGACGCCGACGGCACCGGCACCGGTGCAGGCGGCGTCCTCAGCCCCGAATTCAAGATCTGGCCGCGCGCAGCCCAGCTCCTCTGCTCCTCCTCAGCGTAGCTGGAGATCTTCATAGCTTGGAAGGCCGCTTGTTGCTCCGCCGTCATGCGGTCCGGGGATGGCATGCCGCCGTACGGACGACGGATAGGGGCTGGAGGGGCTTGGTAGTATACTGGCTGTTGCTGCTGTGCGTAGCCCTGGGAGGCTGGGGCCGCCCTGGGGCCGTCCAGGAACTTGCCCACGGCGCGGAACAGGCGCTCGCGCTCGTCTCCTTCGGCCACGGAGGACGCGCGGCGCATGGGCGGCGGCGTGACGGGTCTGGGCCGACGCGCGGTCTCGTCCAGACCCGCCACGGACGCCTGCAGCAGCGGGAAGGACCGCGCCACGTCCATGGTGTCGACGCGCGGGGCCGGAGGCTGACGCTGCTGCTGCTGCTGCTGCTGTTCGAGCACCTGCGCGGCCGCCATGACGAGCTGCTCGGGCGTGGGCGACGCGCTCTGGTGGTGCACGGTCCAGGCCATGGCGCGCGGGAACAGGCGGTGGCGCAGCAGCAGCGCGGCGGCGGCGTCCGCGTCCGGGAGCGCGGCGTCCGGGTTGTCGGCCATGAGTGCGCACTCAACTCGCTTGCTCAGTAGGCGGGCAATTTCAAAGTGAGCGGGCGTTATTGCCTGGTTGAGATGGGAAATAATAATCTGAGCAGGATTTTGACGAATTCGTAGGTAAATACCGTAAAATGTAGCGAATAAGCGTATATGAGTGATGGTCAAAGTTGCACATAGAGGTAGGTGATGTTATATCAAAAAGTACCGTGGAGGATGCATAAGCAAGACTTTGGTAAGACAGCGTTGAAGTCGTTGCTGCTGCTGAAAATGCGATGGCGCTAGAGGTCAATGCTGCTTTCCCTCAAAGTTGCAGGGGGGCATGCCTTTTTCCTGCAGGTATGTGGGGATGCTAACGTAGCGCGAGCGTTGAGCCACCAATTGTTATTGAGAATATCAACTTAGACTGCCTGGTCCGTCTCAGTCCCAGCTGTTGCTGATTAATGCCCGCTTTGATCGTTTACGATACGCTGTTGCAGGTCTCGTCGTTTCCCTGATAATCAAGCGCCAGGTGGCCGTCTCAACAGCGGACCAAAGATGAACCCGGTCTCAGAGCTAAAGGACCTCATGCGTACGGCACCACCGAGAGCTTTTCGCCATGGGTCCGTTCGCTCAAAGGATGGCAACGCGGCCGAACGCGCTCTACGACGGCCCAGGCGGAGGATCTTGGGACACGCTTCAAGGGATAAGATGTGTGATAGGGTCTAGGGTCCTGGTGGTACCAGCGGCGTCGTCAAGCCGCTCGGACCGAAGCGGGAAGAGCTCGACAAGGTCAAGGTCAAGTTGCCGTCAGGACCGGTCCGCCACGTGTCCAATTGTTCATTTGGTGCGTTCGGTTCGGGGTCACGCCCCTGGGCTAATAGAAAGGGGCCGGAGGAGCTCAGGGTCAACTCAACGACTCGGCTCAGCTCGTGGTGCTGCCTGCGTTGCCCGACGGCGAAGAAAGCAAATGCCTGGATTCTGGTAGCTCTGAGAAACGCTGGAAAGGGGCCGCGCTGCAAGCTGTCACCACTTCGTTGTCGTCGAATCTAGGGGGGTCTGAAGAGCCGGGCGTGCATGGAGCAGCCGCGAACGGCGCGAGATGATGCTAGGAAAGGCAACCGGCAGTACATGTTGGTAGGCATCATCTTGTCGAAGCGTTCGTGTATTGTATTTTGCACCTCGCAAAAAATGCGTCTGCGTGTTCGCCTAAGCAGCACAGTGCAATAGTCGAAACGCTCTTTCACCAAAAATGCCATGTTGAATTAGAAAAGTACAGTTGGAGTCTTTTAGGCGGATTGCGGTCACCCGCCGGGCGGACCAAAGGCGGGTGACACCGCTCTTTCTGGTCGACAGCCTCGTTGAATTTCGAGGCCGCAGTATGCGACGTGAGCTCCTCGGTCCGTCTCCAGCGCACAGCCGGCGGCGTTGAACAGGATCGGCGTAGCGCAGGCGCACGCACGTGGGTAAATCTTCACTGCAGATGAAAGAGGGCTTCGTGCAATTCGATCTCCATCGGGCACGCTTCAAAAGAAATCACCGTTGGTGAATAGGATGCCGGCTGGGAAATCCCCAGTGAATCCTCATTTGACATGTGAAGACGTAGAGGAAAGGAAATTTTATTGAGATGTCTAGCTATAGCTAGCAGTCGAGGACCTCGAGGGGCCTTCAACCTCGTCGAGGCCGCGCACCGCCTTAGAAGAGGCTGTACGCGATCGCCGCAAGGGCACCGGCTGCAAGGCTTGAAAGGGACATCACGCTCGCTGACGAGGTCGAGGTGGTGGTCGTGGCGCCGGACGAGGAGCTCGACGTAGACGTGGTCGTAGTGTTGCCAGTGCTGCTGTCGCCGAGCACGGGGTCATAGTGGAGAGTTTCTTTGAAAGAGGTGAAGACCCATTGGAATTCAGTGTCGCCCGCTGTGTCAACCACCGATGAGTTCACCAATGGCGTCTCGACGCCGTCTACCATTGCGTAGGTCGGCGTGTCCATGAACATGGAGTCGCCCATGTCCACGCGCTCGACGTCCGAGGCATCGGAACTACCGGAATCACTGCCCTTCGCTTTCTTCTTCGGCTTGCCCAGTTTTCCGCCCTTGGGTCCCTTCGCATCCAGCGTGACAGCGAGAGTGAGGGTGTTGGCATCGTCATCGAAAGGCCAGTTGGCGATGTCAACCGTGAACTTGAGCGAGCCGGCGGGAACGGTGAGGTTCTGGGAACCGTACGACACCGCCGTAGTAACCGGGTAGATGTCGGCCGTTAGGTTGAAAAGCGCGCCATTCTCCTCGAGTGTTGTCACGAACGTCGTTGAGTATACGGTGGCTCCGTTCACGTCCTTCTCTACGACGTCAGTCCAGTCGCTGTTTTTGGGTTTGAATTTGTCGATGTGGCCCACCTCGTCGCCGGCAGCAGTTAGCTCCGTGAGGCTGGCGACGGCGAGCTTCATGAATTTCCCCGCCGTGCAGTCTCCGGTCGGGCAGACTTTCATGACGGCACCAGTTCCGTCGAAGTCAGCTGCGGTTTTCATGTGCCCCGACTTGCCGGAACCCGAACCAGAGTGATCCTTGGGTTCGAAGGACTTCTTGGCGGAGGCCCCAGAGGTGTGGGCGAGGATGCACACGAGGGCGAAGGCGGCCGGGTTGACGATCTTCATGGCTTCAGTGGATACGGCGAGCGGGTATCGACGGTGGCTTGAGAGACAGCGAAAGGCTGAAGGCCTCTGGGTGCTTGAGTGGCTTGGTTGCTTGAGTGCTTGGAAGTGTTTTTCGGAATGACAATGGTCAGGAGAGTTTCGCTCTTCCAACAAAAATGCAGCAAGTATAACAAATCGACAGCATCCCGCATTGGGCGCGTCAGACACGAAGGAACCCACCATGATTGCAGCAACGTGGCTATTTTGGCAAGACAGCAGCACGCTTTTTAATGCTTTTATTAACCGTAGGTGGCTGTGTGTATCGGTGCTACGGCACGGGATCGGACGCTGAGATACTGTGGCCGGATCTATTTGAAAATGAAAGCATGCTGCAGTCGCTGCAGTTGGGCATGGCGTTTCAGCGCGTTTTGCTTTCTGGTTGAGACAAGGAAAACTCCGCTAGCGGCTCCACACTCGCAGTCTTATGAAGCAGCATGCCGTCGATCGCAGTGCCGAGGCTGGTGTTCCTGATTCAGGAATGCTGGACAGTACCCAGCCGAATCTACCGAAGCGATGTTGAAAACTGAAGCAAAACATGATATATCGGTAGGCGACTCTTGGCCAGGATCCACCACCTCAACTCGAGCTAGTCGAGGCGTAGCTGCTGCATGACGCCGTGTGACCACAGGTTGAAGCGAGTCTATCCAAGCGATCTCAAGCTCGTGCCCGTTTTGCGCGCTGCGATTGCTGCGCTCATTGGCGAAAAATGCTTCGAGTGTATCCTAGTGGATACACTCGCGACGGTCTCTGCTAAGCTCCTCACTTCCAGCATTGTCGACACCTCGACGGATACAGTACGCACTTACTCCGACGAGCTACACCATGGACCCCGTCCCCCCTGCAACGCGGGGCCAAGACCGCTGCAACCTGGACGTGTACACGCTATTCGGTGAGTCCAGTGACGGCCCCATCGGCGTCGCTCCCGCGCGTCCGCAGCGTCAACCGACTGCAATCCAAGACAACCGACTTCCACGCGTCACAGTCGTGCCGATACCGACACCCGAACCGAGGCAGCTTCCAGTCGGCCGTCAGTCAAGGGTCAGCGCTGTGGTGTTCGAAGACGGAACTGCACGCGCGCGACTGCTGTCGGATGAGAGCGACGCCCCGTTCAGCGCTGGCTACTGTCGCCAATTGGCGGCCATGTACACGGACGTCGGCATGTCGACGGTCGAGCGAGTGCGGTGGCTGTGCGGCTGGATGGTCCTGGTCTACGCGTTGACGTGCTGCGCGTGGTTCGCCTGGCCGGCATACACAGTTCCAGTCGTGGGGGTCCTCACAGGCACTGGAGGCTTGCTCGCGTGCCAACGCCCGCACGAACGGACTTACTTGACGTACGTGCTCATGTTCTTGGCGCTGAACTACGCGCAGCTTGTGCTACTTGTCTGGCTGGTCGTCATTGAACTTCCTGCAGAACTGACGGCGACGTGCACTGGAAACTGCGCCGGGGAAGAAACCAAGGCGGTGTTTATCGTGCTGCTGGTGTTGGCGACGGGGATCTTCCACTGGCGAGTGGTGGTGACTACAAGACTCTACGTGCGTGAGTTCCGAATGGTCGAGCAGCTTCAGATGCAGGGGTCTCAGGCGTTCCTCTTCAACGCTTCATACTCTCGCGCTGCGGCTTCGTCCACAATGGCGACGGACGTTCAATCAAGATCCTCGGCTAGTGTTGTGTCGGTGTCTGTTGTTGGAGATGCAGAGTAGCAGCACTCAAGCTATTACCCCCAAGCAACACGAGTTTGAAGCTGCAAACTCCCTGGATACTGGTAGAGCGATATGTAACTTAAGGCTGCACTTTGAAATGGAATGGCTGTGTATTATCCGTGTGAAGCTTCGTCTAGTGACAAAACGGAAGCGCTGGATGGTATGAAACACGAAACGCTATGGAGCAACAAGAGCGGGGAGAAAGGTTCCCCACCTTCGACTCGCGAATCTCGGCTGCGTCCACGGTTTAGTTGCGGCGCAGGCGAGTGTATGTGGTCGTGACGGCCGGAGGAGTGTAAGCAGAGCCCGACGAGGCACTGGCAGCCTCACTGTTCTGGCTCGCCGAGGTCGTGGTAGTAGTGTACGAAGTGCCCGACGACGCGCTAGCAGCCTCGCTGTTCTGGCTCGCCGAGTTGGATGGAGGGGTGTAGTAAGTAGTGCCCGACGAAGCGCTGGCATCCTCACTGTTCTGGCTTGGGGCATCCGTGCAGGGGGCATCCGTTGAAGTCGAGGCCGAGGCGTCCTCGCTGCTCTGGCTCGGGGCGTCCGTAGCAGGAGTGTACGGGGTGTACGGGGTGTAAGCACCGCCGGACGAGGCGCTGGCACCCTCGCTGCTCTGGCTTGGGGCATCCGTAGCAGGAGTGTACGGGGTGTACGGGGTGTAAGCACCGCCGGACGAGGCGCTGGCACCCTCGCTGCTCTGGCTTGGGGCATCCGTAGCAGGAGTGTACGGGGTGTACGGGGTGTAAGCACCGCCGGACGAGGCGCTGGCACCCTCGCTGCTCTGGCTTGGGGCATCCGTGCAGGGAGCGTCCGTTGAAGTCGAGGCCGAGGCGTCCTCGCTGCTCTGGCTCGGGGCGTCCGTAGCAGGAGTGTACGGGGTGTACGGGGTGTAAGCACCGCCGGACGAGGCGCTGGCACCCTCGCTGCTCTGGCTTGGGGCATCCGTAGCAGGAGTGTACGGGGTGTACGGGGTGTAAGCACCGCCGGACGAGGCGCTGGCACCCTCGCTGCTCTGGCTTGGGGCATCCGTAGCAGGAGTGTACGGGGTGTACGGGGTGTAAGCACCGCCGGACGAGGCGCTGGCACCCTCGCTGCTCTGGCTTGGGGCATCCGTAGCAGGAGTGTACGGGGTGTACGGGGTGTAAGCACCGCCGGACGAGGCGCTGGCACCCTCGCTGCTCTGGCTTGGGGCATCCGTAGCAGGAGTGTACGGGGTGTACGGGGTGTAAGCACCGCCGGACGAGGCGCTGGCACCCTCGCTGCTCTGGCTTGGGGCATCCGTGCAGGGAGCGTCCGTTGAAGTCGAGGCCGAGGCGTCCTCGCTGCTCTGGCTCGGGGCGTCCGTAGCAGGAGTGTACGGGGTGTACGGGGTGTAAGCACCGCCGGACGAGGCGCTGGCACCCTCGCTGCTCTGGCTTGGGGCATCCGTGCAGGGAGCGTCCGTCGAAGTTGAAGCGCTGGCCTCCTCACTAGTCTGCTGGTAAACGGGAGCATCCGTCGCGGCCGAGGCTTCCTCACTAGTCTGCTGGTACACAGGAGCATCCGTCGCGGCCGATGCTTCCTCACTGGTCTGGTACGGGGGCGTTGTGTAAGTAGGAGCGTCAGTCCAGGTCGAGGCGCTGGCATCTTCACTGGTCTGGCTGGGTGCGTCCGTGCAAGGAGCCTCCGTGGCAGCCGAAGCAGAGGCCTCCTCACTAGTCTGCTGGTACACGGGGGCATCCGTCCACGTCGAAGCACTCGAAGTCTCGCTGGTCTGGCTTGCGCTCTCAGAGCAAGGAGCCTCCGTCACGGCCGAAGCTTCTTCGCTGGTCTGCTGGTACACGGGGGCATCCGTCGCAGCGGAGGCCGCTTCACTGGTCTGGTGGTAAACGGGAGGCTTGGTGTTGTACGTTGGGACATCCGTCGAGGCTGAGGCAGCTTCAGAGCTCTGGCTCGCGCATGGGGCTTCCGTCGCCTCCGAGGCCGAAGCCTCTTCGCTGGTCTGGTGGTACGGAGCCTTGGTGTTGTACGTTGGGACATCCGTCGAGGCGCTGGAAGCTTCGCTCTGCTGCCCCTTGGAGCAGTCCTCGCTAGCGGTCTCCGGAGCAGGCGTCACGTAAGGCTTCTCCGTGGCCGGAGGACTAGTGTAGACCACCGGGGGGCTCGTGTAGACCGCCGGGGTAGGGGCCTCCGTGTAGACCACAGTCGTAGGCGCCTCCGTGTAGACAACGGTCGTGGGTGCCTCCGTCTCGGGGGTGTCCGTGTCAATCGTGATAAGCGGAGGGGAGAAGGTGACTGCCTCAGTCTCCTGGTATTTGGTTGCCTCCGTTGGCTGCGGCGTGTAGACCTTGCTAGGGGGAGCCGGAGTCGGGGCCTCAGTGACCGTGTAAGTCAGCGGGGAAGTCGTGTCGACCGGAGGAATGTACTGGGTCTCCTCAGTCACAGCTGGAGGGCAGGGCGTCGTTGCCGGCGGCGTGTACGGGGCCTCAGTCGTCACGACCGGGGTATCGTACTTCGTCTCCTCAGTCACAGCCGGAGGGCAAGGCGTCGCTGCCGGAGGCGTGTACGGCGTTTCCGTCGTCTCGGGCACGTAAGGAATCTTGGTCTCCGTGTATGGAGTTTCCGTCGGTGTGTACGGGGCCTCCGTCGGAGCTTGCGTCTCGGGAGTGTAAGGGGTTCCCTCAGTCACACCAGGCGTGATCGGCGCGGGGGTCTTGGCCGGAGGAACGTACGTCTCCTCAGTCACGGTGGGCGTCGGTGGGACGTAAACCGAAGTCGTGGGAGGCGCTGTCGTTGCCGGAGGCGTGTAGACCGTCGTCGGGGCAGGCGTGGGCGTCTCCGGAATGTACTCCGTCTCCTCCGTCTTACCAGGCGTAGCCGGAGGCACGTAGACCGACGTCGTGGGGGGCGCGGTGGTATCAGGAGTAACTTCGCACTCGATGGGGACGGGCGCTTGCGTGTCGATCACCTCGGTCGACTCGGTCGTTCCCTGGCAGTCCGTGTTGGCGACACAGCCGTAGGTGCCTTCACTCAAGTAGACGCACGTGGATCCGTACGCGAGGTCACCATGCACACCCGGACACTTTCCCATTTCGCCAGCGCAAACCGGGCCCTTGGTGCAGTAGTAGCCTTCCTGGCCCACGACAGACACTGGGAACCAGCCATCGCTACCGTCGCAATCGTCCGGCATGCTCGAGTCGTACTCGCAAATGCCCGTGCTGCCGGAAGTCGAGCCTCCAGGAGTCGACTCGGTGGTGCCGGATCCGCTGGTGCTGGCGCTCACACTGGTCTGCGTCTGCGTCTGCGTCTGCGTGTACGAGCCAGACTCGGTGCTTCCGCTCGTGCTGGCGCTAGCGCTCACGCTCGTCTGCGTCTGCGTGTACTTGCCCGACTCAGCACTTCCGCTGGCGCTGGTGCTGGTACTGGTCGGCGTGTACGTGACGGTGCTGGTGCTGTATCCAGCGAGGACGGGGGCCACGGCGATCGCGGCGAGGAGGAGGGAGACGTTGAACTTGACCATGGTTGCTTAGGTACAGGTAGCTGGAGAGCTGGGGGAGTTGGTAAGTCGCGCTTTGCAGAAGCAGGCGAATTGGAGAATGAGCTGCTGGAAGCGACTTGCTCGGCCGAGGTGAGGCGAGGCGAGGCGTTCGTTGCTGGTTGCAGCCGTTGCAGGTCAACTGCTTTGCATGTCACGAGCTCGGAAGGGTCTTCGACCATAGCTCGTTTCATAGTTCGTTTCGTAGTTCGTTTCGACTGCCCCTTCACGCCAACGGCTCCCTTGGTATTCGGACACGGCACTGCAGTATTCAGCCAGGCGACGTATGTGCATGTACTAGGCGTGCTTTCACGAAAAAATCTGGCGGAGCTCGAAACGGACGGCACGCGCGGGGAGCGTGCGTCGCAAGGTGTACTCCGGTTACGCGCTGGGGCTCTCTACCGTTCGCGAACTGCCTGCTCCCAACAAAGGCATTGCTCTTGCAGGAGACTTTGCACAAGTGCTCCATATAGTGTTGATGTGGAGGTGTCCAGGGGGTCAGATACCAGAACCAGCAGCACTATGCAGCAACGCGAACGGTTTATCAGAGGTTTCCCGTTAGATAGATAGAGGCGCTCGAGTGACGACGTACTTGGCTGCATGGGGAACTAACCCATCGGCCACGTCCCCGCACCAGAAGAGGGGACAGCCGCAGCCATCGTCGCCCCTCACGACAGCCTCGACGCAAGTGTCTTCCGGAGGTCCTGTCCTTCCTTGCCCGAAACGCCAAAGGCGAAGTGATGTACCGATACACAATTATCCACACGCACACACCATAAAAGCCTGATCTCTATAAATTGGGTACTTTTGCCCAAAACATGGTTCCGACGCCCTAGTTTTGGTCCCTTTACGCAATAGCTCGCCAAGATGGAGCACGTGCTGGGCGACCTGGACGGCAAGACGGACGTGCTGCGCTTCGTGGTGGGCTTCCTGCGCTTCCGCGACTGGCAGAACCTGTCGTCCTGCAGCCGCTCGCTGGCCGCCTCGGACCTGCGGCGCTTCGTGCTGGCGCAGGGCGTGCTGCGCGTGCCCCCGCCGCCGCTGACCCGCGGCCGCATCCGCTCGGACGCGCTGCCCGCCGCCAGCTACTACGCCGACAGCTTCCTGCGCCACATGGAGCCCGACCTGCTGCGCTGCGTCACGAGCGTCAAGGTGCCGCGCACGGGCATGCACCTGCTGAGTCTGCTGCGCGTGCTGCCGGCGCTGCGCTCGCTGCGCTTCTGGGACTACCCGTACTGGACGCCCGAGGAGGACGAGCCCCAGGACGAGGAGCCCGCCATCAACGTGGCCGCCGTGCTGCAGCTGCTGCCCTCGCTGCAGGAGCTCAACGTGGCGGACGCCGACGTGACCCTGGCGGAGCTGCTGGACATGGCTACACCCAGTCCCGTTGCTGGAGTGCAGCCCAGCGGCGGCTGGAGCCTGCGCGCGCTGGACCTGGCGGAGACCGACGTCGTGGACCTGGCGCCGCTCGTGGTGCTGCCGCAGCTGCAGTCGCTCAGTGTGAGACGCACCAACGTGGTGACGCTCGCGGTGCTGGAGGCGCTGCCCGAGCTCCACGTGCTGGACGTGTCCGAGACTAGGGTCGTGGACTTTGCGCCGCTGAAGGCGCTGCAGCAGCTGGAGACGCTGGACATGAGCAAGAACTGGGTGTCCACGGACCTGAGCGTGCTGCAGCATCTCACGGCGCTGCGGTCGCTCAAGGTGACGAACATCGGCGCGTCGGACTCGCTCGAGTTGACGCTCAAGTGCCCAGAGCTGGAGATCCTGCACCTGCAGAACACGCGGCTGACGGACTTGGAGTTTGTCCGGGAGCTGCTGAACCTCACGTACCTGGACATTCGATGGACGCACGTCGGGGATCGACGCCCGCTGGCGGCGTTGGAGCAGCTGGAGCAGTTGTTGCTGGACACTAGGGAACGAGGAGCGCCGCCGACGGCCGAAGAGCAAGAGTTACCGGTGCCCACTGCTAATTATGAGTGGCTCAGCAGTCTGCACAAGCTGAAGAAGCTGAGGATGTACAAGCACAACTACCAGGACGATATCGCCGATGTGCTGCGCGAAGACGTTGAAGAGAGGGGAGCCACGGTCGTCGCTACACGAGGACTCACAATCCCCATGGCGCACCGCGTACCGAGTGCGTTCCTGAAATATGCGAGCAGAGAGGGCGCGCTGAACTCGCTGGAGTTGCCGCCTCTTGTGGACTATTCGCCGCTGAGTTTGATGTCAACAACGCTACGGCATCTGCGACTGCAGCAGTGGTGTGCAGACGACTTGGCACAGATCGTGGCGCTGGGCGAGATGCCAGCACTCACGAGGCTGTCCATGTCGCTGCCTCCTACAGCACAAGTCATGGATCTGCTCCCGCTGGAGGGTTTCGTGCAGCTCAAGCAGCTCGAGCTGCTCGACGTGCTGTTCGAAGACCTCACACCTCTGGGCGCGCTCGTGAACCTGGAGAAGCTCGTGCTGTCTCTGCCTGACCGCGGCAAGCGGCAGCTCGCGCGCCGTCACAAGGATCACCAGACTACCTTCGAGTTCCTCGTAAATCTTACGCAGCTTCAGGAACTATCGCTGGTTGGTCGTGTGGACTTTAAAGGCGCTTCATTACTGTCCGGAATGGACAAGATGCGGAAACTGTGGCTGAACGCGACAAAGGTGGAGGACGCTGCGCCTTTGGCCACGCTGACCCGCCTGGAGATGCTCGATTTGGGCCTCACGCCCTTGACGACGGTGGAGGGTATCCCGAGGCTGCTGGAGCTGGAGTGCATTTGGATCCCCGAAGCGGTCGACTGCAAGACGCTGCGTGACCCGATCAACTTCCCGCGGCTGCACTCGATCTGGCACCCGGACGACTATAACTGCCTCTGGACAGACCACAAGTTTTGAACTAAGACGCCTCGCGTAAGAATGTACAGCAAGGTTCGTGTCCATAGTGCTTTCATTGTTGCATGAGCTCTTGTGCACTTGTGCAACTTGTTAAACCAACAGATTCGTAGCGCTTCGAAGTGGCGGCACGACCCTGGATGAGCTCATGTCTACATGCGTGTACTCTTGATGACCCGAGCAGGTGAGCTGCTGGCAGCGTGTGGGTATCGACCCCTTGAGCTGTGATGGAAGCCTAACAACATGGTCCACGCAGCACCGACCTCACTCTACCCGATGGTCTTGGATGATCAAGGACCTCCTCGCTCAGTCGACCACCATGGACAGCACCACACCACTTGTCAATTTGCCTCGTCAAGGGCGTACCGAGATGCAGTCGAGCGTCTTCGCCCTCGAGTTCGTTGGCAGACCCAACACCAAGCACCGCGCGCGCAAGGAGCGCAGACGCATAGCAAGACTGCGATCTGTCCTGAGATGGCGACGCGCGGAGCGAGATCTGCTGAGGAAGTTGTCGCTACAACAGAAGCGCCTTCGCCTCCATGTCGACTCTCGTCAGTGTCGACCTCTCCCTGCCACGCGTGACACCAACCTCCACGTCCAGCAACAGCTCGAGCCAAGTCCCGACGTGACGGCGTTCGAGCCCACTGAGCCTCGCAACGACCTGCTGCACTTCTTCTCTGGAGGCGGCTGGCTCATGGTCTACATGTACGGCGTGTGCAAGGCGCTGCGCGAGCTCAAGGTGGACGAGCGCGCCAAGTTCATCGGCACGTCCGCCGGCTGCCTGGCCATCGTGTCGCTCGTCCTCAAGTCGGACTTCGACGAGATCTTCGACTCGGTCGTCGACGACTACGTGCCGGCCGCCCACGCGAGCTGGAGGGGCCCGTTCCGGATGCGCGACTACCTCATCGACGCCGTCACGCGCCACGGCAACGCCAACAACATCCATGAGCTGCAGGGCAAGGTCACAATCGTGTACACGTCGCTGTCGGCTTGGGTCGCGCGCCGCGTCTCGCGCTTCAAGAACCCGCTGCACCTGCTGCAGACGATGGTGGCCTCGTGCTGCGCCACGCCGCTGGTGGGGCTGCCGTTCGAGCTCGAGGGCGAGTACTGCTGGACAACCAGCCGCTGTTCGAACACGGCGTCCGCACGATCACCGTCACGCCCAACGTCTTCGTGCCGCCGTGGTGGTCCATGTACCCTCCATCGCAGCGAGAGATGCGGTGGCTGTACGACCTGGGCTACGAGGACGGGCTGTCGTGGTGTGTGCGCCAGGGGCTTCCAGGGTCGGAGAGCATTGAGTTGCCGACCAAGGCTGCGACGTACAGGGGCGAGTGGAAGACGGTCGTTGGGCAAGTGGTGGGCTACCGGTCGGTGGAAGATGCGGTGCTGGCTATGGCGGGACTGCTGCTGCTGTCGGAGGAGACGGTCACGAGCACTGTGATCCGACTGGAGATCTTGCTGTGGAGGCTGGTGGCGGTTGTCGCCGCTCTGTTGGAGTGGAGCACGGTGCTCTGGACGGTCTTGGCTGGAGCAACGCTGATGGGGCTGGCGATGCTGGATCAGCACTGCACGCTGAAGTTCGTGGTCGTGCTGGGGGCGCACTTGATCGTGGCAGTGTTGAAGCTGAAGGAGGCTTGCTGGCAGGTCCACTCGTCGCCTCACTGGCAAGAACTGCGAGACTCGCTCGGTGCGATGGAGAAGCAAACGACAACGAGCAAGGTCGGACCCACTCCCCAGCAGGAGGCAATGCTGGCGAAGTGGTCGTATGTGTACCGATTCAGTAGTTTGTTGGTGTGAGTACGAAGACAGGATGGAAGTGGGGTGCCCAACACACTGTCAGTTAACTGAAGTTGAAGTGTCCGAGGGCAAGTGATCATCAAAGCTTCAGATCTTCTCAAAACTTGTTGCTGGGTACGATGTGATGCCGTGTTCATGTTCTGCGTGGTACATGTATGCACCTGCATCATAAAGAAAGCGGCCTTCCACAACGTCGCGATCGGGCACTCAAACGGATTATCGAGTTCAAAGTTGAGGTGCACGAGGGCATAGTGACTTTCAATAATATTTTGAACGTGTACGGAGCACTGCACCTGTGGAAGCGCACTGCAATCTAAGATTCATGGCTATCCTCTTCTGTTGGCAAGTCCACTCCACATTATAGGTGGTGAACCTGGCTCAATGTCAACCACAGCCACAGGGGGTGCCATCACCACCAACAATGGCAGGTTAAACAATCCGTTGTCCTTCGCAACACCCTCGGCGAAGTAAGTATCCTGTGGCCGTAAAGCACTTAGTGCACGCCTCCCCCGCTGTGCTCACTTTCGAATTAGCTTTCGACCACCCACTCACTCTCCAAGCATGAAGACTGTGTGTCCTCGATCCTCGCAGTCGTGGCCCTGCTTGCTGTTGCAGCTCTCGGTGCCAATGGCGTGCACGTCGGCGACAACCCCATCTCGAACCGCGCACACGAAACCAACCACTTGGTCACTGCGGACCCCGTCGTGGATGAAAGGACCTGGGTCCCATTCCGCGCCCTGCGGTCGATGGACTCGCCCAAGCAGGGACCCCACGACGACGGCAAGCACCTGTCCCATGACCCCATGAAGGGCTCGAAACACAACTCTCCCCACCGAGCTCTGGGCCCGGCTCACGTGACACCAGCACCAACCACGACAACCACCAAGGCCACGCCTGCCCCGACCAAGATGACCAAGCCCGAGGCCACTCCAGCGGCGACGACGACGACGACGAAGGAAACGCCTTGCCACACACCTACCAGTAGCACCCACAAGGTGGCTTTACCTCCCGCCAACAAGAAGCCTACTGCTCCTGCTACGAAGCACGGGAAGTCTGGTACAAGCACGACCTCCAACGCCGTTCAGCGGGAGACTCGCAATTTGGGCGGGGGCGAGGCCAAGCAGCAGCTTCCTCCCAACGACCACCACAGTGGTGCCAAGCAGGGGGTGAAGAATGGAGTGAAGCACCAGTAAGCCCTGCAGTGCCCAGAAGATGCTGACGGAATCGACTGACGGCACATCGGAATGTCGGCTTACCGGTAGGTGGCGGTTTCTTTCGCATTGAAGGTGCTGCGAGTTTGCATTGCTCTTTGAGCTCGTAGAGTGCGAAGTGCATATACTTGCGAGTGCCATGAAATGCCTGCGTTGTTTGACAATCTTTTCCCAGGAAGCATTTGCATGGGTGGATCGCTGCTCTATGGGGGTGGCTATCCTATCCGAAGGTAGCTCGTGGGGGCCCTTGAAAAGCCTAGCGGATACGTGTACATGTACGTCGAGGCGGTGGTGATGCCACTCATGGATACACAGGCGGTGTGAACGCTAAAGAGTTAACGTTGAAGTTGTGGTGTCCGACAAGTGATCATCGTACAGCTTCAGATCTTTCAAAACGTGTTGCTTTGATGCCAAACGCCTGACCTTACTTGGGTATCTTGCGCTGCGTGGTATGCAGCTGCATCCTAAAAAACATGACAGCGGTCTTCAACACCGACGTGATCGAGCTCCCAAGGCTTGAAAGCTTGAGTCAAGCGGTGCCGGCCTGCAGGAGCTGTACCCGAGGACTCAGGAGTACTCAAGCGTGAGGCTGTCGTTGCCTTCCGAGTCGGAAGTTCCGACCGTACCAGTTGCAGGGTCTCTGGCACCAAGCGGACTTCAACCTGCGCTGCGCAGATACGCCGCCGAAGCACCATTCGGATATCTACCGAAAAGCAACCAAATGCCTCCTGTGTTTGGCGCGTTCCCCGTGCTGACCTCCGCTCTAGTCGTGTGCCGCGAGTGTCTGGCCATGCGCGGCCTGGGCGAACTTCCCCACGTTGTTTTCCGCGTCGACGCCTACCTGGACGTCTATTCGGGGCCAGACGCAGTCGTCAACGCCTGCGAGCGCGGCGGATCCTTGCGGTTGTTGACGTACCTCGCTGCGCGCGACTCCGAGTCGTTCTGGGGCAAGGTGGCGGCTTACGCCGCCATGCACGGCTGCGTGTACATTCTGCAGTGGCTGTCGGACCAGCACGCGGATCGGTGCGAATGGGGCGTGGACGTCATGGACAGCGCCGCGGGGCTGGGCCACTTCTCCGCGGTGCAATGGCTGCATACGCACCGCAATGACGGCTGCACGACGCGCGCAATGGATCGTGCTGCGGGTCGAGGGTACCTGTCCATGGTCAAGTGGCTGCACGCCAACCGGTGCGAAGGGTGCACGACTCGGGCCATGAACGCGGCGGCGCTGAATGGAGACCTGCGGATGGTGCAGTGGCTGCACGAGAACCGGCGCGAGGGCTGCACGACGGACGCCATGGACTTCGCCGCTGAAATGGGCCACCTCAAGGTGGTCAAGTGGTTGCATGAGAACAGAGCGGAAGGGTGCACTGCGTCTGCCATGACGTACGCGGCGGAGCGAGGGCACCTGGACGTGGTCAAGTGGCTGCAGGAGAATCGGACCGAGGGCTGCACGGAGTACGCGATTGGCCTGGCAGCGGGCAAGGGGCACCTCGACGTGGTGCAGTGGCTGGATGCCAACCAGCACAAGGGGACTCTGGGCCACGCGCTACGAACTGCCACCATGAATGGGCACATCCCGGTCATCAACTGGCTGCTGGCATCGATCGACGACGGACGGCAGCACGAGATCTTCACGCGCCTCGCGCTGAAGCTGGCCAAGAAGAGCAACCAGTGGCGCGTAATACGCTGGCTGGAACCACAAGTCGAGCCGGACCTCAGCAAGCGGCAGCGCATCCTGTGAAGTACTTACCTACTCATTCACAAATGAACACATACGAGTCAGTCCGCCAGTCATAGTGCCATCGCGCTGCTCAAGACGGTGCCGGTTTTCAGGAGTTATATTAGCAAGCGCTACGAGAACAGCGCAGCGCATCCATCTAGTCGCTCTTCTTCTCTTCGTTGTCAGCCACAGACGAGCTCGAGGAGCTGCCGTAGATGCGGCTGTAGCGCTGGCGCAACTCTTCTCGGCGGCGCTCAGCGTCAGTCTGCGGCGCGGGTGGGATCGTTGACTCCACAGGAAGCGCAGGTGACGCAACGGGTTCTTGCTGCTCAGTCGACGGAATCGGGCGTTTGTCTTCTAGGTCCTCCGAGGACGCAGCAACGGCAGCGGGCTGGGCAGATACAGGGGCAGCAGGGGCATTTGTTGGGGCTGCAGGCGCAGCGGTTGCCGCAGGAACTCCGGTCTGTGGCTGTGCTGCGGCTGCTGTTGTTGTGCTTTGGCCCTGGTGCGGAGTCCCGAACTGAGCCGCGGATGCTTGCAACACCGCCAACTGAGCATGAAGCAGGTCAATTTGGCGCTGAATGCTGTCCGGATCCATGGCTGGTTGCGGCATGCTCTGCTGTGTTTGCGGTGGCATGTGGCCGAGCGGGTGCATGCCGAACGGCGGCATCATGCCGTACGCACCAGGCATCCCGTAGCCGAACGGCGCCCCCATACCAGGGCCAAACATCATCGGCGACATGTACGGGTTGGGATAGCCAGCAAACGGGTGACCGGGTGCAGCGGCAGGAATTCCGGCTGAAGGTGGCGGTGCAGTGGCTGGAGCATCACCTGCAGGAGCTCCGGTAGGAGTAGCGGGGGGAACAACACGTCCAACAGGCACACCGAATCGGAAGCGAGGAGCATCTGCGGCAGGGCGAGGCTGGGCGTCAGCCGCAGGCGCCGCTGCTGGTGCTGCAGCTGGCGCCTGGGGGGCATTGTTGTTTTCTGCTGCGGGTCTTGCTGCTCGAGCCGCTGGGCCCTCGGGAACTGCGGCGGGGCGACGCGGTCCTGTCGGAATGGTGGATCGGCAAGTAGGGCAGGTCTGCTGTCGCTGAACCCACATCTTGAGGCAGTCAACATGGAAAATGTGCGAACACGGCAACTTCTTGCACGCATCGGGGGTCATTTCCTCGCGGCAGATAATGCACGTCCTGTCGGTCTCTTGCAGCTCCTCCTCCGTCGGGTTCGGAAAGCGCTCGTTCAGATGGGCGGTGATTTTTCTGTAGCGGAAGTACGACGCAATACGTCGCTGCAGGTTCTTGATGGAGATCCACAGGTCGCGAACGATGTGCAGCGGCATGCCGTAGTAGGTGAAGATGAGCATGAAGAAAACCTGGATCAGTTGCAGTACAAACCCACCGTCAGCAATATGCGGGTAGTCTGCATAATACATAAAAACTCAACGCACCAGGTATACAACCAGCTTCGTGACTTCCGACACGAGTTCCAGGTAGAAGAGATAGGTGAACTTGTTGGTCCAAGCTCCGTCCATGCGAGAGTCCACCACGTACAGCACATAACGCAGGAACGTGGCTACGATCGTCACCAGCAAGATCAGGAACTAAAAAAGAGATAACAATAAGAGGCAGGTCGTTGTCAGCAATGACCCCAATCTGATCACAACCAAACAAGCCAGACCCACCTCAAATCCGAAGAGGATAAAAACCGAGGGTCCGTTCTCCACGACTTTGAGCGTGCACCACACCACGAATCCCGTGTCTACAGCCGCCAGCATCGCCATGAGCCCAACGAGTCGCACATGAGTGAGGCGCGAGATGACGTCCGTTTGCTCGATCTGTAACAAATAACAATAAAAAGTTAGCACCTTCAAGTAAAAAGAAAAAACAAAATGCAAGAACCCCCGACGCACAAACTCGATCCGGGCCTGCGACAGCCAGTGGAAGATCTTGAGGAACACTAGCGCCGTGAACAGCACCATGACGTGGAACGAGATCTCCTCGCGGAAGATCGTGAGCGCCAGACACGTCTCCGTCACGGCGTAGCGCACATTCTCGTGCAGCAGCTACAAATAAGAAGCAATAATAAATAAATAATCAAATAAGTCACTAAATGATAATACAATACTTAATAAATAAATAAATAGCCGCCTCACCTCCACTTCCGCGTCCCGCAGCGTCCCGAGGAAGAAGCTCTTGAGCAGCCGCCCGAAGAGCGTCGTGAGCACGAGGCCGGCGTTGCCCAGCACCAGCACGCTCACCTTGGAGGTCACGAGATAGATGACCGACGGGTAGAACTGCTGCCGCGTCACGTACGTGTACCAGATCAGCCCCGCGCAGGCCGCGAGGCTCGCGCTCGAGTAAAGCCAGAACTTCATCCCCGGGCTACGTGGCAGAAAGGATTGTGCTTGCTTACGGTAAAACGATAAAAAAAATAGTCAGCCAATCACATGTTTTTACTCCTATTCTGGCGAATCAGAAGCGAGATACGGGCGACAAGTACAGTCGGACCTCTATACAAGGGAACACTTCAACTTGACCTTGGTGTAGCCATGTTGTCTGACCAATAAGTTAACTATTTTAGGGTGAAAGTTAGAAGTGCAAGTCGGCAACAACCGGGTAATGGTCCGACAGGTCCACGAGGACTTCGTCGCACACGCCTCGCGATGGAGCCCAATGCCGCGTGGCCTTGAGTTGCACGATCTCGGTTGAAGCGGCGACAGGTTGGCGGTGGCTGCGCTCGACCATGATGTAGTCCAGCCGTTCGGTAATGCCACCGGAGCTCGGACCGTCCACTGCAAGGCTGTTCGTGTGCGGGTCGAAGCTGTACATCGGCGACTTGTCGTGCAACTGCGGCTCGTGGACGCCCAGTCGGTCGAGCATGGCGGTGTACTCGCCGTCAGGAGCTTGGGCGCCGTCCGCGTGCTTGTTGACGTTCATGTCGCCCGCGAAGATCACGGGCTCGTCCTTCGGCAGATCCAGAGAGTCCACGAACTCGCGCATCAGCATGAGCTGGCAGTTCCGCGTAGCTGTAGCGACCGGAGTCTCCCACGCCTGCAGATGCGTCCCAACCACGTGGACGGTCTGGGTCCTCTCCGAGCCTAAGCTGCTTCTGACGGGCATGCGCACCTGGAAGTAGATGATCCCCTTGTCTGCGTACCGATCTTCACCGGACGCTATGCTGCCGAATGTAAGCTCCTCACAGCGTCCGAGTGGGTACTTGCTCATGGCGAAGCAGCCGCCATCGATCACCTTCTTGGAGCCGAGAAGTGACACGTCTCCGACGACCTTGGTCTCGTAGATGTAGCCCTGCGATTTCATCCCGGATACGAGTTTCTCGCGCGAAGTGCTGCAGAACGCCTCGCAGAATATCACGACGTCGACGTCCAGCGGAGCGAGGCAACGTGGAATAGCTGAGGCACGCTGCGAGGCCCACGGCGAAATCTTCTCGTTGAAAGACGACACGAAGCTGGGCAGCAGCCACACGTTGTACACCATGACGCGCAGCTTGAAAGGAATAGGACTCCTCGGCAATGAAGAGCGAACTATTGGGCTCGCGTCCTCAACTGGCTGTGGTTCAGGCGTCGTAGCTGCCTCTGGACAAGCTACGGCGCTGTGCTCATCGTTGATGGTGCCTAGCTGGAATACTGCCGGCGAATACTTCGTGGCCGTGATAAATTCTCCATTGATACCGAGTAGTTGACCCGCCCACTCACCCTCTACAAGCTGCAAGAACACCTGACTGCCGCAACGAAGCGGTCCTGTGTGTCCGTACGGCGACACAAGCCGCAACGTCGTCTTTTGCGAGTTGCCTCCTGTAGCCATGGCATGACCGCGCTTCGAGTCTGGAGGAGCTACTATACGCACCGATTTGCGTACCTTGTGGCAGTACAAATGGACGGCATCTCCGAACCTCGCCGCTCGCCAAGGCCCCGAAAACTGCTCGGCGTTCTCCACGACGAACTCAATCCCTGTCTCTTCATTCTGCTGTGGTTTGCAGACACTGAGGTACGACGCCTTGTTGAGCTGGTACTTCCCCACGCCGCCTCCAAGAGCGCTGAGCGCGAACACCGCCGACAAGGGCCCCGTCAGCGCTACGCCCGCTACTCCAGCCGCCACGGCCGCAGCCTTCTGCGAGCCCGAGAGCGCACTGCGCTTTGTGAGCCCGACAGAAAGTCCGCCCAATGCTGTCAACGCGATAACGCCACCGAAGTGCACAAGCTCGTCGCACCGTGAAGGCGCTAGGGTCGGCGGGGGGACACGCCACGGAAAAGGCAGCGGCAGATCCACGAGTCCTCCGATGCTGTCGCTGGTGCTGGCCGTCGTGCTGGTGCTGGTCGAGCTGCTCGACCGCGCGAGCGTTCGGAACCCAGCTTCGGTCGCTTTGTCGGTGCAAATATCCTCCGTGTGCTGCACGATTTCGCTGTCGTTCGACTCTGGTCGAGGCGTCACGAAGTCGCGGAACGTGTCCGAGGCGTGCACGCTCTCAATCTCCAGCAGTTTGTGCAGATAGCTGTTGAGCTGCTTGCGGAGCTTGTCCGCCGCTGCCGCGCGCACCGACTGCGCCCGGAACGCGTCCCACCCGAGCCTCGAAGGCTTGGGCAGGTGCACGCGTCGGGTCTGCAGCGTCTGCTGGAAGGCGCCCTCGAGCGCGGCGTGGAACCGCTGGAAGTCGGCGTACGAGCGCCGCACCAGCCACAGCGTATGCTTGCGCGGGAAGCGCAGCGAGATCTCGTAGCTCCAGTGCTCGTTCTTGGTCGCTGGAGCCGCCACGCGCGTGATGCCCACGTCGGCGTCCGTCGCGAGCCACGGCAGAGTTTTGGCGGCGCTCAGACTGGGAGGAGAAGTGCCGGCTGTGTTGGTGGCGGTGGACTTCGCCCGCGGCTTCCGCCTCCACGCCTTCATGTCGAGCTGGTGAGATGCGGGGGCGAGGCGACCACGGACTGGCCGACGTAGCAATGAGCTCCTCGCCTGCATCGCTTCCGGCGTAGAGAGTCGGTCCGCCAACAGCCGATAGCGCCGTGGTGCAAATCGTGAGAGATTTCTGGAATATCGTTATACGCAAAGTTGTGAACTATGATGTATTAAAGTGGTGGCGTACTTTTAAACCTGCTACCTCCTATACTTGATTTAAACATTGTCTTATGTATAAATTCATTATGAGTGGAAAACCGAAGCTGAAAGATGTTCATGTCGTTTCATTACTAAGCGAGCGATTCACGGACTCGATGAGAACGTGGCGAGCATCTGTGAAGGGTAGCCCTGGCGAGCACAAGCACAAAGCATAAGGGCCAACGTTGACGGAGGTGTTGACCACGAAACGTGATATCCGGTCGAGACTCTTTAGCATTTATCGCCTGCATGGCCATGGCATCACGGGGCTCGACGCTTTTCAAGCGCCGCCGCAAGCGCGTAATCTCTTGCCTGTATAGGATAGCCTCCGCCATAGAGCAGCGATCCACCCATGCAAACGCTTCCTGGGAAAAGATTGTCAAACAACGCAGGTATTTCATGGCAGCTTTACAGTACTCGCAAGTATAATATACTTGCATATTATGTTCTTCGCACTCTACGACTCTACGAGCTCAAAGAGCAATGCAAACTCGCAGCACCTTCAAATGCGAAAGAAACCGCCACCTACCGGTAAGCCGACATTCCGATGTGCCGTCAGTCGATTCCGTCAGCATCTTCTGGGCACTGCAGGGCTTACTGGTGCTTCACTCCATTCTTCGCCCCCTGCTTGGCACCACTGTGGTGGTCGTTGGGAGGAAGCTGCTGCTTGGCCTCGCCCCCGCCCAAATTGCGAGTCTCCCGCTGAACGGCGTTGGAGGTCGTGCTTGTACCAGACTTCCCGTGCTTCGTAGCAGGAGCAGTAGGCTTCTTGTTGGCGGGAGGTAAAGCCACCTTGTGGGTGCTACTGGTAGGTGTGTGGCAAGGCGTTTCCTTCGTCGTCGTCGTCGTCGCCGCTGGAGTGGCCTCGGGCTTGGTCATCTTGGTCGGGGCAGGCGTGGCCTTGGTGGTTGTCGTGGTTGGTGCTGGTGTCACGTGAGCCGGGCCCAGAGCTCGGTGGGGAGAGTTGTGTTTCGAGCCCTTCATGGGGTCATGGGACAGGTGCTTGCCGTCGTCGTGGGGTCCCTGCTTGGGCGAGTCCATCGACCGCAGGGCGCGGAATGGGACCCAGGTCCTTTCATCCACGACGGGGTCCGCAGTGACCAAGTGGTTGGTTTCGTGTGCGCGGTTCGAGATGGGGTTGTCGCCGACGTGCACGCCATTGGCACCGAGAGCTGCAACAGCAAGCAGGGCCACGACTGCGAGGATCGAGGACACACAGTCTTCATGCTTGGAGAGTGAGTGGGTGGTCGAAAGCTAATTCGAAAGTGAGCACAGCGGGGGAGGCGTGCACTAAGTGCTTTACGGCCACAGGATACTTACTTCGCCGAGGGTGTTGCGAAGGACAACGGATTGTTTAACCTGCCATTGTTGGTGGTGATGGCACCCCCTGTGGCTGTGGTTGACATTGAGCCAGGTTCACCACCTATAATGTGGAGTGGACTTGCCAACAGAAGAGGATAGCCATGAATCTTAGATTGCAGTGCGCTTCCACAGGTGCAGTGCTCCGTACACGTTCAAAATATTATTGAAAGTCACTATGCCCTCGTGCACCTCAACTTTGAACTCGATAATCCGTTTGAGTGCCCGATCGCGACGTTGTGGAAGGCCGCTTTCTTTATGATGCAGGTGCATACATGTACCACGCAGAACATGAACACGGCATCACATCGTACCCAGCAACAAGTTTTGAGAAGAAGATCTGAAGCTTTGATGATCACTTGCCCTCGGACACTTCAACTTCAGTTAACTGACAGTGTGTTGGGCACCCCACTTCCATCCTGTCTTCGTACTCACACCAACAAACTACTGAATCGGTACACATACGACCACTTCGCCAGCATTGCCTCCTGCTGGGGAGTGGGTCCGACCTTGCTCGTTGTCGTTTGCTTCTCCATCGCACCGAGCGAGTCTCGCAGTTCTTGCCAGTGAGGCGACGAGTGGACCTGCCAGCAAGCCTCCTTCAGCTTCAACACTGCCACGATCAAGTGCGCCCCCAGCACGACCACGAACTTCAGCGTGCAGTGCTGATCCAGCATCGCCAGCCCCATCAGCGTTGCTCCAGCCAAGACCGTCCAGAGCACCGTGCTCCACTCCAACAGAGCGGCGACAACCGCCACCAGCCTCCACAGCAAGATCTCCAGTCGGATCACAGTGCTCGTGACCGTCTCCTCCGACAGCAGCAGCAGTCCCGCCATAGCCAGCACCGCATCTTCCACCGACCGGTAGCCCACCACTTGCCCAACGACCGTCTTCCACTCGCCCCTGTACGTCGCAGCCTTGGTCGGCAACTCAATGCTCTCCGACCCTGGAAGCCCCTGGCGCACACACCACGACAGCCCGTCCTCGTAGCCCAGGTCGTACAGCCACCGCATCTCTCGCTGCGATGGAGGGTACATGGACCACCACGGCGGCACGAAGACGTTGGGCGTGACGGTGATCGTGCGGACGCCGTGTTCGAACAGCGGCTGGTTGTCCAGCAGTACTCGCCCTCGAGCTCGAACGGCAGCCCCACCAGCGGCGTGGCGCAGCACGAGGCCACCATCGTCTGCAGCAGGTGCAGCGGGTTCTTGAAGCGCGAGACGCGGCGCGCGACCCAAGCCGACAGCGACGTGTACACGATTGTGACCTTGCCCTGCAGCTCATGGATGTTGTTGGCGTTGCCGTGGCGCGTGACGGCGTCGATGAGGTAGTCGCGCATCCGGAACGGGCCCCTCCAGCTCGCGTGGGCGGCCGGCACGTAGTCGTCGACGACCGAGTCGAAGATCTCGTCGAAGTCCGACTTGAGGACGAGCGACACGATGGCCAGGCAGCCGGCGGACGTGCCGATGAACTTGGCGCGCTCGTCCACCTTGAGCTCGCGCAGCGCCTTGCACACGCCGTTCATGTAGACCATGAGCCAGCCGCCTCCAGAGAAGAAGTGCAGCAGGTCGTTGCGAGGCTCAGTGGGCTCGAACGCCGTCACGTCGGGACTTGGCTCGAGCTGTTGCTGGACGTGGAGGTTGGTGTCACGCGTGGCAGGGAGAGGTCGACACTGACGAGAGTCGACATGGAGGCGAAGGCGCTTCTGTTGTAGCGACAACTTCCTCAGCAGATCTCGCTCCGCGCGTCGCCATCTCAGGACAGATCGCAGTCTTGCTATGCGTCTGCGCTCCTTGCGCGCGCGGTGCTTGGTGTTGGGTCTGCCAACGAACTCGAGGGCGAAGACGCTCGACTGCATCTCGGTACGCCCTTGACGAGGCAAATTGACAAGTGGTGTGGTGCTGTCCATGGTGGTCGACTGAGCGAGGAGGTCCTTGATCATCCAAGACCATCGGGTAGAGTGAGGTCGGTGCTGCGTGGACCATGTTGTTAGGCTTCCATCACAGCTCAAGGGGTCGATACCCACACGCTGCCAGCAGCTCACCTGCTCGGGTCATCAAGAGTACACGCATGTAGACATGAGCTCATCCAGGGTCGTGCCGCCACTTCGAAGCGCTACGGATCTGTTGGTTTAACAAGTTGCACAGGAGCCAATTGAACAGTATGGACACGAACCTTGCTGTACATTAACGCTAGCTCAAACTTGTGGTCGGTCTGTCCAGAGAGTGCATGAAATAAAAACTTATTCCAAAAACAAATTATTGCAGTTGCGTGTTTAAAATATATACACAAACAATTCATTTTCAAAAGCGGTATTTAATAGAATGCATAGTTATTGTTATATAAATTAAATTTAGTTTTAAATAACAATACATGCAGGTTTTGCAACGTAACATACCAGTATTGTACTAAAGTTTCCGCGAGGTGCAGCGGCACCAACTACGAAGGGAGTTGCAGAGCAGGTGGTAAGTGAGACCACACGACCAACTTAACCCCAGTCGCCCCTCTTGCTAGGACAAACGGGAGGACAAAATCGGATTTTACTTGATTTCAGTATAGTGTACCACAAATTTTGTCCTATACGGACCGCTAGGACAAAAATTATGGTACACTATACTTTACATCCGTGAATATCGGATTTGTCCTAGCATTTTTTCGGTTTGTCCTAGCAAAGTGCCCGACTGGGGCTATTATATGCGATGCTTCTGCACATATAGGCCCAGGCGGCTTCAAAGTTGCTTTTGTGTCGCGAGAAGAATTCGACGATGATCACGTAGTTACATGAGCCAGATTTGAATAACGCGACAGTTGGCAGGCTTTCCCTCCATGCAACCGCCGCTCATATGTCCTGCAAATATGAACTTCCAGCTGCGCACAATGGAATGGAACAGTGCTCTTCATGCATTTGGACTGACGCAAAGTGATCTGTAGCTTGCGCACGTCCTGTGTGTGATTCCTTTGTGAGACTGTGGTGCCGCCAACCAAGCAATCGCGAGTGGTCTACATGTAGTTTAGTTGTGTTGTCCTCCGGGTGGGCATCGTTGGATTGAACTCTTATTGTTTGCTCCTTTAGCTCGTGTTTGATTGCTGCCAAGTGTTCGCAATCAAGCGCTTTTAACATGTACTGTATGTTCCGACTTTGCATCACCGTCTACGCCAAGATTCGATCGCAAATCACAGTACATGTACCGTATGTTCCGACTTTGCATCACCGTCTACGCCAAGATTCGATCGCAAATCACAGTACATGTACTGTATGTTCCGACTTTGCATCACCGTCTACGCCAAGATTCGATCGCAAAACACAGTACATGTACTGTATGTTCCGACTTTGCATCACCGTCTACGCCAAGATTCGATCGCAAAACATTCGATGGCAAAGTGTAGACAAGTTTTACTCTCGGTGGTGTTTAATCACACCTGCAAGCAGGGCTCGGAGTGTCACCTCCCCGACATGCTTGGCAAAGGTATCAGCTCAAAGACAATATTAATTTGCATTGCTTCACTACAGAATGAATCTTCGCGTGGTAAAAAATAGTGCAAACCGCTCTCGAGATTTAGAGAGCCTTGAAAATGAGGCGAGTGTTTCGGCTGTTTTCCAGCGAGCGCGAGGCACGTCTGGCGGACGTTGAAGTCCATTTGTCAAAGATTTGCTCACGTCAGTGAGTAACTTTCCACAACACCGAGTTTCCGGTAGGGGCGATTCATGTAAGCTGCCGGACGTTGGACAACTGCAGTCAAGTTGTTCAGCTGTGGTCTAGCCTCCCTTATGAACTCCCCGAAACCTCAATGGCGTCAACGATTCGTTGTCGCAGATATGGATAAATATCGTGACGGTGCCGACACATATGATTTTATATTTAGCCACTGTATGGTGGCTGTGGTCCAATCAAATGGCGATGACCGATTATTATCGAATGAGAAGGGCGATAGATGGTATTTTATCCAATCATCAACGTTAGGGGTAGGTGTATGAGCCGCCGACACTATAATGTAGGCAGGGCTGTCGAGATATGTTATCCACCTATAGCGAAGTTAAGTAATTAGGTGATTATACACATATTTTGCACGGTGCCGACACTTTACTATGACATTGTATTGCTTCTGTTTGCCTGTTTGAAGCGTTCTGTATGGCGCTTTCGCTTGCTCTACAAATTCAACCGAGTTTCGTCGGTAACGCCCGAACCATCTCTGATTCATGGCACAAGATGTTTTGGGCATTGCCGAAGCCGCTGTTGTCGCTGCCACTTAGCCTCAGTGAGTGAGGTGCGGACTGTGCAGCGTAGAGAGTTCAAAGTAGGCATCAAACTTTAATTTATTCAATGTTAAAATAAATAACTACAGACGTAATATTCGTGCATTACACTGCACCACCAAGCACCACCGCGCTAGTAGAAAGCGTCTCCCCACCCTGCAGCGGCGGAGGCACCACCAGTAGTAGCCGTATAACCACGTCCTACTCCTCCCCAAGATCGCCAGCAGCGAGCGTGCCTCTCGTCACACCCAGCTATCGACAACTCGAAGCCGCCGGCGCAACGCGCACATCCGCTGCGCTGCTGCTGCTGCTGTTGTTGGCTGCCGTGGTGGCGGGCGGCTACTGCTACGTCTGCTGCAGGAGGAGGTGGATCCCTTGGCTCTCCACGCCGCGTGCTGTCTGCTGCTCTAGCCTCCGCATCTTCTCCATCTTGGGCACCTTCTTCTTGTTCTTCTTGTCCCGCGTGATGTCCAGCGTGGGTGGTAAGACATCGTCTGCGCCGCCGCCAGGCGCCCTCCATCAATCTTCTCCTCCTAGCTCTTGCTCTCGGCGAACTTGTTGCCTCCGCAGTCCTCCGCGCACTTGGTGGCCTTGGTCTCCTTGCTGTCCTCCGCGAACTTAAAGCCCTTGGTCCCCTCGCCGTCCTGCGCGCACTTGATCCCTCCGCCGTCCTTTTGCGCTCTTGGTCTTCTCGCCGCCCATTCGCGCTCTTGAGGCCTCTGTCGCCCTCTGTGGCCTTCGTCAGCATGCCGTCCTTCGTGTCCTCGCCCCCTCGCTTTCCTCCACGCTATTAGTGTTCTCGCCCTGTGCCTTCAGTCCATCGCGCTTCCTGCCGTGGGTTTCCTGGTCGTCCTCTCTCTCGTCTGGCTGGAGGGGCGCACCGCCGTGCCCTCACACTGGGCGAGGAGAGAGGGACAGTTTGCTGGTGATGACGAGCCATCACGCCTGCGCATGCCCGCACGCCACGCACGCGTAGCCTGGGGAGGGGGGGGGGGCGTAGCGTAGGTCACGGCGCATGTACTGCACTCAGGGTCGCCGCAGGGTCGCCGCCCGCCCGCACTGAAATGGGAGAAGTGTCAATGTAGCCTTTTAGACTAATCATGGAATTTCATCATTATCACCAATGATAGATCGTGTCGGCAGGTGTAGACAGATGTCGGCACCGTCATGGTATGGAAGGCAGCTGGGTTAGTCAATCACGGGGCCCCCTCCGACTAAACACGATCTGCAAGTGCTGCAACTCTGTCCGACGTCAACGACCCGATTCTTTGAGTTGAGGACGCATTCCGCTCGGCAAACTTCCGCCACAATCTATGATGAGAAGTGATAGAAATTCTACAGCACCGAACATTGCCACACTGCTGAGCATGCTGTCAAGGCCTTCACTATCAAGGGCTTTTATCTGGGCGTAGTAGTCGCGATTCGGAAGATAATACATGGAGGTCGTATACTTACCTGCA